ATAAATTAATATAATAAACGCCCTGTGCACTCTTTTTACAGTAATGCCAAGGGTACTGCAGTCAGATGGCACCATGTCAAGAAGCTGCATGGTATACTACCTACCCCCAATGTCATGTAAGCTAGACAACTCCTTCTTTATCCAGATCGAGTTTGCTGTGTCTGTGCGGCTGTAGACCTTGGTGAGACCCACAGTAACATTTGGGAGGAGGCTCTGTCACGCATAGACCGCTGGGGCCATGAAGCCACTACCGAATACAAGAAGGGCCACAAGAACATGAATCTGAGATAGGCCAGCCCAGATCGGGACGTAGATTTACAAGGATTCCCATCCATCAGTGGGGTGCGTGCGATTTTAAGCACAGACTGTTACGTACCGAGGTTTGGGAGTACACCTCAGGGGCCCTTCCATTTTTATTCATAAGGTCAGAGCATTGTATAGCGGTCATGGCGGGACCTTAATAAAAAGCCCCCACTTGGCAACAATAATAAAAACAACTTCTTGATCTCCTTGAGTCAATGTTTCAGAAAATACTTCATTTTTAAGGAAGTAGATAAGTTTAAGAGAAAGCAATATTTCCGAAAACATCAGCACATATATACATCCATCCAGCTTTTTCGGGCTATGACTCTTCCTCAGTTGAAAAGGCTGTCATCACTCAGGACAATCACTCTCGAGAGCAGGATTTAATTCTTAGATCCGATAATTCCTCAGAATCCAATGCTCTCACTCAGAGGGAGCTCACAGTCCACGACAGCTAGGTCAGTGTTGCATATTTCACAGTACACGGGTTACATAAAAATTAATATGTGTTTCATATACAAAATAATACACAAATGACTGTATATCATAAAAACTCGCGCGGTACGAGCATAGAAGGGACGTGGTGATTATACACGTTTGCACCATGGCTACTCTATGTATGGTGCCCGTAGACAAACTTGTAGTTACATTTAGATACGATTTTGAATAAATAGCCCATGGATGTGATGTGTGTTCCCACATCTGATTCTCACTTACTTTTGTTCTGATTACTACCTGTCTGTCTATAATTTTTCAGTCAGCATGAAAATCAAGCTGTCGCTGATGAAAATCCTGATTTGCGGGATAGAGTACAGGAAGTGCATAGGCTCATGGCCTTGATTGATATTTAAGGCCAGGGCTGTGACGGATTTTCGAGGATGTAGACATGGAGTTAGATCAAGATGATTTAGTTGTGGTACTAAGGAACAATGAAGTAAGACTGAAGACACTTCTTTCAGTCAGGCTGTTGCTTGCATCCAGGTATCACAAGGTAAGCAACATAATCAGGAGTGTCAACATAGACTTCAACCTCAAATTCAATATGCTGACGAGGCTCTAGGGCAAGAAACAGGAAATTTGGGACAGTTTGGAGACTGATATCGTTTCACTAGTGGCAGAGACCAAGTACATGAAGCGTGATCTGGCCCTTCAGGACGGTGGTTCTAGACCAATTGGCCCACTTGAACCATCAGCGGTATCAAGGCCGTATGGACACGAGTTTTCACGTTAAGTGGAGTAGTTCTGAGTAAAGAATGCCTTTTAGTCTACCAGCATTTCAAGTTGTAGTATACTCCACTTGACTCAAAACCCAAAGAAGTAGACTATAGCCAGATCAGTGGCTCGAAATTCAAGGACCCTGCGGGAGGAAATGATGAAAGACTTGGCAAGGAAAGTCAGGTGCTTTCTTAAAACCTTCCAATCTTTTTATCGACGCAGCCTTTCAGGAATCCTCTTCCATAAGGTGGCCTGGATATACATATATGCTTATATCTTTAAGCAAGGTAGACAGGACAATGCTGAATTACGAAGAGTGAATCCAAAAGTTCCCTCAATCTGAAATGACTTGGGATCGTGTCAAGGATTGTGATTACAGGATTCTAGAGTTTGACAAAATCCAACCCGATCTTATGATCGAGTAACTAGAGGTACGTCTCAAGAGCGGAGAGGCCATCCCTGGCTTCGCGGCACGGGTTTTACCGTTGATAGAGTCACCAGGCCGCATAGCATATTGCTTGTCAGATGTTGATTATCAGGCCATTAAATCTAAATACAAGTCCTTCCGGAACGTAGGTTCCATCATGAGATATTTGGAGTACCTCCAGTTGCTTCTAGGCGCGTGGCCAGGTGCAAAAATCAACCATAGTCTGAGAATAATCAAGAGGTCCGGTGGCGAACCTGCTGCCGACAAGATGTTTCAGCATGGAAAGATGGAACAAGTCGAGAGACGAAGTTCTAAAAACAAGTGTGCTCACGTACATGGCTTAAGAGGCGATGACGGCAGCAAGAAGCAAAAGCTGTCATTCAAGCCATATACTTATACCAAACTTTGTAAAGAGATACAGAAAAAACATGATCCTCGCCAATGCTGGTACAAAAAGATGGATGAAAAGGAGGATGTCTCGAAGAGCCGACCCAATCCAGGCAATGGTAACTTCAAAGTCATGAGTGAGGTAAATAGCTTCAACAAAACAGTTGGGGCTTTCTCTCGCATTATAGATGACACTCATTTTAGCTGATTTTAGTGACAATAAAGACGAAAGTATGTTATTTTCAAAATATTCTTCATTTTCCAACCTTAATGGTAACGATGTGTATGCATCCAAAGGCCCTACAAAGGGTGACAATCGCATAGCCTTTCCTATTTATATCATGGGGCAACCATGTACAACCCTGCCAGATCAGGGTACTACTATATCTCTTATCGCATTAGATGTAGCAGGCAATTTCAATATTATATATGATGAATTGTCTAATTCGCCATGATCAGAAAGGGCATGGACACTGCAAGTGTCATTACGTGTGACAAAGTGGTTATCATGTAATTGAGGATCAGCTATATATCATGGACATAGAGTACTACGATTTCATCATTGACATGAATCTTTTTAGCCGATTTAGTTTTGCTGTTACCGGAATAGCTCAACCCCAAGCGATTTTAGGAGATTTTCCTTAGGTTCCAAATGATGAGAAATCCACTGTGATTTCTAAAGAAACATCACAATGGGCAATAGATGAATTTCTTAGATGCAATTGAGCCATGTCTCCAGGCAAATGCCTATGTCGACCCAATCTCATATTGTACAAACCTGGCTGTGTTATCTCAACCATTTCATGCACAGATTGAAGCCGGCAAAGCAGTGCAGAAATGGCGGGATCCAGGGGTTAATATACTTGATCCAAAGGATAATTCGTACAATAGCTCTCTTACGATGGCAGCTAGAAGGGATCTAGAAGGCAATATCATAAAGTATAGAGTATGTCTTGATCTAAAGACACTGAATAGGTAACTAATGGGTACTGACAACTTTCTTCTACCTTTAGTCATTGAGGTTCAACAAAAGATAGCTGGTCATAAATACTTTTCTGCCATTGATCTTTCTCAGGCGTATCACCACATGCCTGTAGCTAAGCAGAGTCAGCCACTCACAGCTTTTACATACAATGACAAGCAATACCCTTAAACCTCTCACCAGCATCTCCCAGAGAGGATTGTCTCAACTATTAGTGATCATTATTGTGGAGTCTATGTAGATGATATTATTATTTTCTCAAGAATAATAGATGAGCATCCTGTGCATGTCAAGATCATTTTAAGCAGACTGACCGAAGCAAAGCTCATCATTGATTGAGAAAAGAGTAAGTTCCTGAGTACAGAAGTGACGTTATTGAGTTTTTGTCTAATGAACATGGTAGGAGCGTCAACACAGAAAAAATAGCCAATGTGCGAACATGGGTATATTCTAAAATAAGATGATTCAACGATATCTTGGTCCCTTCAATTATTTTAGAGAGTACATTCCTCTCTATAGCACTGTCACTGCCCCTCTCAATTAGCTGCGTAATGCAGGAGATACATTCAAGCTAAATGATCTACATAGAAGAAGCTTCGATGCAATAAGGAATCTCATTGCCACCGCACCAGTATTATCATTTCCGGACTTCAAGGCACCATTCTATGTCGCAACAGATGCTCCTAATGCGGGCATTGATGCAGTTCTCTATCAGTTATCGATGGGGCGACAATTTCGCGTTAGTGCTGATAGACGCTTGTACAAGATTCGTCATCCTAGAGGCACTACCGAATGAGGAGCCCAGTACTGTTGCTGTACGACTGTTCTAATTATTTTACATGATTGGTTTCCCCAAGATCATCCATAGCGACAACGGCACTGAATTTATCAATGGTCTTTCCAAGCTCATGAATGAAAAGCTGAAGGTAGGTCACAAACTATCCACTCCATACCATCCCAGGTCAAATGATGTAGCAGAACGGCTTGTTCAAGCCCTCAAGGATAATAATATCCAGAAACAGCTTGAAGGTCACGATGAAGCGTGGGACAAATATCAGCCCATAATTCAACTTCAATTAGATGTCAAGGCCGCCAGTTTACATGGGTTTACTCCATTCTCCTTATTTCATGGCAGATCCTTTGCGGGTTTTCGTCTGCTGAGTCTCATCCTTTGTCTGACGAGGAGCTTAATGAGCGATTGGATTATTTAACCAATTTGGTTTATCCAGACATAGCTGAAAAGAGTGCAGACACACAACGTAAGATGATCTCTAAATTTAATCACACCCACCGATTTCCCTCTAGGGTCATTTGCTGTGACGAGGGATCCATCACGGAAGGCAAGCTTGCACCTAAATATCATGAACTATACAAAGTCATGGCCAGAGCAGAGAGCGGTAGCTATACTTTATTAGATGCCACTAATAGTCAGCTATTACGCAACTATGCCCCTGAGCAACTCAAATTAGTCACACAGGCACTTGATGCTTCAAGTGATGAGTCCTTTGAAGTCGAATCTATCATCGGGTCACAACTTCACACCAAGGGGAGTGAAAATTAGGAGTAAATGAATTCCATACTTAAAATATAAAAAGGATAGGAATTAGAGTCCTTAATTCCACTATTGTGACTACCAGCTTGAAAATATATACAAACAAAGCTTTTTTTTTTTTTTTAACTACCTACATTCAGTTCATTTACTTTTCATTTTCTTTCTTACTCTCATACTTCCTACTTTCATTTAATATACAATCCATGGCTGTTGCTGAGAAACGAGTGCGTGGTTCACGTGGAAAGAAAAACAAAGGAGATAAGGATAAAGGCAAACCCAAGTATGAAGCCGAGTCAAATGATAATAAAAAGTTTCAGCGCGCACATCAAACTACCTACGATCGCAACGTGAAGGATGCTGAAAACAATGGCGGATCGATTCGTCCTGACCGTAAAGAACAGATCGACGCTGCTGCCATCTTTGGTTTCATTGATCCGGACGTTCAACAGTACTTTAAGGGCGTTGAGCAAACCATAGACGAACTCAATTTTGAGACTGCACAGGGTAAATACATGAATAATTACTTTTCCATATTTTCTGTTGATTGAGAGACATTTGAAACTTTGCATTTACCGACATTTTTGACTACTTGATGCCTATTATTCCTTTATATCATTGCAACACAGAGCAACAGCTTTTCTTGGAAAATGTATACACAGAAGTGCAAGGGAAGGAATTAGTCCTTGCGACCGACCATTCCTGCTCTTTGGTTCTTGAGAAATTATTAAGAGCATCAAACGACTTTCAACTTCGTGTGTTTTTCGACAAGTTTAATGGAAAGTATGTCTTTCAGACAAGAGAATCATGTACTACAGACGAATGTTTCAATTGACAGCATAGTGACCAACACCTACACTATTTACACTATAGCTTTTTGAAACTATTTACACACCGGTTCGCATCTCATGTTTGCCAGACACTAATCACATTGTGTGCAGATGCGGTTGAGAGAGAAGTCAAAAGCAATGATATCAAATCTAAGGAAGAACACGAAGTGCCTCAGGAAGATGGCGTCTTGCTCAGCGCACAAGATATGATCTTAAATATGTGCACTCAGACTCAAGAAGAATTTACTTCCTTGATTTCTGATCCGTTTGCCTCCCATATCATTCGTGTTATTCTTCATGTGCTTTCAGGACGTACTGTTGGTGACGATGGCACTGGAAAGGGCAATATCAGGAGTAAGAAATCTGCAAAGTATAACGATGCTAACAATAGCAAGACTAATAATATGGGCGTGTTCCGGCCTACTCGTCTTGTCCCACCTTCGTTCAAGGAAATGTTACGTACTATTACTTCGACTATGATGAATGGGCTCAGCGATTCGGTTGTTCGCTCCCTTGCTGTCCATCAGGTGGCTAACCCTGTGTTACAGCTGCTATTGGAGGTCCTCGCTAAAGACAATGAGATGGCAAAGGATCAGCTTGTAGACAAGTTGCTAATAGATATCACTCACGAAGAGGAATCTGGGCACAAAAATGACGATCGTGATGCCTATGTTGAAACTTTGCTTAGAGACCAAGTCGGATCCCATCTGCTGGAGAAGATCGTACAAGTCGCTTCACCAACGTTGTTCCAAAAATTCTATATATTATACTTTCGCGGTCGTTTAGTTAAGCTCTCTTTTCATCCTATAGCCAACTATGTAATTCAGCAGCTCTTCGTTCATGCTAAGACGTCGATTCAGCTAGAGATGATGGTCGAGGAGGTACTGCCAGAGTTCGAAAGCTTTTTGAAATATGGTCGTCCAGGCGTCATTCGAGCAGTTGTTGAGGCGTGTAAAAACGTGGGTGCGTGCCATAAGGAGGTGATCAAGGGGCTCTGCACTGCCTTTCATACCAACACACCAGTGGAGCGTAAAGAATTTATCCATGTAGTCCTGCATATGGAGACTTATGAGGCACTGATGGAGCGTCGGAAACAACAGGAGTCGATCAAGCCTAAGTTCCATCCCCAAGGCGCCGTTGTTTTACAGCTCCTACTCCAGTACCCAGAGGAACATAGCAAAATTGTAGTTGATAGCTATTTTGCTCAAAAGGACGACTTGATGTATGCATGGACCATGGATCCCGTAGGCTCGCACGTCATTGAGGCGTTCCTGACGTCACCTACATTGAATCTCAAAATCAAAAGAAAGATTTTGAAGTCATTCTTGGGTAAATACCATTCTATGGCTTTGGATCGGTATGGTGGCCATACAGTTGACAAATGCTGGGCAGTTTCAGACATAGATATGAAAGAGAAGATTGCCACCGAGTTGCTGGAGCACGAGCTAGAACTATCGCAGAGCTTTCATGGGAAATTCATCCTTCGCAACTGCAAGATCGACCAGTTCAAGCGCAAGAAGGAGGAGTGGTTGGAACGAGAGAAGGGTATTGAACGCAAAAGGGATATGTTCAAGGATATCCTCGGAGATGCTGTGTTGGCGACTGTTCAGGGTAAGCAAACTGCTGCGGGCAGTTCAACTGCAGAGCTTCCTGCACCTAATCCAAAGATGGCGGATCTTGGTTTCGGAGGCGGCATTGCTGGGGTCAAGACTGTAACTGAGAAGAAGAAAAAGAAATCTAAGAAGAGTTCTGAAGACCCCAATAAGGTAATATGTCACATTGCATTGTCGCCATCTTTTTTTTTTTTTTTTTTTTTTTAAAAAAAAAATATTAAGTAATTTCCCACCAATTTATAGTTACTAATTGAGGATGATGAAGAGAATCCGCTAAAGGAGAAGTACAAGTCGGATGAAATTGACAAGTTGTTCAAGAAACGATTGCATAACGAGAATGCCGCCAAAAAGAGTAAAGACGACAATCAAGATACTGATATGATCACAATATCCGAGAATGAAGAGACAAAGTCGGAAGATGAAGAAGTGGAGGCTCCAAAAAAGAAGAAGAAGGTGTCTAAGGATCTCGGGTCAGTTTTGGATGCCATCGATGCAACCAAAAAGAAGAAATCCAAGAAATCCAAGTCTGACGATGGTGGGCGTAAAAAGAATAGCAAGCAAGACAAGGACAGCAAGAAGCGCAAGTTCATGTCCTGAGGAGGTTCAACCTTATTAATATTTCCCCCTTCTATATCGTGTAATATTTAGCATTCCTGAACCAAAGTAATATATACAAAAAAATGGAAATATCTCAATGTAGACATTTCTCGGATATTTATGTAGTATTGTCGTTATAATAACTAGAAGTTGTAGACCTTTGTAATAAAATGCAGAGAGCTGTTCATGACAATTTTTCTTTGATATCCTCTGAAGTAGATGTCTCATGTTCTTTTGACACAGTAATTGCTGTCTTCTCTCTGCTAGGCAGCCATTTGATGGGGTTCCTGTTGAGATATGGCCAGGCAGGAATCACGAGCTACAAAATGAAATGATTAAAGTTTAACATCTAAAAGGTTTATGGAGTTTCAAAGCTTGTGTATTTGCATCGTCTCCTACCAAAGCGGTCAGAATCACGCCCGCAGAAAAAATGTACAGCGACACGCGAATATCCTGAAGCAAAATACCGACTATGAACCCGATTGCCTAATTAGTGGTGTGGAGGATATTTTATTCTTATTAAAGAGGGACCGAAAAAGCTAATGGTATCGTGTTAGCGATTTCCAGTCTCTTTTAGTCTTCCGTATTAGACTTACACCAAATGCTGAGATGACACCCTGGGTGATTTGTTCCGCAAGGTTTTGACCTTGAAAATCCTTTTTTTAAAAAAAAGTTTTGTTAATAGATTACGAGGACAAACCAATAAAATAACAAAAAATAATAAAAAATAAGACATAAAATGGTTCTTTATTATAAAAAAATGGAAAGATCTTTCTTTAGCTTTTTTAATGACATACAATATGATATTCGATCATGGTAATGGAAGAAGTGTAGGGAATGAAGTGATGACCTGAAGCAACATGAACATGAGTACAGATACAACTCAAATTCCGCTAAAATTACGTTTCTAATTGCCGGCTTTATATCCTAACTAATCGTAATTTTAGCTACTGTTGTGCTATTCGAATATCATTTCACGCTGTTCCTTTCGCACCCGCCTGGCATCCATTCTCTTGCTCATTACCAGCTCACTTACTCGCTCACTTACTCGCTCACTTGCTCTCTCGCCAACATACACATTCACTCATTCACTCATTCACTCATTCACTCATTCACTCATTCACTCATTCACTTGCTCTTTATTAAGCTTGCATTCGGCTCTGTCTTTTTTTTTTTATTCTTTTTTTTTTTTCTCCATTCTCTTTGCATCTTTCTCTCCTTCTTTCTCTCACTCTCACTCTCTCTTCTCTATCTCTTCTCTCTCTCTCTTTCTCTTTCTCTTCCCTTCTCTGTCTCTCTTTTACTTTGTGCTTTACGCTGGTTTTCTTATAGACTACTTTTTTTTTTTTTTTTAATATTACCTCAAACGTCCTATCTGTTTATTCTCCATTACTCTCCGTTTAAGCTCAAACTTAGTCATGTCTACTTCTTTGCTGTTGGAGATGCTTCGTCGCTCCGGACTGGAGCACTTTTACCCAAGGTAAAAGAAAATCATTCAATATAGGCATACCACAGACCAAGCATGCCACATATTCACTTTCACATTCACATTCACACAATTGGTGCACACTTTCTGCATTCTACAAACATTACCATTAAATGTTTGGTATTCAGGTTTCTAAATGTGACATTACTTTGAGCAATGGATTTGACCATGAATGCGTTCAGATAGAGACTTTACTCTGAATAGATTGCTATACATATTCCAAAAATGAACGATGGTGTATTTTGTTGACCTTGTTCATTTTTCTATTCACATGATTTTAGCTTTTCAACGCGCGGAATTACACAGCTTGACAACCTTGTCCAGGTAAGCGAGAGTGCCCTGCAGACATGCCTTTTTCTCTATCCTGCATCATATTACTCTAAATCGTAATGTGCCTGAAATTCGATCGACTTGATAAGTTCTCTTTTAATGCCTTTTACCCTCACTGTCTAACTGTTTGACACCTCGATAGCTGTCTATGCAAGATTATAACTCAGTGGGCGTAACAAGCATGGAGGATCGGAGAAGACTTTTTCAGCTTATTCAAACCATCAAAGCAGAATACCCAGACATATCGGGAGTCATTTCTACGCCCTCATTATCTTCTGCTCCCTCACTTTCGCATTCACCAACAACCTTTTCATCACATGCGCCTTCTGGAGCAGTAAATGTTTTAGATGGATCCGGTTATGGTATGACTGGCGTTACACGAGGCTTTGGTAGTCATTCTATGAGCGATACTACCGCAAAGCAATCTGATCCCAGGGCCTCCGTTGGCCGCCGATCAGGAACAGCTACCGCTAACGCACTAAACTCGTCGGCTATGGGCCATTCCAGAACTATGTCTAATTCTATGGGTTCTTCAGCACAGCAACAGCTGCACCAGGATGACCCTACACAGCAACAGTTACGCCACCAACAACAGATGCAGCAGTTTCATCAGCAACAGTATCAGCAACAGTATCAGCAACAATCACAAATACAATACCAGCAGCAACAATATCACCATCATATTCAACCACAACAGACATTTGATGGAAGAAATTTTAAGGAAGCTTCCGAGGACGAGGAGGACCCTATTCCTGTGCTAGAGTCCAAGCAACGCGGCCTAGATGCATACTCCGTCCCAACAGGGATGGCTCGCGCCAAAGCACTGGGTCGAAATGCCTCTAGCTCCACTGCCAGTGATATGACCGCTAAAATTCGAGTGTGTGTTCGCAAGCGGCCACTTAATAGCAAGGAAATTAACAAAGGAGAGAAGGACATGGCCACAGTCTTGGGGTGCCAATTGGCTGTTGATGAACCAAAGTATGTCTGCGTTTTATTTTTCAGCTTCTATTTATTTATGATCGATAAAACCAGATCTTTGTACTAACTCTTATTCTCTCGCACACACCATCCATTTTATAGGGTTCGTGTAGATATGACCAAGTATATTGAGCGGCACAATTTTATATTTGATGATGTCTTTGACTCTGACGCGACAAACGAAGATGTAAGTTGCCTAGTATTTATAGTCATCGATGTCCATGGATTAGCAGAAATTTTTGATGAAAGATGAGCTAATGTATCCTGCTCCCTACCGTCCTAGGTGTATAGAAGAACAGCCTATCCTCTTGTCCAGTACCTGTTCGAGGGCGGGAAAGCAACGTGTTTTGCATAGTAAGCAGCCAGGCCATATTGCATGTATTAATCCCTCCACGACTTTGTCCAAACATCAGAGCTAACGATTAGTATAAATACCGACTCGATAGTGGGCAAACAGGGAGTGGAAAAACATTCACGATGCTGGATGACAAACAAGGTAAGAAATAGTACCTGGACTGAAAAAAGAAGGGTAGCATTTGGATATAAGTTAAGCAGACTGGTGAACCGCTTTCTGTTTTACATCATTTCATTACTAGGCCTTTACGTTCTGGCTGCGCGTGATATTTTCATTATGCTACGTAAGCCGGAGCACTCTCATTTATCAGCCTATATTGGTTTCTATGAGATTTATCAAGGACATTTGTACGACCTACTTAATAATCGCAAGCGATTAAATCCTCGTGAGGATGGCAAGAGTAACGTTGTGATTTCAGGATTGAAGGAATATGAGATCGTCAATGTGCAAGGACTGATGCAAGTCTTTGAGTATGGAAACAATGTTCGAAGTACAGGCAGTACCAACGCCAATGCTGATTCTTCACGGTCACATGCCATTATGCAGATCGTACTCAAAAACAGAGCCAACAAATCTGTGGAAGGCAAGCTAAGCTTTATTGACCTAGCTGGAAGTGAAAGAGGAGCAGATCGTGGTGAAACGGATGTCAAGACCAGGTACGTGATCCGTTCAATACTATCGTGTTTATTTATACATATACATGCATACATACATATATACATATATACATACACTGGCTCACCACAGTTATGTTTTCTTCGCACATAACAGAATGGAGGGTGCCGAAATCAACAAGAGCTTACTGGCTCTTAAGGAATGTATTCGAGCTCTAGACCAAGACAAGAAGCATACACCATTCCGTCAAAGTAAGCTCACTCAGGTCCTCAAAGACTCGTTTGTCGGCAATTCAAGGACCTGCATGGTTGCTACTATTTCTCCAAATAACTCCAATAGTGAGCACACGCTTAATACTCTTCGCTATGCTGACCGGTAGGGAGACTTGGCGTTGTGATTCTATAACTCTTATTTTAATAGTGTCAATCTGACAACACGTACACATCTATTGTTTGAACTTTATAGTGTAAAGGAGCTGAAAGCAGAAAGTGGTGCGAAGGGTTTAATACAGGAGCATGACACGAACTCGGCACAAGAAGAGTACATGGACGATGTCGAGGGATATGGTGAAGAGTTAGAAGCGAATGTGTATGACGATGATTACTTATCGTCCGAAGGCGAAAATGTAGCGGATGTGACGATAGACTTACTAGAGGATGAGGAATTCCCAGATCTGCTGTTAGATCAGGAAGAGATGTCGCATCATGCATTGGCTACAAGCAGTTACGACCACGAGCTTGAAGATCCAACCTCAAGGCATAGCGGACAGACAGAACTTAATCAGAGCCATCTTCAACAACAGCGGTTCTTTCAACAGCAACAGCCACAATCCTCAGAAGGCGAGCGATCTCGTGAATCAATCTCAAAATCTTTGCGTGAGAGGGAACGTGATGCGCAACAGCCACAGATTGTAAAGACCCGCAAATCGGAAGCCTTTAGTAGGCTACCTATGCCAAGGAGTTCTCAGTCGTCAGGATCTGCGTCTGGCATTCCGACACTACAACATCGCCATTCACAATCCAGCCACTCCAGTCGTAATAATACCAACAATACCTCTCCGCAATTGGGGAATAAATCTCGCGAAGTAAAGTCAAGTCCGTCTGACGTTGTCATGAGCCCTGGAGTCCCAAATGATTATGTCAGCCAGAAGGGAAGTGGTCATACTGTCAGTTCAGGAATGGCCTCTTCTTCTCCAAATCCTATTAAGCACTCTCCGATCAACACTAAGCTTGGGTATCAGTCATCTATGCCATCCAACAATGGACCTATGAGTTCAATAACTGGTAATAATGACCTTAACAACTATATCATGGCCTCGCCTACTTCTCCCAAAATTACGGCGCCATCGATTGTAAACGGCAATGGGAATGCTGATCGAGACTGGACGGTTGCGGAGATGAATGACTTTCTGATTGAACATCGTAATCAGCTACGGGAGTGTGGCGACCTTACGAAGCGAGAGACTAAGCTGTTGGCAAATGTTACCTTAGGGATGTCGTCACCAGCTCATGCTCAGAGCACAGGGTATTCAGTCAACAAGGAGTCGTTCATGAAATACATCAGTGAACTGGACGAAATTGTAGACGAAAAGCTGATTACAATTGTAGCCATGTCACATAAATTAAAAGCATTGCGCGGGCATACGTGAGTTTAATGCAGGTAATATGCAAGGCAAAATGGTTTTGTATTACCAAATCATAAATCCTATAAAACAATAAAACGTAATAAAAATTGACCATTTGAATACAAGAAGGTTTTGAAGCATATGCCTTAAACCGTTAAGTGGGCAGATTTACTTGTGTAGGTAGGAGGATTCATTTTCATCAAGCCCACCAGATAAGCAGCGTAGAAAACCGCCGGTTATTGGCTTCTGACTGCCTTGTACAACGCCACTGATGCTCTAATGCATAGTAACACTGCCAGTATTCGACCTATTCAATACCTTTTTTTTTTTTTTTTTTTTTTTTTAGATGGATGCGTTCGCATTTCCAAGTAAAATCAGCAAAATCACTATATCAGTGATAACAGAACGATGTACAGCATCCATCTTTCACTTGCCCCCACTTCTCTGCGCATCTACTAATCTTCATCTTCTCGCTTCCGTCTCCTGTAAATAAACATAGAAGCAAGTGCTTCCTTTTTCAACTTTTTTTTTTTTTTTTTTTTATTTTTTTTTATTTTTAATTACAGCATGGGCTTATCAGGATTTTTTAAAAGACTCTCCGATTGAGACCTTCCGCAAGCGCTATGGACACCCAGTGAAGAAGAAATGAGATTCCATGGACTGCGGCAAACGACATAAACAAAACACGTGGTTGCACCTGAGGATGCAGTGGATTATATGAAAAAAAAAGGGAGTGGCACTTGGACAATCCGCTCTGTTGTGTGTCGTATCTACCAGGGCTTGAGAGTATCTATGCTCTTATTCGAGGCAACAACGGGTAGCTGTTTGAGGGACTTGGGCCGTTGCTCACAACCTGCAGGCGCGACAGGATCAGATGCGTGCAATGGGTATTCAGAGGCCCTCATGCAGAAAGTCATTATCACGGACAATTCGCCTACGCTAATACCGCAACGCCCATACGGTTTCTATCACACCAACGAAACTCGTTCTCAGTTATTGAAGAAATGAAGCCTTGTAAATGCAGAAACCCATCCTCCTAACGTTTCCTGCTACTCTTTGTAATGAGCGACAACGACCATAGTAGCAATATTCGAGGCGGTGCTCTCACTAGAAACCGTGAGACTATTCGCAAAGCCCTCTAGTTATATCAAGGCTACGCTAGAGGGCTATCGGCATCGTATGCAAAGTACAATGTATCGGACAAGGTCTTGAGGCTCGTTCTTGCTCTGCGAATGAGTTGCTTTCTGAGATTTGTAGTCAAAGAGCTCAAAAAGGTTTTTTACCATTGTTGCCAGGTAGCAGTGTTTATTAAGGCCGCTATCACCGTCGCACAACGTTCCGACCTTACGAATAAAAATGGAGGTGCTCCTGAAGTGCACTCCTAAGCCTCGGTATATACTTCGCATGTAGTGAGATAACTGCGATAAAAACGCTCATTTCAAATTCCACGTTTGAGTTATTCATTATAGGTATTGATGATGCTAAAGCCTGTTGCCACAGCGCGGCGATAAGTAAGCGCAAGAATCGTGGCAGCTAGTATACTGAGCGATCACAACTATGAATGTGTACACGATGATAACCAAATAGCCATCTTTGATATCTAAACAGAGGGCGGAGCCGCTCGCGATATCCCACGGGGGTAAAAACGAATAGGTTCTAGCAGCTTGTAACAGAAGAGAGATGCTCTATGGCCACGAGAGAGCTGATGCTACACAAAATCATCGCTGAACCATCGCATTGCCGCCATTACCCCACCAAAGAGTGTACCGAAAAGAAAACGCGCTAAAAAGAAGGCTGCCAGGGCCAATTAGAAAGAACCGGACCATATAAGGATGAAACTCGAGTAGAAGAACAGAAGAAGCGTCCAAAGGTAATCTTAAGGAGGCCATAGGAGCTGATCAGCAATTCAAAGCCGCGCATCCCGCCGATAGCATCGGTAAGGAGTGCCCTGTACATATGTAATCTCAAATGCAACTCAAAGAGTTCAAGCCCATTGCAGCAACCAGGTTGTGAAGGGCTTCCTCAGTAGTGCCTGAAAGCACCCAAGGCAGCAGTGGCCGAAGACATTGGCCTTCCCCTCACAAGTTATAAGTGAGACAAAAATGGCTTTCATATTCTCGACGTGCTACAGTGCCCATTCTTCAACTAATGAGTTTTTGTTAATAATTGACCATCCTTACACGCTACATTATACTGCGGCTTTCCTCATATAGTTGAACTTTTACAGCACCTATGAAGCACCTCGTCAATCCTGTAGAAAACAATCCTGATGTTTATGGCACAGTCATGGCTAGACTTGAAGAAGCTATTGTGGTAGAGAAAGGCAATGATATCCAGTGGTATGATAACCAGGGTGCTAATGGCAAATCGAGCGGCTCGAATTTTAATTGGTTTCCTCAATTACAGTAATATTGTTAATTAAACCCTTTATATTTGAAAGGACAATCCTGTGGCGTGTTTTTTGGTAAAAGGTTTTGATTCCTGGTTTGGTAGCAACCAAGAAAACGGAATCTACGCATTGCCATGGACACACACAGCTCGACTACTGGGCCAGGACTCAACACTTCATCTAGCTCATCATTCCAGCATGAGGGCGTGCATGGCTCTTCTGGTCTTCAACGAAGATCAAAGCCGACATCCTATTTTGCACACCAGTATAACCAGCACACTTTGTCATATGTGCAGAATCCTAGCTTGAACTTGGTTTCTAATCGATCCACAGCCTTTGTCCAATGGGATGACTCGGAGTTCCCTAACTCTATGGAGGCCGCTAGGTAAAGAAAATTGTAGCTAGCTTCTACTGCTGACATTTTGGGGGCATATCCGGACGGTGTTCTAAAATAACATCAGAACATCCATGGATTCATTTGATCCGCGCAGATATCCAGTCAGCAAAAGAGCCTTAATATCCATTATTATTTCGTATCAAATATCTCTTCGATAGTATGAAACGGACAGCATCATATAGTAGCTTCTTATCTAAAAAACCAGGTCCTATGTTTAAATCCACATTTCAGCACACGCGGGCATTGAGTGGACAGATTCAGTAAGTGCTCTTTTGTCATCCAATGCTCCCTTTATTTATCAGAGCATCACAGCTGACTGTTTTAATATATTATACCGATATTGTAAAGACCACCTGATGTGTATTCTGCCCCACCAGATGATTCACTGCCAACAACTCTTACGAAGACTCCAACGTATGAGTATTATGGATTTGTATTATACTTAGTTTCCGCAATTACCTATGGTAATAAGTGATCTCGTGATATTGATATGTTAGATATGGTAGTTTGAGGCATTCATTAATTGACACGGGTCTCCACTTCTCGAGCTCCCTATATCATTATTTCTAAGATTTCTTATTTCTTTTTGTCATTGCTGTCATTGTGTTATAGCAATGTATTTGGGTTGGGCATACTTGCCAAAAGAAGTCTTAGATTCAATGGGTATAACATATTACCCCAGCAAGTAGGTTACATAGGAGTTTCTGTCTAAAGTGAAAAAATCGATACTCAATCATGTCAGTAGGTGCATACTGCTCACTAACATTTTTGAGCTACCGCTAGGTATTGGTCATTAGCACTTCCCATTTGGTTGTTTGTACTGATTATATATCTTTACATAGCCTTCTTTGCGATCAACCTATACAATACAGCGCCATTTGATTCATTTAATACTATCACAGGTGCGTAGGTTTTCTAATGATCAGTTTTGATCTGTATTTTTTTTTTTTTTATTAATTATTGGTATTTGCAAAATATTCTTATTATTGCTACTCTACTATATAAATACGCATATTCCTTTAGATGAACATGCAAATCAATTCCAGACCATGAACGCTGCGTCCTCGTTGACTGACGATTTTGTGCCAGATTTAATGGATATACCTATTGGAATGGTTAATGCATGCCTATACCAACACATCGAGGGTATCTCGGATGAAGAGGAGGATGGTGAAGCGGATGATGTCGACGAATGTGAATATGAAGAGTCCTACTTTGATGATACAAACTTAAGTGACTGGGATGATCCTTCCGAGATGTGAACCATTCTTAGTTACAAAGCGCTTATCACGTGAGTCGTGGGAATTTTACACCTGATCTTTTTTTTTTTTTTGATCATTCCATTCATTCAATTGTAATTTATTTCCCTTCTCCATATCTTTTTACTTTATTCCATAATTATGCCCACCTTAAAGCATGTCCAGAAGGTTTGGTAAGCATAAAAACTAGGAGTTTTTCTAAAAAATAGACAAATAGGTAACATCTAGATTGGTATAAATATATTATACTGAATAATAACCAATACTTAATTTCAGGACCAATTTTCTGAAAAAAGAGGGCTTCGAAGCCCACACGCTTTCTAGCGTAAGTCTCATGCTTCAGCAAAAAAAGAATGAAACAAAGCCCCCTTGGTAATGGTTTATTTAGTAGTTGGCATGTAAGCCTGATTCTTATGTGAGTAACATGTTTGGTTTTAATTTGGTGATGATCCTTGTAGCTCAGATTGATCTCCGCATCGAAAGGGACCTGTGTAGCAGAGCTCAACGTTGCTTCTCAACACCTGGTAAGAGACACATAAAAGTTTTTCATCTATTCAAAGGGGTTTACTCATTGGCCATTGCACTTCTCAATCTTTAGAACCGACTCGGTGGTTGTCACGGCGGTCTCCTCAGCACCATCGTTGATGTGGGGGGTTCACTAGCCATTGCTGCAAGTGATATGCACGCTACCGGTATTTCTACAGGTGTGATATCCTGTTTTGTGGTTAAAATGAAACGCGGTAGCATGCTTGGAAATAATGCTTAATGACTAACAAATGCTTGGGTTCCAATGTAGATCTCAATGTTTCATTCGTTTCCGGTGCCAAGCTTGGGGATACTTTGTCCATTGTAAATTGACGTATCGCCATGCTTGTTGATATTTGTCCTTTTTTTTTTTTTTTTTTTTTTTTTACTTTTATTCACACATACATATATTATATTTAATCGATTTTATAGATTTCTCGATGTCACAAAGTTGGAGGTTCTCTTGCGTACACAGATGTAGAGATCACAGTGGATGAAAAGGTTATTGCCCTTGGTCGCCACACCAAGTTCGTGCGAATCGCCCATAAAGCCAATGCGCAGAAGAAAATGGATGGCGAGGAATGAGAATATTAAAAACGCTCTGGGACCAGAGTGTTTTGGAGTCCAATATGATCCATTTTATGTTCGCATTTCCTGTTCAACATTGGGGGTTCCCTGCACTGCCTCCATGTTGATCACAAGAAGCTTTCGTACCGTCAGATCATAAATGATTTCCTCAACCTTCTTGATATCATACTAAATAGAATTGTAGTAAAGCATTAGATATATTTATAGATGTTAAAATAAAATAAGAAAATCTCTCAATTAAAGTCGTGATACAAACCTTGATACCATCAAATCGCTTACGAAGCGAGTCGTTTTTCAAGTTCAGCAACTGGAATCCGCTGTAAAGCTCCTTTAGAAATTTCCCGATACGTATTGGACGAGTAAAATCACCGGCTGTTACAGCGTTCACCGCTAAACGAGACTACAGCCAGAAACTGTATACGATTAGCCAATCTTTTTTTTTTTTTTTTTTTTTTTTTTTTTTTGGATCATATGTTTATTACAGTTGAATCTCATAAACATACAAGCTCATTTGTAAGCGAGACAATACCATGGAGGAATTCTTCGATCGAAATTTCAAATCTGGAAATGTCGTTATTGAGATCAACTTTGACTGTCAAGGCGCGATCATGATAAGCACATAGGGGTAATTAATAAATGCTTATTGTACTATGATGAAAATATGAGAGAAGGATAGTAATTGGTTGCGCCTGATAACACTCTCATCTTGTTAGGACTTACCACCAAAAAATCCTTCAAGCTCTTCAACCGTGATCAGGCGCTCATGCTCCAGGTACATCGTCAATGTGGCAAGGAAGCAAGCTTGTTGCATTGGTCCTGACCACAAGCTGTTGTATTTGTAATATTGGTTGACAGGAACTATCTTGGCGACTTCCTGAATATGAGTCTGGATGTCTCCAAAATGAATACGGGCTTGCGCACATAGAGCTGGAACTATGGAAAAAAATGAATCAAGCTGTTGTTACTAAACGGGGCAGACTTATGCATAGACTTCTCCTAAAGTAATATCTGGCTGCTACCTTGCTCTCTGGGACTAGAGTGAACCCTGTTCAGAACAGCTGTAATGTTCCTGTTAGTCCTGTCTAGTTCGCGAACTGCTGTACGGATGTTATCCTTAGTAGCCTATATTTTATGCGCGTTCGTATGAGACGAATGTAATTTCTTTTCACATTTTGTCATAAACGGATCGTGTTCTTACAGCTTCTGCCTCCATGGAGGTCTGGATTGCATCGAAAAATCTAAGATCCACCACGTCCGACATTCTTCGTTTCTGAGAGAAAAGAAGAAGAGACCTGTCGAAATCGGACAACATTAAACATTCAGTGACTGTTCAAATTAGACTATGTGCAATTCTTTTCAATGGAAGAAGCCATTCATTCGTAGGGCAGCTCATACATCTCATTCTTGTTCTCATGTTTAGCGGATACAGCGCTTGGTTTTCACCTGAGCTTGCTTCATACAGAAGTACTTGGAGTAAAGGCACAGCAAGATAAAGAACTATTGTAGTTTCTAAAGTTACTTAAGTTATTGCTGCGTCTGGACTGATAGGTATTCGAATTTCGATTTCTTACAGAAAATAATGGTGGCGAAGAAAAGGAGCTGGCAGAAGCCGATATTGCTTTCATGAATGATCGGTCGCTCTCCAACTCAGATAGGTATGTGCTGTAATAGTTCATATATATCATAAACGTTCATACTCCTGCTCATACCATTAAACCACATTCTGATATGTTTTTCTGGGTTACTCTTCAGAGTCAAGCCAACAATGAAAATCCTTCGGCCAGACTGGATAGAAGGTATATAGTAGAAATAAGACGACTTCATTAGCAGCGGAGGGGACCTTTAACCTAACCATCAGATGTCCCCGCGCCACTATACTTCATAGATTCTGTTAAAGGCAGGAGACGCTTATCTCTAACGCGTTATAAACAAACTTTTCCTGCACTTGAACGTTGGGGTATGTGAAGTGTGTTCACTACGTGGTAGCGCGCCTATGCTTTACTTACTACATAGCAAACATTTGGCTCAGCACTTTTGCTTTGTAGACTCAGCAACTTTTAGTAGAAATTTGGCTGTAGGAATTGATGCCTTCAAAAGCTCCAAGGTACTATCGCTGACATCACCTTCCAAGCATCTCCATCAGCCAGAGGAAGGGATTGCAGACTTGCCAATTACCTCGTTGGAGCATTCATTTAGGCCATCCACACTCAAGGATACGCAGCTCTCTATGCCTGAATCGAGAGAGAGTCAGGAAATGGAGCAGACACAGACACTCAGTTTACTATCGAAGCAAAGTCAAATGGAGCGTGAAAATGCTTCTCCGCTTAGTGATTATGATAGATTTGGGCCCTCGGAGGGAGGTCACTTGGATAGATGGCAGACACGATCAAATATAGAGAACCCTTCGGCACATAGGTCCCATACAAGTCCCTCACTACAATCGATTTCCGCATCTTTGCTACCCAAAACGTCACCCCAATCAGTTCCAAAAAAGAGACGCTTACCAAGCACTATTCGGGGAATTAAGAGGCAAGAAGAGTGTTGTATTAAAAAAATCTAGTTAATCCTGACTTGTAATGCTCCACTAAAGTCTGATGTTATGTTGTTATCTCAAATATCAGCAGGCCATCTCCAGCAATGAAAGACACTAGATTGGATGACGCCTTCTTCGGAAACTCGCAAGTGCTTGATAGATGTTTGGAGTGCATATATCCGGCAGCTATTGAGCTGACTATCTTCATCTGGCCTCATACTGATAAAATATGTATTATATATTTTTTTCTACCGACATAGTGATTCAGATGAGGAGCTATCTGGTGTCGTTAGTAACAATGCTGCGCATACTGCTCTGAAAGGTACAACTCCTGGACAAGAATCATCAAATTTTGGAACCAAGGCGCCGAGTTGCAGGTATATGCTTCATAATATCATCCTGATATACTTCAGCAACAGATGTCTCATCCTCTCGCAAAACAAAACATTCAAATACAACTTTTTTTCTTTGTTAGTCGAAGGTCAGAGCAAGCTGTGGATTATCTAACTCGTATTGTTACTGCAATGGATGGAGAAAAGAAAAGCCTGCTCTCCGATAATCATCCTCAGCTTCACATTATAAATGTTGGCTCTGAGAATATCTTCCTTCGACGGAAAATAAACGATTAGACAAGTGCACTAAATTTATACATGTGCTCCAACACTTCAAGCAGCGCATCAACTGATTATTTATACCATTTGCTGGTGTGGCTTGCCTTTTCTCATTCTATTGGTTACACGGCCGACAATAAAAGGCGCGCTTGTGTTGTAGTTTTTCTTCATCGGTTTCCTTTAGTCCCCTAACACGACTCTACCAGACCGGCTCCTATATTCCTATATTCTCTCTCGCCTTGTTCACACAAACCTACAACACCCTTACTTCCCTTAAACTTTAGTAATCATGCGTGAAGTTATTAGGTATATAAATATGCCTATGTTTATTAATATTGTCCTGTGGTTTTAATGATTATAACGGAATGGCCTGTTGACCATCTTCCCTTGCTTTTTCCATGCAATACATTTCTTTTTCATCAGTATCCATGTCGGACAGGTGAGTAAAATCTAATGTTGAATTCATTACCGCACTTTTTTTTTATTCGAACATGAAGATTCTAAGAGATGATGAGATTAACTGAAATACATCATCTATTCTACTACTGAACTGATTTGCCTCTAGGCCGGTATTCAAATCGGTAACGCCTGTTGGGAGCTCTACTGTTTAGAGCACGGTATTACCCCTGATGGTACCGTGTAAGTATTCATCTAAACATATTTTGGCGCAAGCAAGTCAAATGAAGAAAGATTTTTTTTTTTTTTTTTTTTTTTTTGGCTCACTTGCATTTGACTTTATCAATGGTCAGTGGTCTTTGTTAGATTATTCTTACTAACATTCTTAGTTATCCTATTTGTCGCTCATTCTGTTTTCTATAGTGCCTCAGATAAGCAATCTTCCCAGTTCGACTCATCTTCAAGCACCTTCTTCTCTGAGACTGGTGCTGGCAAGCACGTCCCGCGTGCCAGTAAGCTCTAAATGTCTTTTGTTAGGCTGAAAAATACTTTGAGAGAATGACACGGAGAGTTAAAAAGAGCGATGAGCCCATTATTCATCTTTTTTTTTTTTTTTTTTTTTTGTGAACAACTTAGTTTTCGTTGATCTTGAGGAGACTGTTGTCGATGAGGTTAGACGTGGTACTTACCGTTCGTAAGTGGAATTTAGCAAATACACACAATATTCATACATTAAGCATGCATTCTTGTGTCACCTAACTTGTAACTAACAATGATTGATCCTTATTTTTTTCAGTCTCTTCCATCCTGAGCAATTGATCAGCGGAAAGGAAGACGCCGCCAACAACTACGCTCGTGGTCATTACACTATTGGCAAGGAGCTTGTAGACTCTGTTCTTGACCGTGTCCGCAAGCTTGCTGATGCCTGTACAGGTCTGCAGGGCTTCTTGGTCTTCCACTCCTTCGGTGGCGGTACGGGATCTGGTTTTGGTGCCTTGCTCTTAGAGCGCCTCTCTGTTGATTATGGCAAGAAGTCTAAACTCGAATTTGCTGTCTATCCTGCACCCGAGATGGCCACTTCCGTTGTTGAGCCTTATAACTCCATTTTGACGACCCATACCACTCTTGAGCACACCGACTGCGCCTTCATGGTCGATAACGAGGCTATTTACGACATCTGCCGTAAGAACTTGGATGTCGCTCGTCCTTCGTACACTCATCTCAACCGCATGATTGCCCAGGTTGTTTCGTCCATTACTGCCTCCTTGCGTTTCGTCGGCTCCCTCAATGTCGATTTGACTGAGTTCCAGACCAACTTGGTTCCTTACCCCCGTATTCACTTCCCCTTGGTCACTTATGCCCCGATTTTGTCGGCTAAGAAGGCTTTCCATGAGCAACTCTCTGTCCAAGAGATCACTTCGGCTTGCTTCGAGACCTCCAACCAGATGGTTAAGTGCGACCCTAAGAACGGCAAGTACATGGCATGCTGCTTGTTGTACCGTGGAGATGTCATCCCTAAGGATGTGACTGCAGCTATCGCCAACATTAAGACGAAGCGCACTATTCAGTTCGTCGACTGGTGCCCTACTGGCTTCAAGGTTGGTGTCAATGATCAAGCTCCTAGCGTTGTCCCCGGCGGCGAGGTTGCCAAGGTCAAGCGCGCTGTCTGCATGCTTTCCAACACCACTGCCATCGCTGAGGCCTGGAACCGCCTCGACCACAAGTTTGATCTTATGTACGCCAAGCGTGCCTTCGTCCACTGGTATGTTGGAGAAGGTATGGAGGAGGGTGAGTTCTCTGAGGCCCGTGAGGATTTGGCTGCTTTGGAGAAGGATTATGAGGAGGTCTCCTCTGATTCTATGCAGGATGAGGCAGAGCCTGCTGAGGAGTACTAAGTAGTCTCAAATAGCTGATGCTTTATAATTTTCGCAAGATGTGGATGATCATTAACTTTAATTCCTATTTTGCATTAATTGTGTGAACTTCTAATAAAATATAAAAATGATAGTCTATTCAGTATTATGATTAGTGATTAAGGTGTGGGTGTCACTGCAAAGGTGTTGATCAAGCAACACTCAATTGCTTCTAATATGTCCTGCTCCCATAGACCAAGCTCATAATTGACAAGGCCATACTTTTCAAGTGTATCAGCCCAAGCCTTGACATTATCATACAAATAGTGTAAATGAGGTTCTCGCAAACATTGATCCTCAGAGCGTGCGTTGTTGTAGTGCGAAAAAGCGAAGAGCCAGCAGTTATTGAGTGCTGTCCAAAATCTTGTTTTTTGATTCATTGGGCCTTTGTCCGACACTAAGTCTTTTAATATATTTACACATAAAAATACGGTACATTCAATTGACAACGATTTGTAGTGAAAAGAAAAGAGTGAATGAAATGAGTATGAGATTTACCCAGCTTCTCACAGTTGGTGACAGCCATATCAGTTAGTCTACTGAGCGTATTGAAGCTCTGGAGAATCATTCCTTGGTCAATATATTCGAGTACATTTTGTAGCTCTTCTAGGATCAAGGTCAACTCTTCTGTCACTTCTGAATCGTCCAGTGCAGGTCTATGCGGTCTGTTGTTAGGCGAATTAGGACAAGATATGGTAGTTGCATCCGACTCAGGACTACTTGATCTTGATCTTGAATCGTCCGCAATTGGATCCATCCTCTTTGCACATCATGCGCTGTACTTCCGTTTCATTGTGTTTCTTAGAATAAATGAGTCTCTGTAAGGTGACTGCTGCGTCTGTAAATTTGGCGAACAACCATGGCACTTCATTTTTTTCGTTCCTGCTCTTCAATTGAAGAGAACATATTTACATTAGGCATTGTGAATATTGTAATGGCGAACGAGATGCTCCGAAATATGTACAAATCAAGGCCTCCACCTCTACCACCTCACTTTGGAGACGACGACGACGAGTCTAGTGACGATATCTTGCACAATAGCTTCAGTTCATTAACAGCAGTTCACCCATTCAAAATGAATCGATCCGCTAACTATAGCCTATCCGATCGATATGCGCCTTTAGCTTGGAACGAATACTTTGAAAACAAAAGATATCTAACAGTACCTGGAGACAGAGCAGAGGAAGCTGAAATTACATTCAATATCTATGAGACTCATGGAAACTCTGGAGCTCCTGTATTTGTCATGCATCATGGTGCTGGTCTTAGTGCACTGTCGTTTGCTTTGACAGCGAAGGAAATTAAGAATATTGTGAATAAGGATGCAAGTGTTCTGAGCTTTGATTGTCGTGGCCATGGTACGAAGATGATACACAATAGCAATCAGATCTTTTCCCTTTATTCTACAAGGAGAGGACCAATATACTTGTTATTGGCTCCATTGAGTTTGGTCTGCATCATTTATATACAATATGACTTCACGTAGATTAATACTCATATTGCTTCTTTTCCAAAAAAAAAAAAAAAAAAAAAAAAGGTGAGACTATGTCTAGCGATGACAACAACCTTTCTTTAGATCGATTGGCCAAAGACCTCAAAAATGTTATTCACGCTGTATATGGGGATCATCCCCCGGAAATCATTCTTGTCGGACACAGGTATATTCTCTCTTTAATCTGAGGGCAGTGCATTGTATGTAAGTAGCTGATACAGGTGGCATTAAGCTAATATTGAAAGCCAACTTACCTCGAAATGAATATAGTATGGGTGGAGCTGTCGTCTCAGAGGCAGCATCCCGTGGCATGATCCCAAACCTAATCGGTGTTGCAGTCCTTGATATTGTCGAAGGTTTACTTTTTTCTTGTCTTCAGTTCAATGATTTAATGTCTGTACTTCCTTGTCACAGTAACTTATTTATGCTTATTTTGGCTTGGGTGGTTCAGGTGTAGCTATTGAGACATTGGCTAATATGAATGGATGGCTGGAGAAGCGACCAAACATGTTCCGATCTCTTGATAAGGTTGTTCAATGGGGGTGAGTGGAGCTATTTCATATAGTCAATCTAAAAAGTGCATGCTGCTGGTTTCTCTTCTTGAATTTACAAGATTACCTTGTTGCGACAAATTTTGCCATCCTTGTTGGCTTAATATAGAGTAAAATCAGGGACGGTACGTAATGTCGAATCGGCACGAGTCTCATGTCCATCTTTAGTCATTTTATCTAAAGATTCAACAGTAGAAAATCCATGTTACATCTGGCGTACAGATTTGGCAGCATCGGAGCAATATTGGAAGGAGTGGTTTACTGGATTGACCCAGAAGTTTTTATCAGCGAAAGCAGGAAGGCTGCTAGTCCTTGCAGGTACAGATCGACTAGATAAAGACATGACGATCGCTCAAATGCAAGGCAAATTTCAAATGCTTGTATTCCCAAATTCAGGACACGCAATACAAGAGGACGAGCCTGATCGTATGGCTCATGAGTTGGTCGCGTTTTGGAAAAGAAACGAACGCCTTGTACTCCCACCGCGACCTTTCCTTCCTTAAAATCTTAAAATTAATTAAATAAAAAGTGACTGCTCTGTTCGCGATAAAAAGAAAATCCAATATTCTCTTAGTTCAGGATTGTACACGCCTTGCCGTTCAGAAGTCAAGAGATGGTAGCATCCACAGGAGTAGCTGACAACATCAGGAGCAGTCGCAACACTGCAGACCAGTTCCCTTTGAGTACACCTATTACAACCAATGGGAATGCAGTAGGTAATGTGACACATGGGAAGAAGCCAGCTCATCTGAGCATTGACTCCACAACCGCCAACTCTGCATTCATCCATACCCTCAACTCACAAATTCAGGCTGCAGCTAAGAATAGTGGCAGCAGCAACCGTCCCCAGCAGAGCCAAGGCGCTTCAGCTTCTGGAAGTGATTTTTCATTGACTATTGGCATCGACCGAGCGGCACTCATTGCTCCAGACTTTGACACTGACGAGTTTCTGTCCGCACGCCGACATCTACCTCTTGAGGAACTCAAATCTCAGGTATGTAAGGAGTACATACTATATATCATGAGATTGTAACCATCATAAACAAACAAAGTCATTATTATAAGACTTTAGTTCGCGTTTATTCGGTACGAAGATATGGACGGTATTTCATCTTAATTGACAACTTTCGCTTTTATCCTCTTTCTTATGATAATAATCATATGCTATATCTAATGGAATAGCTCATTTCTCATATGAAAGAGCTGAAAACAGAGCTCATTGAGTTAATCAACAGTGACTATGCTGATTTTATTAATCTTTCAACCAATCTCAATGGCGTGGATCGTATGATGGAGGACCTTCGGAAACCGCTAGATCGAATGAAAGGAGATACTATCGTATGCTGTATTTAATTTGCGGAGCCATCTCTATGTGTTTATGTACACAGATACATATGTCATATGCCATGCCTAATTACAAGTTATTACTGTTTCCATCATTGAAATTTATTCGAGTAGATTGTTAGATCTAACTTTCAATCAGTAATCGATAGTTTACAGCAAAAACTTCAGCATCGTACTGAGATTCGGGAGAGAAAAGCTAGTCTTCAATTATTGGTCAATATATCTGAATCTGTTGCTAAAGTTGAAGGACTTTTGCAGATCTCGAGCACCTCTGAAGGCAGTGTAGTACTTAGAGATGGCAGCGGAAGGTATTGAATAGTAACAAAGTGGAATACCATGCTCGGAACGATGCACAATCGAATCACTAACTCTAATACGTTATAGTCCTAGCGATAGCATAAGTGTGGCAAAGCGCTTGGAACGTGTAGCAATCGAGTATAATAAGCTGCAATATCTTGTTAGCAAAGGAGCCGACCTACCTTTTGTTACTAGTATCGATTGGGTAAATTGAGCAGTTATAAAGCATGATCATTCTATGGTATTTACGTAATTAATCTGTTGATTGATTGTCTGCTTTGCCTTACTTATTGTTATAGCGTTTAGCCAGGATCAAAGAGACTATGAGTGAAAATCTCTCGACTGTCTTGCGTTCATGCATTAAGTCTAGCCATCGAGACGAAGGAGGGATGTTGATCAAAAATGAATCGATGTCGCAGTGCCTCAGAACTTATGCATTGATTGATCAGACGGCAGAGGCTGAGAAAGTCATTACTGAAGAGCTTCTTGTCCCATTCATTAGCAAGGTTTATATTGGGCCAGATTTCATTATCCTGAATGATATAACGCTTAGAACAGCCATATTAATACAGAAACACCTTTTTTTTGCTTGTAGACCATCACTCGGGCAGCTCTCACGGATTCGTCACGTAACCAACATGCCAAGTCTGGTCAAAATCAGCAGAGACCACTTACTATAATATACAATCAAATTCTCACTTTTATTGACTCTCACTGCAGCACCTTACTTTATATCACGCAAAAGGAGCTCAAAGGGACAAATTTTGACATTCCTGTCAATTGCATATGGGGCATCACTACTCAGTCTATTCTTAAAAATATCCCTCAGATCCTATTGCCTGGGATACCAGATGAATTTCATCGTAACTATACAGATACTATGGACTTTGTCTCAAAAATCGAAGAGTTGTGTGGGACCCACAAATCACTAGCACGGCTAAGGTCACAAGCTAATTATCAGGCATTCATGAAGCGGTGGCAGCTTCCAGCATACTTCCAGCTTCGGTTTCGAGAAATATCTTTACCGGTAGAGGATGTGCTCCAAATGACAGCTGATAACAGTCAGCGGTATTCCAGTAACAATGGTAATGTATTAACAAGGATATTTTTCGAGGTAGCAGTAGAATGTACTGATAAGATATCCTACAAATCGAAATGCGCATATACCTAACAGAGTATTTGATAATTGTCAAAAATAGTACATCTTCCGGCAAGCGTTGCTATTATTCATGCCATCGAGCGATGCTGGTCTTCGAATGTGTTTATCTACGGAATAGCACATAGATTCTGGAGATTTACTTTGCAACTTTTGGCAAGATACTCCATATGGATATCTATTAATCTAGCCAAGGACCTTGACACACCGAAGGATAAACCGGTTCAGGCATGAATAGTATAATGGGATGCATCATCTATGTAGTTTTCATCGATATCCACTAATGCTAGTTGTACTAATTTTTTTCTTTTTTCTCTTTTGTTCTTAGTCAAGATCATCATCGCCAGCTCCTGGGTCAGGTGGTAGCACGAGCTGGCAGCAAACTCGCACAATGCCCTCTGCAGGGGGGCTTCTTCGACCTCCAAGCTCTGCTAGCCGAGCATCTCTTGAAGAAACAACGCTACAGCAACTTTCCATGATTGTCAATGACATTGACCATGTAGTTACTCGTGTCAGGGGGATTTTTGATCAGGATATTCGACCAAAATTACCAGTCTCAATCGCGGATGAACCGACCTTAACGGCATCCTTTAATCAAAGCTTAGAAGCTATTCGGCGTGATGTACCCACAGTACAACAGCGGATCACAGATCTCATTACAAGGCACTGCGTTGATACATTAGCTAGTGTTAAAAGTATCAATGTCCGAGCAAGTGAAGGGGTTCCTCGTGAGCCTTCTCAATTTGTCCCATTGGTTTTGGCACCGCTTTCAAGATATATTTCAGGATCTGGCGCAGTCCTTAATAACAAATCTAGAGATGCATGGGCTAAAGAGGTTATTGTCACCACTACGAACCAATATAGCGCCATTTTAGCAGAGCGCTTGCTTGATATTAAGCTCTCAGAGGAAGCAACCAACAAACTGAAGGCAGCAGCTAAATCCCGAGGGGGTATTATGTCAAGAACACCAGTATTGCCCAATATCTTTTCAACGAGCACATCCGAAGCTGACCCTAATATGTCTACAAGCGATAAACTGAGATTACAATTTGTATTGGATGTGGAATGTTATCGAAACGAGGCAAGTTTTAATTTTATTTTATATTATTTTTTATTTATGTTAATGACATTAAGATTTCATAACCCTCATAATTATTTCATTCTTTTATTTAATGCAGCTGATAAAGTTTGATATCGACCCACAAACGTTTCAGCCCTTTCTAGACCTTCGAGCCAATGTACAGCCCTATGAAAGTTTACTCAAAAATTCTAGTAAACAGTAGATTATAAATAATAAACAGGAGCTGAAATATGATACAGCATAGTGAAATAGTTTATCTCTTACAAAAATTTAAATTGAGAACGCAGTTAGTCGCGGTTAATGGTAAATAGAACCTCTTTCTCTGGATGATATATATGATTAAGTCAAGCAGCTGAATTCTACTGAACAACTCTCGAAAAGTTTGCCTCTACGACCTCGGCTCCTGCAAGATGAGTACATTTGTTCTAGATCAACTTATTGATTGCCTGGGTCACGAAGCTTGTGTTAGATATGAGGGTTAACTTTCCATTACAGTTGTATCCTTATTACTTCTTTTTAATTTCCAGGATACCTTGGACGGTGTCCATCCCAATATTACAAACTTTAAGCGCAAGCGCAATAGTCGACTTTAGCAATAATCATGATGTATATTTACGTCAAAGCTATTGCATAGTTGAAAGAAAATCAAATAAAGCTCTGTGATATGGGGCACAAGACGCATCTGCAAGCAGAGGTTCGCTAATTGGTTGAAAGGTCGATTCGGCGTGCTCCAGACCTAATATCATGGATGCTGACGAAAATCAATTAGTTTTTATCTGTCCTGGCTCTTAACGACAATGGAATTATTCATTCATGAGTGTAACCACCAAACTTGCAATACGGATCATATGATGTTAATCGTTGCGAGGGCTTTCTCGCTTCCATGCAAGAACTTGGACGTGGAATCCGTGGATGGTTTGGCGGATGTAGTCAGATCATTCCTCGGATAGATGATAATGCCTTAGTTTTATTGTTTAAGGCTGTTAAGAGCGTATGGAGTCAGTTGCTTGATACGGTCTGAGAAATCTGAAATATTTATAATTTTGAACTTCGCCCAAAGTGGTAAATTCACAAAATGGCCCACAGGATGGCGGAGACATTAATCACCTGCTAACACATGGCCAAAGCAAGCCGAGTCACAAAGAGCCATTTTGTTCAACCCATCCAAACCATTGCTCTCATTCTTACACCTCCAGATTTCTATCATATCCTTGTTTCTCTCTCTCTTACACGTCAGACATGGATCGCACCGCAGAATTCTTTTCGACAGTCGAGTCGCTACTGTCTAGAGCTCAGCCTCATCTGCCATTGGATAAGCGCAGACTGCTCTCGCCAATTGAACAACAGAAATCATTGTCACTTTCCTCAGGCGCTCATGGCTCAAAAAGACAACAGCCAGAATTCACCCTAATGGCCTCGATCATCAAGAAAGATTTGCAGGCAATGTCTATGAAGCTTCAAAAGCTGGCGAAACGTAATCATCCTTAAAAGAGCACATCATTATGGCGATTACTTTATGCTTGAACTTGATAATAGGATAGCAAACTGACGAATTATGAATTTATTGGGCTACATGTGAACAGTTGCCAAGCGCAGGACTTTGTTTGATGATAGACCTGTTGAAATTACAGTAGGCTGAACATTTGGTTATTTTCTCTCCCTTTTTTTTTTTTTTTTTTTTTTTTGCAACCTAATCAATAATGTTTTATGTGTTAATATCCTAAATACTCTTGATACCAACCTTATATGAATTTTTTTGCTCTCATATTTGTTAGGAACTCATCTACATTGTTAAGCAGGATATAGCCAAGCTCAACAAACAGATTGCACAGCTACAGAGCTATGTCAAGGAGCAAACTCACAAGGCGAGCAACAGCTGCCGACAAGCCATGGAGCACCACTCAAATGCTGTAGTAATGCTCCAATCACAATTAGCAGCACAGACTTCAACGTTTAAGGATGTCCTAGAGCTTCGTACTGAGAATATGAAGGCTTCTAAAGATCGACGAGAGCAATTTATGTTTACGACGCAACAGCAGAGCAATACCTTTGCTAGTAAGGACATAGTGTTAGCTGTTTTGTCCATATAGTCCATTTTCTATTGTATAGTATCTACAGCTGAACAATGAATATGGGTATCTGATATATATCTGGGGTTCTTTTTTTTACTTTAGGTGATTCTCCTTTGTATAACTTTGATCGACGTGCAACGTCTAGCACCGAACCACCCAAAGACATACTTTCACTGGATTTGACAACGCCATCACAGACACTTCATCAACAGCAAGTTCAGGAACAAGCTCAGCTGGTCGACTCAAGCAACGACTATCTTCAGAGTCGATCAGCAGCTGTGGAGTCGATCGAGTCCACGCTTCAGGAACTCGGTGGTATTTTTCAACAACTTGCGCAGATGGTGTCGGAGCAAAGAGATATGGTTCAAAGGTAAAAATAAGTTCGACAAACACTGTTTTCAACAAACAGCTCGTATGCACAAAAAGTTTGAGAATATAAAGGACGCTTTTTGACTTTTTTTTTTTTTTTTTTTTTTTCTTTTTCTGACGATGAAAGGATTGATGCCAACACGGATGATATTGAGTCAAATGTGTCAGGAGCTCAGACAGAGTTATTGAAGTATTACAGTTATGTCTCATCCAATCGTTGGCTCATGGTCAAGGTCTTTGCGGTCTTGATTTCATCTGCTGTTACATTGTCAGTCCTGTCGTAATAAATATTGATTTTTGAATAAGCCTCTTGGCATTGGCCACAGCTGTTGGGAGAATTGCGCTTTTTATTTTTATTTTTTTATTTTTATTTTTATTTTATTTTTTATTGCCTCTTTAGAAGTGAAGAAGCTCTGTGATGTGTGATTGTTTTGGTAGCAGTAGATGCAGGTAAGATTAACAGCAATCTAATTGCTAAAGACATATCATAGGAAAGGCAAATTTCTTATCCATTTATCCATTTCGCCTTTCTAGAGCCTTTCCTATTTTGTTTGTTTGATTCTTAGTAGATAAGTGAATGCGAATGTATTGCTGCTGTCATGTCGGAACAAAAATCGAACAGAAAGAGTCTATGTAAAATCAAGGTGACGAAAATGATGAAAAGAAGAAAAGTATTGACTACCCCTTGGACCGAAAGAACTAAACAATTGTGCGGACTCTTGGCAATCATGCGGCTCTAAAAAAAATTGGGTTAACTGAGAAGTGAGGAGGGGAATGTCAAATATCCACTTAGCAGCTACAATGTAGGAACGCTCCATGGGAAGCGTATTTTACATTTGAATGTAATCCAGCAGGGTTCTTTCGAGGATGAAACGCCCCTCCTTGTAACGTTGGTCAGTCTCATATGCTACAAGCTATTGACATTAATGTAGGAGGTGTGGAAAGTTGATTGGGAATAGCACACACAGAAGAAAATGGGAAAATAAAGTTAGAGTCAGTGGTCCTCTCCGCCTATTAAAATTGTATTATAGATTACATGGTGGTGAGAGTGAGCGAACTAGTCACAACTCTGAAATTATTTAATTTCATCTTCCAATCACGAAAAAAGGCTGTTCCTTCTTTTGACTTCAACCCTGAAAGGAAGGTCCATAGAAGTTAAGAACTTACGTATTTCCACCCCACAACAGTTGAGCATTCAGCACAGTGGATGTCCTGGACAGTATGTAACCCTGTCCTCATTTTCCTATCTTCCGCTTCGCCTGCATAGACATTAATCCTATTTGGTTGTCAAAGTCAGACAGATAGGAAAGAGAAAGGGAAGTGAATTAGCCCAACAAAAAGAGCAGTCAGTCAATAGAACACACGCCGCCCACATTGAGGCTTCGAATCATCAGTAGAAGCTTTAATTACACATTCGAGAAAAGGTACGCCTTTCCGTATTGGCCGTAAAAACGCTACAGATGCAAGTAACAACAATAGAATGTCAGAGGAAGGGAAGAAAGAAAAATAAAGAAATACTGGTCAATAAGTATATTCCTCGTGCCTTTTTTTACTCATTAAATCATTCTCCCGAACTTAATTTTATTCCCAACACAGGAGCATCTCCACTCCTCGTATTGTTACAACACATATAGTAAAATTGACGGCCCATCACAACTATCTAGTAAAATATACAAAATAAAAAAAGATACCGACTTACTCTGTCAAGGATGTGATCGTATGTGGCAAAGTGTGTCTTGCACGAGTTGCAAACAAGGATCTTTCCTCCGCTTTCCACGTGCAGATAGTTCTTGTATACAATTCCCATTGGAAAAGAAGGGATAGTAACGAGCGGCGTGGGTATTCCGAGGGAGGGCTCACGAAAAGTGTCAGAGGGCTTTCGTAGAGGTCTTTTCCTTCTATTTGTCTAAACTCCTCCGGACAAAAAAAAATGTTTTGTAGTTTCTGAAAGGGCTGCGATAATAAAATGTGGTTCAGTAAAGGATGGTAAAGTATAAGAAAATCGAGGTCGGGATACGCTGTATGCTGTATTTGAAGAAAAAGGAGCAAGGGTATCAAGTTTCGTTCTTTTGTTTGACGTGTGTTCTTTTTCCGCTATCAGGGTTGAAGGAGTGGGTTGGGCAGAGTAGCGAGTGGTATGCGGGAGAAGATGGTCTGAGGCTATGGAGCAAAGTCGCCCAGCTGACAGAGTTATGACGGGGTCAAGGGCAAGAAGAAAGGAGGGGAGTAACAAAGAGGAAAGTATCGTGTGTATGTGTCAAAGGTCAAAAAAAGCAGAAAAAAGTCACGGGTGGCGAAGCAAGCATGGTTAACGTGATCCTGTGAAGGATTGGCCGAACATTCATATCCTGTTTGCTGATCCCCAAAGTGCACCCACCATACATGCATTTCAGGCGGCAGAATGTCCTAATCCTGTATCCAGATCGACTGAAACAGAACAGTCAGTCTGCTACTGAAAATTATGAAGTCATCGAGTTTCGGTTACTTCTTTGCTTTCGCTCTATTCCCCTCTTTTCTTCCTGCTTTACTTCAATTAACTACAATTATTCTTCAACTTTTTTCTACATTCAACTCATTGCACCATGTCGCTGCCATATACTATGGTTTTTACTTTGTTAATGACCGAGGCAAGTCTGCTGTCTAGTTTTATTATATTTATCGCTTCTTTCTTGACCTATCTTAATCGAACAAGCAATCAAACTGATTCAACCGTTTTGTCTCTTTGTTGGAATGTACTCATTTATAGATGGTCGTTTTCATCTTTCTGATTGTAAGTTAGTTGCCATTCCATGAACTGCTCCAAGCGGCATGGGATCTATTTGTTTTATTATAAGAGACTAATATACTGCTTTACGCGTTTCTATTTGGTTTGGATAATAGCTGCCTTTGCCATTTAAGTGGAGAAGAGGGCTACTCAAGTTTCTCGCTGAGTCTCCATTCATGGGAAGCGTCCAATATGTGATGAAAATTGTTTTCATGTAGGAAATAGGTTTATAACTCTCAATTATTCCAATGTATGATGTATGATATGTAAACTTATTAATCTAATGCCATTGACTTTTTATTTTATTTTATTTTATTTTATTTTCTATTTTATTTATCTATTTATTTTTCCCGCGTTCTTCCTTGGTTGAACATAGCTTTGTCTTCATTCTTTTCATCGGTATTTAGCTCGGTGTTTGAACTTCAGAAATAGTGATGGTTGCCTTAGTTTCAGGCTTGTATGTAGTTGTGTATATCTTATGTCATTTGTCCTTCTGAATCACTGTCACGATGATAGATTCTTTGAACCGTGTCATTAAGGTTGAGGAAATCAAGGAAAACACTTATCCGCACCATGGCCATGGGGCGGAAACTAATGTCGCTGCCCGTCGCTTCTATGCTCAGCGAAATATGTAATTATTTGTATCCTAGTAGATGACCGTTACTTATTAGTAGAGCCTTTGTTGAGTGATTTCGTTACGTGATGTCTAATATGTCACTTTTGTATTTTATTTAACCTCGGCTAGGTATCTTACCGGATTCACGCTGTTCTTGTCACTCATTTTGAACCGGACATTCTTCTTGATCCTGGATCTTCTTAAGAGCGAGGAGAAGATGGAGGTTATCAAGAAGCAGGTAATGAGCTGATGCCCTCTATTATGACACATTCTTTACCAATGAAGTTTATCATTTATAAACTCACTCTTACTTGTAAAAATGAATCAAATTGTGCTTACTAGGCTTCTCAGCAAAGTAAGGAGTACGAGCGCGTGCTCGAGTCTGAGACCAAGCTGAAAAAGGAGATCAAGGATCTGTCTGAAATTGTTGCTAGCCATGCAGGAGCCAAACGTGACCTTGAGAACCTGCAAAAGCAAGCCACACAACAGCAGAAAGAATATCTCCGCATGGCGGACGAGAATAATGCCATGGAAATGAAGCTCTTAGGCACAAAATCTGAATTGAAAAAAGATATTTGAACAGTTTGCATCATAAACCTTTTTACTAAAGTAAACTTAGCAAAGTCTACATCGATATCCTCATGCGTGGTTTTTTCTACATGTATTGCTTTTATCTGCTGACTATTTGTGTAACCTGGTACAACTGTATATTGCAAATACAATGTCCAGGTTGAATTGGTTATTGTGAACAATTCGCCATGAAAAATTTGACTGAATATTACCTGAAATGTTTACAAGCCTTTTTTTTGTGTGTGTGTCCGTGACTACAACGGGAAATAAGTTGGACAAAATAAGCTTTGCAGCTACTGTAGCAATACGTGACAATTCACGTACAGACTCATTCAGTTATTTTACACGCCTTGAAACCAAATTTTTTGTTTCAACGGTCAGGGCTCAGTTCGCCACTTTGATTCGTACGAAAAGAAGGAGGAAGCATATTCAAAGAATAGGGGTCAGGAACAGAGATGGAGAGATATTCACGCATCCACAAACACATAAACATCTCCCGCCTGTTTGGATTTTGAGGGGGACCTCCTATCACACGGTGTAAACCAATTACACTGGTATACAAACTAGACAAGCCAAAAAAAAAGATCCCGCAAACGGTTAGTGTATAGTGCATACTACAGGTTCACCACAAACGGGTAAAAAAAAGCTTTCCAGTTAGCCTTTTTTTTTTTTTTTTTTTTTTTTTTTTTTTTCCTCTTCACCCTTCACTCTTCATCCCCTCCTTCTTCACCATCACTCATCATTCATCATCTCACCATCTCACCATCAGAAAGACACAGTTATAGCAATTGTAGTCAGCCCCTGGTGTGTGTTCCCTTATTTTATTTTATTTATTGTTATTTTATTATATTTTTTATTGGTCGGTGATTCCTGTCGAATTAGTTCGCTGTCGATCATCATCTCGACATTCAAGTGAGACAAGGAGTCAGACCACTACCCTCTTTCCTGAAGTGTTTTCAAGAATATAGGTATGACATCGCGATCGGAATAACATTAACATTATTCTTTAATTGGAAGGACAAGGGAAAAACATTTTGAACAGATAAAAAAAAACGTGGAAGTGATGCTTGTGCGCTGCAGCATTGAAGAACAATAGGCCACTGCTTATTTATTTGAGCACTTCTCTCTGAGAGTTTATAAGAAGTAAATTTGTGAGACTGAGATTTCTCTGTTAGTAGGCTCATCAGCAGTTGAAGTAACGGTACTTGGCATTTCATGGACTACCAAGACAGAATGAATTTCGGATGTTAGAAAGTGATGGAGTAAAAAGATTCTTAATCTATTATGGAAGTTACTCTTTTTTTTTTTTTTTTTTTTTTTTTTGTATATCATTCATGAAAGTAATATCTTGAAAGTTTTCCTTACCACCTTCTATGTCTTTTTTGGGACGAGTACCAGGAGTACATAATGATAATAATAGGGGAATTAATAATGCCCATTTCTTTATGTTCCCATTTGTCATACTATACAATATCCATTCCATGTCTACGTTTTGGAAATGACCAACTCCTGTCAAAGGGCAGGGAACATGACTAGTGGCAGGGGTGCATGGTGTGTTTTTATGCACATTAAAAATGTGGTTTTCATGCGATTGAGAGTCCTGTACAAACTGATGAATAGAGCTGATACCAGAAGGGACCACTGATTTCTTGTGATCCTGTTGATCTGGCTGTAACCCGTGGCTAGTCAGTTTATTCTTTTCCCAAGATGTTTACCCTACTAGCGTCTTCTTTCTAATTCTTTTGTCACTTGAGAACGGCATAGCTTCACATATGATAGCAGTGACTAATTTTGAACTTTCGATACATCCATCTATAGACCATTATTTTTATTAAAATATGTCGTTGGATGCTTATGTCAAGGGCACAAACTGCTGGTTCACAGACGATAAGGAGGGCTGGATCAGCGCTGCCCTCACCACCAAAGAGGAAACTCCTGATGGCAAGGTCACTCTAAAGTTTGTGGATGATAATGGAAAGGTAATTTTCGGAAGCATAGTTTTATTGAATAAAACATACTGGACAAAGTTTATACCTTGACTATATCCTCATTAATTTACATCTCTCTTTGATGTAATCAATAATAAAGGAACATTCCTTCTCATCAACGCTGGCCAAGATTCAGCAAACTAATGGTGCTGACCTCCCTCCCATGCGTAATCCTCCACTCCTTGAGGGTACAGAGGATCTTACGAACCTTTCATATCTCAACGAACCTGCCGGTATGTGCGCTTTCCACTAGAAAAAGTATATTTTGTGATGCGTGCTTAATTGAGAATGAGTTGATTAGTAATCTTGTTTTGCTCATCTATGCAACCACCACAGTCCTGAGCAACATTAGAACTCGCTACTCGCATTGCAACATCTATACGTACTCTGGAATCGTCCTTATTGCTGCAAATCCTTTCGCTCGGGTCAACCTCTACACTCAAGATATCATCCAGGCCTACTCAGGCAGGAGACGTGGTGAACTGGAACCTCATTTGTTTGCAATTGCGGAGGATGCATACCGATGCATGATTCGTGATGAGAAGAATCAGACCATTGTCGTCTCTGGAGAGAGGTAAGACAAATTCCATTTTCATTGTATATTACAATTTTTCTTAGTACGAATGTATTAATCAGTTTTATGTTGTTTCCGAAATAGTGGTGCTGGTAAGACTGTCAGCGCCAAGTTTATCATGCGCTACTTTGCCACAGCAGACGATAGCGAGCGTGGTACAGATTCCTCTAAGACTGGCATGAGTGAAACGGAAGAGCAGATCCTGGCTACCAACCCTATCATGGAAGCCTTTGGTAACGCTAAGACTACCCGTAACGATAACTCGTCCCGCTTCGGAAAATTCACAGAGATCCAATTCGACAAAGAGCGTAATATTATTGGAGCGAAGATTAGGACCTATCTTCTTGAGCGATCTCGTCTTGTCTATCAGCCAGAGCATGAGCGAAACTACCATATCTTCTATCAACTTGTCGCTGGTGCGCCACCATCAGAGAAGAAGGAGCTTGACCTCCAGTCTATTCCACAATTCCATTATCTCAAGCAAGGCGGTGTTCAGACCATTAATGGTGTGGATGATGCCGCTGAATTCGAAATCACCCAGCGTGCACTTTCGACGATTGGAATTTCAGTCCAGTCTCAATGGGATATCTTCCGTCTGTTAGCTGCCCTTCTTCACATCGGTAACATTCAGGTCACAGGCAGAAATGAAGCCGTTATTTCAGAAGACGATCCTTCCTTGATTACCGCTACTCGCATCCTTGGTATTCCTCTAAGCGAGTTCAAAAAATGGCTTGTCAAGAAGCAGATTACGACACGCTCTGAAAAGATTGTCTCCAGCTTGAAAGTTGATCAGAGTTTAATCGTTCGCGACTCTGTGGCCAAATACATCTACTCATCCCTGTTTGACTGGCTCGTCAATAACATCAACTCCAGTCTTTCAAGCGAGGCCGTTGCGAGCAGGATTCATTCCTTCATTGGCGTGTTGGATATCTATGGTTTTGAACATTTCAAGAAGAACTCGTTCGAGCAGTTCTGTATTAACTATGCCAATGAGAAGCTTCAACAGGAGTTCAATCAACACGTCTTCAAGCTGGAACAAGAGGAGTACGTCCGCGAAAAGATTGATTGGAAGTTTATCGAATTTAGTGATAACCAACCTTGTATTGAGATGATTGAGGGCAAATTGGGAGTTCTTTCACTCCTTGATGAGGAGAGTCGTTTGCCTGCTGGTTCAGATCAGAGCTGGTGCAACAAACTCTTTACTCAGCTTGGCACTGAAAAGCATAAGAAGTGGTTCACCAAGCCTCGCTTCTCCAATACGGCATTCACAATCTCACATTACGCCCACGATGTCACATATGATTGTGAAGGTTTCCTCGAGAAGAATCGCGATACTCTCCCTGACGAATTGCTAAATCTCATCAAGAACTCTGAAAACGAACTCTTGGAGGAGGTTCTTATGACTAGTGCTACTCTTGGCGCTGGAGGAAGTGTAAGTATAATGTGTTTAACCTTAACACTACACTCGAATGATAGCTTATCTTTTACTAATTTTTTTTTTTGTCTCACCTTGCCCTACTGAATAGTTGACTGAAGATAAGCGTAAGAGTGTCATCAACAGAAAGCCAACCCTCGGCTCCATCTTCAAGGGTTCACTCATCCAGCTTATGGATACTATCAACTCCACTAATGTACATTACATCCGTTGTCTCAAACCCAACGAGGCTAAGCAGCCATGGGCGTTTGATGCTCCCATGGTGCTTGGTCAGTTAAGAGCCTGCGGTGTCTTGGAAACAATCCGTATCAGTTGTGCTGGCTATCCTTCTCGCTGGTCCTTCCCTGAGTTTGTGGAGCGCTACTATATGCTTGTCAACTCTGAACACTGGGGCTTTGACACCCAAAAAATGTGTTCTGCCATTCTTGAGGCAACTATTAAGGAAGCTGATAAATACCAAGTCGGCCTTACCAAGATTTTCTTCCGCGCTGGTCTGTTGGCATATATGGAGAAACTCCGTACTGACAAACTGAATGCCTATGCAACATTGATCCAGAAGAATTTGCGCCGCTTCGTCTGCCAAAAGAAATATCATCGCCAGCGCAATGCCGCGATCAAGATTCAGGCATTTGCTCGCAGAATCATTGCTCAAAAAGAGGCCCGAAAGCTTCGCGAAGAACGTTCTGCCATTATGCTCCAGACGTTCCTGCGTGGTTATGTTCAGCGCAAGAAGTATGTTGAAACCCGCAACCACATTCTTCGTATCCAATGCGCTATTCGTGCTAAGCATGCTCGCCTCGCCTTCCAGAAGATGCGCGAGACTAACGCCGCGACCATGATTCAGCAAGTCTGGCGCGGTATTCAGGCTCGTGCCCACCACAAGAAGGAAATTCGCGCTATCATTCTGGTGCAGTCTTGTATCCGCCGTAGCAGGGCTCGCAAGGCTCTTCTGGAGCTCAAGGCAGAGGCTCGTTCTGTGAACCATTTGAAGGAGGTATCATACCGTCTCGAAGGAAAGGTAGTAGAGTTGACGCGTGCCTTGGACTTGGCGAACCAACAGAACAAATCATTTGATGCCCAGGTAGCGAGTCTTGAGAACCAAGTCCGATTGTGGAAAGAGAAGTATGAACTGTCACAGCAAACCAGTGCGAGGGAGCTCGCCCTTGCTGCTGAGAATCCGACAGTACCCAAGAACGAGTTCGAAACACTCAAGGCAGCAAACGTTGAGCTTGAGTCCAAGTACAACGCATCGGTCGAGAAGGTGAGGACGCTTGATCAAGAAATCAGCAAACTTACAGAATCCCTTGCAAAGACCAAGGAAGAAATTCAAAAGCTGGCCGCTCAAGCAAAGGCCAAGCCAGAGGATTCCGAAACAGTCACAGCACTCAGACGTGAGAACCAATACGTCCGCGAACAGTTGGCTCAACTGTCGAAGGCCACCGGACGCGACACGTCTAGTTTCCCAGTCTCATCCAAAGTAATGGCTGCACCCACTAGCGGGCATGCCCAGACTCACACCACCCCCCCAACCCACAATCATCTTGCTCAAGATACAATTGACAAGTACGAAAACTCATACTCGTTCACCAAGGATACCCCGCACAAGATCGTTACAGCGTTCCCTCCTATTCCTCACTCAAATAATCTTGCTCCTAAGATTATTGGTCGCCACCGCAGCAACAGCACACCTGACATTGCTTCGCTTGAGAATGGCGTTCTTTTCAGGCCTCAAAAGACAACAAACAGTGTCTTTGACAACCTTGACAACCATAGTCGCACCGCTAAGACTATGTCAGGCGACGACTGGTCCAGACGCATTAATCGCTCACGTCCAAGCATTCACAGTATGGTCGAACAACCCGAGGTTGAGATTATGCATATCTTAGAGGATGAGGAAGGACTTCAGGAAGAAGTTTTGAATGGTTTAATCAAGAATATGAAGATTCCTTCACCCAGTCTTTCAAATTTGCCATTGATCAAGGAGATTATGTTCCCCGCTCATATGATTGGCCTCTTGACCACGCAGATGTGGAGATATGGCTACATCAAGGAGTCGGAACGCCTCATGATCAACGTGATGCAAGCCGTTCAGCAGCAGTCCATGGCAATTGTTGGAGACGATACCATCATTCCCTGCGCCTACTGGCTTTCGAACGTGCACGAGCTCTTATCTTATATCTGCATTAGCGAACAAGAAATTACTCGTGAGGAACTCGTCGCTCGCTGTGGTGAGCATTATGACTGGGCTGAGTACGAACAGCTGGTATCAACAGTCAAATACGAATTGGAATGCCTTGAATACAACATCTTCCACGTCTGGATGAAGTCGCTCAAGAAGCAACTTAATAAGATGATTATTCCCGCCATTATCGAAAGTCAAGCACTTCCCGGCTTTATCACCAGTGACTCTGGACGTTTCTTTAACAAGCTTATGGGCTCCGGTCCCAGCTTCAGCATGGATGACTTGTTGATGCTGTTCAACAAGATTTGGAAGGCTATGAGCTGCTACTATGTCGAACACAGTGTGGTTCGCCAGGTCATGACTGAGCTCCTCAAAATGGTTGGCGTTACAGGATTCAACGATCTGTTGATGCGTCGCAACTTCTGCACATGGAAGCGTGCCATGCAGATTCAATACAACATCACGCGCATTGAGGAGTGGTGCAAGGGTCACGATCTCCCTGAGGGTACATTGCAATTGGAGCATCTGATGCAGGCAACAAAGTTGTTACAGCTCAAGAAGGCATCGCATAGTGATATTGAGATTATTTATGATGTTTGCTGGATGCTGACGCCTACACAGGTGCAGAAATTGGTCCAGAACTACATGATTGCTGATTATGAGGTTCCTGTGAGTCCAGAGCTGATTAAGGCGATCGCCATGCGCGTTGCGGCCAACGAGAAGAACGATACATTGATGTTGGATGCGATCTCATTGGAGGACGCTGGATCATTTGAAACTCCTGAGATCCGCGACGTTGATCTTGATGGCGAACGCTACCTACCTCCTTGGTTGGTCAATTTGAGTCGCTTGAAATCACTGATGCATTTGGTTGTTGTATAATGAGTATCTGTTTTCTTTCTTTCCCAGTTTTTCCCTTTCTATTTCCTCCTGCAACCGCTTTTGTATCTTTATTCATTTCGTCCATTGCCTTCAAAGAAAGGAGAAACTAAGACATTGATTCACCAGTGTTTTGTAATTTAAAAATAAATATAAATATGCTAACAATTTTCTAAGCTATGATTCTATGACTTTATTTAAAATTATCAGAATGTAAATGCAGAAGAGATGAAGGACGATAAAACAATAATAGAATAGGATAGCATCTTGTAGGATTACATTTTCCTCCGTTTGCCTGTAAAACGATCCAAAGCTGTGACAGGTTCGTCTGGATTGCCCATTCTCCTCTTCGCGCGCTCTTTCTTGTCTTTCTCGATCCTCTCCAATAGCTCGACCTAAAAAAAAAAAAAAAAAAAAAAAAAAAAATGCCATCAGCATTTGAAAACTAAAATGAGAACAAGCAAACAGAGGAATAGACGAACAGGCTTTATCTGCTTTCTCTCACCTTTTTCTGATCGATAACATTCTTTGCTTTCTTGCGCAGATGGCGACGTGAAGAAGAGTTCTTGCCGCGAGCCTTGAACTTGAGCTCCTTAGCCTCTTCTGGATGAGCAGCTTCCCATGCCTCCTTCTTCTCCTTGTTCAAGATTTGAATAGGGGCTTTGTCCATTTTTCCAACCATATCGACATCCAGAGTAATCATCTCAGGCTGAATTTTCTCCAGCAGTGAGTGCACCTCCATTTCTTGCCGTTGCTTTTTTGTCTGGAATGGATTGGCCTCTAATGCATCAAAGTTGGGCTCTCCAGATCCTGGAACGATAATGCTGCCGATACCACTGCGATGACCAAATCCAAGTACATCCTCAAATGGCACAAACTCTACATCATGCACGGCCGAAGCTGGCTGCAAATGATTCATATAAGGCGATACCTGCTTGGTTCTAAAGGGGTCCTTCCAGATGCTCACATGGGGACCAAAACCAACCGCCAGCAAGCCACGCTGAGAGATAGAAAGTGACGATGCAGGTGATGGAGTAAAATATTCCTGAACAGCTTTATAACTCCTGAGATCCCAAAGTTTAAGTTGACCATCCAAACCTGCAGTGGCCATGTAAGTGCCTGAATGGCCTATTGCCATGGCGGTGATGGGTCCTCGATGACATTGCATTTTGACAAGAGGTGTAGACATATTAGGAGACCAGAGTGTAACTGTGCCGTTTCCGTGCCCCAAATGTATAATGGCATTGCTGGGGTTTTGAGTCATAACATCACACTTTCCAAGCTTGGTGCGATGTTCTGCCACAAGTTTTCCTGTTGATGTATCCTGGTATTTAAGATATCCAGAGTTTCCCTTAAAAAGAAGAATAAACAATAGAAAAAAAAAATTATTGAATAAGCCCGTCTTCCCGGATCCTGGATTGCAAATGAAGTAGAAGAGAAAAACACGATGTCCAACGTACGATTGTTGTGAGTAAGAAATGATAAGGCAAGAAATCAAGCTTGTTGATTTCGATATGGTCTCGCAAGCAGTGGATCTCCATGCCTGACTTGTCATAAATGTAAACATATTTCTTCTGCGCTACTGCGAACATAGTTTCATTATGCAGCCATCTAATACCATCGTGTATATTATTTTGTTATATTAAATGTAATATGATGAACAGTCAAATGTTAGAGTGTATTTTTCTCTTTTTGTTTCTTGTCTTTCAAAAAGAACCTACTTGACATCTCGTATTGTCTCCTTAAGTTGAAGTTCACAGGCGAGCTTTCCTGCCTGCCAGTCAAATGCCGCAACATGTCCTTTCCGGCCACCGATAAGGAGATGGCGTCCGTTTCGGGTATAATCAAGCGAGTACGGTCCAAACTTCAAATTCAATGAAAACATTTTATGTGTAGTTGCAATGTCCACTTCTTTGCGGAGCGCACGTTGGGAAAGTTGATATGTCTTTTCAATGCCTTCTGCTTCCAAAAATCCTGCCTCTTCTGTCAACAGTATCTCGGACGAAGCAGCCTTGTAGGCTGCTTCTTTGAATTGTTTCTCTCGGCGCTTAATTGATCCTTTAAGCTTCTTATCTTGTATGCCCTAATAGTATATATAATATAAAAAATAAGAAATAAAATGTATTAGAGTAAGTAGTAAAGACATAGGTATTCAAAACATGCCCACACTTAGCTCTAGCGCAATATTCATAAATTCCCTGAAGTCAGCCACAAGTAGTATAAAGAGCATACATTGACTCCTTCAAGCGCTGCATTGCTGTCCCCTCGTGAATATTTGGGCACGAGGGCCAAGATGGGGTCTTTTTTCTTCTTTTCAACCATGACGACGATGTTTTTATGGAAGTGAAAAATGTCTAGAAAGTTGAAGGCCTTAATGACTATAAATGGAGGCACTAAAAAAAAAAAAAGGAGTGAGGGAGAGACAAAAGCCACAATAATAAATATAGCCACGTGCATATTCATATTGGTGGCAACAATTACCAGGCCATGTGTGGATGTTAGCAGGTCGTATAAAAGGCACAGAAAGTGTAGTACTGATTGTTCCCGTTTTCGCTCACTCAGCGCCATACGATAGCTTGACAGGCTGGCCGAATGCAGCTTGGATAAGCCTTTATAAAGAAAAGTCCCTAGAAACGAGACAACCCAGCTTTGCAAAGTAACGGACATCCCTCAAAGAAGTAAAGTTTATTAAGTACTTTATTAAACATTCCCGAAAAAATTGAGCTAGTTTTCTACATGCTCTCCTCAAAGCGTTAAAGAGCAGTGTCCCAAATCACTGCATAAAAAAAAAATAAATGGATGGCGTTGCGAAGCGGCTAAAGCCCTATACATGAAAATGTCAAAATTACATAAAAAAGAGAAAAAAAAGAATGCTTGGGGAGAGCACGATAATAAACAAGAATCGCGCTATCCTTCACTCTCTTATGAACTTTGATTTTTGGGATCTTCGCTGCCATAGATTCATGCGACAATTGGCCATTTGGATCGCAGATGCTCGATCCAACGAGCATACAATGCCTCTGCTACTGGACTTGCTGGGCTACTTCGGACCTCTGGTACTGGTTCTTCGGCTGTCTTGGTAGCTTCGGAAGGCTTTTTTTCTGACTCGACTGCTGTTATGTCTGAGGAGTCTGAACCTGCTGTTGACGATAAAGACGTAGATTCACCTTCTTCGCACGAGAGCCCCTTCCCATTAGCTAGAGCCCCAATGGCATCAGCCACAGCCGCCCCACCATGTGTTTCCATTTGCTTCATTAAGTCGCTATTCTCCTTTATCTGCGTCATTGCCTGCGTGAAGAAAGCAAGAAGGAGTGAAGGATTGATGTCGTTGAGGTCTGAGATGCCATGCTCAAGAACACTGAGAGCTTCAAGGTCTTCTGCACTATGCTCGCCGCTCTTTAGCTAAACGTGGATAATAAATAAAATCAATGTTAAAACAAGCCGACACTTCGAATAAATAGATCAGACCCTGAATCAAATATACATACATTTTTCAAGACGGGTAAGAGGGCGACTCTTGACAGCTGTCTACCTGCTTGTGCTTGAGGGCTAGCTTCAAATGTATCTTCGCTTATAGCTTTCTTGGTCCCTGGCGCAGCTTTGATAGTCTCGAACCTATGAATAGCGGTTAATAATAAATGGAATTAAGTCAATATTTAATGATACCTGTGTCTCACTCATATAGCAAAAGTAAGATATGGACGTACCCGTCTTCTATTGTCATATCACCAGGCCCAGGCTTGTCCGCCTGCGACGTTAGATTGGTTAAGCTATCGATCTATAGGTTCAATAAAGGTGGTCAGGTTCAAAATGATGGATTCTGTTAAGTATCAATATGCTGGGGAATACCTGAGCAGCATATAGAACCGACATCAGCTGCATTACCTTTAGGTTAGCTAAATTTACCACGCTACCCATATCATTTCCAGGTTTCTAGTACAGAGTAAAGAAAAAAGTTGTATATGTGCCGCTGCTCTTCTTGTTCTTGCGCTTACAACTCAAAATAATCGACAGAAATACTTACTGATGGGCGAATAGTGGAGTGACTGACTGGTACCCTGCGAACTGTTGAAGTAGTAGAAGCCAATCCTGGGATACGAACCGTCCCAAAGTCCCAAGGCAGATCCTCGTCATTCGTGTTAAAGGTGCTGAATCTAATAAGAGAATCAGTTTTAATTTAGTAAGTACTGAGCTCCTACTCACTGCATAGCTGGGTGCCATATTAGAGTATGAGAGCGTTCACCTACGTCTTTGTCAATGATGAAGCGGCGCGTTGATGAGCAGCGAGTTTCCAGACATCATATCTCTCCACCAGTTCCTGAAGATCACTCTTGCGTTTTGCCATCTTTATAAATCGATGCTTCAGCAAGTCCTTGGCAGTCGGTCGCTACAAATATGTCAAAAAAAAAAAAAAAAAAAAAAAAGAGCTAAACAAATAAATTTCTCATTGATATGTATTCATCTTAATATGCTTTTAAGGACCTACATCTTTAGGATTCTTGATCAAGCAGAGTTCCACAAATTCCTTGAAGGCTCTTGAGAAATCACCTTCCAATGATGGAGGCTTTGCTTTTGGAATTAAGAATAGGACACGCATAGGATGGTACTCTGCGAGAGGCGGCTCCCCTTTCGCAAGTTCAATTGCAGTGATACCTAACGACCAAATATCCGCTTTAGAGTCATATCCTGCTTGCCTGATAACTTCCGGAGCCATCCAAAACTAGAAAAATAAAAAGCAGATGTGTAAGGGACTAATATGCTAGTAATGTAATAGTCGTATCTTTCTGACAATAAAAATTGCTTACTGGTGTACCGACAAACGTGTTACGTTTACTCTTTTGATGTGATAGCTGGGCGGCAACTCCGAAATCAGCTACGGTTTATAAAGATGAAGTAGACGTGTTGGTTCAAAGCACAAAGGTTAATATTCTGATATATAATCTGTGTAGGGTACACAGAGTAGACGCTCTTGTACTTACCTAATTTAACGTCTCCAGCACCAGAGAGCAAAACATTAGCAGCCTTAATGTCTCTATGGATCTTGCCCTCTGCATGAAGATACTCAAGGCCTAGTAGTAGCTCTCTCAATACAATTGCCACATGATCTTCGCTGAATGGTCCTGGTTTGAGCTAGGTAATAAAAAAAAAATTGGTAACAGAAGGTTCCGATCAGAGATCCATAGTCATTAAAGCTGTTGTACAATTCTATGAGCATTCGCTGCCTGGATTCTTACCAGATCAAGGCATGACCCTCCAGCCAGATATTCCATTACTATAAGAGATACAAGAAAGATCGGGCATTAGTAAATGAGAAAAAGTTTAACCTCGGAGCTGACTTGTGCAAGGACTGCTTACCGATCCATAACTTAAAACCCTTGACACAGCTACCATAATATTTGGTGATGAAGTCTGAATCGCATTGGGAAAGCAGTGCAATCTCTTGTTGGATTTCGCTAATATCCTCCTCTGAGTCTTCGAGATTAATTTGTTTGATCGCAACGACTTCCTTAGTTACATTATGGATACTATTGCATGAAATAAGTGTACTTTTAGAACGCATTGTATCAAGATAACGGTTTCTCGTCGGAAAATTACTCAATATCACACCATATTACTAGAGCAAAGGGCAAGTGTGATTCAAAAGCAATCCGGTCCCTGCTACTAATCATTAAAAGCCAATGACCAACAATTGTCGCAGATGATTTTTTTCAATAGAATGCATGCACAACTCGTGGAAAAATAATAATAATCAGGGGCTCGAAGCACTATCATGCACAACTTTGTACGCCAAGGGGGAGGATAAAAGGGGGTGGAGAAGCATGAGGCGATGCCATAAAATAAAATTGGCCGAGCCCACATATCGCAGACATGAAGGTCTAAAGGAAGTGAGATGAGAAGGAATGTGATTTCACCTACGCCTTATAAACAGTGCCAAAAGAACCCGTTCCAATTTTCTCGAGAAGAGTATACTCTTCATCAGGGTCGGACCGCATCTATAATCATGAAGTCAAAGGAGAGATGGTATTAGTCTTTTTCTCTATCACTAAAAGCGAGATTAGCTTGCATGCTTTCAATTTAAACTCCTTCTAAGCTGTCCAAAACCAACTTTGTACCATTTTGGCAAACTTGAGATTAAAGACGAGTTAACGATGAGATTATAGTATGAAAGAGCTGAAGGTGAGGAGTTAACTTGTCTTGGGAAGAGAGGAAGCTGGTGTTTGTTGAGGGTAGATAGCTGCAACTTCGACAGATAATACTAGATGAAGGGACAGAGAGGGTATGGATATGGATGATTGCTTGGTAAGAAAAGTGACCGATGTGTGAAAGAAGGGGGGCTCGAAGCAGCCTTGAGAAAGGACGATGTAGGTACTCAGGACGAAATATCGAGGAGCAAGTAAAGTGCAGGTGAACGGGGAATAATGCAATGGATGGGGAAAAGGGAATAAAACAACTATGTAAGAGATAAGATGTTAAAAGGAAGAAAAGAAAGCAAAGAAGTAACAAAGAAAATAACAATGTTTTCAAACACCTGGCTTCAATGATCAGCTCGAGTTGGGCCACAACAAGAAATTAATGACGAGCAGATGAGTACATGAAAAAAAGGGGGGAGAGAGGACACCATCTACGCCATCCACTTTCGCAAAAAAAAACATACATCTATACAGTAAAATCCAGGACTTCTTGAAGCCAAGATATTGTCAAAGTAGACGAACAATTGCGACGACAGGCTAAATAGGTCATCCTCTAAATAAGAGATATCAAGAGACATATCCATAAATCCAAACAGATGTGCCGACTGACTGTTTTGCAATGATGCTTTTCAAAAAAAAAATGCTGAGCCGTCTGTTTATACTTTATACAAATACGGTTGCTGGCACAAAGGGGCTGTTAGAAGCTTCTCTCTTTCGGATGCTTGTCACGCGTTTTCTTTATTTTTACTCTCTCGTCATTTGGTCACCATTCTCCACGGGTCGTGGAAAATAGGGGGTTGGTGTTCTTTTAAAATAATAAACTATCAAGCAATAATGACAGAGCAACGGACAGCAGAGTGCCAAGTCTAGACATAAAAAAAGACAGGGTTAAAGAAGACTGGAGCTGAGCTTAAAGGTCAACAAAAAGCATCATCCAAGTAATATCGCGTTTTAAAAGTAGATTTTCGTGTCCGGAATTGCTGTAAATGGGACACGTTTTTTTCTTTGAACCAGCCACACATTGAATACCGTTTGAGGTTACGCTCAACATGATTTTACTTTTGTTTTCAGGAACAAAAGACGGCCTCCATCATCACCTGAATGCCAGAGCCTTCACACTGCGAACACCCTGCTGTCATTGACTCATTGCGGATTTGGATCCATCAGAGTCCTTTCAAGTCCTTTCCATCTTTTATTGGCATCAACATTAATACTTCACAGGAGCGGCAGCAAATAACTTTGCCATTCTTTTCTGTGGCTACCATCAGCAACAACCCAGTCCTGGCCACTACAGAACATTCTATCCTTGTTGCAGCTGTCTTTGCTCTGTTATTTTTCTCTATTCTCGCTCTTCGATCCTGCCATAGTAAAATTGAAAAGTCTGAAAAGCATCAAAACATCAATAGGAATTCAGGTCGCCTTTATTCCGCAATAACTCCAGCTCATATAACAAAGAAACTAAAATCGAGACAACAGCCTGGCAGTATATTCACCTTACCACAGAATCGAGACAACACTAAGATATCATTACCTATGCCTTCAACCGGAGCAACTGCATTAGCACAGCAGAAGCTCAAACACAATGAAGCGTATCATTTAATAGACACTGCATTGACCCATGATGGCAATGGCAATTATGCAGATGCGCTTGACTACTACAAACAAGGGATTCAAGTACTGAAGGATGCTCTCAGAATCCGTTATCTCACCGACGCAGAGTTTCAACAGTCCGAAGTGCTAGGACCCAAGATGCGTGAGAATTTACAAGCAGTTGAAGCTCGCGTCGAATACTTGGAACAACGCATGGGTAGAACAGCCACAAACAGCACAAGTATTCGACCAATCACTGATAACAAACAAACAAGCGCTCAAAAGCCATATCTTTCCTCGGCAGTCTCAAGCGTGATACAGGCAGTTGGATCAGCCATCACCCGAGGAGAAAGTATGCCAGTATCATCAATCGAGCGAAGTAACTACGTACCTCAAGTCAATTTATCATCTCAATCATCACCAACACCGCCCAGAAAAGCCTCCACTACTAGTACAAATCCCATGAACGATGAGCCAGTGTTCAATGTTGTAACAGCATCAAAGTCGACCTCCTACAGACGTTCAATTTCGGGTAGCTCAAGTGGAGGAGCCTCGGCCTCTAATAGCCTATCTAATCGGAGCTCCATCTCACACAACTCTTCATCTCGAGGGGGGATATCAACACGGTCAGGAATGATAACAGGGGGGCGCAAACGGCCTGCTACAGTAGCCGCAGGAGGCACGGGAGGAGGCACAACAATGACAGGACAGTCCTCAGTCCTCGCAGACACAAAGAGTAAAATTTCGCGGCTGAAGAATATTGATACCAAACTCGCAAACATGATCCTTAATGAGGTCATGATCGATGGTGCCGCAGTAACCTGGGACGACATTGGTACGAAAGCATTCAACGCTGAACATCTCTGATAATCGTTTTACTTATCAGTCTAATGACAATCCACCTTGTATCTCCTTTTTTTTATAAAAAAACCAGCTGGTCTCTCGTTTGCAAAACAAGCACTCAAGGAGATTGTTATTTTACCCGCGCTACGTCCGGAACTTTTTACAGGATTGAGAGCGCCAGCCAAGGGAGTATTATTATTTGGACCTCCTGGCACCGGCAAGACAGTAATGTCTTCAACCTTGACATATAATTACTATCTCGTGAATTTTTTATCAGACTTACAAACGCCTTTTTTTATTTTTATTTTTTTATTTCTTTTATTTTTTTTTATTTTTTTTTAGATGCTCGCCAAAGCAGTAGCACAGGAGTCTAAAGCAACGTTCTTTTCCATCAGTGCCAGCTCACTCACATCTAAGTTTGTAAGCCTGTACAATATTAATGAAAAGTATCCAGAATTCACTGACTAACTACATATCGTGCTCTTGCTTTACCTAACATGAGTACTTACTTAATCCTCTCTCTTTTTTTTTTCTTAAAATAAAAATAAAAAAAGGTGGGAGAATCAGAAAAATTAGTCAGGACACTCTTTGCCATCGCCCGAGAACTTCAACCATCTGTCATTTTCATTGGTTAGTCGGCAATATAGAAGTACTTTGTAGTTGAGCATCGATCATCATGATACAGAATCTAATACCGTCTACTTTTTTTTTTTTTTTGCCTTGCAACAGATGAAGTTGACTCTATACTGACTGAGCGTTCCGAAAGTGAGCATGAAGCCAGTAGAAGGCTCAAGACAGAGTTTTTATTACAGTTCGATGGCACAGGCTCCAATTCTGACGACCGTGTTCTCGTAATGGGCGCTACTAACAGACCCCAGGAGCTTGACGAAGCTGCAAGGAGACGATTTGTAAAGCGTATTTATATCCCTCTGCCAGAGTCGGAAACACGTTGTGGACTATTGACAAAACTTTTAAGTGGACAGGACTACCATATTTCAGCTAAAGAGATGCAGCAACTTGTGATGCAAACTGAAGGATATTCTGGATCTGATTTGACGGCCCTGGCCAAGGATGCAGCCTTGGGACCATTACGGTCATTAGGGGAAACATTGCTTGAAACGCCTGCAGATCAAGTGCGGCCAATCCTATACCAGGATTTTGTTCAGGCATTAAAAACGATCCGTCCTTCTGTTAGCCCACAAAGCCTGCAGGCCTATGAAGAATGGAATCGTGAATTCGGTGCAGGTATAAGAGGATAGAGTGATACAATATTTTTTTATCTTCATTATTTTTATTTGATAATGTTGAATATCGGTAACTGATGCTTGGGACTATAATACAGTCGAAACGGTCGTGGCAGTAACCAACCATAACCACATCGAGGATCGCTATGAAAAAAAATAACAAAGACTATGTGACTTTTTTTTTTTTTTTTTTTTTTTTTGAGATAAAAGATAATATGCACGTCTTGATAACACAGAAAATAAAATGTAAAAAAGTGAAAAAGCGATAAAGGAATTGAAAAGGGGAATGGTTGAGCATACGCCTCTTATCAAAACTTGTCAATAGTAATAATAAGAAATAAACCATTCTGTGTTAGGAACTCAAGACGATCGAGGCAAGGCCTATATAAACTGACCGCCTCTTTAGTGGTTGGGAGTAAGGTTGGAAGGATCAAAGCCAGGGAAGGGGAAGCTAGTGGCGAAGGCCTCAACTTCTTTGCGGAGCTGAGCAATCTCCTCGTTACCCTCCAAAGCTGCAACAAAGTCTTTCATCAACTTGCTGCCAGCCTTGGTCTGGACAGTAAGGGCGATCTGAACAGTACGGTGAAGGAACTCACCGACCTTGACAAAGTCGTCCTCCTTGAAGGAACGCGAAGTCAATGCAGAAGCACCGAGACGAACGCCACCAGGGGTAACAGCAGAAACATCTCCGCAGACAGAGTTCTTGTTGAGCGTGATTGAGACCATGTCGCAGATTCGCTCAACCTTGGATCCGGTAAGCTTGTTTGGGCGAAGATCCCAGAGAATCAAGTGGTTATCAGAACCATCTGTGATAATCTTGTATCCATGTTTGAGAAGGGTAGCAGCAAGAGCTTTGGAGTTGGCAATGACCTGCTTAGCATATTGCTTGAATTCGGGGCTTGCAGCCTGCTTGAGAGCGACAGCAATTGCAGCAATGGTGTTGTTGTGAGGGCCACCCTGAATGGAAGGGAACACAGCTTGGTTAACTCGGCTTTCAAGGTCCTCGCCCTTCTCAACTTTAGCATCCTTGTTCTTGCGGAAGAAGATCAGACCAGCACGAGGACCGCGGAGGGTCTTGTGGGTGGTGGTGGTGACGACATCGCAGTACTTGAAGGGCGACTCAGCCTCTTGGCCGGCAATAAGACCCGAAATATGGGCCATGTCGCACATGAGGTAGGCGCCATGCTGGTCAGCAATCTTGCGGAAACGGGCGTAATCCCACTCACGAGGGTAAGCAGAAGCACCACAGATAAGTACTTTGGGACGGAAGAGCTTGGCATTCTCCTCAAGTCTGTCCAAATCAATAAGGCCAGTAGTAGAATTAACTTGGTATGGCATCGATTGAAAGTAAATCGAAGTGGCTGAGATCTTCTTCTTGGCAGTTTGATAGCCGTGAGTCAAGTGACCACCAGAGGGGAGGTCAAGACCCATAATGCGGTCCTGAGGCTGGATCATGGCAGTCAAGGCAGCAAAGTTGGCAGTGCTTCCAGAGTAAGGCTGGACATTGACTCCCCACTCTTCAGCCGAGAGACCAAAAGCGTCAAGGGCACGCTTGCGGCACAGCTCCTCGATCTGATCAATGTACTCATTACCACCATAGTAACGGGCACCGGGAAGACCTTCTGAGTACTTGTTGGTCAAGGGAGATCCGTTGGCCTCCATGACAGCCTGAGAGGTAAAGTTCTGTTTGACAAAGTTGTATATCATATAAAGCATTTACTTTTAAACTTTGCACTTATGTGACCAATTTCCTTCTACCCTTCACGTCTTCCCTCTCTTTTATATATATTATTCCTGTCTGATGCACAAGACTTACCTCAGAAGCGATCAATTCAAGTCCTGAGAATTGGCGGTACTTCTCCTTCTGAATCAAGTTGAAGATTTCTGGATCCTCCTGCTCGAGAGGAGTGTTCATGCTAGCGTTCCAGGCGTCAACTTTGGCCATTTTTGTATTGGTATCTATTGAATGAATATAAAAGAATTAGCAAACTATGTCAAAAAAAAAAAAAAAAAAAAAGTCACATTGCGCGATATCTTGGGTGCTGAATGCATGCTCCTAGCAAGCAAGGGTGTATATCCAGAAAGGAAAAGGAGATAGAGGAAACGTGGGAAAGATCATTTATAGAATAAACAACAAATGTTCAGGGAAAGTGATCATCTTGCTGGCTCAGAGACAGGACTCGCGAGCTGAAGGAGAAGAATTAAAAAACGGATGGGACGCCACATATAACCATGATGACTCCTCCTGACACATGCGGGCAGATATTCGCGGGAGGGCGAGCGATGTGTGAACGATAAAACCCACATTAATCCTTTTCTTAAGAATCAATCGAGCTGCATTGGTACTGGGGATCACACATCGCGTGCTATATGTCCTTTTCCCTTGATAAACTCAGGTACTCATGAAGGAAAACCACGATGGCGGGAAAAATATCGAGGCATCTTGAACGTATGGCATGAGTATATTTACCTTTGTCGCAAAGAATGAGGTGAGGAAAAGTATAATAAGGAACGAAGAGGAAGGTGAAGGATGGTGAAAAACAAAAGGGAAGAGAAAAGAGAAGAGAAGAGAAAGAAGAAAAATGTTTTTGCAGGCAAGTTAAATAAGGCAAATCGCAGACGAAAAAAGTGCGGGGTGTCTTTAACCTTAATGGACTTTCATCTTCTCAATTCATTCATAGTGACTCTTTGGAAAGCATTTTGTTTGGCTACTGCTTGTGTTTTTTATTTTTGTTGTTTTGGTAGAAAGAGGCAGTCCCTATCGGTCATCGTTCGATATGATTGGCTTGTGAGAAATTGTACGTATCTAGCTCTTCGCATGCACTTTGTACGTGTACATTAAAAAAATGCCCGCTTTAGGCGATAGGGGAACAGGTTAAGGTACCGACATCATTGGGATCATCGTTAATAAGCTGAATGGCTCCAGTAACATCCGAGAGACAAGGGATAGATGCAGAAAACAGTCCTATACGAGTTAGGTGCCCTCTCTTTTTACTTCTCCTAAAATGGTTCTTCTCTTCAACTTTCTCTTGTCTGATTACTTTTAACGATTTTAATTGAGTTCTTTTTTTAGTAGAGCAATTAAAGATTACAGTTTCAACGCTGAGAAAAACATGCTCTCTGATTATTATTATTTTTTTTCGGAAGGCATGGATGTGCTCTGTGCGTGATTGTCACGCAGGGTCATGCACTTATTCAGCTGTATTCTAATTTTTGATGCCATCTTTTATCCTTGCCGATCCGCCATGGATTGTAAAAAGAATGGTCTTAGTCTTGCCTTGGACTAATAATATTAACCATTCATGGCAAATATTCAAAAGCACGCACCAATGTTCGTTCACATTGTGTTAGAAATAGCCACTTTTTTTTGTTGTCCGCTCGAGAAAAAATTTTCCTTATTTGTGTGACTGGCCATTTTGAACGGCCCCTTTAAAAAGACGAGGTCTTCGGGGATCATCTTGCTCTTTCCCTTTCTTTCTCCCCTTCACCCGCATCAATACCTGCTGGGATCTGGCATTACCTCCGCATTCCCTCTATATCCATTTCGATCCGCACCCTTCCATTCTTTTGCCAAACTAATATTCCCCTTTTCTCCCTTCCCGGTATTCACCCAGAACCCCTTATATCAAAATGTCAGCTCCCCTTATTGATGCTATCGTCAAGGCTGAGAACACTGACCAGCGTCAGGTTGCTGCCGATGCTCTTGCTGCCTTTGCCAAGTCTGAAGGGCTTATCAAGTCTATCGGAATCATCGAGAGCCTTTCACCCCTTCTCGAGAACAAGAAGTCCGTTCCCCACCGTGAGGGCGCTCTTCTTGCTCTTGGCTCCCTAGCCAATGCTTTCGGTCAAGCTGGTGAGCCTTTCTTGATTCCTCAGATGCCAAAGGTCTTTGAGCTCTACTCGGACAAGATGGTTCCCGTTCGTCAGGCTGCTGGGGTTGCCTCAAAGGCTATCATGGCTCTTCCTACCAGATATGCTGTCCGACTCTTGTTGCCTGTCATTTTCCATGCTATTAAGGAATCGAAGTGGTAAGCTTTGTTTAAGATCAAAGATCGTCGTATTTTGAGGAGCCTTGTTGGGTAGAACTAAGCATTCTACTTATTTCGAACACCATGTTTAGGCAATCTAAGATTGGTGCTTTGGACATCTTGTCTGGTTTGACTCAGACTGCTCCACAGGTAAGCGCACAGATCTTCAAAATATCTGTGATTTCAGGGCACAAGGAGACAAGCACAGACAAACGTTGAAGGAACACAAATGTTCTTACCGCATTCCTGCATTCTTTCTCGATGGTTTATTTTGTGTGTTTATAGCAAATCTCTGCAGCTCTCTCTGATATCATTCCTATCATCAGCGAGGCAATGTGGGATTCCAAACCTGAGGTAAGATTTTTTTTTGTGTGTGTCCCATCAGAATGCACACAGACCACTGAAACCTGAAACGCCCATCCGATATGGACTGTTGGAACCATCTGACAATATAGTGGAGCTCAACTACATGTACTCTTGTACTATTATGGGCATGACAATGACTATTGTCTAAAATCATCACATCTATGTCAAATAAGCGGTGAAGATCACTGGTGTCTAACTTTTACATTGTTTTCCCAAATTGGATTTACTTGTCCTTTTAGGTCCGTGAGCAGGCCACTAAGACTACTACAGACTGCTTCAACGTTGTTGGCAACCCTGATTTGATCTCCTCCATCCCTTACTTGGTCGGATGTATCAACCGTCCCGAAGAAGCAGCTGAGTGCATTCACCAGCTTGCTGCTACTACCTTCGTCACCACTGTTGAGGAACCAACTCTTGCTATCATGTGCCCTCTTTTGGTTCGTGGTCTTGCAGAGCGCACCCCCTCCATTCAGCGTCAGACCGCTGTTATTATCGACAACATGTGCAAACTTGTTGAGAACCCCGCTCACGCCCAACAGTTCTTGCCCAAGCTCTTGCCTGGTTTGGACCGTATGATTGAGATTGCTGCCTCCCCCGAACTTCGCAAAGTCGCTGAGCGTGCTCGTGCCACTTTGGTCCGTGTCGGCGGTGGAGAGCCCGGTTCCAAGGACCAGGTCGTCACCATTGCCTACACTGTTACCTCTGCTCAGGTACTTGAGACCCTCAAGGCCAAGGCTACCTTCATCAAGGATGACTCCTTCTCTTCCGTCGTCCTTGCTTACATCTCAACTCTCTGTGCTGAATTGATTGCTTCTCGCAACTTTGAGAAGGATGCTTGGATTTCTTCTATCGTTCCTTACCTCACTGTCCTTGCCTCCGAGTCTGAGGTTACTGGTTTTGCTGAAGATATCAATGCTTTCTATGTTGACTACGATGCCAAGAACGCTCTTTCCAACGCTGCTGCTGCTGATGTTGAGGAGGGTGAGCTTCTCTGCGATTGCGAGTTCTCTCTTGCTTATGGTGGTATGATCTTGTTGAACAAGACCCGTCTCAATCTCCGCCGTGGTCAGCGTTACGGTCTTTGCGGACCCAACGGTGTCGGAAAGTCGACTCTCATGCGTGCCATTGCTGAGGGCCAACTCGAGGGCTTCCCCTCGCCTGATGAACTTCGCACCGTCTTTGTCGAGCACAACCTCCAGGCCGAGGAAGCTGATCTTCCCGTCATTACCTTCATCTTTAATGACGAGAACATCAAGAACCTTGATAAGAAGGCTGTTGTCGATATGCTCGAGTCTGTTGGCTTCGACAAGGAGAAGCAAGAGCAAGCTGTTGGATCTCTCTCTGGTGGCTGGAAGATGAAGTTGGAGTTGGCCCGTGCTATGTTGATGAACGCCGATATTTTGTTGTTGGACGAGCCTACCAACCACTTGGATGTTACCAATGTCGCCTGGTTGCAGAACTACCTTACCTCTCTTACCAATGTCACCTCCATGATCGTTTCTCATGACTCTGGTTTCTTGGATTCTGTCTGCACTGGCATTATTCATTATGAGAACCGTAAGCTCAAGAAGTACAAGGGTAACTTGTCCAAGTTCGTTGAGCAGTACCCTCAGGGCAAGTCCTACTATGAGTTGTCTGCTTCTCCCATTGCCTTCAAGCTCCCCGAGCCCGGTTTCTTGGATGGTGTCAAGTCCAAGGATAAGGCCCTTGTCAAGCTCCAGAACATTGATTTCGCTTACCCCGGCAGCACAAAGTTGACCATCACCAACATGTCTTGCCAAGTGTCGCTTAACTCTCGTGTTGCTGTCGTTGGACCCAACGGTGCAGGAAAGTCGACTCTCATCAAGGTCTTGACTGGCGAGACTATTCCCTCCGGTGGTACGGTTACCAAGCACCCCAACGTTCGTGTTGCTTATGTTGCCCAGCACGCTTTCCATCACGTCGAACAACACTTGGACAAGACCCCTAACGAGTATATCCGCTGGCGTTACCAGTATGGAGAGGATCGTGAGATGAACAACAAAGCTACTCGTCAGATCTCACCCGAGGAGGAGGCTCAGATGAAGAAGTTCATTCAGTGGGAGATTAACGAGAAGATGGAGAAGCTTCAGATCGAGGATCTTTATGGTCGTCGTAAGGCTAAGCGCTCGTTCGAGTACGAGGTTCAGTTCGTCGGTCGCTCCTACGAGGATAACGCATGGATTCCTCGTGAGAAGCTCGAGGAATGGGGCTTTGATAAGGTTCTTCAGGCCTTCGACGATAAGGAGGCTGCCAAGGCTGGTGCTTGGACTCGCTCTTTGACTGCTGTTGAGGTCGAGAAGCACTTGGGTGATCTTGGTCTCGATGCTGAGTTCGCTACCCACAACCGCATCCGCGGTTTGTCTGGTGGTCAGAAGGTTAAGGTTGTTCTCGCCGCTGCCATGTGGTTGAACCCTCATCTACTGGTTCTCGACGAGCCTACCAACTACTTGGATCGCGACTCTCTTGGAGCTCTCTCTGCTGCTATCAAGGAGTTTGGCGGTGGAGTTGTCATTATTTCCCACAACCGCGAGTTCACTGATACCGTCTGTGTTGAGAAGTGGTCTGTCAATGCTGGTCAACTTACTGTCACTGGCAATAACTACACCCAGAAGAATTTGGAGAAGATTGTTATGAAGGAGGAGGAGACCAAGGTTGATGCCTTTGGAAACGTTGAGAAGATCAAGTCTACTCGCAAGCTCTCGCGCAAGGAGCTTAAGGATAAGCAGAAGCGTCGTGCTGCTGCCAAAAAGCGTGGCGAGGAGGTCTCTGATTCTGAAGAGGACTTCTAAGCTCTATCACTTATCCCCTTTACACTGTTTCTCATCCCCTCTTGCATTGACCTGTTTGTAGATATCCTCCTCTTTTCTTATTGATAATAGTCATTTTCTGAAATATATTTCAAAAAAAAAAAAAAAAAAGAATTGTAAATGATGTTTCCTTGAGCTGCTTTAAAAACATTTGCACAGCAATTATAGCCCGTTTCATTTGGTCATGATACCTTATATTTTTTGAATACTTTCGAGTGTATTGGCAGCCAATTGGCTCGCTTGTTGCGAGTATTGTTGCAAGTCCGTCACGTAGTGAAATGCCACCAGAACAACTCAATCATCGTTTTTAGATTAAAAATATAAGGTATCATGACCAAATGAAATTGGCGATATCATCCTCTGTGCGGGCAATGGCCTTGCTATTATGCTAATGAATATCTTTATTAGTTCGCGGCATTATTCTTCATAATCTGTATTACGAGCTCGACGAATGTGACACGAAATTCAATGACGACTGGAGACTGCAGTGAAAATTGATTGAATGGCATATGTGAACGGGAACCTTGCAGTTGCAACGCTCAAATTTGAAGGAAAAAATCAGGCCACCATTCCGTTAGCCAATAAATTTCTTGTGAAACATGCCTTGAGCAACAGGCTACCGTTAGACAAGCACTTTTAAACAAAAAGTTTGTGATACTAATAAATAGCGCCATGGATCGAGCCACAGCACTGGAGCATTGGTCACAAGAAACCGTATGGAGCACATGTAAGATCTTCTGAATTGCGATACAAGAAAGCGACCTAGCAACGATATCAATAAATAAAAAACCATATTCTTCATATTAATACCATTATAATATAGCACTCTTTGAGTTGAAAATAAAAAAAAGTGCGTGGAGATCGAATGCGTAGGCAGGCCAGTAGGTGGAGATGGAGATGTTGGCACCAAGCTATCAAAGAGAAGATCCCCCACATGTCCACACATGATTACGAAACTTAAAATAAAATTTTAATGATATATCATTACGATAACTATGGTTCGGTTGCACAAATGCATCAATATTGAATGCGGTTTAATATTTGCATCCATAATCACTCCATGTGTTTGCAGTCAATAAGTCGCGTTATTGTTTTGTTATTAATCAAGGGAAGGACTGAATGTCTTTTGTCATATTTATATACATATACAAATATGCTATATTAGTAGCATAGCTTCTCACCATCCCCCTCTTAGAAAATCACCAGTGTAACATCAATGAGAATGGCGGTTATTTTTTCACTCATTCAAACTTTTTACTTTACAGCAACAGTGCATTCCACAAGAGACGGTCAGTGCAATCACGATTGGCTAAAAAAAAAAAATTGCTCTCAAAAAAAAAAAAAAAAAAAAAAAGTACATGTAGTTCAGCACTTGCTTTGCTTACCTCTGATGAGAGATGAGAGCTATCGGCTAACTTTCACAAAGTTGTTACGGTTTGATCTAACCCTGCCTTGTGCATAATCCTATTAGCCAACTCGATCAAAAACAGCCCATAAATCCATCTTGTTACCTCGGAATGTTTATATAAATACCTCCATGTCCTCTCAGCTCCTCATCACTCTTTTCTCTTCACATACATCTCCCTTTCTCTCCAAACTTATTACACTCAACATGCAGTTCAAGACTCTTGCCATCGTCGCCGTCGCCGTTGCTGCCGCCAGCACTGTTCAGGCTCAGGGCTTTGCCAACAACTCCTGCACCCAGTGCGTTTTCGGCTCTTTCGCAAAAGATACAACCTGCGCCAAGCTCAGCAAGGAAGACTTCACTGAGCTCACCAATGCTTTTGCTGGTAATAACGAGGTCAACGTCCCTGCCATCATCGCTGCCATCCAGAAGCCCGACACTAAGGCTTGTGTTTGCTCCTGGTCGACAACTGCCTTCAAACCTGATGGCACTGGCCCTGCTGGTAGCTGCTTTACCGGCACTACCCCTGCCCCTGCCTGCAATTCCTCCCAAGTCGATGAGGCCAATGGTCAGCTCGCTCCCTTGGGCCCTATTCTCAAGTGCAACGCTTCCCCCTCTGGATCTCCATCCGGAGGCAAGCCTTCTTCCACTGGTAACCCCGCTCCCAGCACCACTAAGCCCAGCTCTGGTGTTCAATTGAACATGCCCTATGTTCTCTCGATCGCCGCCGTTGGCCTTGCCGCCCTTGCAGGACTCTAAATCCTCTTCTACGAACTTATAATATTGTAGCTACTTGTAATATAAAAAAATAAAACCTAATTGATCCTCAGTTGTAAAAAAAAAAATTCATTTCATCTTGCATGCACTACGAAATGTTCATCTTGAATGTCAATTAGTTATGGTTTTTAAGAAAAAAAAAAAAAAAAAAAAAAAAAAAAAAAAAACTAAAGACATGACAGAGCTGAGAGGCAAAAGAAGTATGTACAACTTGTTTTGACCTTTGAAAGATCATTTATTGGCATGAGGTTGCATGTTCAAAGTCTCATCTTGAATGGATTCCCATTTGAATGGCCAAAAAAAAAAAGACACATTTTTATAGTTGACAAAATCATCTATTGTATATATAATAGGAACACTCCCTTCACGAGGAAGCTATTAATAAAAGTAGAGTGTTTTTGTCTCTATGTTGGTAAACAAGTTGATATTTGTTTTTTTTTTGTGTTTGTTTGTCCAATTGGTTGATAAAGTGTGGAGAAGGTCCCTCAAGGACAGGGACTAAGGTGTACGAAGTGGAGGTTTTGTTGATGGAGAAAGTTTTGTCAGACTCTCTCCAATGCAACTATTTTGTTTACAGCTAAGACTCAAAGTCTCTAAATCTAGTGGATGGAAAGGACTTCACTTGCAACAACAAACGTTGCACACGCCCTTATCTCTCTCACGCGTGCTGCTGATAAAAAGAAGGAAAATGTCCGTTTTCCTTTGTTTCCTTCTTTTCCTTCCCTTCCTTCCCTTCTTCTACCTCTTTTCTTTTCATATCGTTCCTTATCCTTAGAATTTTTTTAAACTTCTCTCCTTTTCTGTCCATTGCCTTCTTGTTCACATGTCCCATCAACGTGCAAACTCCGTGTCAGGCTCCTTTAATCATCAGTACAAAGGAGACATGGTTTCAACTGCCATGCCTCCTATGTCCCCTACCTCTTCCTTTAATAACTCTACCTCCGCTGCCTCAGTATCGACTCCTCTCTCGATTTCCATTCCTCGTCAGCGATCGTTTTCAACCTCAATTTCAAGAGCTGCAACCTCACCTCGAGCATTCACGGGCTCGTCTATTATCGCAAATCCGAACTATGGCTTTTTAAGTTCGTCCGTAGGAACCGCCACCACACCATTCTCTGCTGCCGCCTTTGGCGCACCCTTGGCCTCACCAACATCAGTTTCATCGCCTTCAGGAGCATCTTCGACGACTATCCCTTCATCTCAGTCTGTTCCTGTTTTACACAGAAGGTTTTCAACTAGTTTCAATCAACTCAATCAGTTTGTTGGGTCTCCAACCACTACAAATGGTGGCGTCAATTCTCAGGTAATGGCATTAGGAACAAATAAAAAAAAAAAAAAAAAAAAAAAAAAGACATGATGTTTATGTGTGAGGGTCGAAGCAAGCTTATTGGGGGAGTAAAAGAAAAGCACATGTATTTGGAGGAAAGGCCAAAGCTTTTCCTCTGAGTGTAGGGTTCAATACACAAATGCGAGTCGTTTGATGATGACCACTACATGACGACGGTGGCACTTGGCATGTTGCCCTATTTTCTTTTTTTTCTTTTTTTTGTTTTCCTATCGTTTGACGGTTGCCACCAGTAATAAAATACCAAAATATTAATGCAGAAGGGTTTCCAACCATCTAACATTGCGTCCTTTTTACCCTTACTACACCTGTGTACTTTGTATACTTAGACTTCTGAACGAGGTCGAAGAGCCAGTAGTTTCTTTGGAAGTGGGTCGCCTCCAACTTCCATAAATGATATCACGAATTCTAGTGCTACTAATACTGGTACTAGTAGCGGTAGTGGTGCTGGAGGATTGTTTCGTAAATTCTCGACAACGGGCAGATCCGCTGGTCATCCTTTTGACAGAAATGATGCAGGCCCTACGAATTTGGGTGGTCTTCAGTCGAACAAGAGTGGCCATCACATTCATGGGGAGCAAAGCATGTTTGCACATGCACCTGACCACGATGTTAAAACCATTGCTGTGGACAGTTACGCAGGAAGCATCCACAAGAATGCTGATAGTCATCTGAAACCTTCATGCCAGGACAAACATTCTCGGTCCAGCAGCCCAATGAGGAGTATGATTCTGAACGGACAAATGCTGGACTAATAGGAAACCTCTTCCCTTGGTCTTTTTTTTTTGTATGTCTACAACAAAAAAGGGGAAGGCTTTTTTTTTTTTTTTTTTTTTTTTTTTCGCACAGAAACAAAGGACATACACACGCATATGAGTGCCTTAAAAAAAAAAAAAAAACAACAACAACAACAAAGAGAGGAAGAGAGCGACAGAGACTAACTAGATCTCGTTCCTTCCAAAGAAAAAAAAAAAAAAAAAAAAAAAAAGTTGATAAGGAGAAAGAAGCAAAGCTGTGGATGCCTTGTGCTTTGATTCTTTTTAGCTCCCTAGCCTTTGTTTGGTTCACATTCATCTCAAATGTACGCATGTACTTTTTTTTATAGTAAGACAAGATGTCCCTCTCCCTACTCCTCTGAACCCTGTATATTTCTTATTTTTCTTTTGAATACTTGATACTAATGTTGTGTTATTTGTGAAATAAATAAATAAAAACTGAAAACAAGACACTGGATATTGTGGAACAGGATGTCTTTCAAAGGGTTTTGAAATACCAACGAATGGAGATGAAGATGATTATTGCAGATCTTTTAGGGATTGAGTAGGATGTGTAGTGCTTGAATGATATTTCTTCCAGTTCAATCATGACGGTTTCATTGATGGGTCCAACACGTTCCAAATTGAGATTCGACTATAGAAATCAAACGACCTCCCTCAAGAGTCTTGGTCAAAGCTCGCCTGGGTAAAAAATTTCAAGGGGTTCATGTGAACAAACATTGAAGGGATGGCTCAATTAAGAGCCTTTTTCGTGTCATTCGACGCTTGACACGACAAATTGTCAAGTCCAGTTTTGTTCTATCGCTGACCTCGAACTCGAAATTTATACTTCTGACAGTCCTTTGATCTCACGCTGTCAAACGAATCCAGAGTAACCATAGAGGTGCTCAGCTCTCCCTCCATGTTCATCCTCAAAAACACGCTGCACGACACAGTCGAAACTCATTCTACCTGCACATCCTGATATCTTAATCCTGTCTTTAGATCCCATAAATATTCGTAGGGTCAACGCAAGACCGCACGCTACGCCTCAGCGCTGCTATACCATTATTGTAGCTCAGCATAAAATGGAGGTGCCCGTTACTTTAAAGAACCCCGATATGCTGCCTCAGTTTCAGTGACATCTGCCGTCGATAGGTCGTGGTATCGCCCGACTGAAACTGAAGCGTGGCCTGGAATCGCCTTTGTATGGAGGGGCAAAAGCAACAGCATCAAGGCGTTAACTATTCTAAGGCAACAATTTACAATTTCACATAAAAAAAAATACATGCCTTGTCTTGTCCGAATATCTATGCATAGATGTCTGAATATCAGGAGAAGGATATCGAGAAGCTTGAACTTCATGCTATGATTACCAAATATCAAATATGAACCCAATCTAATTTCATGCTGCAAAAGGTTAAGGAAAAGAAGTATGAGTATTTCTTATTTTTTTACACCCCTTCTGATTAATCTCAAAGATCACTAACTACGGCTCTCCTTTTCCCCTTCCTCCAAGTCTTTAAATAGGCTGCCTAGATTTCTAGTCCCCGTCCGAGTGTTTTTTTTTACGCTGACTGGAGGTCCTCGACTTCATCGATCATACTTGAACAAGAATTTTACTATAAATTTTGTATAGGTTTATACTTGAGGTTTGCGCCTTTAGTGAAGAGATTGGTGGAATAATTGCTACATGTAATCGAGTCTTAAGAGTATAAGTATGATATATGAATAAATATATATATGCATGTGTGTCGCGTGCTTGCGCCGTTGTGTTCAACTGCTTTGTGAACATGGTCGTGTTCGTGGACAAAAGACGCGATGATATTTAATTCTGAGGGCAGCAGAAAACGATGCTGTAAAGTGGTAATAGCAAAATATATTACAGCTCCAAAAGTTCTTCAATGTTTCCAGCCAAATATACCGAGCTCAGATGACACGATTACGTGTTGATCTCATAAAAACTTCGCCCGGGTAATTTTTTTGTCTGCGTGCCTATACCGTGAGCCTAGTACATGAGTAATCATTTGTCTGTATTTATTGGTTTTTGGAATACAGTACTTTTTGTCCATAAACGGAAAAGGGGTAGCTCAACCAGGCTGTTTGAAAAATATTATAAACTAAAATAAATGTCAGACAGAACACGTTGACAGATGGAGGCAAAATGATAATCTCAAGCAATATTACATGATTAGGGACATAAATATAACTAACAGAGGCAAAAAGATAGGCTAGACTAAAAGGAAATATTTGTGAATTAGAGCGCGACAATGTTTGAAAAAAGGGTCAGGATATTGTAGAAGTGAGAGAAAAATAGGAGAGGCTAGAATATAAGCAAGGAACAAAGCCCAAAAGAGCCATAAAGGCAGCGTGTGGGACGTAGCAATGAGTATTGAACAATAATAACAGTGACAACAATGATAACAACAATAATAAATATAAAAAATTAAAAAAAAATTCTGTTACAGCAGGTTTTTCCACTTTTCATCTCAACATACGTAACGTTGTAAAGATGTTCTTTGACGAAATACTGTAAGCTTCCTGGTGATATTGAGCAACTCTAGGACTCAAAGGAAAAGGAAAGGAAAAGGAAAGGAAAAGGAAGGGAAAAAAAAAAAAAAAAAAAAAAAAAAAAAAAAACGAAGCCTGTCTTTTGTGCCGCTGCATTGGGATCTCCTTGCTCACATGCTCTCATAATAGACACAGCCCATCAGGACGCTGCGCACGAAACCAAAATAAATAGAAGAACCCGGATGTGAAGGGCTTAGGCTTCTCCGTTTTACAGGATACCGCTGTCCTTCAAGGCGTTCTGTAAAATCGTTTCTTTGACGGCAGCGAAAACGAGTCTAGAAATCAATCAGAGAGAATTATAATGTTAATCAACAATGAATCACGTCACTGCTTAAAATTCGCCGTTGCCAGCGCCCTTGGACATACCGGATCTATATGGATTGATATAGATTAAATTATGAAATAAGAGAGGAGGAGGATAGAAAGATGAACTTGATGTTAGTGGAAGAGGTCAAAGTCTTTTTTTTTTTTTTTTTTTTTTTTTAGTAATCATCATTAAGAGCATCATGGATATATGGCTCACATTCAAGGTGTCGGTAGCTTGCGTCATGCTGAAAGGAAAAAAAAATGACATGAAAAATTGGTACAAGAATTAATCCCAATGGTATAGACAAATTGCTAAGACAGAAAGCATTCAATAATTATTGCATGCTTACTGTGGGTATATATGAAGTCGTGCTCGATTTGTTTGCGTGAATCGCCATAGGATGTATTTTGCTGCTTTACTGATGTCCGGGCCACCTAGACAATCCAAACCCAAGGTAAGGCACTCTGAGTTTAATCATACTATCAATCGACCATTTTCGATACATCATGGGGCGCCACCCACTAGCACTTACCTGTGTAATCCGAAAAATATCTCTCCAATGGTACTTTAGGAAGTTTGGCTGCGAATAGATCAATCTTATTCATGAACAGAATGATTGACGTCCGCAAGAACCAGCGGCTATTGATGACTGATTCGAAAAGCACAAGACTTTCGGCCATTCGGTTCTGTGCACAGAAAATCATGATCAAGCATGCTGATGAGAACACGGCAAAGTCACCAGAACTCACCATACGGACGTATTCTTGAAATTAGAAATGAGAAATATAATGAACAGTTGCTATTTTACCTGACCAGACTCCTCCAGCAGCACTTGATCATATTCACTCAACGCCACACAAAAAATGATAGATGTAACAGCCTCAAAACAATGAATCCATTTTTTTCGCTCTGAGCGCTGCCCACCGACGTCAAACATGCTAGAACCATATGGTATGAATACAATATAGAGTGAGAAACAAGAAAAGATGCATGGTACCTATACTATGATGCCCAAATGCCGCTACTTGGTGAAGAGATAGATTTGCAATAACGACGTACTGTATGCTAAGCTGCCCCATATTAAACCTCGTTTCTGAGATGCCTGTCGTCTTGGAGCGCGCTCTGAGAACATCTTGTACACTGGGTGTATAGTCTTCTGCTCCCAGACGCCGTACTTGGCTAAAGAAACTATGTCACCAACACAAACCATGTTGTAAGTCAAAAACATCTCAATTCGAAATGCAGTCACTTTTTTTTTTTTTTTTTTTTTTTTTTTTTGAGCTTACTAGGGTGCAGAGTCCATAATGTAGAATTCACTCGATCGCTCCATGCAAATAGCCGTAATGGGATCGTGGTATAAAGAATCGATAGCGTTGACAATATCAGGACTTAAAATAAAGTAAGGGTCTGCCTCCACTCGATAGTCCAGAATACGGTCGGCATTGGCTCTGTTCTCGGGCAAAGCGGGCTCCAGTCGTAGTTTTTCCATTGCCAATACCAATGACTGTGCAGAGTCAACCAAGTTTTTGTATACAGTCAACTTATAAGTTGCTAATTCTTCTGTACTATAGCCACCTTGATGAATAACCTTCATTTGCTTCACAATAGTGGATTTGCCAGACTCTCCACTCCCTATAAAGTCAGACAAAAATCATGCAAGTGGCCGTCGAGCGTTACGTTTTGCTTTTCATATTGTCGTATCTCGAGAAAAGGGGGGATGGAATACGAGAGGGAGATGTGAAGAAACGAAAGGATGCATGAAATTCATGAAAAGATACCAAAAAAAAAAAAAAAAAAAAAAAAAAAAGTAGAAGTACAAGGAAAAGGGCGAATGGGGGGATACACGAGTTGGTAACACTTGCTTACCTAGTAACAGGATTTTACACTCTTTTTTAAGTCGCCTATTATCTTCTTCCAGTCCTCGATCAATAGTTTGACTGATCTCCTTCTGCTCCTTTTCCTCTGCAGAAAGACAGAGTCCCATGGTTGGAAGTTAGTGCTGTGTGAGAGTTTTAATATGGGCGAAAGTGTAGATGTAAAAAACAACAGTGGACTAGCGCGTGGTATTATCGATTGGAACGGCGAGCAAAAGCGTGGTAGGAGCAGAAAGGCGCGCCGGTCCAAGCCAGGATTGGTTTTTTTAAAATACGAAACTAGCGTTGACAGAGAGATTGTCAAAGATATTTAACAGATGTTGGCTGACGACGATATAAAAGCGAATATATTTCTAACAGCCCTTCTTTGAAATGTATGGGTGACTAATGGATGGAGTATTGTCGGCTAGATGGCAATGTAGGATTGATTATAAACAATTGTATGCAAAAAAATAAAAATAAAAATAAAAAGCAATGGAGCAAATGTGTGTGCTTTTGCGAGAGGACTGCTGCTGTTTAACTTGGTTTGATAGACCAGACGAGGTTCAACTAGAGTTGAGGCATCAAATACAAGTGTAAGAGGAAGGAAAACAAAAGGCAGCTCGAATTGAATGTAATGTACGATGACAGGTGTTATTGGTGTGTATGTTAAATGTGTGTGAATGTATGTGTGTGTGCGTAAATGTTTGAGAGAAGGGCGAGGAAGGGAGGAAGAAAAGGAGATGGAGCCAAAGAGAGAAAAGAGAGGGAGAGAGAGTGAGAGAGTGAGAGCGAGAGAAAGAAGGTGATGAGAGTGCGAGTAGGATGAATAGAAACAGACAAAAAGGATGATGGGATGGGATAGGATGAGATGGTAGGATAAAATGAGAAATGAATTAGAGTGTCAAAGAGAATAAATAAAAACAGACAGAGAAAGATGTTGGGCGGCAATTGTGTATTAATGAATGATATATTTTCTTTAATGGATGTTCTGCAGAAAAAGAGAGAGGAAAAAAAAAAAAAAAAAAAAAAAAAAAAAGAAGAAAAGGGAGGCGTTCTATTGCGAGCACGTCGTGAACAGGTAAAAGGAGAGACGATGCAAAGAGACACACAAGAGACACAAAAAGGTGAGAGAGCAAAAAAAAAAAATCCCTCCTCTTGTATCCATTATTTGCAATATAAAAAGATGGAGGACAATTGAGTCAAAAAAAATTTTTTGTTTGGACAATGGATAGATGCTCTTGCCTGCTCCCATCCTGGTCGGGTGGCCACTGCATGGGACATTACGTTCACTATTTATTCTTGTTATTATTACTGTATTGTTGCTGTTAAAAAACTTACAAAACTTCACTTCATAATTTCCTTATTACTTTTGCTTATCCTTTACTTTAAGTCACAGTTCCACTTTCATTCCTCTCTAATCAATGCATTTTTTCAAGAAATGAATTAAGGATCAAAAAGCTCGACCCTTAAGTCCTGTCCAAATGCCATTTGAACCAGATAGGTGTCCCTTCTAGATTCTTTACATTCATGATTGATCTATTAGGAATAGATATTTGATTTTGTATTCTTGAATAAAAAACGACTTGGAAACACCCATGTCTACAAATTTTTTTTATATGTAATAACACTATGGTCGGATAGGCACACTGAGGGCTGTTTATGAGAAAACAGTTGATGCAGAGCAGAGAGCTCTAAAAACAAAGTTAAGACCATATAGACAAAGTTGCTTAAGGTAACAAGCTCTTTTACTTCTTGATGTCTTTTCGACACTCCAAAGATAAGTACCTCTTATTAAAAAAAAAAAAAAAAAAAAAGCGTAAAGCATGGCCAATGCTCAGGTTGTTCATACTATTGCTCTATTCGTACCGCCTCGGTTAACAAGATGTTGTATTCCGTCAACAAGCAAAAATCGATCTATTAAGTGCAGCGATCTAGATTGTGCCAGGTGATTCACCATATCATTCATTGACTTGAGTATATAATCTTTCCCTTTCTCGTTTCCATTTTTCCGTTTCCGTTTCCGTTTCCGCTTCCGTTTCCGTTTCCGTTTCTGTTTTCCGTCCCCCTAATCTACAGTAACCAACAGGTAGCAAATGGTTGAGCAAACTGCTGAACATCCAAAAAAAAAAAAAAAAAAAAAATAACATGGAACAGGCCTATTCTCAACGGCTTGAAATGTCTCCTTTTTTAAATTTTTTTTTTTTGTTTCGGAATTCACGTGACATGTGCATATAGCTTTTTTCCATCCCGATAACAGTCAAGAGGTTTTGCCTCTTTGTCTGCATATTTCAGTTTCTTGACATTTAGCGCCACCAATTTTGATATATTTATACCGCTAGCATTGGGAGCATTGAAGCAATGAGAGATCAAGAGACCAATGCCACCAAAGCGACAGCAACGAATGATGAAGCTGAAGTTAAAGAGACGCCACAAAGTTCGTCTATAACTGCTCCGACATCCAAAATAGTCTCACACTCGTCTCAGTCATCAATCACACCTACTGTCAGCCATGAGGAAACAGTAGGAAGGCCTGTTGCCAAAAGCGAACTGCCACTAGAAGTCCAAGCTAAAATCGAAAGGAACCGACAGGCAGCGCTTGAACGGAGGGCGAAGTATCAACGAAAACTTGAGTCAGAACGCGCTATAGCCTATGAGTTCGGCGATGATGTTGAGGGTGGAGGGTTCCTCACAACCGGCGAGAAGAACAGTAGTATATCATCGCATGTCATATCAACCTCAAAGATTATCGAGGAAAATGCCAATCTGATTCACAAGGCTATGGAAGCAGTCGAACCACTGCCTAAGAATGCGTGGACTAAATTCTATGATTATGATTTGTCATCAATGAAGGATACAAAGGCGGGTTTTATTCAAGAGTTAGATGAAAAGGATACTGTTGGCGCAGGAGGAGATACGGAAACCGAGAACAACAGGAAACGCAAGTGGCAACCGACCAAGGCTCCTCCAGACCCATGTAAGCCTTATTCGCTTCGCTTTTCGTCTTTTTTTTTTTTTTTCTTTATAATTAGTATTTTTGTATTTTAATTTTTTTTTTTTTTTTTTTTTAATTTTTTTTGTAGCAATATTTCTTGGAGCTGAAGATAACTTTGAATGCCAAGACTGCACTTCAGTCGATGTTGATTTTCAGTTGTTACAACATTTTCATGTCCCTGTCTGCGTCGGCTGCCGAGATGCTCAACCCGAAAAATATTCACTTTTGACAAAGACAGAGTGCCGCTTGGACTATCTTTTGACGGATCCGGAACTACGAGACACAGAGCTATTTCCACATTGGGAGAGACCGAATCCTAAGAAAGCAACATGGAACAATATGATGCTGTATCTTCGTTGCCAAGTTGAAGAGTTTGCATTCAAAAAATGGGGGGGACCTGAAGGATTAGATCGTGAGTTCGAAAGACGAGAGCGAGACAAAGAAGCCAGGAAAGAGATCAAGTTCAAAAAGGAGCTTCGAGACTTGCGGAACAAAACAAGAACGTCAGTTTGGCAGGACAAGAAGGCGCAGCAAAGAGTAAAAGTTCATACGCATAGTTTTGGAACAGCTCTAGTAGATCCAGAGTCGGGGGCTTCGGTCCAGACTTGCATTGAATGTGGTATTCAAGTTGAGTGTGAAGAATTTTAATTTTAGGTGTATTTGTAAATAAAATTTAATAATTCAGGCAGCAATAAGATAACTCTGGTTTTATAATAGAAAAGCATGAGATAATGAAATTGGCATAGTTTAGGGAGTAAACAATCATTAAAATGTTTTTATTGTATGCATAAAATAGTTTAGGCAGTTCTCTTCTCGAGATCCGCCCATGCTTCTGAATCCAAAATAAGGCTCCCATATTTCTCTTTTGCCTCCAAAACCTTCGGACGAATGAGTGCAAGGGTCGCAGGATGGATAGGGCTTGAGGAAACATTGAAGAACGTCCTAAGTGTCACTAGCGTCTTTTCAACCATGTCCTCATCTTCCATATGCTGCTTCAAAATTGTGTCTAGTGCATGGATGAGCTGCAGCTGTGCTAGCTGTTTGCTACAGGTAGGGTCCTGAATTAGGAGTGTGTTGATTAAGAATACGGTCTTGCGAAGTAAGGAAAGATCTGATTGAAAGAATGTAAAACGAAGAGCTTTCAGTATCCGGTCTCCCTATCTGTTACAGTGCGTGTTATATGTTTTTCGTCTTGTGTGACACTACTTACCTGATTCAGTATTCAGAAGCGTTACCAATGTCTTGAAGCCATCCTGATTCTTAAATTCTTCCAACGCAGGTTCAAAATGCTTGATTGCACCGGATAAAGCGTAAATGGCTTTGGCACGGATGTAGATCTCTGGGTCTGATAACAATCCAATCACTGCTGCTAGGCCATTTTCCTTCAAGAACTATTCATAACGTTTAAGAATAAAAAAAAAAAGTTATTAGATACTACTCAGCTTTTGTCCCAATGTCGCATGTAGCCAAGGTGATCATTGATTTATACAGTACTTACAGCTGCCTGTGCCTTGGGATTATTCTGGGTAGCTGTCCCGCAAACCCAAGCAGCCTGCTCTCTGAATTTTGGATTACTGTTTTTCAATTCCTCCAGGATTGGTGGCCACATTTTCATATTCTCAATATCTGTAAATATTCAAAGAGTTCTCGGTTGTTAGTATTTATAGCTCTTTAAGGGCTTCGATTATCCATAACTAGCACATCCAACGAAATACTGATATAAGGAGACCTACTTGAGGCATTATCGATCTGTTGAATCAACATCTCGAAGTCCTCCCATGCCAATTCCTTCTCATCATTGGTCGCCTGAGGATTCTTTATCACTTGTAGAGCTTCAAGCATCATTTGGGAGTCGCTTCTGCCAAGGATGGCGTCGATGATCCCCGGATCCTATTTTTTTTAAGTTGTACGGATAAATGAGAAGAGTGGCAATCTAAGTAACCATGCTGGAGTGCAACACTTGACTCAATTCTATAATAAATATTTGATCAAAACCATACAATTTTTTCAGCGGGCTTCTTTGGAGCGCCTTCAGCAGAAGCATCTTCCTTCTCGGTGGCCTGGTTAATGATAGACCATTTGAGTAATTCATTCAAGGATTTTTGTTGTTGAGACATGTCGTATGTGAGAATGTGGAAGCAATTTTTTCAAAAACAAATGAGGAATGAAATGGAAATGAATGGAAAATTAAGCTTTTATTGACTTCTGGAATAACACTGTCACAAATTCAGACGTTATATTCCTTTCTACACTGCAGCTGGGAAGATGGTGCAGAGTGACATGCATGCTGTCTGTGTAACAAGGAATTGTTCTGTACCCTGGAGGAAGATGACATGAAAAGAAAACACGGATTGGAAGGAACCTTTACCTCCCTGTCCCAATATCCTGCATCTTTCTTTGAAAGTATACAAACAAGCACAACATTTCGCATAAACACCCAACATCCAACTGGTCTTTTATTTTTTGTTAACATCCCTAGCTCAGTTGGCGTTAATACTCAATCTCTCTTTGGCGTCCATGAATGGCTCAACGAGCATGTTATCTGACTCCAACCTGCCTCATCGCTTGAAGAAGATCTCTAGCCCGTTCCTTAGATGCGCTTCATTTGGAAGAGTTGGAAGAGGCAGCGCGATCCGTGATAAACACGACGATATCGTCCCCTACAATTTCACACCAGGCAGTCGGTATAGCTCCGACCAAAGCACCAGTACTCTCAATAATATCCTCACAGCTGATACAGTCCTCAAAAATGGACCAACAAAAAAGACCACAGCAAAGAAAGCCGTCAGCCAACTGATTACTTCCTTTTCCAAATTCTCGTTATTACACCTATCTGGTCATTCGGCTTCAGACTTAAACTGTGGTCGGTCAGTGAGCATGATAATCGAACCAACTATAACTAAGGAGCCATATATACTACCTGAGCTGTCGCTTCTCTCGAGGAATGTCTCGAAAGATCAAGCGACATCCACAACTATTACCGCCATCGGTGTCGGTGATGAAGATGGCAATAGGTCTCTACATCCAAAGGCCCAACCAAGTCATGGTGTAGCCGGCAGCAGTAGTCTTCCAACCTTAACAAAGCAACCAGACTTACCAACTCTTTCGCAGCTTCAGATTGGGCCTATCGCGCGTATGAACTTCCGGGAGCAGACTTTTGTCAAGGAAGAGGATATATTTCAGACCACCCAGTTTTTGATTAATCCTAGGAAAGAGCGTGTTCATGCCAGGCAAGATGAAGCTGATGTGGCACCAACACTAGCTCTAGGTCCATTTTCACCTTACTCGCCTGGCGTGCTAGACTTGGAATCGATGATTAATATGCTACCAGTCAAACAACCGATCGATTTGAACGAGTATTGTAGAATCGTAGATATGAGGCCCAAGGAAGATGATGAGGACTCTGACGTAGAAGAGGACATTGAGCGCCACCCGGAGAAGAAGGGAATGGGCCATGGAAAATACGATGAGGACGTTGAGTTTATTGAGAAAGTGACTGGCTCTGGACCTATTCATCAATCTAAAGAAAGAATGAGTATTAGATTCACCCCGGCTATTAACTCGGTCGACATGATAGAAACGGCAGACGATGAAAACACCATACTGAGGCTGGGTAAGAGGACTATCAATGCAGATGCACGGACAATGACTGGACACACGGTTGAAAGCACCTTCCACACGCCTACGACTGATTTACCTACAATTAATTTACCTTCAACTGATGCCGAGGCTATTGCCAAAAGATGGCGCCATGACCAGTCTACGGGCATGAACATCCAGCATCCTGACAGCACCACTGTCGGGCATATTGCTTACCACGCGACTTACACTGGCTCACAGTTTCTGGAAAAGCGAGGAGGAGGTCAGGATTGCCAAGGATCGTTGGGCTCTAATAAATCATTGAATGCTAGTACAAAGATTTCCGCCACAGATATACCGGATTCGCCGCTAGTCACGACATGCTTAGATAGGCGACTCTCCTCTCCTTCTGAAAAAACATATGAGGTATTTGGGGCTCAGGCATCAATGTCTGAAGATGAAGTCTCAATCCAGATACCTAGCATTTCGATGGAGAGCACGTCATTGCCATTACAGCCACCACAGGATCGACTCAGGTCTTCTACTTCGTCCTTGACCGAGTTCTCACACAATACAGATATTGAAGCGGACGGGTCAGGTAATATTGATAGCAATCTTGCGCAGTCAATGATGCTACCCTCTACGAAGATAACGGATAAAAAGAGCAGCTTTAAGCAGGCCCCAACAGTTCAGGAGCAAGTAATCGCGTCAAGAGTATCCCGCTCCGGCAAGCTATTTGCAACAAAGATCAAGACAATTGCCATCTTTGAATACAATACTGCCAAGAAACTGGGTAAGGGTAATTTCGGTATTGTCTATCAAGGCAAGCATATCTATGGAAAAGAAGAAGTAGCCATCAAGAAAATTACGCGGAAGCTTCCTGGTGAAATTGAGAAGTTGGGCTTGGTCCAGAGAGAGATGAGAGTTTGCAGGCTGTTCCGTGATTTGGTAAATATATGAGTAAATCTATGTGGAGATGTAGCTAGACTGCAATCCTTGCTTTGGCTAATTTTGTGATCATAATTTCGCGTTTACATTTTGAATCATTAGACAGGTATTGTGCCGCTGTTGGATATCATTACCACCAACAAGCACCATTACTTGGTCTTTCAGAAAGCTGAAGGGGACCTTGCAGAGATGCTACGTACACGTTGTAGGGATACTATTGATCGTCGTACGAACAGGGACTTGGGTCAGCAACCACCATCACCATCTTGTTGTCTAGGCACGGTTTTCAGCGTCCAAGAGATCCAAACTATTATGAGGACAGTCGTCTTAGGACTGCAAGTTCTTCATTCGAAGGGATACAGCCACAAAGATATCAAGCCAGCCAACATCCTCTTCCGTGACGGCCAAGGTCTTTTGTGTGACTTTGGGCTTTGTAGCCAAAAGCATGAGTTGCCCGAGAACCAATTCTTTGGGACCCAAGACTACGCAAGTCCCGAGGCCCGACGCGTTGGTGGGCATCGCACATGTGACTATATCAAGAGCGATATTTACAGCCTGGGTGCTGTATTGTATGAGCTAGCCACGGGATCTGTATTATCCAAGGTGATTAGCCACGGTCTAAATTGGGGGAAGATTGCAGAGTTTGGGGGAAGAGACTTTAGCGAGCTTCTACAAGGGATGGTTAATGATATTGAAAAGAGGTGGGATATTGATCGAGTTGCAAGTAGTCCGTTTTGGGGCAATGCGTCATCATCGTTATTATTACGCACAACAAAGTCATCGACTATGGGCGCGACTACATGTGTGGGTATGGCTGTGAATGCTGACAGTCCGCTTTCAGTGACACCTGAGGCTGAGAAGAGCAGGATATCAGAGCACCTGAATTCAACAAAGGCTGCTTTATCAGCCACTCCAATGAGCATGGTGCCGCCAGTTGCCTGGGGGATAGAGTAGGTTACCCTGAAAATGCAGTCGCCATCGAGATACTTTGTAGATCCCGTATGGAATGTTAAGTCGCGTGTAGAATAATGACCTACAGCAGTGACATATCTCCCTTTTTCTTTACATAGTGCTCTAGACATTAACATTTAAATATTATAAAAGTGCATGCCCAGCCGATTCGCACACACGCATTGGCACAGGCACATGTACACATGGACGCACACATCAGCGGGGGGCGGCATTTCAAAATTAATGCGTTGACGATGACATCATGATGTAAGCCATTCAATGATGCGAGACTAAAAAAAAAAGAGGAAGGGAGGGTGAAAAAGAAAGCAAAAATGCATCATGGCATCAGCGTTTGGAGTTTGTCTTTCTTATCAACGGTTTATTGTTTATTTCGCGGTTGCTCAACAGGTCGTCTCTTTAGTGGATGTCCGTTCCTGACCTAGTCCTCCTGCGCTCAGATAGGTGGAGCTGAGATTATGTTTGCTAGTTGAAGCATTCACATTCAGAGAAAGAAGGTAAAAAAGGGTCACCCTTTTTTTCTCTATTTCTTTCTTCCTGTCTTTCCTTCTTTATCTCTACAACTGGGATATTCTCATCCCTCCTTTTTTTTTTTTTTTTTACCTTTTTTCAAGCTCTTTCTTTAAATCTTGCATTCATCCCACCATGGCTCAATTCGCAAAACTCTCCATCTTTGGAACTGTCTTCGAGGTCACAACTCGGTAGGTGCATTCTCTTTCATACTTTCACACACTCTTTTTATTATTATTAAATGTTCCGCAGAATCATCAAGATGCTATTGTAATTCAACACCTCGAAATGAACTCATTGACTTAGTAATTTCAATATGATGCTCTTTGTACGTGGTTAATAGCTATGTCGATCTTCAACCTGTGGGCATGGGCGCCTTCGGTCTTGTTTGGTAATTTTCGAATCTCGAATCGTCTGGATGTTCTTTGACAAGAAACAAAGGACAGTGCCACTGAGACAACCCAACCATTTCTAACTTGTCATGACCGGCGCGTTGGATTTCTCACATTCTCACTTTTTCTTATCATTGTAATGATCTTAATAATGTTAGCTCTGCTAAGGACGAGTTAACAGGCCAGCCTGTGGCTATCAAGAAGATCATGAAGCCCTTCAGCACTCCGGTTTTGTCAAAGCGCACATACAGAGAACTGAAGCTGTTGAAGCACCTCAAACACGAAAATGTAAGACATTTTCGTTTTGCATTTACTCTGCAGTGGGTTGAGAGGAATCAATTGAAAAATAACGCTGATGTTTTTCTTAACAACAGATTATTAGCTTGAGTGATATCTTTATTTCGCCGCTGGAGGACATGTAAGTGAAAAAGATGACAAGACCTTAAACCATATCGAAAAAAAAAAAAAAAAAAAAAAAAAAAAAACCCTTTTTCTTTTTTTGAGCCAATCCTTTAATACACCTGAAAAAATGCCAGCATTGGGCATTAGGTCATCTTATTAACATTAATGGAATTTCGCCTTGCAGCTACTTTGTTACGGAATTGCTTGGAACAGATTTGCATCGTCTGCTGACCTCGCGTCCCCTTGACAAGCAGTTCATTCAGTACTTTTTGTATCAGATCTTGGTATGTTCAGTCCTCATTACTTTATTACGATATTCTGTAGTGACCCCGAGCAACTGTGCAAGGGATTCGTCACTAGATGAGGTGTAAAATTTTTTTTACAAGTTTAATCTCTGATGGTTGGCAACCTCTTTACTTTCTCTCTCTCTCTCTTTCTTTCTTTCTTTCTATCTCTACCAATGTGGCCTGGGAATGACTGTAGCGCGGCCTCAAATACCTTCACTCGGCTGGTGTTGTTCATCGTGACTTGGTAAGTGTATTTATTAAAAAGGAAGATTTTTTTTTTTTTTTTTTTTTTTTTTTTTTTCCATCAACCATTATCACTCAACAAACATCCGAGTATCTCCTTCGGCGATTAGAAACCAAGCAATATTTTGGTCAATGAGAACTGCGATCTCAAGGTACGGATAATGGCAATTTCTTTATGACTTGCGTATAGAAGTTATTTCAGCTGAGAAATGACCAACATTGGTTTACATCAAATGTAGATTTGTGACTTCGGATTGGCACGTATTCAAGATCCTCAGATGACAGGCTATGTCTCCACTCGCTATTATCGTGCCCCTGAGATTATGCTTACTTGGCAGAAATATGATGTTGCTGGTAAGTGATTCAGTTCTATTTTTTTGCAGTTGGAGCAGTCCTTGTACAAGTTATTTTGTGTCACTGACAGCATCTTCCTGTGTGTTTCTCTTTTTTTTTCTTAGTTGATATTTGGAGCGTAGGATGCATTTTTGCTGAAATGTTGGAGGGTAAACCTCTATTCCCTGGAAAGGATCGTAAGTCAATCTTATAAATCTACAAACATAAGAAGTTGACAAGTTTCAATGGTTCTTTAGCAAGAATGTCATGGTTTCATTTCTAACTACGGTTTATTATTTGACTTGGCTATGGATAGATGTCAATCAGTTCTCAATCATTACTGAGCTCCTCGGCACGCCCCCAGATGATGTTATCAAGACTATTGGAAGCGAAAATGTATGTTATGAGGCAGTTTCTCGGCTTAAAGGCTAAAGGCTGATAACGAGGCCTTTTTTTTTTTTTTTTTTTTTTTTTTTTTTAAAAAAAAAAAAAAAAAAAAAAATAGCGGATACTAACCACTATTTGAATCTATTTTAGACCCTTCGATTTGTCCAGTCGCTTCCCAAGAGAGAGAAGATCCCATTAACAACAAAGTTTCCAAACTCGGACCCACTCGGTATGTACACTTGCTAACCTATGTGTCATGATCACGAATGGTTAATCAACGATTGATGACTGATCAGTACATCTTGTCATCTTTGTTTTTAGCACTGGATCTGCTCGAAAGGATGTTGATTTTTGACCCCAAGAAGCGTATTACGGCGGGTGATGCCCTTTATCACAAATACCTTGAGCCATACCATGATCCTGATGATGAGCCCGTTGCTGCCGAGGTCTTTGACTGGTCTTTTAACGACGCGGACTTGCCTGTGGATACATGGAAGGTCATGATGTATAGCGAGATCTTAGATTTCCACCATGTGGACGAGAACCAACCAAACCTTGAGCAACAGCAACCTGCTGGCTATTAAAATATGAGGCATTGTTTTTTTTTTTTTTTTTGACGTTTTTTCCTTTCAAATATGCTTCGGCTCCACACATACAATAAATGACAACAACAAATGTTATATATCCTTTATCTTGAAGTGCGACCAAAAATAGTCGCAAGCTTTTTTATTCTTTTTTTTTGCTCAGTTAAACCCTCTCCCATCCTTAAGCTAAATTAAAAGAGCTTGGTCTCTGGCATCACGAGAGTACGTTGGGAAATGCATTTCATTATAATTCTTTCGATATGCATATTCTAATGCGACGATCAAATTATGAACTTATTCTCACCATATTTGCTACGGCAACTACAGCAGCGAGAGCTGAAGAGAAGGGAGGAAGAAGAATTGAGCGGGAGGAGGCAGGTCTTTACGAGATCATTTTATAAAAAGCCAATTTGGTGTAATTGAAATCTTTAGACATATTAAAAAGCGGCCAAACACCACGTTTACCTTCTGCACGGAATACGAGAGAGATGTTCCATGGAGGGGAGACAGCTTCGTGCTTGAGGAGAATTGGCCGAATCCAACTCTTTTTTGGCAACATCCTGTCTTTCTCCTGATTAACTTGAGCAGACGATTGGTGGTTTTCTCAAATCCCGTATCACGAGCTTTCTTAACGTCCTATTGATATCTCCAATATATTTTGTAGAACCCGTAAAGTGATTCTTTTGCTTCCTCAAACACCTTATAATATTCATCAATGTTGCAGCCATTTCCCCAGACTGATGGTGGGCTATTCTCGAGTGCCGACTCTGAGGCTTGGACAGATGGATCAAGCTCCAACCGTGTTTGACTACGATGTATAAACACGTTTATGGAACGAATGAACATCTCGTTCTCCTTGTTTTTGTGTAAAACACAGCTCTCCAGCATCTCTTCAGCATCTGCCAAAAAAAAAAAAAAAAAAAAAAAAATCATACAAAAATCAAATCTCTTGTAACTAGTCTTTAAATCATAGTGATTTTATCATACATCAACAGATCGCTCTCTCGCTTACTGACAACGTCGTATGGCTGGTAATCTCGCACTGTCTGGATGTCCGCTTCGGTACGGCATATAGTCGCATTCCATCCTTTTCGTTTTTAATATTTAACAAGAGCAACTTTGATTCCGTAGGTCAGTAGAAGGCTCGCTTCAAATTCTTGACGACTGCTACAAAGTGGTGTTTCCGTGCGCGAAGGCTATTCTTTATTTGGCTGTTCAGAGTCTCCATCGCCCTGCGTGCAATATTTAAAAAAAATTCTCGTTGGCACAAACGGTGATTCGTTGTTTCTTGTTTTTTCGATACAAGGGGCACCGCCAAAACAAAGAGCTTAGGGTCTCATTAGGGCCAAGCTTCAGTACTTGCTGTTCGACTGTTAAATGAGCTTTACCCGCTGCATGAGAAGAATATGTATGGGCGATAAGAGCGAAAAAAGCCCCCAATACATTGACACGTGCTGTAGTGATGGAGTTTAGGGCGGAGAATGGGCTCATAGTCCCTCTTTTTCAGGAAAGGCCAGGCCATTGATATCCATTGCTGTGGGAATCGGATTATACTATTGCAGCGGCTGTATTGTATCAGTGGAATCGACGGAAGAAGAGTGATGAAGGCGGGACAATGAAGTAGGAGGGAAATAAGAAAAAATGGATGTGTGAAGGGTTTCATAGCTAAACCAGTCTGTTGATCAGAAAGTTAGTGATACCAAGATGTGGACCCAAGCACACATTTGTGAGACATGGTACCATTTTTGATTTTTGATCTGTCAATTGTAATTTTTTCGATTCTCCTGCTGTTCCCATGGTGCTTAACTTTGGCCAATGCAGTAACCATTTCCCACTTAACAGCTTGTGACCGCTGAGTATGTCAATCAAAGCTTGGATGCGTGGTAAAATACCCGTAAATGTGCGCTCTTACGGAGGTGGGGTATCCTCAATCATGTGATAGATTACATCTGAAGATTTCGGGAAGAGACTCGATCTGGCAAACCAGGGCTATTCTGATGCCGTTCTTAGCTCTTCGGGCCATAACCTAGTTTTCCTTGTTTCTGCCAATCCTCTGTTCGTCGACCCACACCACCTGAATGTGCTTGCAGGCATAAACATTGGGGTGCCATGGACACTGCTGACTCCCATAATAGATGACCTCAAGGTACACAATCCGCGATCATAAAAACTCATATTTCATGACAGATAGCTTGAAGTGATATCAATGTACTTGCACGCCAGTGGTGCTATGGTGTGCCAGTGGCGCAAACTTTTCGTCATAGTAATCATAAAGCAGTACATAGTTTAATATGATTCACAGAACATCGATGACACTGATACGCACCACCACTGGTACAACAGGGATATCACCTAGCGAAAGTCACTGGTGATTTCCGCTGAACGGAGTGAACACCAACTCATCTGCTTCTGGCTCTACTTTAGCGTGCAGAACGGGATATTACTGCTACTACACCCAAAATGCCAAGGATACCCGTGAGAAGAATGGTGGGCCAAAGAACACAAGTCTTTGCATTGACGCTCCCTTCGTTCCAAGTGTTAGGCACCCTCCCCAATGCTCATCAATAAAATAACAAATAAAATCTAAATAATCTAGAATAACCATCCCTAGTAGTGAAGTCCACAGGAACTGCTTCATAGCACCCGGAATCCACAGGAATGATGCAAAGTATATTATTAGATGTCTTTAGAGGCTTTTGGGTGTAAATCCATCGAGCTTTTATATTGAAGGTCTTCTGTGAAGACGCGTCTTGATATGGGTGTTACTGTTAGCAGACATGTTTAACGAAGATCTTTCTTTCGCTCTCATTACTTACTATGATCCGATGTATAGCATCAGAAGCATAAAACCTTAATACAATTCAGAGTCGCTCCTCCCATGGACCCTAACAAGCACTACTTGATGAAGTCAATGGTTTCCAGTTACTATGGCTGAAAATATATAAAGAATGAATTGAGGTCGAGTGGAGAGAGGTTCCAGTTGGTAATGATCGTCTCAGCAGGTGTTGGGCGTTGTTGCATTTGCTTATACCATAACTAACATCCCATGATTTACAGGTTGAGCCAGAGGCGAAAAGTGTTCCTCCAAGCTTCCTTCTGCAGAGAGGTATGTGTCGAAAATCGAGAATTTCACAAGTTTGGTTGTATATGGATAGGTTCTAATCGTTCTTTCGCTCCTCAAAGTTCGCGGTAAAGTCGCCCGAAATATCTGGAGTAGAGTACTCCGTTGCCATGGACGTGTAGAGGGGCCTTCTTCAGTCATGTTCATGCCCCGACTATGTCCGACAGAAGATCCCTTGCAAGCACATGTATCTGGTGTCAAGGATCTACGACGGCTTCGATGGTCAACATGCCGCTGCTCTTTCGCGCATTAAACATTAGGACAAGCGCGTAGGCTCCAACCTAAGGTCCTCTCGAGAGAGATTTATCTCGACAACTTTATTGCGCGAGCCGAATGTGATGAGAGCTAAAGAGAGGGAAAAAAAGAAGAGAGAGGGAAGAAGCCACTATCCAAAGCATTCAAAGGGTGTGAAGAAGAGCTTATGGCTCTGTGGAAGGAGCTGGGCCGTATGGCATATAACAGGCAAAAAAGGTGTGCATTGAAGGATATATACAAGACTCAGTACAGACCTAAGACAGTGAGAGGTGTTCAAGCGCCTGAACAAACTAGCTGCAAAAAGCAATAAATCAGCTGACCTCTTTGTCTTTGAGCCGAGATTGTACTACTCCGTGTCAACGACAGAGGCGATTGTTGTCTCTACTTGGACGTTTCGTTCCATCTTTAATTTTTTCCATCACTTTTTGACATTTTCTTTCATCAAAGATGGCTATTAACGTCGCGCGCTGGAGCATTGGTCTTTTGGTGTTGCTTAGTATCTTGCCATGTGTATTTGGATTGTACTTTTATCTCGAGGGTTCCGAGCAAAAGTGCTTCACAGAGGAATTACCCAAAGAGACTATGGTGACAGGTGAGACATCTGAAAAGCCTGGAAAATTGATCAAACAAATAGATATCTATAGTTGATTTTTTTTTTTTTTTTTTCCTTTTTTTGTATAAATACGCTATATTCGAACTTCTTTTAGCTGATTACACTGCTGAGGAATGGAGCGAGGAAGCAAAAAAGTTTGTCTTGAACAAGGACGTTTTGATCGAAGTATTTGTCAATGTAAGTTTTTATATTGTGCCGAAGAATTTTTTTTCTTCACAGCGATACTCATCGGACTTTGCTTAAAAATTTTAGGAGATATCGTCGGGTACTAGGATGTATAACCAAAAGTTGCCTTCAAAGGGCAAGTTTACGTTTACTTCGGCCGAGTCTGGAGAGCATGCAATTTGTCTACAGACTTCGGCTGCTGGATGGTTCAGTACTCAAAAAATTGTAACGTGCGAATAGTCAATAGCTGACAATATTTGAATTGACTGAGAGTTCGGAGGAATCCAAATGGTTTACTTTTTTTTTTTTTTTTTTTTTTTTTTGGTCGATAGAGGGTCACATTTGACATGGACATTTCTGATATTCTGGATGACACGGATACACCTGAGAATCAATTGAGCGGTAATAGTCTTTATTATTATTATTGTTATTTTTTACGATGGTCATAAAATTCTGACAATGGATATGCGCCACGTTGATGATCCTTAGATTTGGCTCAGCGTGTCCGTGAATTGAACAACAAGGTCGGCGACATTAGACGCGAGCAGTCGTTCCATCGTGTAAGATTTTGTGTCATTGTATATATTTTTATTTATTAGTTTATTTTTTCTTTTCATCTGCATGTCCAATTAATAATAATATTTGTTATGGTGAACGACCACAGGAACATGAGATGGATTTCCGTAATGTAAGTGAGGCTGCCAATGGACATACGGTTTCCTGGACGATTGTCCAGTTGATTATCTTGGCAATCACTGCTGCTTGGCAGATGCGTCACCTCCGCGGCTTCTTTGAGGCCCGAAAGATGATCTAGAAGGTTAAAAAAGAAAAAAAAAGTTGCTACTCTTTTATTAATGTCAAATAAAATAAAGACCTTAACATTAAGAAATGACATAAATGATAAAGTCTTGGTTGTACGAAAGACCAATTGCTAAATGTATTTTGGCATATATCAGGACAATTTGCACGGGCCTTTCTCTCTATCTCTTTCTTCCTCTTCTTATTCTCTTGTTCCATCACCATCATTGAATTGCAAAAGAATCATGTCTCTGAATACGTCCAATGTGACCTCACGTTTGTCACGATTTACAACCTTCCCTGCTGCAGTACTCTCAACCGCTTTAGCACTCTACCTCGGCTACAAGGCATTTCAATTGCTAGAAGCTCGACAGCGTCAGAAGCAAAGGGCCTTGGAGCCATCACCAACTAGTCCAGTTCTTGTCGACCATTTCCAATTCGTCAAAGTGAATGGAAAGCAATTAAGGATAGTTCATATTCCTCATGAACTTGGGTCTAAAGTGCCACTGTTAGTTTTTATACACGGTGTTGGGGGGCAGGTAAAAAAAAACTCCTTTCGACTTCGTATCAAACTGGCTTCGAATCAGTTTACTGATCAAAGTAAAAACTCTCTCTTTTCCTTTTAAAAATAGCTTGAGCAGTTTGAGAGACAAATCGAGTATTTTAGCCATAGCACGCATATTCTTGCTGTTGATATGTGTGGATACGGCGCAAGCGATGTTCCGGATAGGTAAAGTTGCGAACTTGTCTATTCAAGGCAATTGCAGACATATAATATTGCTGCCTTCGCTCACGCTATTACTATTTATTTTATTTTTTCGTTGCACAGTTATAAGCATTATACCACAGATGCCTATGTAGAAGACATTGTCACCTTACTACAACGTTACAAGAGCCAAGACACAGTCCTGATCTGTCATTCGTATGGCTGCGGGGTTGGAACACACCTCTACTCACGCCTAGAAACTTCTGAAGCACTCTACAACTCCATTAAAGCAATGGTTATGATTGCCCCCAAAGCAATGATCACAGATCACGAGCTTAAGGCTCGCGAACAGCTCCGGCGAACGCCGGATTGGGCGATTGATCTTGCAAGAAGACTTGATAGGATAGGAGGTATTCATTCTAAAAGTGTGAACAGGTTGCTTCATACGAGCGCAGGGGAAGATCTGCGACGAAAACAATTTAGATGGAACAAAGCCTCTAGGACATTTGTCTTGAGGAGAATCCTTCTAGGCGCACGATGGCCAACCCCTGATGATTTTCGGCGGATTCAATGCCCATTGTTGCTAATGGCGGGAGACGATGTAACGGATTGATTGTGTTTATATCTTCTTCGAGAGTATGACTGTATGACTTTTTAGAACTCAAAGTCTGGTAATTAAGTATTATCATTCTTTGATTTTTGTAGGACCGAGTTTGCCCTATTGCCAACGTGGAGCAGATCTTCAGATGGTGTCAAGATACCAATGAGCGGATAAAACTTCCTTTCATTATTCCAAAGGCAGGACATCAAGTGATGTTGGAGAAATGGGAGCTTGTTACACCAATTATCAGTAATTTTCTAATTAAGGACTGTGGCATGACGACAATGGATCCTTCCTGGCAGATCACCCGAAAATGTCAGAAAGAGAACAAATGGAGTTTAAAAAACACAGAAAAGGTTGATGACCAATAGTTTGTTTATATACGAAAAAATATCCATATGTCGTTGTAACTCCCTGCAATGGTTTGATCCTAGACTTGACGCTGTAATCATTGGTGAACTATCTAGTGGATGAATACACCGGCTATATCGTCACCTATTGGTAGAAGATCCGGAAAATTCAGAGCAATGAAGGTCTTGCGACAGACAGACCCCGATCACTCTCCTTCTGCCTTCTTAGCCAGACATCCCGAAGTAAACTTCATCCTCTTTTCTTTTGGTTAGAAATCAAGCGATATACATGATATAGATATTTATTATTATTATTATTATTATTATTATTATTATTATTATTATTATTATTATTATTATTATTTTTTAAATTGCTCAGGTGGGCTTCATCGTAGATATCTCGAAAGACGAACCACCGTACCGAACAACAGATTTTGAAGCAACATCAATCACGTACACCAAGCTTCCGACCATAAGCAAAATTCCACCTTCTAAAGCTGATGTCGAGCGCTTCATATCTCACTGCAAATCTTGCTGGAAAGAAAAGCCAGGCGTAGACATCGCTGTGCATTGTCACTATGGGTAAGCTTAAATGACAGGCATAGGTTCGGAAAAGGAAGTTGATCGAAAAAAAAAAAAAAAAAAAAAATAGTTACCCACTTGTCTAATGATTTTTTGGTATCACGAATTTGAATCGCCAAAATTTTCAGGTTCAATCGAACAGGATTTTTTATCTGTTGCTTCTTGATTGAAGAGCAAGGATATACAGTAGCAGAAGCACTCCATCACTTCGAGCTCTCTCGACCGCCCCGTGGTATCAGGTATAGTCATCATACGTGTTTTAATCGAAGGATAAATGTTTTGTATTTCAAAAAAACGCGAGCCTACATTCACTTTTTTTTTTTTTTTTTTTTTTTTAAAAAAAGACATGACCATTTTAAAGGTGAACTCTACCTTCGTTATGAACCACCAATGCAGCTAAAATCATAGTCAAGAGTTATTAATAATAACAGTTCTAGACAAGACAAATGGATCATTGCTCCACTGACATATTTATTTTTAAAAATGTAATATGATGGAAACACATACACAATTGAGCGAGAACGTCTGATCTATAGTTACGATGAGACTCAGCATAGCTTGCTGGCTACTTTCTCTATGTCGAAATCGTATCTCAGGTTTTCAGTCTAAAAATAGACAGAAATACAGAGTTAACATTAGCTATTTTCTATTCGACTCGAGCCAGGTCGGGCCAGTTCAGTCCAACTCCAACTCCAAACTCCCTTCCCCCCTAAAAAAAAAAAAAAAAAACTCACCGTTTGGGATTCAGTCGACAACCACGATGACTCTTCCTTCGATGACCGGGCTCTCCGCAAGAGACGCAAATCTCTGTGGTCTCCATGGAAGCTTTATCTGTAGGACTGTCAACTACGGCTTCTGGTACAGGATTCAATGCCCTGTATTAATAGAGACAAAGCATTTCTTTGATTAATTTTCGGTACCTTTATCACAAAGTCAAACGTTCAATGAAAGCGCACCGTTGCTCACTTGCCGTTTGGGATTTAGTTTGCATGCCTTGTTGCTCTTCCGTTGGTGTCCAAGCTCTCCACAGGAAATGCATTTCTCTACTGAGCTACCCTCGTTCAAGTTTTGACCCGTTGAGTGCTTGGCAGCGGAATCGGGTTCTTGACTTTGAAGCCTATTTTTTTTAAGAAAAAAAAAATGGCACTAACTTTTATTTCTCTGATATCATGGTTTCGATTGACAACGATCAATATATAACCTACCTCTTAGAATTTAACTTGCAGTCTTTATGACTTTTCCGTCTATGGCCGATCTCTCCGCAAGAAAAGCATTTCTCTTCGGAGCCACTAACCGAAGGTTCACTAGCAGACGACTCACTAGAGACGGAATTGTCAGTTTCAACAACCTTAGTAGTCATGCTAGATTCTGAAAGTTGAGGTCTACAACATATGAACAAAACGACAGATGAGTTTTTCAGTCAACATCCTTCATGAACCCACATATAGAATCGAATTGATATAAACTTGCCTCCTAGGATTAAATTTGCATGCTATATGACTTTTGCGTCTATGGCCTGTCTCTCCACATGTGGCACATTTTTCCGCAGTGTCATTGATAACAGAAGCTGTGGATGCAGAGCCGGTGGCCGAAGAATCATTCTCAACGCCTAAGGGTCTATGATGGCAGATTAATATATCAGTGAGATTTACATAAGTTTACTAATAGCTCCATTGACTTTCCCCCTGATAATACATTGTATATATATACGTATTAAGATACCTTTTATGGTTTAATTTGCATGCTTTGTTGCTTTTGCGCCTGTGACCAATTTCTCCACATGACACGCAGGTCATAGTAGAAGTTTTGTTCGCTATAGCACTGTTTGCTGGTCCTACTGGCCCTACTGGCCTGTTGAGAGAAGTATAGCATTAAAGATTGGAAACCAATATCGTCTTTCGCCTTATATAGAAGAGAGAGCATTTTATAAGTACCGGCTGGGGTTATTTGGGCAATCAGCGTGAGATTTGCGTCGATGGCCAGGATTTCCACAGGACGCACATACTTTGGCGGGATTTGTGGTCGCTGTGTTATTTCTCACTGTTTCTACTCGTCTACAAGTGCGCATCAAATAATTCGTTAGATTTTGATTCGAGTATACATGCGCGGAACTAGAAGGATTCCAAGGTAAAACAAAATATTCACATTTCAGCCTTGGAGTTCATGGGACAATTGCGATAGCTCTTCCGCCGGTGACCGACCTCCCCGCATGAAGAGCATGTTGCTGTAGATTGTTCAGGTATAGGGTTTTCAGACTGTGAGAGCCTGACAGACGAAAATCACAGAGTATTAGGCACTTCAAATTTATCATTAAGAATACCTAAAGACATAAAAAAAAAAGAGAAGGGAAAGACTCACCTTTTAGTATTCATTGGACATGCTTTGTTGCTCTTCCGTCGGTGACCGACTAATCCACAGGAGACACATATTGCTGAGGAATCGAAGACTGTAGCGTCATCAGATTCTGAATTATTGCTGGTAGTAACAACATGAGTATTAGGAGAGGTCTGTGGACTCTCAGATCTATTTGAACTATGACAGCGTAAGGTATCATTAATATTGCTGCGAAAAATGCTATAGGCTCGAGCACTTAGAAAGCGAATATGAACAGGATAAACCCTTACATTCTTTTGTTCAATTTGCAGTCTTTATGGCTTTTGCGTTGGTGACCAGCTTCTCCACACGAGGCACATATGATTGCAGTTCCAGAAGGTCGGGTTTCTGGTGTAATAGTATTGTTGGCCAATTGTTCTGGTGTAAGGCTCTCAATGTCGTGAGGTTCTTTAGTAGTGGTAGCCTTTACATAAGATGGTCCTGTTTTTTTGCTACCATTCCCGAGAGTAAGTAAACATTAATAAAGTAAAATAAAATAAGATTGAGTGGCCCTGAATCTCGAGATACCGATCAAGTAATGGTCTTTAAGCATGCAAACAATACTTTTTAATGGAATCTGCGGTATCTGCAGTATCTGTTTCAGCTTCGGTAGAATCATTTTCTAGTTGCTGTCGTCTGTGAGAGGTTGAGGGGTTGATAGTTGATAGCAAGCAATCCTAGTTAGAAGAATTTTGGTATAATGGGTCAATGGGCTAATGCATCGTCCATGGAAGTGCTTTCTAACCTTGCAATGTTTTGTGGGTTTTTGGGGCAATCCCGATGACTCATACGTCGATGGCCATTTTCACCGCAAGTAGCGCATTTGACATTTGTTAAGGCAGTTACAGGAGTGGATGCGGAATCAGAGTCAGGTGCTGTTGTAGAGGCAGGCTTGGTCTCGAGTTGTGATACAGACGATGGAGTAGCAGCAGAGTTTTGTACTTTTGCTTTCTTATCCACTGGATCATGATTGGTGCCATTAGAAGGCAAAGTCTCGCTTGCCAAGTTGACGCGGTTGCGAGGACAGTCGGTGTGACTACTTCGTCGGTGGCCGGTTCCGCCGCAGGCCGCACATATTGGGGTAGACTTGGTATTGACCGAGGGATTTGGGACAATTTCGGTCGATTCGGGGGTCCTAATAGGAGAGGGAGAAGAAGATAGTGCGATATTAATTTATGTCAGAATGCTCGATGGATATTGAAGGTTTAATTGCTTGATGGCTGGGTTTTCAGGAGCTACGTGTGACGCTGTTACTATTATGAAACAAGTTGAATTGTGAACTGGGAGAGTTATCACCCCTTCTTACATATTGTGGTTTGGGCACAGCTTGGATGACTTTCGTAAGTGTCCTTCAAGACCGCAACTTTTGCATTTGGAGATAGGCGACTCAGCCATAGGGATCCTTTGGAGTGAAGTGAACTAGTCTAACCCTCCTTTTAGATGATTTTTTTTGGGGGGGGGAACTTTATGGAAAAGAGAGGGTCGGGTAAAAAGGAAAATTTTGATATGAAGAGGAGAGAAAAAAAAAGATGTAATTTTTATTATTTAATATTTTTAGCATTCTTGAAAATGAGATTACGCAGTGTATATCACGTGGATACCAGCACAGAAGAGACATTTTCTTGAGAGGAACCAATATGGTACATGTACTCGAATCAGAAATTAAGTGTGCTCAACATGATGCTTAACCCATTTTATACTCATCAGGCATTATGATTATGGCTTGATGAACAAAAAAAAAAGCATTTCAGGAACTAATGCCATGCGTAGTTGTGAATATACACCATGGTATATACAATATGATACATGTATTCAGCATACATATACCTTTATATACATGTACATCATATGCGTCTGTTAATTGTTTGGGAAAAAGGGGGGTGAAAGACTGTCTCATCATTGTTATTAAAAATGTAATAAATTTTTGGGTCACAGAGCATTAATTGCAATGTTTTGTTTTTATCCTTACCTTTCGACTCTTCAGAGGTCGGCGAGACAAGTGCTCAACACATCATGTTCAATTTCAGTATTGAAAAACAATTATTTACAGTGATGGTAGAGGTAATTAAGAAATAATGGACTTGGACAAAGGAAAAAGTGTATAGTATTAATGAACCCTGTGTTGACGGCAATAGTCAACTACAACTCATATTACAATGAAAGCGAAAACAGTAGTGAGGTATCTTCTTGAAAGCTATACAAAGCGTTGGTTAAATAGATTGTGAATGAGTCGAATGTAGATCAAGTATAATGCAAAATAGATATTTACATCCGTCTATTGGACAACTCAATGGGCTTTAAAAAGATATAATAGTTTATTTGTTTTGCCACCGTTTTCCAATATTTGTGTAAGCTGTTAAGTCAAACCCTTCGGACCGTTGCACATTAATGAAAAGGAGAGACTGCGCCTCCCTTAGGGCCTGGACCATGGCTCGAAATAAAAAAAGAGAGAGACTTCTGGTCTTGTACTTGCATGCAGCAAAGTGCATTTTCATGAGCAATTAGACCAATGTCTGTGCAAGTGGACATTTGTTTATACAGAAACAGCAGTTGGTGGCATGGCATGTTTGAAGTTTTACCATCTCTACTTTCCAGAAAAATATGTGACAGGGACAAAGGAAGTTTTTTTATAGTTATTTACATCTGCGCCCAACTGGGACGTTGGAAGAGGGAAGTAAATCAAAAAAAAAAAAAAAAAACTTCTTTCTTTCACTCTTCATTCCTTTTCTCCCTTCTCTTACTCCCTCCATCCTTCCACCCTTTTACCACTATCACACCCATCCCTTGCAATTGACATTGCACCTTTCTTCCCTTCTCTTCTTCACCTTCTTTCCTTCTCCTTTCAACCTTTCATGTCAACACTTTGCTACGTTTAAAAACTGGGTGACTATATGTCATCATCAACATCATTTTTCTTTCTTTTTTTTTTACGATTTTCTATATTTTTCTACGTTTCCATTAGAATATCTTTATCTAGCCTCGTGGCACTCTAATGTCCTTCAGCGGATTCATTTTCTCGCAATCTTTATTCTAATTTACTCGCTCATTCATTCACCCATTCATTCACGACAGCATCTCCTTTTTATTCATTTCTTCCTTATTCACCAAACACATTCCAATAATAATGAAGCTGCATCATCCCATTATATTGTTCAGTCTCAGCTTGACGGCTGCACTCACATTCCTTACTGGAGTTTCCTCGACAGCCTATCGTTCTACGGCCGTTGCAGCGGCTCATAATCGCCAACACAGACAGCACCATTCTGAGCAATTTGCACCCATCGCACGCAAAAGAGCACTTAGTACAAAAAGATCCTCTCCTTCGACCCCAATTGCAAAGTCGCTTAGAAAGCGTGCTTCCGAGAAAAGCACAGAGTTATCTTCCTCGTCCTCTTCCTCGATACCCAATACACCCTTATTGCTCTTACCAGACTCGCATTCAGTCTGGCAGACTGGCTCTTATCAAACTGTTCGATGGTCCCGCAAGTATATCAAAAGTCTACCCGACGACACAACTGTCGACATCGTTCTCATGGACGCAAGAACAAACCGCAAGATCCACTCGCTCAAACGGTTTATTCCATTCAAGCGAGGTTCTGCACAAGTTAGGGTGCCTGTCAGCTTGCCCGAAGGAGTATCGTTTGTTTTAATTTTGGAGTTGTATCGTGGTCGGAGTCAAGAGCAGGTCACGGGCACAATCACTGCTTCGTCTGCTTCATTACCTCCTTATGAAGGTCAGCAGCAGCGGAACGAAACTCCGTCACTAGAAAATATCTCAGCTAAGAGTGCTAGTTATGGTCGATCAATGTCTAATATATCGGGTGATGCATTCTCAACAGTGGTGCGGAGATCAGACATCAGCATTTCTTCTAGAGCGCGAAGAAAGGCTAGAGGTGTAGCAGATCCAAAGGATGTGGCGGAAAATGTCAATGATAGGGCTCACGCACGTGATATGAGGTCAGGCACTGCAGGCTCGCATCATGACATTAATGACGATGATTATTATATTGGCGCAAATGCAGAGCATGGATACCAATTTTTACCAGAGGAAATGAGAGAAGAATACCCCAACACAGTTCGTCCACTTGATCTAGAGCATACATTTGGATTGCACCAGAAGGTTTACACACTGACACCATATACCCTTGAATGGAAGATCCCTGCACGTGTCGTAGAGCTGATGGAATACACACGCCAGGCACAGATGTTAGCCAGTGCAGGAAGCAAGATCAATCAGGGTCAGCCGTCATCTCAACAGCAACTTCCTTCGATCACTCTTAAATCAACATTTTTGGCCAAGGTGATGGTTGAGCTGGTATTGGACCAGACATTGGAAACAATCTCTGTATTGGCAAGGGACATTCCTGCAGAGACCATGTTTCAGTACCTTAGTATTCAGGATCGCGTTCCGCCGGCGTTCTATCGTCTCCGTGTACGTATGGTGGTTGTTGAGGTCAAAGTGGACGACTCCAAGATTCCGGCTCTGGGACAATATAGAGGATCTGATATGTACATGGTTTTACCTTCTGGACGTTCAGGCAGTAACAGGCTTGGTATGGAAGGATGGGAGTTCCCAAATGGTGGAAAGGTCATTGACCGATATGAGGCTGTTACGCGAAGATTCTGGATTTCACAAGGTGCGCTTTAAGAGCTAAACGTACCTTTTCAAAACTAAAGTCTGTATATAAATATCATAACTTGCCAACAATTACTCGGAAACAAAAAATCAAAAAAAAAAGAAAATAAAGTATAGCCCGTTCCATTTGTCGCGATCCCTTATATTTTTTGAATACTCTTAAATGTATTGGCAGCCAATTGACTCGCTTGTTATTGCAAGTGGTGTGACTGGTCATTAAAATTAATTTCAGTTTATTTTGTAGTCATAGGCGGGTCCGCCTCACCTAGAAACTACCGAGTATAAAAGCCAAAGAAACTTCCTTCTTAATAAAGTCTTCAGTTTTCCCCACATGTCTTATTCTTCATCCGCAGTTCATCTTGCCATTTATCTTTTTCCCCTTTTCACAACAAGCATTTGTCTTCCGGTAACTCAGTTTGTGAGCTCACCTATAAAGCTCCCATCTTTTGACATTCTATGGTGCTGTTTGTAGTCAAGGTTATTTGACTCTATTTTCTCTTGTTAATCTTGTTGACACCCTTTGTCCTGCCTTTTACTGCTTGTGTCTATCTTCCTGTCCCTTAAGCGAAGATATACCTATTTTTTACAACAATACCACCAAACCAATTCATTATAGATTAAGACATGTGGGGTCTATATGTTGTCTAAATAGTCCTCCCCATCAAAAAACATCATCTAGACCAAGCATAGAAATAAAGAGATTAGTCAAGAAAGCACTGTCAAGCTAATACTTACAACTTTTTCAAGACGAAGGCCTTTCCCGACCTAGTCATGTTTGTAGTAGCTCATGAAAAATTTTAGACAGACAAGTAGTAACCAGGGAGCAGAAGTGAGAATAGGATGTGGATTCACACATCACATCCATGGGGCATTTATCCAAATTTGTATCAAAATAAAACTGCAAGTTTGTCTCGGGCACCACACCATGGGGCATAGAGCTGTTAGTATGTCTGTATTATAAATTTTCATGTAACACGTGTACTGTGAAATATGCAACTGATCATATCCTATTGTTGTTGCCGGCTTGGTGTCTTTCCTCCCAATCTATCAGTGAGCATCGGTGCAACGCATATAAGGCACACAGGCTGTTGACGAGCCTACTTCTCACCTTCACCGTTTGACGCAGGTCAGGGTTGTGACGGTCTAGCGAACAAAACGTAAGGGCATTAACAATACCAGGATCGCATTAGACGGTAGTTGTGGTATTTGCAAATGAGCATCGCCCTGGCTCATGGAATATGAGTCCAACGTTTTCAAGAAGTTTGGGGCCCCTCTTCCAGCTTATGTTTGCGTAGTCTTCATCTATCAGGCCTTCACCGGCTGCCTTTAAAACACGCCGTGTTAAGGAATCCTTGAGAAAGTTTCAATTCCTGGCTGAGATCTTCTTCATCTACGTTAGATTGCTGCTGTCTCTTCGTCTGGACTGTGTCATAGGCAAGTGGATTCAGAACAAGGCCACTGGTAATATCGTTCCTTTGAGTTTGAACCGAGTTATACCTTTGTCTTGTGCCTGTAGGGGTACCTTGTCTCGATAGCCATGAAACATGCGATCTCCTTCAATGTCACAAAGAGAGCCTGTATCTAGACTTCTTTTGTTCCCTGTACACATTCAAACACTGCAGTCTTGGAAGGATTGTCGAGAGGATGTCAGTTAGGACGTGTTCAGACAGATACACATACCGAGGGGGGACGTAAGGAAGTCTGTTTTTTTTATTTCTTGTTGATTGTCATGGCGAAGGCTTGATTTGGTAAATGTAGATGATTGGAGAAGAGCTGTAAACAATACTCGAAATCCAAAAAGTTAAAACCTGTCGCTGAGAATCTTATTGTTTCGAGTTGTTCCAAATTCATCAGCCTTTTGTTTCGTTCTCTTTCATACACCTATAAATACGTCCTGCCTCCTTCTCTTTTTCCCTCTCTCTCTCTCTCATTTTACAACGACATTGCTTTCGCGCTCTCACCCGTACTCTTACACCCTCATCCCCTCACAGATCATAACTTTTTGCTTTCTTAAAGGTAAACTATCTCTACTCTAACAACTTCAGCTTCAATCTTTAGCCGCTTAAACCAACATTGCTTGCACTGTTTTACACTATACTTTCTCTAGATGGGTATTAAAGGACTCTATTCATACCTTTCAAGGAGAGACCTGCCACCAAAGGAGATTGATGTACATGAGCTTGCTGCTGAACCCCATTCATCTTTTGAGCTGGATCTGCTTGGCACTTTCCACAGCGATATACATAATATCATCCTAAGGAGATTCAGCTGGCAGAGTTCTTTCACTGCCTGCGGCCATGCTATGGCTAGTATCATTCGAAAGATCTTTGGTCCTCTTGCCACAGTGACGATACACATTGATGGGCCTCGCTGCGAAGAAAAAACGCGTGCCTATAGGGACCGAGATGCTAAGCGTACAGCAGCGGATGCAAAACTCGATACGCTCATAGCCAACATGGAAACCAAGTCCAATGAAGGCAAATGGGAATCTCGAAGCCATATGATTGCCATTAAAAAGAATCTTCGACAGCTCTTCACATTCAGTCATAACGAGAAGAGGGAGCTCGCGGCGCCATTCGGTCGATACAATAACTTTGTGATTTGCCATTGTAGAAATGAGGCTGATGTGTGTATTGCCGCCAAATGTACACCAACCAGTATCGCTGTGTCTGGGGACTCTGACCTTCTCATCTATCCTTCTATAAAAAGAGTTCTTCGTCCAATCCCTCGTCGCCATCACATGTTTGCACTCTATGAGAAACAAGAGGTCCTGCAGGCCCTTGGGTTTTCAAGGAACAGTCAACTCCTGGTCTATGGCATTATATCCGATAACGATTACACCCCAAATATCCCAACCTTTGGTCTTGCTACAAATGCTGAGATTATCTCCGCGCTCACTGACACTGATGCCGAAAAGTTGACGGTATCATATGTTCGTGAGGTCCATGCCCGTAGCCGTCGAACTCCTGCAGAAGGCCAGTTTGACCATTCAATTAATGTTTTCTTTGGTGGGATCCAAACCCAGGCCTCGCAGCAACCAACCGCTGAAAGATTCCTTCATTACCATGATAGAATGAGGACTGCGATATCTGCTAGGTACCAGAATAAAAATAATCAACCTCAACCCAGGTAAGCTCCTTCAAATGAACATTTTCCAAAGCATATACAAAAAAAAAAAAAAAAAAAAAAAGTCATCTAACCCTTGACATTGTTGTTCCTAATTAGATTCTATATCCCTAAACGCGCAAAGCCGAATCGCTATCGGCCTGTTTTCCCTACCCAGAAAAAGGAACTTTCCCCTAAGAAATATGACCTGACCAACTGCAAACAACACGACCGTCCCGTCAGCTCCAGCCGTCAAAGAAAGTCCCCCAAAAAAAAGGAAAAGGAAAAAAAAGAGGATGACAAAGAAGAGGAGGTTAAGGAGGAAAAGAAGAAAAAAAAGAAGAACAAAGGGAAGGCCAAGTATATCAGAAAGACTGATAAGACCAGGAAAGTGAAGGAGGCTACTGCCGAGGACCGACGGTTGAAGAGGGCCCACCCCACTGTTGCATTAACTCTGGGCACGTTAAAGACATGTGTAGTTGCCAAGCTGGACTCTACTTCCGATCCCAATCTCAATCCCGAGCAACTTGCTGCAACAATCCAAGGGCTCATTCAATCATTTATTAAAATGTTGAATGAGGCACGGATTCGAGCTTTCTGGGCCTGCGCCTTGTGGATCGATAACCTGCTTACCACTGGGCCATCCAATCCAGCTGATCTCCCACAACTCCTAGATGAAGTTCTTGATAGCAGGAACTTTATTTACGGCCTTGCTGCGTTGTTGTATCACGGAGTGATGAGTCCATTATCTAGGTATAGCAGGGAAGTGAAGAAAAAAGGCGAAGGGAACGTAGCCAAGCCGTCCCAGCTCAAAGCATACGAAAACTTCTATGCAAAGGCAGGGCTTGGTCCTTTAAACCAGATCTATCCCGATTTGGTGATCAGCAGGTCGTCTCGGATGGTCATGGTCCCTGTTCAAGCAGCGCTAAGGTCTCACTATCGGAATGCGCAGGTAAATATAATATTATAATATTTTGAGGTTATCTTATAATATGTTTATAGAAATGTTCCTAATCATTTCTTCAATATAATGTCTAGTTTGACATAGATATTCCAGGCGATGGAAGAAGTTCCATCCAATTCTTTTTTGAGCAAAATGCAACTGCCAAAAAATATCTGGATTTCCCTACGTCTGCTTTCTCGCCTCGGTCTCTTTGCCTAACGGAAGCCTGTCTCCTGGATATATTATGGTCTAACCCAACAGTTCGAGAGGAAATAGCCCAATTGTTAGAACTAAACATGAGTACCAAGGGGGCTGCAGAGGACAAGATCCTTAACCACAAGGGGATATTGTTGCAGGAGCTGTTTTCCTTGAAAGGATACAAGGACGTTGGACTGCAATCTGATGATGGTCCTAGAAGGAAACTACGGACATCGTTCTTTACAAACGGCCTTACCCTAACACTTCTTGCCTATGACACATCGAAGCAAAAAAGAGGTAGAGGTTCGCAAGCTGCCCAACCTTCGGATACTCAAAGATCTTAAGCGGTCCAGGCTTCTTCAAGTGCTCAGCAGGGATCCTCGTCTTCAGGCCATGGTGCAGGTGATGGTGGTGATGATGGAGACGACGACGGAAATGAAGATGACGATATCTTGCTGGGCATCAGCGATATTGACTTGCTGGAAGTTGATGAACCATTCTTAGATGGCGAAGAGGGAGAAGAAGCAGCTGAAGAAGGTACATCGAGCACAAATCCACTGTTCCCGGTGAGTCCCAGTCCCCGGCGTGAGATCAACTGGAAGCAGAGATCCTGTCTCCTCGAGAATGTAGAAGTTAAATATGACACCCAGGCAGCATGCCCTCCCCCCGAAAGTACCATTATCATTGGGATCGATCCAGGCGAGAGGTACTCGATGACAATTGCAAAGTTGGATCCAAGGAAACCTAACGAACGTGAGATCCTCCGGATTTCTAGAGCGTACCTTTACAAACCATCCAAGAAGTTTCAGGGCGAGCTAGAGAGGCGAAAGCTTAGAAGAGGAATTACAGAGATTGAAAGCAATATTCCGTCATTCTCAAGGCCTACTTTAACACAGTATTTCGCTTATATGAGCTTGCCGCTAAATCAAGCTCCATCAAGTACTGGAGGTAGTTTCTCTGGTAGTGGAGTTGAGGCCAGTAGTAGCAGTGGATCTGGGACCAGTGACGACAATAGGGAGACTATATATAGGGCGCTTGTCGATTTCTATAATGACGGGTGGTTTGTTCGGAATAGCTGGGATATTAGAAAAGCACAGAACGGATGCGTTGATTATGTGATCAAGGCAATTCTGAAGCTTGCGGGCGGAAGCAATGGAAGAAGAAGAGATGCCAATACGAATGCGGTGATCTGTATTGGACTAGGATCATTCAAGACAAACCGAGGACAAGTATCGAAGCATGGGATATTGATGAAGAAGCTTGTTGAAAAGGTAAAAAAAAAAAAAAAAAAAAAAAAAATTCCCTTGATCAATGACATTTAATTTTTGAGTCTTTTTTTAACGAGTATTAAATCTGGCTCGAACAGGCAAAATCTCTAGACTACCCCATTGTAGGTTGTCATGAATACTATACATCTGCCAAGTGTCCACGGCCTCACTGTGACAGTATATTGGAGAATGTTCCTTTTCGATCCAAGTACTGTCGAAATTGTAAAGCATACTTTGATCGAGATGCTGTTGGTGCTGAGAACATCGCAAGGGTCTGTGAGTCGCAGATAAGAGAGCAAAAACGACCTGCAAAATATATGCCGCCGGACGGAGGAACTCAAGGCCAAGCTTCTAGCGGTAGTGGCGGCGGTGGAGGTAGTGGTGGCAGTGGTGGCAGTGGTGGTAGTAGTAGCAGACCCACAAAAAGAAAATTTTCAGATGAAGGAGGAGGAGTAGAGGGATCAAGACCACCGAAAGGACCTTTGCTGGGTCCAGGAGGAGGGGGAGAGACAAGCCGGCAACAACAGTAGGACACAATCTACTACAAACATGACTAGGTCCAGAAAGGCCTTCGTCTTAAAGTATTGGCTTGATAGTACTTTTTTTTCTTGGTTAATTTATTTATTTATTTCTGTGTTCTAATACATTTCTTCTTTTTACAATAGATGGAATGTCTCGTTTTTTAATGGGACGGACTATATATATTGTATAGATTACTATTTCTGATCACATATTGTAATAAAGAAGAGTATGACTTTCAAAGCATCTTGGCATACAGAGAGCATTTTGACTAGCTGTGGCTGTGAAGAGCATTTGCGTTAGTATTTACGTAGTCTTTCCTCGTCTCTTGCCACAAATTCCTGACTCAAAGCATACAACTATTAAGCTTAGGTTCAAACCCACTAGTCAACTGGCCTCAAAGGATACGGAAGACGTGCTCATCATTCGAATTTTGTAGCCTTGGAATTATAAGAGGATCGAATCTCTTTTTCTCAGAAGGTGCATCCGATGTTTTTTCTAAAAGGGAAAAACCAATGGGATTACTTCCTTGTAACTCATTCACGTCCGCTACCTCTCTGATATTCATCATAATTAGCCAAGCCCACAGCGGGCGTAACTATCCATCAGGTCAAGTACAAACGGATAAATAAATAAATAATAAAAAAAAGAAAAGCTGTACACACTCGCAACACTGTCAGTCAATACTCCTGGAGAGAGGAGCTGCGGCCAGGACCGTCGTTTTCATCTGTATTTGTCGCATATTCTTTTCAAATGTGGGTGCGCAAATCAAGAGGGGAGACCCTATTAGGGGATGAAGAACGCGAAGAACTGATGATGACTCGGAGAGGGTCGCCTTCACCCGCCCCAGAGGACTGTACACCACTTCATGCTTCGTTGGCCATGGACGAAAAAGACGCTACTACTACTACTTTACCCATGTCAACCAAGGACAGCTGGAATTTTTTATTATTAGTGGTATTATGTAAAGGATAACATAGTCAGGTCTTTTCTCTCTCTTGTTATGATTATCCTGTTCTAGCATATAATGAGCTACCATCGCATCAAGTAAGACAGCTAAAGTCATCGGTGTTTATTGCTGCTATTGCTATTATTTCGAGTAGATCTTTTACAGGGTGTACCAGTAGGATTGGCCTTTGGCAGCGTCCCATTCTTGCTCAAGGCTAAGATTAGTTACTCGCAGATTGGGGTTTTTTCCCTCGCACATTACCCTTACAGCATGAAATTCCTCTGGTCTCCGATTGTCGACGCAGTTTATAGCAAGGAGCTAGGCCGGCGCAAATCATGGATTGTTCCTATTCAATTGTTGACAGGGTTTATGTTTTTTTGGTTGGGGACCAACATTGATGAGTGGCTAGAACAGGATCAAATTGCAATAGGCACACTTACCGCAGTGTTCTTTGTTCTGATATTTTTCTCCGCCACTCAGGATATTGCTGTAGATGGATGGGCATTAACGTTATTATCCAAGAACAATGTGTCATATGCGTCGACCGCTCAAACGATTGGTCTTAATTCGGGCTACTTTTTGTCCTTCACTGTTTTTCTGGCATTCAATTCTCCCGAATTCAGTAACAAGTATTTTCGATCGGAACCTCAAGATGTTGGCTTGGTACCTCTTGGCGGATATCTCAAATTCTGGTCTATGATGTATTTTACGATCACGCTATGGCTTATCTTTTTAAAAAAGGAGGAGCGTCCCCAGACAGATCAGAATGAATTTAGTATCAAATCGGTGTACAAGGTTATCCTCAGGATTATTCAACTACCCCATATGAAATCATATATGATTATTCTACTAACCGCAAAGATTGGGTTCATCGCAAATGGAGCGGTAACAGCCTTAAAATTACTGGAAAGGGGATTTGGCAAAGAGGATTTGGCATTGGCCGTGCTTATCGACTTTCCATTCCAAATTATCTTTGGTTACTACGCTGTGAGGTGGAGTTCAGGATCACGGCCACTTAGACCGGTATAGGTTTTTTGTTTGTAGATTAATAACTTGAGAAACCCAATGTGTCTCCTAAGCAAGAGGCTCTTGCTGATCGTATTTGATCCGATGGCGTTCATTTTTAGTGGCTATGGGCATACTGCGCACACTTGGTCTGTTGTGTTATCGCCATGTTGATTGTTTCTTCTTTTCCTGAGGATGGGATTGTCACACCTGCTTATTTTTACATTGTCCTTGCCACAACTGTAACAACGTCCTTTACAAGGTAAAAAGATGGAGATGTTTTAGACAGCAAACTTAGCAGGCAATTGAGCACATACTTACAATGCTACTTTGCTCTTCATGCATTACTTACTAAAAACTATTTCTTGTGTTGATTTTGAAAGCACGGTGGCATTTGTAAGCATGGGGGCATTTATGACAGTCATCGCAGATCCTGTGATCGGGGGAACCTATATGACGGTAAGAAGCAGCGACAATATTTTATCTTCTGATTATTGTCTGTTGTAGTAGTATCTCATTATATAAATAATCCACAATCTTAAATCATGTATTTACTCTTTCGCCATATTGCTACCTTTGTCATTATTATAAATGTTATTGCAATATACTTGAAAATTTGATCATAAAAGCTTCTTAACACTCTAAGCAATTTCGGTGGAACTTGGCCTCGGTTCTTTGTTCTTGAGGCTGTTGACTACTTCACGGTATCAAGATGCTCTGTTATGAACGCTGAAGGCGAAGGTAAAGTGTTAGTCAAAAAGCCATTTCCGTCTTATCAATATAACATTTATTAATGTCTGAAAGTATTCACTCCCATCTTTATGTGTTTTGAGCAGAATTCTCTTGTGCTTCTGAACCTGGTAAAGGGCTGTGTCAGCAGCTTGGAGGCAATTGCCTGATCGAGCAAGATGGCTATTACTTCGTGAGCACGGTCTGCGTAATGACTGGCGCTATACTACTTGTGCTTTACATTGCACCAACAATTCGTTATTTGGAATGTAAGTAGGAAACATTTTTTAACATATCAATTACTCTTTTTAATATTCTTAAAAAGAACAAATCTAACTTCCTTTTTCTGTTTTGATACTCTAGCCTTGAATCCTAAACTTTGGAAGTTACCAAAAGAAGAAAACTAGAGCTCTCTTTTACACAATAAAAAGATGTGAGCACCAATCACTACATCCAGAATCTTAGGTCAAAAAAAAAAAATATATGCAGGGATGTGTAGGCACGTGACTAAAAGCTCCACAAGCACAAGAAAAGCCCACGGGACATGCATTGTAAGCATGTTATGTGTGCATTCCTCTCAGTTCTCATCTTTCATCCTTTCATCACATCTGAACAAGGCTACTCTATTCAAGGGCTCTTATTCCACTTCGCCAGGGAAATAAAACAGGAAAACATAATATTTATACAACATGGGACAAGGTGTATCACAGCCCCTGGAGGAGATGGTTAGGGACTCGAACTGTAAGTCTCATGTACAGGTTCATTGATTGAGAGGGAAAAAAAAGAAAGAAAGTGCGGTGTTGTGGAGGCGGAGGCGCTTCAGATTCATTCGACACTGAAGGCTATGCCCAGAATCAAACTCTTTACTATGAATAATACAGGTTCATATCGAATGAGTATCCACAGAACGACTATTTTAATGCTTCACCAATATCTTACGCCTTTCCGTACTGATGTAAAAGTAGCAAACACTTATTTCTTTTTCTTTCTTTCTTTTTTTCTTTTTTTTTTGTTACATTAGTTACGGCAGAGGAGATCCAACGTTTGTATAAGCGCTTTATGAAACTAGACAAGGATGGGTCAGGATCTATTGATAAGGAAGAGTTTTTGGCGATTCCTCAGATTGCGACCAATCCTCTTGCCTCACGTTTGATCGCTATCATGGATGAGGACGGTGGCGGCGATGTTGATTTTAAAGAGTTTATTGCTGGATTGAGTGCCTTTAGCAGTCGAGGCAACAAGATCGAGAAATTGCGGTGTAAGATGATATTCATTTTTTTTCCTTTTTGCATTTGATTTTCTTTTCTCGTATGGAATTGAAAGACATTTGATGTGAGCTATTTTTAACTCTTTTTTTTTCTTTTCTTTTTTTTAATGTGTATATACATGTAATAGTTGCATTCAAGGTTTATGACATGGACAGAGATGGATTCATTTCGAACGGTGAGCTCTTTCTAGTCCTCAAGATGATGGTCGGAACTAATCTTCAAGATAACCAACTACAGCAAATTGTGGACAAGACCATCATGGAGGCGGACAAAGACATGGATGGCAAGATTTCCTTTGAGGAGTTTTGTGGCGCTGTGGAGAACACTGACATTGCTAATCAGATGACTCTAGAGAGTTTCTAAAAGTATGTATAAATTTCTATCTAGAAAGATAAATAACAACAATAACAACAGCGGCAAAAATGAAATACGTTTATACAGACGTTTTTTATAAGTGTCGAGATGTCTACGATTTTTTTAAAAACTCTTAAAGCATAAAAATTAATAGAGCTTGATTATTATGGGCCAGGTTCAATCTACTCTTAAATGGCAATCACCAATACGAATGCCACTTCCTGCCATGTGTATAAATGGACTTAATGCTCCAAAGTGTCTTTATTATCAATAGTCTATGTCTTGTTCATTTTTCTTTGTAATATCAGGTTTAAGCATGTCTAGTTCCCCTATCTCTACGTTCTTTTTCTTTCGCGATTGCTATTAAGGCATCAAACTCAGATGAACGCTCACACATGGCTCGGAACAAGCTATCTTCCCGAGTCATCAATGTGAATGGTCTATCAAATTCTACGAGTTCGCCTGCATCCATCACTAGGACTCGGTCAAAATCTGCAATGGTTCGTATACGGTGCGCGATCGTGATAATTGTCGCACCTACCATCTCTTGTCGAATTGTAGTCTGGATCTTGAGATCTGTCTCAAAATCCACACTAGCTGTGGCTTCATCCATTACAATGACCTTGGACTGGCGGACCAACGCACGAGCTAGTGCGATCATCTGGCGCTGACCTTGAGAGAAATTTGATCCGTTTTCTTTTACTGGCGTATCAAGTGTAATCTTGAATGGATCCACGGTTTCAGATCCTCCAGTGTTGCTACCCTTAATCGAGCTAACTGACAACTTGTTCTTACTGGATGATCCAATTGCGGCTTCATTGTAGGACGAGGGTGCGGCAGAGGCGATAATAGCAGTAGTAGTAGGTATCATTTCAAGGCTATTGCGTTTGCTGGGTAAGGCAGATGACGGCTTGCTCTCTGGAATCAGATGGCTACGCCTTAATGCCTCCCACAACTCACGATCCTCATGTTCACCAAATGGATCCAAGTTGGAACGAAGTGTACCCTTGAAGAGAATTGGGTCTTGAGGAATGATGGTGAGATTGGAACGCAGGTCGTGAAGACCAATCTTGCAGATATCAATGCCGTCGATGTTGATCGTACCTTTGACGGGGTCCATGAAACGGAACAAACTGATGGCCAAGGTTGATTTGCCAGACCCAGTGCGACCAACTACACCAACTTTCTCGCCTGCATTGATAGTAAATGAAACATCCTTGAGTACGTCGGGTGCTTCTGGTGCATATCGCATGGTCAAATGACTGACTACAATTTCACCTGCATGAGGCCAGGATGGAGGTGGACGTGACCCTTCAATGATTGCTGGAGGCTCTTCCTCCAAGTCCATGTACTCAACAACGCGCTCAACAGAGTTCAAGTTCATCTCGCTCATGGCATAGATACGAATAACCCAAACGATTGTGCCTGTAAACATTAAGGAGTATGTCATACTTAATGCAGCCCAACCAGGCTCAATCTGGCCCCAATTCTGGAGAACCAATATCCCAGTGATGAATGCAACCGATGCGCCTGCAATATCCACCCGCCAGTGCAGCCAGCGGTTTGTAACCCACAGTAGGAGGAACGTACGGTTGTTATTATCTAAATTGACCAAGTTAGTGGATAAGAACCGCTTCTCAAAACCATAGGCGCGTATTGTAGCCAGCCCTGTCAGCGTTTCGTTGAAATGGTTGAGGATCGGTGATTTGGAGTTGGAGTTCAAGCGTTTGAGATCTCTGCTGATACCGATATAGTATATTCCAATGAGCAGATAGATTGCAATGATAAATATTCCTGCCACTAAGAAAAGGGGCATATTGAATGAAATGATGAAAATGATACCAACAATCGTGACAAAGCATGAGAACAGTCCCTGGAGGTTATTACTGACTTCGTCGTCAATGGTTGACATGTCTGAACTAAACCGGTTGATGATCCGACCAATAGGAGTGGTGTCGAAGAAACGAACCTTGGCACGTGTGATCTTGCGGAGGAGCTGCTGGTGAAGCGTTCGTGATGCGGTGAGGCCTCCCATGGCAACATAATATCCGATCATGGCACCAAAGACTATCCCAGTTAAGCTCAATAAAACATAGATACCAAGGTAATAGTCCATATTGATAGTCTCAGGAGTGCCTTGACCGAAAAGCCTCATGGTGAGAGTGCCATACTTCTTGTTGTCGTCCATAGGAGAAAAGGCGGTATAGACGGAGAGGGCAATCACACTTGGTGTAAAAGTCTGGAAAGCCTTTATAACAAATCCTTTATAACAAATGAGCCAGTTGTCTCTGCCATTTTGTTGGCCCAGTTAGCGAGCCATGAATTTTGGCCAATATCTATAAACTGGCGGGCAAAGAACATGAGGACAAGGCTCGCCCAGAAAATCATGCCTCCCGAGGCAATAAAATATATTTTGTAGACCTTCCATGCCACAGCGCCCTCAGCTTTTTTCTCATCTTCCGTAAGCCTGATACTAATCTTTTCCTTTCCTCCCTTCTTCTTGTCCTTGCCTTTGTCTTCACCATCCAGCGTGCTAATTTCACTGTTTGCATCGGAAGCAGGCACAGCAAGCGCAACAGTGTCGATCCACTTATTACGAACAGCCTCCTCAGGCGCACCGGAGCCTACGATCTCGCCCTTATTTAGTACAATAACAAGGCTGGCGGCGCTGAGAGTCAATTGAACCTGATGTGTGGCCATGATGACAGTGCGACCTTCCAACAGAGGTCCAGTTAAGGTTTGGAACAAATACTTGCCTGTGTGGCTGTCAACTGCAGAGAGACAATCGTCAAGAAGGAGGACACTGGCATCCGAATAGATTGCGCGAGCAAGAGCGACACGCTGTTTCTGACCTCCTGAAAGCGTAATACCCTGCTCTCCAATCTCAGTCTTATCACCCGCTTCCAAAATCTCAACATCAGTAACAAGTGCACAACCTTCGATCACAGCGTCGTATCGCTCTTGATCAAATTCCTTGCCGAAGAGAATGTTATCACGAATTGTCGAGTTTTGGAGCCAAGCAGTTTGAGAAACATAAGCAATGCCAGAACCGTGCTCGTTATCCTTGTTATAGTCCAAACGAGGTAGGTACATGCTTCCTTCCAAGCGTTCCAATTCCCCAAGAAGAGCAAGGAGCAATGCTGACTTGCCGCTGCCGGTCGGGCCAACAACCAGCGATAGTTGACCAACAGGGAACGCCACAGAGAGGTTCTTGAGCTTGAATCGCTCTTGGACAATTTGTGGTTCTGCGACTGGTTCAGTTACTGGTTGGGACCTCTTTGAAACTACATTCTTGACTTTTTGGAACCAATTCTTTTTCTCAAACTTTTTGTTCTCAATTTGGGCATTCTCCTTGCTAGGCCAAATATACGAGGCATTGACGAATCCGATAGTGGGATGAGATGGTGTAATGTGGGCTTTAGGGCCCAATTTGGTGACGGTAATATCCCTCACAAGCTCTTCTTCTGAAAGGAATTTGTTGATGCGATCCAAACTGACCAATGCCTGCATCATAGACTTGATAGTCCATGGCAGAGTATTGAGGGAAGTGCGCATAATGTTGAATAGAGCCAAGGTCGTAAACATTGCAGACGCTGTAATCTCGTTGCCAAACAGTTTTATGTAGGCTGTCAAGACCACCACAATATTTAAAAGCGACATGATCATCCATACAATGTCGGTGAGGATAACCTTTTTGTACGAGTCCTTGGTGCGTTTGAGCTCTTTTTCTCGAGCACTGATGATCTTCTCCTCAAATTTGGCTTCCCAGCTAAAGAACTTGACGATACGGATGGCGGACAACATCTCATTCAAGGCATCCATACGTTCATCCTTAGTGTCCATAATGTCTTTGAAAATCTTCATGATCATAGCATAAAGCTTAGCAGGAATGGGATACGAGATAATCATGAATACAATGCCGACCAGAGCAGCATTTCCGAGGAGATTATAGAGTTGAAATCCTGCAATGATGAACTGGATGGGGAAACCGTATATGTAGAAGACGTAGCCGAAAGGATATTCAAGCTTCCTGATATCAACAGCAACCAAGTCTGTTAATATATTATAGAGAGACGTGTAGAAAGAAGGCATAGAATGAGTTCTGGTACCCAGTTAGAATTTACGAGCCACATTCAAAAAAAAAAAAAAAAAAAAAAAAAAGCCTTACTGGAGATATTCAGACTACTTTCACTCTTGTCTTTTCCCTTGTTTTCACCACTGCCTTCACTTTTGTCAGATGTAGCAGATGAGGATATATCTTTGCGCCTTAGAGCCTTGGAAAATACTTCGGCATTACAAATAGATGCTATATGAACAAAAAGACGCCTGCCTTTATGCAACGCAGCTTGCATAGTTAGCGATTCCGAGATCGAGGCAATCAAGAGACCAAAGACCCAACTATATTCGCTTGTCGTTGGGGGACCACAAGTTTTGCACTCGATATATTTGATAATCTTGTTCATGCAGTAAGGAGAGGCGTTGACGAGGAAGCACCATGGAAGAGCCCAAAGGAACTGGATAAATAATTCCCAAGCAACCGAGCGCAAAAGTCTTTTTGTGAAAGTTTCCCCCCTTGATTTATTGGAGAAAAAAAAAAAAAAAAAAAAAGTGGTACATCATAGTTAGCTCAGCTCAGGTAATATTCTGCTTAGGTAGACCGTATCAACATGATCACAGACTCACTTTATCTTTTTGTATTGATGAATCGAGAACCAAGAGAAATCGGTTTCTTCAAGGTTCGGAAGATCAATATCCTGAATAGGTCTTTTGAATCCGAGATAAATCAGGGGATTAATCCAGGCGAACGTCAACTGCGAATAGATGGAGGACGAGTATTCTGGGGATTCGATCCTCGGAATTTCGCCAGGCTTCAACTTGGACGCAGGTACAAATGTTTGGAAGGGACGAGTGACCAGTGAGATCCAAATCAAGAGCAGATCTGTAAACCAATTAACGATATCAAGCTTCAACCATAGGGGCCACTCGGATAAAGGCAGCATGAAGATGTTGGCTGAGTAGAGGTGAATCGAGGCCAAAATCATTTGAAACAGATAGTAGAAATCAAGCTGAAATCGAATCAGGAATTGATGAGAGACTGCAGGCTTGAGAACATGAACGAATACGAGTATAAGGGCGTATAACCAGGCCAAGACTTGGATTAGTTCGTTCAGGGAGCGCTGTTGGCCATCTTGGTCTGCAGCTTGGTCAATGTCGTGGGGTTCTAAGCTGATACCGTTTGAGGTGGTGTGCAAGAGCACAATGGAAAACAACATGAGGCCCAACTGAAAGAAGGTCAGGCCAAGACGAGCAAGATTGATGCTCAAGCCCGAATTACGCTGAGCATGATACTGAACTTGAATGTAATTTTCAACAATTGTAGATCCAAGAGACAGGTTCGCATCAGTCTGTCGAGAGCGAGCCTGAACAGCCTCCTCATGCTCTTCAATGGTATGGTCTCTCAAAGCCTCATATTGATCTAAATGGACAGGCTTCTTAGAAAGATAAAGTATGGCTAGTGCTGAAGCAGCAGAATAAACCAGCGAGAGCACTCTAGTGGCTAAGCACGTGCATGGACAGAAGGTTAGCAAGGCGAAAGAAGCAACCAAGACAGGTTCGCAATAAAGCAGAATGGCCACAGCAATGACAAGCAAATGGTCTTTAAATTTATATCTACTCTGTTATTGAGGGGACCATCATGGGAATTGGGAAGCCAATCCCTTGCTTATTTCTTTAATGGATAGGTTAGAAGGGCTAAGGGTGAATAAAGATGGATGGGAAGAAGGAGAGAAAGAGCAGAGAGATGGGAGTCAAGAGGCAAGAAAGGGAGGGTTGAAGAGCCAAATTTTCTCACTTTTCCTTTTATATTGGACTTTATTCGAATGTCAAATTTGATTGACGGTGTACGCTCTTTCCCATCAAGCTTGCCTCAATGGCAAGAGTACAAACAAAAAAAGCATCTTGATGTTTACAACATATTATGTGTTGCATTTGTCTATTCCTGGTGTAACCAGCGGAAATGTGTAGTATATAAATAAAAACTTTTGGTGGCACAGCCATTTTTTATTTTTATTTTTATTTTCTTTGCTGTGGCATACCATTCGCGCACACAAGCACGCGTCATTTTTACTTTTCTCTCCTCTACAACCATACAGACGTCTTTTCGGTGTCCTCGATTGGTTCTTTGCGGTTTCTGGCACAATGCTTTGTGGATGAATTTCCATATTTGACTAACAATTTGGTCAACTTTATTTTTTTTTTGGTATGAGCAGATGCATTTTGAAGCTTATTTTCAGTTCGGATAGTGCAAAGCCTATTGCACTTTTAATTTTCACACGGGTCCTGATATTAATTTTTTTTTTTTCTTTTTCGATTATCAAATATACCTACCACCCTTTTGTAATAAAGTTTTATTCCATAGTAATATATATATATATTTACTTTATCTGCGCAAAAAAAAAGTTTAGACACAACACTTCGCTAAATCTCAATGACTTTGTGCTTTTCGTATGCTCGTCCAGGACAACGTTCCACAAGATTGCAGTAATGATAATTTCTGCATAATAAAAAATGAGTGTACAGATTTTAGTATTTCAGGACTAGTATGACATACTAGTATTAGTACTAGAGTTGAGTACTAAAGTTGGAAAAATTTATTGATTTTAGTACTCCTGCGTACTAATGTTGGAGAATTTAGTACTTCAGTGCGTGGCTGATTTTCTTGTCACTCTTTAGATGCATGTCACGGGAAAGATGTCTAGCAAACATACAAACCCCTTTCCACAATTGCAAAGTGTTCACAAAACCTACCTGTTGTCGAATTCTTCACACATAAACAAATTGTATATACAAACTAACTGAGGACGGTATTAACCGAACTATTTATACTTGCTATAATGATCAGAACCAAGTAAACGTCCGAACAGACCTATCCAAAAACGAGGGAGCTTGTCGCTCTCCTTCAAATATAAATGGTTTACTTAACAAAAATCTTATAATTGAGAAGGACCAACAAAAAAGAGCAACAAGCTGCAAATAATACAAAAAACCACTTTTCTCTCCTGGTCTAAAATTAGAAATTAAGTTTGCCGCACAAAACTAATGTAAAAAAATGGACTTACAAGACTTCGACAGCTAGATTATCGCAAATAGTAAAATAGGCTATTGCTGGATGTATATCGATTATAGAAAAAATGGATGAGGTATCGGGGGATATAAGGCTTTGGTACTTACAAAGCAAGGATTTTTTGATCTTAATCCTTGAAGTATTTATGGAATTATTGCCGTTTAAAGGTTATAAAATGGTCGAAATGAGGTTCAATGTCAAGCCAAAGTGTCTGCCTTTCCCTCAAAAATACATCAAAGCGCTTTTCCACATAGTATATGATAGATACGTTACATAGCTTTGTATAGAGTCTTAGTTTTCCAAAATCCAAGCATTTTTCATAGACTTTACTTATAGCTGAAGAGAGAAATATATCATTTTTTAGGGATTTTTCGGTTTTATTCATTAAGGAACTTCGGATTCCTTTTATAAGAACACGTATGGTCCCTTAGTACATTATATTATGCACTACATATTCTTACTTTTTGGAAAGTTTGGTCAGTTTTGGAAATATTCTGATGGTTCTGCAATATTTTGTCTAAAAGCTAGACAATTTCCGTAGAAACCTTGACTTCAAGATGCCCTAGTTCTCAAACTTTTGAATATAAACATTTTCAATTTTTACCCAAAAATACAATTTCCTGTTTTGAAAGATATATTTTCGGCTGCTTTATCGACTCTAGAAGTTTCAACACGTTTGGGGCCGAAATGAGGGACTTTACTATAGAGTATCTGGTTCTATGGATCCTGAGAACGCGAATATGCGTATATGGAGCACTCAGGCACTTTGGGAGATGAACCCCGTAAATGCATATTAGTATTATTTCCATCCCCGCCCCGAGCGCCCATTTTTTTTTTTGAGAGCACATAGAAGTGATACTAGACATTCATAAACAAAGATGCAAGTGATACTAACACAAGAGTTGACATTCATGCAAGTGATACTAACCTAAAACTTACCCGCACAAACCCCATGGAAAGTGATACTAAGATCTTCTTTCCATGATACTAAAATGTGGCTCGCACAAATCCAATGCAAAATGAGGTTGAATATTTTATTGTCCTCTTTGAAAAGAGCAGAACTGAGGCGCCACATGTTGATGCCAGCCACGGAAGCTCTGAAGAGGATTCAATTGAGAGCCACGGAAGCTCTAAAGAAGATCCAAAGGTGGATTGTATTAAGCAGCCACAGAAAGCACAGCAAAACTATCCATTCAGTGTTCTCACCGACGTCGTTACCAATAAGGGAAGGTTGCCAACATGTGAGGGCTGCAATAGTCAGCTGGAGAGGCAAGCTAAAAGAATTGTAGTCAAGGTCCCAAGTAACATCAAGAAAGGGTGGTTTATTACAAGGTCCTACCACTTTCTTCAGACTTGCCTCACTAAGCTGCCTCAAGAGCAGTACTATGTGGCCATGCAGCAACTGGGAGTGCGGGCAACACGATCACAGCATCTGCAAAGAGTGGAACTATTGGAGAATAATAGTATTGCATAAAACAAGTAGTAGTATCACTACATATGATTTGTGCGGGCGTGTTTTTAGTATCAATGTATCTTTAATGTGAGTGCTTAGAATCAGTGCATGCTTGATTGATTGTTTGTGGAAAAATGGCATTTTTGTTATTTTGGTACGCAGTACGAGTATGTGATACTGGTACTGAAATACTAAAATCAATACGATCATAAAAAATAGATGTCCACAATAACTTGAGTACAATAACCATTTTCATTTATTTTTTAATCTTTTTAATATGAAATCTTAGGCCTTTTATTCACAGGGCTGATGCCTTGACAGTGACCAGCAATTCGTCAAGCTCCTAGAGTGCATTAAAAAAATAATAATAATAAAAAAGAAGCAATTAGAAAGGAGAAAACATGATTATCAATGCTCTCACTATATATATATAAAGCTTGCTTACCCTTTCCACTCGATCAAGGTCAGCATCCACATCTTTCCAGCACTCATACACATCTGGGTGGCACTCCCGCTGAACATCTTTAAGCGTCAACTCATTCAGCATCATCAACATCATCCTCGTTTGTTCATCGTTTCTATATCGGTCATAACTGTTGGTATTATTGTTGTCATTAGGGTGTTTGTTGTCATATAATGATAGCAGTATGTTATCTTTGCTGTGTAGTTGTTTGTCATGTTGCTGGGTATCCGAATATTCATATAATTGTGGTAATGACGGGGATCGATTACGATTGAGTGCACTGCCATTGATCAACGAGGCCTTAATTGTTGACGGAAGTGTCACCACTTTCCCATCCTTGCCAATCAGTGGACTCGTTCCACGAAAATGATGCATAGGTGGTCCTGAAAGTGAACTTACGGAGCTTGATCGCCCAGCTCGGACAAGTGTCAATAAGTCCTGCATACCAGCATTGTAATCTGAAGACAAAAGCCATTCCTTGCCACTGCTGTTTAAGCTCGCTGTTCCAATATTCTTGATGTTAGGGCTTCCTAATTGCTGCGCAAGACGTGACGGTGTTTGGGCTTCAGTGACAGCACTGGCGCTTACAGACCGATTCCTGTTCGTATTAAAAGATGGAGAGACTGAGCCATCGGGATTTAACCTTGATGGGGCCATACCAGGACTTGAGCGTCCTCCTCCCGAAGAAGGCGAATCTGGACGTTGATTAGGCGACGATGACCTGGGCGATGAGTTCCCTTGAGACAGTTGTTGCTGTTTTAGCGCCGCCGGCGAGGGAGATTGCAATCGCCGTGGAATTGGGGAGAATGACCGCTGGGCGGTTGAAGCCTCCAAGTCCGCGGTTATACTACCTTCTTTTAATGGTGAAGAATTAGTGCCAGATAAGAGCGTAGGCTTGGCTGTAGTTCCAAACGGTGATGTCGGCCGGAGTGAACGAGGCGATCCAGGAGCAGAAGCGTCGGAGGCGTTGGCGAAAGCTCTTGCAGAAGGCGGTTGCTCTGAAACAATTGGCGACGCTGATCGAGTGTGCAGGGATGTCACAGATGCAACTTGAATCTCGACATCACTATCACGCTTGTTGGCAATATGCTTCGCCTGTTGTTGTGACTGAGATCTAGGCGGGGAATCTATCCTAGGCTGTGCAGATGTGGATCTCTTCTCATCATCCCCTGCCAGTACTCTCTCCAGCCTCATCAATGTATTGCTTCCACGAGTGGAACCTGCCAGAACCTCCAAACGGTCTCGAGCTGCCGATGCCATGGTATTGCCCCGATCACTGGTTCCACTCGGAATTGGTCGTATTGGGGACCGACTAGAAGCCACATCTCCTTCAATGCCGAAGTGATCTTGCTCAATGCCTCTGTTGATTTTGTCATCATCGTCTGCGTCACCGTAGTCGTCTTCCTCGCCAAGAATGTCTTCAATAATCTCCGAGATGTCCACCTCATCCCCTCCTTCAGGAATAAATGAATAGCGATACTTCTTTGAGTTCATGAGACGCGATGATCTGATCACACCCTTATTGAGTACAATATCCGTGCCCTGCGTGGAATTCTTTTTGATACTGACAGGCCCAATTTTCGAATCAAGTCGCTGGTTCTGTAAAGCATCTTTGTTCATTGCCACAGCACCATTATTGTTATCCTGTGATGTAAGGGATGCTAAAGATAGCGGTGATGGCCCGTGCGTCATCGAGGGAGACATGGCTCTCTGCTGTTGCATGGCCGGTTGGCGATCCGTCCGCTCTGCACGTAATGGTCTTTCGGGTGTGGATGAGCGCGAGGTATTATCATACTCAGTGCCAGAAATGTTGGATGGAATTGGTGATGCTATTTGTCCAGGACGTGAACTTTGACTAACACTAGCAGATCTGTTTCGACCCCCTACGACATGATGATCAGGAGTCGTGCGTGAAGTCTGATAAGGTCCCATTCCTGGCGATCCTGGCTCAACTCTATTAATATCTTCAATACTTCGTGGATTGCGGAGGGATCGTATACTGGATATGCCGGTAGGGCTTGACTGAGAGGGACTCCTTGGTGAGTCGTTAGCAGTAGAGGAATGCAATGCTTGAGCCTGTAAAGGAGCAAGGCCTCTTTTTGATTGCTCCCGATCTTGATGCGATTGCTGTGCCTGAAGTTGTTGTTGTTTTTGTTGCTGATCGGCATAGTCCAACTCTGCTTCAAGCGACTTGGCCGACTTGCGTAAATAGAACACATAGTCTGGCGCTGGTGGCATCGATGCTACATCTGCTTTAGGTGAACGACGCACGGGAGTCAATTGGTGTTCCTCAAAGCATCGAATTAAGGACATCTGGGGCGGTAAAGGGACTTCATCTCCTTGCTTTGCCCTTCGGGACGACTGGGTGTTCAATCGCAGACCCAACTGATATTCGATGACAATACCGTCTTGAATGGCGCTTCTTTTTGCAGCAATAATATGCTCCGGAACACCATCAACAACACCGGCACGGATGGCTATCCTTTCTAGTGCTTTGAATACAACATCTCCAGCGTTCGATGTTGATTGCATTGGCAACCAGTGTTCTATCTTTGAGGCCCTTATCTGACCCTGCGCTCGTGGCTCTGTTTTCTCTAACGCAGTCGGCATACCATCAATTATAGTCATCGTTTCTGGAAGTTCCTGTCCTAAGCAAACCACCTTGACCCAGAAAATATCATCTTGCTGATGCATGGGTGACATAGGTGTTGTTGGAGTCGTTGGAGTTGTGGGCGTTCCAGGGATGGAGGATCCAGATCCCGTGCGACGAATTTTTTTGTTGAGTAAGAAGCGAATGGATCGCTGATGTGGGTCAGTTTTCCCAGATCCTACCCGACGAACCGAACTGGGGCTTGTGGGTGTCGAGATCGAAAGCTGGGAACTAGTAGAGTTCACAGACAGCATAGATGAAACAGAGGAGATGGAGAGGCGATGGTTGGGAGGCAGGGGCGTAGTCAGGTGTGATGTGAGAGATTGGTAGATGGCCATGACTTTATCGGAAGGCAAGAGTACATTTTCATCTTTATAGATCGTAGAGAGTCAAGAAGTGGGGAAATAAAGCCATTAATATGTTGACAATACGCAGTATACACCGCCAAAATAAGAGATGACTTTTTTTTTTTTTTTTTTTTTTTTTTTTTTTTTCAAAAAAATAATATCACATACCTCCATCCACACCACGAACGGTAAGGAAAAAATCAGTGGTGGAAGCAACGCCATCTGGTGCTAGCCTGAACTTCACGACAGCTTGGTTGGCAACTTCTGCTGCTGTAGTTGTGGGGTTGACTATGACAGTCTTATACATAGAGGCACCAAAGTCGACGTTACCTGGATATACTCGCAGAGTGATGATTTCCTGCTGTGGTATATCCCCATTTTCAGTTTGTGATGTAGGTGACAAGGGCGCACTAGAGCCGGCACCAAGCGAGGTCACAGAGCCATTCGAACCGGTCCTCGCTCTGGCAGTACCGTTGGGGTTGCCAATGTTATTCCCACTATTCATACTGTTGATACTATTTCCGCCTGGAGATAGAGGTCCCTTAATACCGTTGTTGCCTTTGTTAAGACGTTCTTTCTCTAAGCGCTCTTTTTCTTTACGCTCCTTCTCCTTTTCTTTCTCCTTCTCCTTCTCCTTGTCCTTTGAGCTCTTGCCCACTCCGAATAAGCTTTTAAATTTGCCCGGTTTTTTAACAGTTTCTGTTGGCTCATCGTCCTTCGGTGTTGTTCGAGAGCCGCCATTTCCTGCTTGCTCTTTCTCACCTAGAATTGCGGCCAGTTTAGCTTCATTGCGATCCCGAAGTTGTTGTTGAGCTTGAAGGCGCTCCTCGTCATCATGGGAAGCAGTGGTTGAATCATCGTCAGCCAAACGAAGCTTCTTTGCTTTACCAAGGGGTCCCTGCATCCTTGCTGCACTTACATCATCCTGTGCGATGGATGGTGTCAATGAAATTTTGCGAGGCTCATCACTGAACACGAGGTCATCATCATCCAAAAGAGGTCTGCGATGTTTATTAGTTACGATCGCTTCTTCATCATCCTCTTCCCCATCGGAGTCCTCCATGCCGTAAGGACCCTGATTCTTTGATGATGTCCTCGATTGATGATGTTGTTGCTGTTGCTGTTGTTGTTTATGTTCCTGTAAAATTTCTTGCTCAACTCTCTCTGCTTCGATTTGTAATGCCGTCTTGCCACCTGATTGTCCGCCTTGGTCATGGTCATCATGGTCATCGTATTCTTCTCCTTCATCTTCTTCATAATACGATCCTAAGTCATCATCTTCATCACCTTCGCCATCTTCATCCGAACCCCATTCGTTTTCGCTCGCACCAAAATATTCGTTTTGTTGCGTAAAGATGACAGACCGCCTGTTGAAGGATCTCGCTGCGAGTGTATTTGGACTGAGTGGTCGAACATGTTCATCAAATGTGCCCCATTCTGGTGAAGGAGCAGACAAACCTACATTCCTATGCTTGTTTAATCTTGCAAGGCGCTCAAAGGGTGTCTGCATTACACATATATAGTCAATTAGACATTAGTCAATTGGGTATTTTAACTAAATTTGAAATACTATTAGTCATTTTTTTTCTTATTTACCTCGATATTCTCAGCAGGAATATATCCAATAACACCTGTCTTTAGGACGCGTACTAGCCACCAGTAGACATTTGTGTCTTCCAAAAGCATTAAAGAATCATTCCGAACAACTGAGGCTTGACCTTCTTGTGTCGCCACAAATGTGTGGAATGCGTAGACAAGGTTGAAATCAATGTCATCCTCAGTTAACGACATTGTCTCAGACCGATCATCATCCTCGTCTTCCATGTCTTCGTCTTCTTCATCCTCATCAAATTCGTCCTCTTCATCTCCTAGAATTTCATTCTGACGAGCATCTACGATTTGATTATTGGTGCTGTTATCCAGGTTCATGTTATTGTTATTATTGGCATCGTACATTTCTTGATCTTCATCTTCGTCGCGAAGTATTTGACGGAGATTGGATGCACTACTGGTGTTATTATTATAATTATTATTGTTATGACCATAGTTGCTGTCGCCAGATGATTGTGTTGTCCCCTTGCGAAAGTGCTGTTCCTGTTCTTGAATATAAGAGGTATAATCTTCTTCATCTGTACTATAATCTGAGTCAGGTACTGTTGCATCCATATCTCGCTGATATTGCCCCCGTTGACCTGCATGGCTATTATGGTTATTATATTGGCTGGTGTTGTTCATGTCTGAGGACGTGGTCACTGCTGAGCGTAGTGAGGATGCCAGTCCATTCACACCACCAAGTCTTGAAGCCATGCGGAGATTAAATGTCTAAATTGTGTTTTCACCGAAAAAAAAAAAAAAAAAAAAAAAAAAAAATTTTAATGCACCTTGGCAATTGGTGAAACAAATGAAACAAATAGAATTTTTTATAGCCACGTTGCGCGCTTTTTCATCCCAATTCAGGGGTTGAAGAGAAGGAAGGGTGCGAATATTAAAAATGAATGCTGACTGAGCAATTGCAACACAATACCTTATAGTTGAAATCACTGAGTGGATTAATCTGTTAATTGACAGTATTATATAAAAGAAGTCCTGTCTCTTATTTCTAATCCTAAATAGCATTTGAAGCCGGAATAAAACGTGTAATATTAGCTTTAATAAGTCTGTAAAAGGAAAGGGAAGAGTGAAAGGGAAGAGCATGAATGTGATAAAGAGAACGTGAGAAAGAGGTGCTCATGCCCGCCCACAGGAGTGAGTGTGAAATAAAATAACAGAGATATTTTCAAGGGTCAATGTGCTGTGTAGGAGACACAATGGGCTATAGACTAATAGCTTTGTTGGCACTTGGAAATCCTCCGATAAAGTTAAAGGAGTGATGAAGTGAGATGGTCAGAAAAAGCGGCAAGTAGAATGACCAAATAAATGAAAAGGTGTCTATAATTGTAACTTCGGAGGATATTGATCGATTTAGGTCTAAATCTCTGGCTGAACCTCTTTACACTAGAGATAGGAAAAGAGTGGAGAAATGACGACGAAGATACTGAAGTAAAGCGGAAGTACCAAGAGAGAAATAGAGAGAGTGAAGAAATGTGGAAACGAACGCACCAAATGGTTTGTATTATGTGTACTGTGTGTACTGTGAATAGAATAAATGTGTGAAAAGAAGGATATATTAGGTGTGAAAAAGACAGATGAAAAAGAAAAAATAAAAATAAAAAAGGGAGATGAGAGGTGAGAAAGATGAGAAAGATGAGAAAGATGAGAGAGATGAGAGAGATGAGAGGGAGAAGAAGGAGGAGGAGGAGGAAGATGAGATGTTGATGGTGAGGATGTGCAGGATGATGATGAGCAAACAAACAAGCTTTGCTCACTCTTCTATATACTTTGCTCACTATTTCATGCAAAATGCCCTGATTTTTTCTCTTTTTTTTTTTTTTTTTTTTTTTTTTCTAATCCTGCCTATTCAATACACCAGTAGACTGCTAGAAGAGACCTAATGGCCGTGATCTATTAGCCAAGCAATTCAACTTGGCTTCATGTCCACAAAAACAAAGGTTATTCCACAATTGAATAACCGTTAATTCATCACTTTAAATTATTTTAATTATATGCATGCATGCGATGCGTGTGTGCCTTTATTTTAATATTTAGTCTGGTGGTACAAGTTGTAGGAATAAAAAAGATGTACAAAAGTACAAAAGAGACATCTCAGCTTCGGAGCTATATCTTAAAAAAAATTACTACATACGATATATATCTATTAACAGCCACATCAATCGTATCCATGGCGATTGAGTTGCTTCTTGACCGCTGCCGGTTCGCGTCCCGTCAGCGCCCGAATTTTTCGTCCAACTACACTCCATTTCCATTGTGATCCAAGTTCAATCCCTGATCCTTCAACCAATCGCACAAGCCAGATGGCATGCTCACAACGTTGCTCAATCGATTCAATACTTTCGACAGTAAGCCCTGCATACCAGTGCTGATCAGGATTATCACAACAACGACGATGACGACGGGGTTCACGGAGATTATGGCCTTGAGAACTTTGTTTCTGCTCATTTCCATTTCTCTTCCCGACCTCGGTCTCAACGTCACTTTCACCTTCACCTTCACTCTGCTGAATGACATCGTCGCTTTTAATAGTCCTATTTGGCTCTCGAAGGAGATGATTAAACAGACGACGTAAGAGCCCATTTTTGCCCTTAACCTCAGGATTTAAGATACGCTGATCTCCATCCTTTGGCCGTGAATCTATCGACATGTCTTTGTTCTTGTTCTGGTCTTCTCCTACTGATATCCAGGATGTGGTTAAGATTTTCCAAAGGTAGTCAGCAGCAGGGCTCACTCGTCTCTTTGTTGGAATGACAACCGGGATCTTACTCATATCGAAAGCAGCATCCATTTGAGCTCTATTAATCTCATTAAGCACAACTTCAAGCTCTTTCAACACAAAGACTAAAAATTGACCCCTTGAGTGCATCACATGGCTATCAGTGACATCAGGATTGGACAGCAATCCGGAGATCCAGCTCGGGACCGTGTCTTGTCCCTGTTGCTGTTGCTGCCTCTTCCGCACTAGGAACAATTCGCTCGTTTCCAAGTCCAGAGCACACCGTAATAATCCTTTCCAGGCCTTAGCATCCGGAAATTCCTTGGTTTGTGTCCTCATTGCTCGTATCGTTGACAGGCCAGAAAAGATATCCCGCGTTCGGATGCTTGCTGCCAAAAGAAGGATGTACGCGCGTGTATCCGGAACATACCCAGCCTGAAACATGAGCTGGAGTATTTCCTGAGCTGAGCGTAAGTCGTTTTGACGGGTATGATATTTGATCAACGTCGTGAGAGTAACCCCATCAATCCCATGATTTACAGCAACAGTTTGTTCTGAACGCATCGCTCCCCGATCATAGTTTCGGTTATGCCCCTGTTGCTGTCCTCGCAGAGAATGGATGTTACTAGGCCTATGAACAGGTATTTCTATTTCGGAATCCAGATCCAACATCTCCGTATCAAGTCTCTGTATTCCTGCGATCGTGCTATCCAGTGCTTCACGTAATCTTTGGGCAGAGACTCCTGATTCGACAAGGCTGTCCAAGACCATATTGGTAAGATACAATCCAGGATCCATGTTACGATTCCTGGCCTCCTGAGTTACGCGACCTACCGCTTTGAGATCCCCTTTTTTGGCAAAGGCGTTCGCTAGAATACTACAAACTACAGCGTCCGGCTCTATTTTGAGTTGTTTCATCTCGACAAACAGTTCGGACATAGGCTCGATCTCGCCTCTTAGTGCAAATGCTCCAAGAAGAATGGAGAATGTATATGCATCAGGACGAAATTCACCCTTGTATGTTCTCTCACCAATATCTAACCGACCCTCATCAAATGACGAAAGAGGACTAGATTGAGAGATAAGGTTCTTAACTACAGACATGGCGTCAAGACCAACAGTTGGTTCAATAGCATTTTTTGATGGTGCTTCCAACGCTTTATGGATAACGCTTTGAAAAAGATCCCATCCATCGTCTAGTTCCGAACGCACATAATTCGACCCAAGGCTTGGAAAACTCACATCCTGATTCTTCGATTTTATCAACTGCCGTACCATCATATTTCGACCAAGATCACGCATTCCGTGTTGCTTTCCGCTTGCCATTGATCGTCTTCCAGCCCTTGACTGTGGTGTAAGATCCAATAGTGACTTGAGTAACGTGTTGTAAAAGACCATGTTGGGCTGGATACTTTGCTTCCACATAATCTCCATTACATGGCGGGCTTTGGAAAACTCTGCACGCCTGAACCAGGCACCGGCAAGCTCTGTCACGATGTGGATGTCTACCGATGAGCACTGACTGAGTTCATTTTTAGACTCTAACTGGGCACTTTCGAGCTCCAAATGTCGGTCAAAAATCCATTGCGCTTGCTCCAGGTGTCTAGGATCCTTCTCTGATGTCGCGAGCGCCTGAATCAACATTCTAAGCTTTCCTGTTGTGAGCAACGTGCTTTTCAAAGATTTGGATTCACAAGTGTGTAGGGGTCCATAGGCATGCGTGTAAAGGCTAGCTGCCAAATCAAGCTCATGACTGTCTAAAAGCGAAGTCAAAACGCAGCTGAAGGCGTGATGGCCCGGTTCAAGAGGTCTTTTCCATTTTATGATTGTTGCCATAGATCCTGCAGTAACAGAAGTGTTGGCTATGGCCATAACCCAGTCCGAAAGCTGCCCATCCCAGCTCTTCATAGACGATTCTGAAGCCATGGTCTTGAAAGCGCATATCTTTGCAAGTGTAGGTCCCATGTGTTTCGTCACAAACTCGCGAACTTCATCCATGGCGACCATCTCCAAATTGTGTGGGCCTTGAGCTCGATGCTGACGGCTAACAACCTTTGTACCCTCAGTCCTTACTAGAGCGATTGTTTTCTTCCAATTCGCATCGCCATATAGCGCTTGGAACCTAAGTTCCATGACTTGAGATAACAGACCCAGATTCCCCAGTCGAAAGGCAGCATGGTGAGCAATATCATGAAGAAATATCTTATAGGTGTTCAAAATTGACTCAGTAGATGTCTTATCAGGCTGACAGTGTGACATGAGGTCTCGGATGGTTTGCTTAAGCAACAAAGGCGCATCCACCGCGTTTTGATGTGAGAATCCCTTGAACAAAGCAAAGTCTTCACCTAGCGTCGAAGTATTCGTTCCAATGGCAGATTTCTCTTCCAGTAGTTCTGTCAGAGAGTCGCTATAAACTCCAGGATCTAAAGGCGGGCTTGGGATACTGTTTGTGAGATGGTGTTGTAAAAGCGAATTGGACAAGCCATCGGTCATTAGAGCCATTGGATTGATGGAGCGAGCGATATCATCTTTTTCCAAAGTATTCAAGAGGACGCCTGTCATTGCTATTTCACGCCACAAATGCACTTCTGTCGAATATTTGTGGCTGCTAAATACAAGAGTTAACTCTTGAAGTCCTGATAACCACGAGCGTATTTGATCTGGGCGCTTCCACGAATCCAAGTTATAAAACTGCTTCTTTTTGGAAAAGGCAGTGGCATCCATCTCTGACAACCGCAAAATTTCTCTCAGTGTCCGAATACCGATGAAAGATGATTCAGGAGGCAATAGTGAGGACGTTATATCGAGAAGATCTTGGATCCATGATTGAGGTCTTCCTGTAGCACGTGAAGCTAACCTAAACAAGTCTATAACCCAATCTGGCCTATTGTCCTGAAGAAATTGCGTGAATAGCCACTGTCGAGTTTCTATTTGACTCCAAAGACACAACCAGTCTTCTCGATCCCGTCTCTCCCACAGCCAAATACATTGCATTGCGCTCATTCGATCGTTAGACGCCAGACAAATCTCAAGAGTGGCCCTACGTGGGTTTGCTCTAGGCTCATTAACTGCTGAGGGATCTTCTAGAATAGAGGTGCTTGAAGGAAAGAGCCGACGAACTATGAGAGCCTTAAGAAAAGGTAAAGAAGTTGACGCCAACGCAGCCTGATCAGCTGACAACTCCTGAAGAGGTAGATTTTCATTCTCTCGTTCCGCAAAAAGTCGGTTCCAGCTCCTAGTTAAAACAGCCAGAGTGTAATCAATCAAGGGATCATGAGATAATTGAAATGTTGTCCTATAGTCTGTCATTCCCCGTGTCTGTAGCTTCTTTATTGGCTCTAGACAAACCGAGTTGAGATAGGTCATTGTTTCGACAATGTCAATATTGCCTATTGTCGCTTCATGCGCACATACGAGACGACAGCAGTATTCTACAAGATGAAGATCCTGTAAATGGCGAAGGGTCACGTTGGACGCCAAAGATGGATTGGTACTAAACCCCTTCATATACTCATGCTCTTTGGCTTTATCAATTACAACTAGCGCCTGCATATAGCTCTGTTTCTGGAATAGATCACGAACACATGAAATTTGGGAGACAACCCAGTTTTTGAAGGTGGTTGGCGAAGGAGGAATGACGATCTGATGAGAAGAGTCAATTGGGAGAAACTCTTCAGGTATCCGTAAATCCGTGACATCCTCTAAAGTCCTCATGCTATGCTGATGAGAAATAGACCGACATGGTGTATACGACCGATTACGACCAGACTGTATTATTGATCGTGTTTCTTTTCGAAATGATGAGTCGTATTGTATTGAGGTTGCGGAAGAGGGAAGTGGTAATGAATGTGAGGTATGCGTGTGAGATGATATATTGCGTTCCCTGGAGTAGATTCGTCCTGATATTAGTTGGCAGCTATTTTTGGGCAGAGTAAAGGTTGTTGAAGATCTCCTACAGGCTTTTACACGGAGATTGTTGTTACTTTGCAATAAACAAGTCGCGCCTGATCCTTTGGAGCGTAGTTGATATGATTGTTGATCAACATGACTTCTTGATTCAAGTATTAATCGAAAAATAGGATAGAGGTCTGAGAATGTTGCAATGTGTGTTTTTTGAAAGTGTGATTGTGGTGTTCGGGAAAGGCGAGATAGTCGAAGATGTAACATCAATTCTTGATTCAAGTGATGGCAACTACTGGGAACACAATGTCCAATTGATCTCCGCGAGCGAGTAGCAGAAACATCTGAATAGGTATGCAATGTAGACGCCTTTGGGGACATAAAAGGTGATAATAAATAGGTCGATGAAGGCCCCTGTTTTCGGATAGGCGACTTGCGCTTGGTTGCCGGGCGCAGTACCCGACTTAGGAGGGGCATCCAGTAGCGATAAGTGTTAATGTCCCGGAAGCTAGGCCAGTGATCGTTCGATTGTTCAAAATCCAATCTATTCTAGATCAATAAAGACATAGTTATAAGCATTTATTAGTTCCCTGAAAAAGAAAAATCACCTTGAGCCTTAACACAAATGTAGTAAGGACACCGAAGCATACCTCCAATAGTATACGAGGTTGGCTGAATTCGAGTTCTCGATATTGGCGTACAAAATAGATGATCGCTTTTTTAATTATTGCATGCTATGACATTTAAAATGATTTAATTATTTCGTGGAAATGTCTAAAAACCAACTGTGTAAAGAGAGAGACGCGAGAGTAACGGCGACAAATGGTGTCAGAATGAAATTAGGCTGTTCCGTATTATTGTTACCGTTGTCGTTGTTGCCCCATTTATTTGTGAATTTCCCAACTCTACCTTGCAAAAATGCAATTGCGAAGAATGAAACTTTTTCTTTTTTTGATAAGTCAAATCCTTGTTCTAAACAATTGTGACTACTCATTTAGTTGCTGGGAAACAACAACTGGAAGCTATTTTTTTTGAATGCTGATTTGCAATATCATACAAGGGATGTCGCATTTGAATGCGAACAACCAAGCTGCCCTGTACATGGAGCAAAACCCATTTTTGCATTTGATGCGTAAATGGTTTGAGTGTGGCTTTTATTATTGTTTTTGGTAATATATTATAACCCTTAAAAGGCAGGATATTTTTGGTGGCAACAGGACTAAATATTCTGAGCCTAAAATTCCAGCAAGGGCTTGTTACGCCTTTGTGGTGACTTTGCTGACTGTGAGTATGAGCTAACCTGCGTATTATTGCTACTGCTATTCGAGCTGCTGTTCGTAAGCAACCCTGGTTTGATGACATCCTGGCCTGTGTTATGGTTCCTCAGATCGATTAAGGGTTTGATTCGAGGCCGATTGCCATGACTCGACAAAGCTTCACCTCCAGTAACTTGCCTACTTTTGGAGCTCCCGTTAGAGTTTTGGCTGCCTGTGCCCGAATTTTTATTTCCGCTATTCAGTGCTGGTTTTGCGGACTTTGCCCTTGAGAGCAACAATCCCGGCTGAATCATAGCATTAGGATCCTCGAACTGCAGTAGGGGGCCTTGTGGCACTGGTTGCGCGCCACCGTTGGAATAGGAAGGCAGTTTAGGAGATTGAGAATGTGGCGAGGCATTGCCTCCAAGCGGTACGCGATCCTCAGGAGCGCCTCGGCTCTTGGACCGTGTCTTCTGATAGCCTGACTTGGAACTATGCGCTGAGGGGCGCATCAGTCCCGTACCTGCACTTTTGGACCTTTCTAGCAACTGCGCCGTACGAGCCTCTCCCTTTTCGATCAGGGTTCCTGGACCACCAAATCTAGGCCCAGACTGTTGCTGTTGAAGTTGTTGCATTTGAAGCTGATGCTGTTGTAACAGCTGCTGCTGATGTTGGTTCTGCTGTTGCTGCAACTGTTGCTGTTGAACATATCCCGGAGAATAATTCAAACTAGTCGTGCTTTCGTTTGTTATCCCAGATGAACCCACAGCACCACGCAAAGCGCCAATGACACCAGCTTGTTCTCGCATTTTTAGCTGCTGCTTCATGTTTTCAATCTCTTGCTTCTCGGCTTCAACCCGTTGCTGGAGCAAACTTCCTACCATAAAGGGGTGCTTTGAATTAGCAGAACCTCCTGTAGTCGTGTTAGAGCCATTATTGTTATTACTTGATGGCATGGTCTGGGTGATCTTGGCTCCGATTGGGCCTGTTTTTGAATATGTCTTATTGACTATATCTGTGCCTGTGCCTGTGCCTGTGCTGGAGTCTAAACGCGGGCCCGAGGTTGTGTTCGTGTTAATATTTGATGCAATTGGAAATCCTGCGCTGCTATTATTAGTTTGGCTTTTGTCTGCTGGGCCAGAGTGAGTGTGCGCAAAGCCTGCAGAGTTAGCAGCGAAATGAGCCGAATCTGATGTTGATGTTGAAGTTGAAATTGAATGCACAATAGGTAACACAGAAGAATCGTTCTCCTCAATAAATGAAGCCGTAGTGGCCAAGGATATTGACAAGAGCGTAGAGGCAGAAGTACCACTAATAGCAGTAGAGATAGGGGATTCAAGACCTGTTGAGGATATGCTCGTAATAGATGTCAATGGTTGTGATTGTGTTTGTTGAATGGTGAGCTATTGGAGGTAGAAGAGAGAAGGGATAAGGGTTGTGAGAAGAGGAAAACAGAAGATGAAAGGGGAAGAGAGAAGGGAGGATTCAAAAGTAGTCAGAAAGTAAAGAGAGGTTGAGCTGAATAAATATCATGTAGTTTCCAAGACAAACATCGCACTTGTGTGCATCAGCATCAACGAGCGCTAGAATAGAATAGACATGAGCAGAGAAGAGCCTGTAGAGCAGCAGGAGTGTAGAGCGACAATAGGGAGTGAGAGAGAGGAAATAAAAAAGGAGAGATTTCTGTAGCAAGATGACTAAAAAGTGATGGCTGAGAAGTACAATTAGAAGGAAACATAGAACGTTTAGATGGGGAAAAAGAAAGAATGCTTTGTCAAATCCATATTCACTTGGTCACTCGTCTTTTGTACTTTCGATGATGGATTTCAACCCCCTTGAATTTTTCTGCCTCCCTGCCTGTTTACCATCCCCTGTACCGTCTTACCGTCAGCATAGCCCAACTCCAATATCTATCCCAAGGAATGCAACGTTAAGCAAATTAAGATTGTTTTTCTTCAATAAGATCAAGTCATCATGCATGATTGCATCTTATGATCATCCTCCATAGATTGTCCTTTTTTAGATCCTTTCATGTTCCAAGTGCTCATAAACAAGCGACATAATGTCAAATTGCCTTTGTTTTGGCTCTGGATCTGGTCTGTCTTCATAATGTTATTGTCATTCTTTAGATCCTTTTCTGCGAAAGGCAAAAAGACGTAAAAAAAAAATAAAAAAAAAAAATAGAGAAATGAAAAAGTATCTAGCGCAATCTATTTGACAAGTTGCCGTTCAAAGACAAGCCCAATCCAGCAAGCTTCGCCTCTGCCATGCTCACCTGCTCCTCTGTAAGGTTCCCTCGCATTGATCCATCCTGGTTTCCTGATGACATCAGCTCTACTGCATGCTTTTGTCCTTCACGCACCATCTCCGGGTTTGCATGATACATGAATATTCCCTACATGAAAAAGAACCAAAGTAAAATAGTACAAAGTCGTTAGAAAGATCAATGTTGCAAATTGACAATCTATAAACACACCCTTGAATATTTATGAGTACTTTTTTTTTTTTTTTTTTTTTTTTTTTCCCTCTTTAATAAAATAAAGTAAACAAAAAAAAAAAAAAAAAAAAAAAAAGACAATGTCCACCATGCGCTTGTCGTCAGATCATATCTCCTACCTTAGCTGCACGAAGACCTACCAACCATTCTCGAAGCGACTCACCCGATTCTGTACAAATGTAGTGAATATAGTCGTCTTCTGGTGTCTCAAACATATGAATGCTATCGGATGACTTGAGTGCAAATCCAAACTTCGTAGGTGCTTTCTTGCGTGGAACTTGTACGGCATACACGTCGAAATTGCGAAGCATGCAAAGCATACTCTCTCCGTTGAACTATATCAAGTAGACCGGGGAAGAAGGTTTATGTTTGTCAGATCAAATCAATTAATTCGTTCATGAAGGACTCTGTTCTCATTGCATCAGCCCGCTTATTACCTTGTTATCTTTGGAATGATAGACGGCCGTATCCGTGATATGCAGATATCGCTTGACCCACTTGTTCTTTTTTGTTTCTAAATGAACCCAGCCATGGGGCCGTACAAAGCTCTCTTGACCCGGCCCAACCAAGCGTAAAACCTCTTTTGCTGTCAGCTCATCTCGCGCGGGGAAGCTCTTACAGATGAACTTGTTATCTTTATCAGTCTCCCAAACTTTCATAATGTCTAATACAACTTCAAAATCGCGCAATGGACGTTCGATCATGAATTCTTTAGAGTATTCAAAGATAGTCCATCGGTCATGATGACGAGGGTCTCCCCGCTCGCCAAAACTGCCCCGCTGCTCCAGCATATGCAGGACATCCAGAGCAGTAGAGTTTGGTGCAAGGTTGACTGACTTGAAATCAGTTTCGGTTTGAATGTAGATGCGCGTGGCAACCAAACGCTGTGTTTGTGCATTTACTGTGGCTCCAGCTGTTGATGTTGAGGCAGATGCTGAGGAAGATAAACTACTCTGTGGCGCACTGATTTGCTTAGGGCTAGTAGGTGTACCTGGCGGTGACGTTGTATGGCCTATTGTTGCAGCCAGCCGTTGTTGCTGATGCTGGATATGTAAGATTTGAGCCTGCTGAAGTTGCTGGTGCCGCTGCTGCATTTGTAGCTCGCTTGCACCAGAAATCCCATTGTCTTGCTTCATAATAGCCAGAGCCAAATTCCTCATTCCACCTGCTGCAGCAGATTGGGCATTTGCATTTGGCGTTGTCTGGAACGAAGGTTGAGGCGTAAGTAGAACGGACGGAGCAACTGGCGTGCTTCCCATACCCATGCCTCGAATCATCTTATCATGATGGGTTGTGTTCGTATTTGTGCTAACGTTGAGTGAAGTATTGGACCCAGAAGGTTCTTGAGAGGACGATGAAGTAGCACCAAGTTTTGATGCCGATCTACTGAGCTGAGGTAGTAAACCTGGCGCTCCTGATGTTCCGGGCGTTCCAGGCGCCCCATTAAGCGCACCAGCCGGATATGGAGGCCAGTTGTCATTGTTAGTATGAAGGTTTTGGTTGGATGGCTTTCTAGGAAGTGACTTGGCTCGCTGACCAGCAGAGCTGGGACTGCGACTTGGAATCAGAGCAGGGTTATATTCCGGGTAAGAAGGCTGTTTTTTTTTTTTTTTTTTTTTTTTTTTTTTTCATCGGTGGAGAGTACATAAAAAGTTAATTAGCCTTTTTCTTTTTTGCTTTGATCATATGTATCTTGAAGTCAAGTCAGCAGATATAGCTTACGGTTTCTTGAGCATGACGAGAGACAGAGGCGTCTTTAGATTTACTGCGAGAACGAACCCATTTGAACATCCCGCCTTTAGAGGACGACTCTTCCTGCCGTTGTGATCTACCACGCTCCAGAGTGTGCTGTGGATCTCCAATGGATTGGCTTCGATCATGAGTAGGCCGTCTCTCAGAGGCATGATGACTGGAGGGTTTATCATTGATCGTATTCGGTCCCTGTTGGTACTGATGATACAGCAAAGCTGGGTCAGTGGATTTCTGTTTGCGAAGAATAGGCCGAACTCCTTGATCATTTTCTCCAAATGTAGAAGGCTGCTCTTGACGATTAGAAGTTGAGGAGGAGCTAGTAGGGATTGAAGACTCAGAGAAGTGAATGGAAGACTCATCCACTTGACGTCTCAAAGTGTTGTTTGAGCTTTTCTTTCGTATATGTTCAGCACCGTGGGCGGCTTCTCCTCGCTGAGCGGCTTCTTCTGTCGAAGTTATCGATGATGCCTTTACCTGAGCTGATGATGATGGTGATGATGTAAAATCCGTTTCATAATCCTCGGCAATAGTAGATGTGCCGATGAATTGACTACCGTGCTCATGAATAATATCTGACTTATTAAATGTATTGGAGCGACTCAAAGGTCTGGATCCAGATCTTGATCTGGGAGGAGCAATAGGTGTCTGTGAGCCGTGTGATGAGTTCTGATGAGCAGTCTGTTCAAAAGTTGAAGATGGGCTTGATGATGGGGAAGATTGCTTGGGTTGGCTTCTACTGTTCGAGCGGGTAGGCAAACGGGGTAATCCTTGGGTCATTTGGCCATTTGAGGCTGGTGTTGATGAAGATGTTTGAAAAGGGCGCACCGTTTTTGATGTGCCATTGGACCCAAAGGTGGGTGCTGAAATCTCCTGTGGTGAGGCAGTCAAATTTTCTGGATAGTTGTCTATTTCATGCAGGACCTCGCCATTTTCGTTATAAAGCGTCTTGGATAACCGTGTCGAGCCTTGGGAAATGGATCGCGATCGCTGAGCAGATTTTGGTGGCAAAGGTGCAGCGGGATTCCGACGACTTTCGCTGCGGCCAAGACTGCTCACTCCAAATGTGCTGTCATTTTCGCTGTTACTGACTACCTGTATGATTGAATTGGTGTTGCTATCGACTTTGTTTCCTGAAGGGCCTAAAATGGCAGCAACAATTTTCACTTCTGATTGACTGCTCTCCACTCCTTTTTGCATCAGACTGCTGCTCAAATTTTGTTGGCTTTGATCCCGGCGTAATATCTGCAGATGCGCCTGCAGCTTAGCATGGCCATCATCTTGCACACCAGACTCCTGAAGTGTAGGCGATATAGCACTAAATGAGAGTGCTTGACTTGAGCTTACAATGACAGGCGGGCTTTGAGCAACAGCTGCTTCTGTGGAAAGAGCATGATCCGAACGAGGCTCAGTTTGTGCCCTTCGTGTCCGTGTACGACGAGGTTCACCGTCATGAGGTGCAGCTGCAGTTCGAGGAGCAGATGGCCGTGTAGCGCGATTTGCTTGCTACGAAATAAGAAACCAAGTAAAGGGCGGTGTCAATACTAATAGAAACTTTTATTCTTTGTTACGGAGCAAGACATATATTTAAGAGGACAATAAAGGTCATTGAAGTGATTGATAGCAGGCGGGAATGGGATCCAATAGATTAACTTTTTTTTTTTTTTTTTTTTTTTTTTTTTTTTTTCATTTGATCCACACACAGAATCTCCTCACCTAGGCCGTTATGTTTATCCGTTGACCCATCTTTATAAAAATAAAGAAGCATTTGGGAAGAGCAAAATGCCTTGTTGACCACATCAGCTCTCTGTCTATCAATCTCTGTCTTCTTCCATCCTTCAAAATCTTTTCAATCTTGGACCACAATCATTGTCAACAGCTCAATTCTATTTAACACCCCCGTAACACAATCAAACACCATTTTAATAAATAAAAAAAATTCTCTTACTCTATTCGCCAAGTCTGTCTTCATGGCAGCAAGTTCGCCCATCATCTGCTCAAAGTCAAGGTCGGTGCCCTGTTGTTCAGTGTCTCGTGTCATAATGAATGAGTTGTGTTTGCGGTTTTGAGAATGAAAGATTCAATGAAGACGATGGAGTGGAGAGAGAGGGAGAGAGAGAATATCCTTTAAAAAAAAGACCCCTGAGTGAGTAAATGAAATATATGTAAATGCTGCCGCTGTCTCAGTCAAGAGAAAACAAAAATAAAAAATAAAATATAAAAAGAGAGAGAGAGAGAGAGAGAGAGAGAGAGAGAGAGAGAGAGAGAGAGAGAGGGAGAATGAAGATGGGAAATGAAGTAAAAGAGAGAAAGGAGGCTAAATAAGGTGAAAATTGTCGCTAGTGTGAAGATGAATTAACCAAGCTCTTGATACCTCCATCTCGGCTGTGTTTGTGTTCATTTCATTTCTTTGTGCCTGGCTGTGAAAATTTTTTTTACATTGAATCCTTCTGCGCCGCCATTTGGCACGTTCGCGTCTTTTTTTTTTTACCATGAAATGAATACATGTAAATGGTTATCATTCATACCCTCCACTTTGCTCTTCCTTTTGTTGAAAACATTCATGAAATAAATGTACACATTTGTCTGACATGAGAAAGTGGGCTCTTCGATTCCTTATTAAAAAACGGTCAAAAACCCATTTACTACAAAAAATTGTTCCTTATTCATATTTGTCAGTGCAAGTGAGACTGTCATATGTCTCAATAAGCTTTAATCTATGGGTGATTCTTCGTCAGCCATTCTTGCAACCAGTCCGCAAGCTTCATGAACTGGGTATTGATCCCAACACCCTCAAGACACCTATTAGTAAGATGGCAATCATAAGGCCTCATAGCTATCATAATCAGAGAAACATAGAAGAGAAGAGAAAAAAAATCGTCAATATACACACCCAAAAAAAAAAAAAAAAAAAAAAAAAAAAAAGTTACAGGTGCAACGGTTTGGTATATAAATTGGTATTCCACATATCCACATCTCCACATTAGATGAACACTACAGGCTCAAAAAAAGAGAGGTGAAGATGTATGCTCTGCAAGCAATATTTACAATGTATTCAGATGAATCAATGGCATCTCATAGTCATAGCAACAATAACAAAGCTAAATTTACGTACTGCTATCCTTTGGTTCGCTGTCTACGATCTTCAAATGATCCAAGTTGGCTCCTAGGATCTTGGCAATGACCTCTAAGAATAGGTAAATCAAGGCACATTTAATAAAAAAGAAATACTGAAAGCATAATAAAGATTTAAAATTCACTCACCGCAAATCTCATATTTCGTATACTTCTCCTGTGCCGAAAAGTGCAGGACTCCAGAAATGAAAACTTTCTCCAAGCGAACCTTAACTGTTAAAAAAGCTGTTAGTCGCAAACCTCGATCCTTTCTGGCATATAGTAAGAATATGCTTCTATAATCTACATAAAAGTCCCAATCTACCTGAAAGGTCCTTGATCACTCGCGCTACATCATAAACTTTGTCACACAAGAAGGAAAAAAAAAAAAAAATCAATTTGAAAGTCAAGTATACAAGTGAAGGTGCGTAGACTCTCACTCCTTTGCAGCTCTTTTTTATATGCATGTGTGAGTCCCATGACATGCAAGATGCATATTTACCACACCACCAGAATCCTTACCATAGGTTGGATACCGAATTGCGTAGTGATCCATACTAATTTGCTTGCTGCTTGTAACGCTGTCAATTAGGGTATTGACCGCAGACTCACTGTTGTATTCAGTTGGCCCATACAGGATAGGGACTCGAAGGATAATTGCAGAAGAATTCCTGTTCTTAACCTCAACTTCCCCTTCATATTTAGTGCGACCTAATATCCATTAACAGTTACGGCAACATCAGCAGTAACGTTAGTATAGCAAAGTTAATACCACCAAGTTTGTTCAAACTCCTCTGCTCTCCCTTCATAAACTCCATATTGAAGTCGTATGAACTCTTGCATAATAATCCCAAGCAAAACAAAGTAAAGCATTAAAAAAAAAAAAAAAAAAAAAAAAAAGCTGCGTATACCGTAGGTGTTGAGTGGATTGGGCTTGTCAGTAACATCATAAGGTGGAGAAGTGCCATCGAAAACATAGTCCGTCGAGATGTAGATCATCAGAATACCACGGTCATTGGTCAGATCCGCCAATAAACCAGGAGCTTGGACATTGAGCTAAACATGATAACAAAAACAAATTCAGTGACCGTAACGAGGTTGCTCCGTTATACTGCACATGTACTCAACCTTCAGACACAAATAACACTACGATAAGCCTATAAAAATTCTTCTGACGTACTTTTTGCGCTCCGCTGGGATCTTTCTCAACAACATCAGGCCGACGCTCAGCAGCACAATGAACAACAACTAAAGTCAAATTCATATGATATGGTTGAGCCATTAGAATATTGATCTTAAAAAAAGACGCGTGTCATTCCCCTTTTTTCCTTTCATTCCACCTAAAGAAAAGATTATATTAATCAGCATCATCTCTACTTTACCATCGGGCTTGTGCTCCTCAATGAAGGCTGTGACAGCAGCAGCGTCCTCCAAGTCAAGCTGTGGAGCAAAAGGAATAGCGAGAGTTAAAATAGCTGATAAAAGTAATCATCGTACCTAGTTTTTTTTTTTTTTTTTTTTTTTTTTTTATCCCACACCTTCTTAAGGTCGTCCCTGACACGAGAGTGCGCCAATCCAATGACTATTATTTTTTTTTTTAGCGTGATATTATTATTCGACTTGTGAGTCCACTTTAACTCCAGGCGAGTTTTTATTCTTTCTATAAATTGGATTGTGCCTTAGTTTATTCTGACCTTCATGTCCTGCATTCTTATACTCAACTACGACTGCACGGCCAAGAAGACCTGAAGCGCCGGTGACAAGGACATGCATGATTGATAGATTGCAAGCTTTGTTGTTAATGGGATGAAATTGAATAAAATGAAATCCGTGGGAAATGATTTTAAAGTAAATGCATCAAGAGGTAAAGAATGAAAGATGCACAGAAATAAAAAAAGTTTCTTTTTATTGTATTCTAAAACTCAGAACTCAATTGGACTTTCCGCGGCAATGTACGTCCAGATAGCCATGACTGCAGCAGAACGCTTCAATTGGTCAGGTGTGAAGGCCCCCATTGAGTCTGCCTCTGAATGGTGGTAATAAAAATAGCCAGTGTCTACAGGTCGACGATATTTATCATGGATATTGCTGCTCCTACTGCGATGATGGTGGTGCTTTTTGCTATTGTTATTTTGATAGTCGTAGTTGTGGAAAGGATTGTACTCCTTGCCATTGTTATGATCTTTTACCATGCTCTGCATGTCATCCTCATGATGGCGGTTTCCAGTGCCATATTTGATGGCATATGGGGAAGTTGAATAAGGAAGGGGGAAAGGATCGGCGGGGACAAACTCCGCACAAGCAACTCCTCGTTTGCAAAGAGGTTCAATGTCAGCTCCAAATGGATTGGGTAGGACATGTCGACCAGCCCCAGGGTATCCAAGATCCTCACGCCGTCCCATAAAATACTCTCCAGCAGCCGTCAAAAATTCGGCCGAGTCGCGCTTTTTGCCGTCCTTGGCTGTGCCTGGTGCAAATGAGATGCCGTAAGGATCAAAGACACCTGTATCTGATTCAAATGCAAATACATGACGACTTGAATCTTTTTCAGGATGATTTCTTGCATAGACCACACCTCCTGCAGATGTGTTCTCCTCTGCAGTCCAGAACACTACTCGTACCGTTCTTCGAGGCGGCCTCTCCAGCCGGCTCAATTGACGCAGAGTTTCCCAAGCAATGAAACAGCCGGCACCATCATCCACAGCCCCACTCCCAACATCCCAGCTATCAATATGTCCACCAACGACCACAATCTCTTCTGGCTTCTCTCTTCCTTTTAATTCGATAATGATATTCCTTGAGATCTTGGACTCGAGCTCTGTTGATGCTCCCATGATTAATTTGACTTTGGGCCATTCAGGAAATGTCTCTGGATCCTGCTTGTGGCGGTTAAGCGAACGTTCAAGCAAATCAGCATCTTCAACACTGATAGCAGCCATAGGGATCCTCGCAATCTCAGCAACGCCTGTATGAGGTGTCTGTAGTGAGAATGGCGTGACAGATCGCACCAAAGATGCAACAGCCCCATGTCCTTGTGCCCAAACAGCGCCGAACGCTCTGTAGAGAGCATTCTCAGTATAAGAAGTAAAGGGGTTATTCCAGAGGACAATTTTGCCACGTACTTCGTCTCTTTGACCCAACTGCTCCAGCTCATCCTTGGAATGCACAACAATAACCTCTGCTTCGAGGCCGTTAATAGGATCAGGCGTAGATACGCTATACCCAAGACCAAGGATATGCATCGGAACAGGGCCACGGGTAGGTGACAGAAAATGAAGTGACTCTTGGTGACGTTGCCAGTAATCAACGACTACTTCCTCTGTTGTGACAGACAAATTGTCCGCCTTGAGTTTCCGTATAACCCAATCAATGGACTACAACCAATGCATGTCAATGGCCAAATTAGCTGTAGCAACTACAAGAATTATTGGCATGCTCAGTCAAATGATGCTATTGATGCTGTTAGTCAAAATAATAATACTTACTTTTTCTAACGCATCTGATCCAGTGATGCGTGGGCCAAAGGTGTCTGTCATTTCGGCCAAACGATCCCATAAAATACTAGTATGAATTCAAAGGAATATAAAGTGAGAAGGTCAGCCAAAATTCTGCATTGCATTTCGTCATAAAGCCCAGATAAAAAAAAAGAAAAGCTTTACATACTTCGATTCCAAGCTACCTGCAACGAGTTGATCGACATCTGATTGCATATGCTTTTCAAACTTGAATTTCCTTGTCAGATGCTCTCTATGGTGGCCATGGTGACTATGGTGCTTATTAGATATAGATGCGAAAAGATAAATGGCTACCACGGTCAACAGTCCAAGCTTCAAAAGCCCTTTGCGAAGCCGGTTGTTATCATGACTAATTGCTCTGCAAGCAAAGGGATTTAGAGGTTTTTCTAGCCTCTCTGCTGTCGGTAAGAAGGGTTCTTGTTTTTTCTCATTCATTTTTTTTTTTTTTTCATTAGCTGCTGGATGAAATGAGAAAAGAGAAGAAAAACCCTGCGCCACCAAATTAGTTTATCCCTTCGTCCGTCACAAGGGCAAATTTGCCATTATAAATGGGTTTAAAATCCAGCAATCCATGGGCATTGTCTTGAAATTTTATTTTGATGTCGAAATAAATGACCGAAAACTAAATTGTCATGGAGCTATCCTGGCTTCTTTATTTGTGCAAATAAAAAACTCATGAAGACTTTCGCATGACCTTAGCGTCCGCTTGGGGGCTCATTGTATCGTTTATTTATTGACTGATGTAATATAACAGTGATAATATTCGCCGCCGTAGTCTCGACTTGAAAGGAGTGCAATCTGAGTTGATTCATTCTACCACACCATAGAGCTTGACTAACTTGATCTTTTCCTGTACAGCCCGGCAAGACTTGATTTGTCACATCGTTTGCTTGCTCGTCTTCTTGCGTTCCCTTGATATATCTGGGTTGGTAAGCACTGCTAATAGAGTTTGTTGGGCCTGTTGAAACCAGAGGGAGCCACAGCAACATATCATACCCAAGGTGATACAAATATCTCTGTTGGAGTGAGTGGTGAACTGTGTGTTCAGATGTAGTGGACATAAACGGCGAAAGAATGCATCGAAAGGATGTGAGCGGTTATGAGAGCAAGGAAGAAGGGGTTGGTATGCCTGTTCAAGTCCTTGGCAAGAGAGCATGAGTAGCAGTTGTGATCAATGGTATAGTTTCTAGACCCTACCTTCCAGTACAGCATTGCATTATTGTTGTTTTCAGACCTGGCACCAATCATGCGAGGTATTTCTTTTTCTGAGGGTTCCTTGTGTTAAACGGCCAGACAGAAAGCTTAGAAGAGATAGAGTCCTCGCCAAAAAGTCGTCGACTAATATATTTTTAAAATACTCAATTTGAATTAAAAACCGGAAAAACAGAGATTTACGTACAAAGACTTCCCTCATCCATATAATTTTTTGACTGAATTGGAAACCGTTGTTTTTTTATGAATCTGAAACTGACCAACGAAGCAGACCTTCATTACCCTCATTCACATTCACTCATTCTCCAAGAAATAGTCAAATGTCTTTCCCTATTGATACGATAGTCACCCCTCATATAATGATCTGAGTGATATGTATAATGATCTAAGTGATACCGATCTAACGTTTCTAGGAACACGCACAACTCCACCCCGAAGATGTCGACAATCGCCCTCCAAATTCAATGTCACCTCCACTAGATCTCCCACACAATATCATTGGAATACCCCACCTAAGAACAGATCCAAGGGATCTCCTTCAAAAGAGCAGCTTCCCGATGCTGCTGATCCAAATCCATTCTTGTCAAATGGACAAGCTGTAGAGCTTCAGCAGGACATTGGTGAATTATCCCGTAATAAGGCGACCATTATACATAACGAATACGTTATGATGGCTCGGACATTCAAGGCTATTACCGAGGGGCCATTAGAAGTTTGACAGTGGTTTATGCAGACGCCAGACAGAGCGAACAACTTGGCAATTTTAATGGGTGTAGGGAGAGATGCATGTTTGACAGCAATTAAATTTGCTACCACAGGTGTCCTCGAGTTCAAAGACCGCGGTAAAGCTAGACATGAGAGAACCAGACGTGGAAGAACTGGACGCCCAAAAAAAGAAATTGATCAGGATGTAACCTCAAAAATCATGGCTGTCATAGTCAAGTGCGGAGCCCCTAATTCGGCCTCTATGGTTGCCAACCAACTAAAGGATGACTTTGGGATCGATAGATTAGCAAGGTCAATCACTCGTGATCTTCGCAAAATGGGTTTATATTGGGGTAAAGGAATCCGACAACATTGCTTGCATGACTCCAAGAAAAATGTCGCGTTCCGAACAACATACCTCAAGCGTCGCCTCAGTAATCTAAAACTTGTGGACGGCAATTGGGTTCCTAAAATGCCAGAAGTTTTTTTAGACGAGTCTTATTGTCACATCGATCATGCTGCAGCAAGACGTTGGGTGAAAAGTAGTGGTGGTGTCGTAAACGATGCGGGAAGAAAGCCAATAATAGTTATCTTTGCGGCATTCGTTGTGTATTACGATGAACTCAACAAAAAAGTTGAGGGCAAATTCGTGAAGGATAGTGTATATATCTGGCCATCCAAAGGGCCAAAGCCTCAGTCAAAGAAGGGCCAAGAACGGGAGGCAGAGTTGTGGAACGATGTGCCCGAAGAGATCAAGAGTGCAGGAGTTGTAGCAACAGGTCACGACTATCATGGGAATTTCAACGCCAATTTATTTGATAGTATTTTTAAGCGACTTTGTGAGAACCTCAATGAGATGGGACTGGGGCCTTGCCAAATCCATCTTGATGGTGCTTCATATCATTTCCATAAGAAAAACAAAGTACCAACCAAGAGCGACACTGTGGCAACTATCAAAGAGTGGCTCACCAACAAGGGTATTGCTATTCCAACCTAGGAAAATGGAAAAGCGGCGAATAAAGACGATCTTATGGAGTTGATCAAAGCCCTTCCTGACGAGTCGTATTTCTCTGTCAGTAAAATCGCCCAAGAGAATGGTGGCCATGAAATTCTCAAGACTCCACCATATCACTGCGAACTTCAGCCTATGGAGAAAATTCGGGCCGTCGTTAAAAACATTATTGCGTCGAGAGCAAGGACGACAATGACAGCCCTTTTGCTGAAGAAAAGGCTTCTCAGCTTGTTTTCTTAGATTCCGGATAGAATATTTTATTCTGTATGGAAAAAGTCTGTGAAAATTGGTATGAAATACTATAACGAGGAAGACGTGTCCAAGGAATGTTGGATGAGGCGGACGAGAGGCATTACCAAGAGATCAATGATGAACAGGAGACAATTGAGGACATTAGCGAGGAGATTAGACTCGACAGCAGTGAATGGGACCTAGAACTCGATAGAGTAGTAAACCAAGAGCAAGCTGGGGCTGTAATAATGGAATCTGAGATCGAGGACCTTGCACCAGATACTGGAAACATGTTTGGTTTAGTAGAGGATAGTTCTCGTAAAAATTAAAATTTTGAGTTTGTACGTTTTTTTTCGTCTAAAAACGGAGGGATTTTATTCAATTTAAAAATGTGAAAAATATTTTAGTCGACGACTTTTTGACGAGGACTTTACAGACACAACGGTGAAAAAAATGAATGTGAGCAAACAGTTGCTGTGTTTATTTGTTGTCTGCACATGCCTTCTTTCATCGCGGGCTTTGTTCCGAAAATATTTGGCAAATCTTTTTCCTTTTTTGTTCGTCAACCACTGTGTGCACGAATAACTTTTGTTTCTGTACATGCATAAAGCAGAAGAAATGAACAAACTTTATTTTGGCGATCACTCCATAATCAAAAATACTCCTAGGAGAGGATCAAACGCGTCGGTATTAATCTCGCTTCTGCTCTCCCTCCTTCCACAAGGCGCTGCACAATATCACCATTAACAGGGCGTCGTCTAGTAAGGAAAGGTACTTAGATAGTTCTTACTACAAGCAATAAGCGCATGCAACTACATCACCCCTATCTCCACCATTGATGCCGGAACCTGAGAGCCAACGAATATCTCTGCTTTAACGCAATAGTACTGGAGCTGTTGGGGCAAAGAGCGACATCTAAACCCATTCTATGATAAAAAGACTTTTTTTTTCTTTAGTTGTTACCTTTGACAAGGATGTAATCACCTGTTTCAAAACCAGTTCCTACACACCGAGTCAAATCTGTCAACGTATTTACTACCCTTGTTTAACACTATAATATTTTTTTTATTCATTAAATTCCTCACAAAGCAAAGGCCAATGCAAAAAGAAACTGAAAAAAAATTGTATAACAAAGGATCGACATCAACAGTGTATGCTGTATATAGAGATGATTTTTTCGGTATCTCAATGCTATTGTTTCCAATCTGCCGTTCATGCGAGAGCTTGTATTTATTTGTCGATCTCTGCTATTGACTTGGACAAAACCCCAAGCCAAACAAAGGAACTGAATAAAGATTGATATGGCCTGTGAAGCAAAGGATCGATATCAAACCTACATGAGACAATGATAAAATTCATCATCAATCTAGGATATAAAAAGGAATCATTGTCTTCCTCCTTTCCCGCTCGCTCACTCCAAAGTCCCACTGCCACTTGTTCCTGTATCTTTTCCTCAATATTCTTTATCTATTCATTTTGGATCTTTAAACCATAAAAAAGCTCATCCTTTTATACCTTTGTCGCTCTTTTCTTTTTCTTTTTCATTTCTTTTCATCGCCACCATTTTTCCTTTTTTCTTTCTCCTTCGCTTAGATATTGACCATGGGGCTGAAGTCCTTCTTCAAACTGGTTGCGGCTCGCGGGGTTTTACCTTCGGAAACTGACGTGGGCACTTTCTTGGCGGCAAATCCTGACCATTCTGTTCATTTAGATCTCCTCGGTACGTTCTATTACGACATCCTCCGCAGAGTCGTCCATGCAAAGATGAAAAACGAAACCATCATTGATGTAGGAAGGTCCCTGGCACTCGAGATAAAGGATCTTTTCACAACGGACAACCTGACTATACATGTTGATGGGGAACCTTGTACTGAGAAAGAAAAAGCAAGGACAGAACGGCAAGCCATAAGACAAAAAAATATGGACGCTTTGGAGAACAATATGAGCACCTTCGAGAGAAATTCTCGGAGTGGGGTATGGACTCGTCCTCAAGTCATGAGGCGCATCCAGAAGGGTCTTCGAGAAGTCCACACCCTGAGCGTCCAGGACAAGGATCAGCTGGCAACAGGCCTTAGTTCTGTCTTCGATGTCTGTCTGTGTGCATATGAAGCGGACCCATGCATAGGGTGCCATGATGAGGAGAATGATAGGATCGTGATATCCCAAGACTCTGATTTTTTTGCGTACGAACGAGTCTGCTTCCTAGTGCGACCCCTTCCACACCGTAGACGGAAGTTTGGGGTTTACGACGTAGACAACGTTATCCAAGCACTAAGACTGCCAACACACGCGCATCTGGTGTTATTCTGTGCCATCGCAGGCAATGACTACTCAAGGAACCTCGAGACGTTAGGCCCGGTTAATAATCTTCGATTAGTTCGAAAGGTTGCGTGGAACAAGACCTACAATAAAATACTTCAAGATTACCTCGGGGAAGCTAATAAGGTGTTGGGAAGGAACGTAGCCTCTGAGGAAGGCCGTTTCAGTGTAGCTCTCCGCATTTTTACTTCCGGCCATCAAACGTCGGCCCAAGCGTTACCATCGAACAATGAGTTCGATAACTTCAAGCAGCGTCTACTCAATGGAAAGGATCTTCGCCATAGAATGGCTCAGCAAAGGCGAGCGCAGCGCCGCAGAACGTAAGAAAGCTCAAGCTATAGTTTTGGCCTTGAAACCATACGTCCCCAATACTAATCGTTAGTCCCTTTCTTGGATAATGTAGAGACACACCATCATTCTATATAGCGAAAGGGTCACATAGGAACCAGTTCCGGCCCATCTTTTCTGACAAGGCGAGCATATTGAATGGGCGCACAGTTGATATCAGTAACTGCCGTCAGCACGATAGGCCGGGCCTTAAGCATCCACCACGTCGGAAAAAGGCAAAAAAGAAGCAACAGAAAAAACAAAAGCGGAAGCATAAAGGCAAGAAGCCTCACAGGGCTAAAAAAGAAGGTGCACCAATTAGGAACTTGAAGGATGCTACGAAGGATGATCACAGCTACAGCAGTAAGTACCCTATCAAGGCCTTAACAATTGGGTCCCTTAAGGCCTCCATGGCAAGGAAAGGCGAACTGGACGCAGATGAAAGGGATAGTATTGTAAGCCAGACCCGAGGGGCAGTTGTTGTCCTCAACCGACTACGCCGCTATGCATACTGGGCGATTGCCTTGGACATTGAGAGGATTATGCGGTTACCAGGGGCAGCAAGGTCGAGGAAAAAGGCACTGGACGAGGCCTTGGATAGCAATGACTACTCCTTCCGTCTCGCCACCCTTCTTTTAAGTGGTCAAGGTGGCCCCAATTCAGCTTACGCGAGGACAAAAAAACAAGGAAAGGCGTAGAAACGCCCCATTACCTCCTCGCTTATGAACATTTCAAGGCCATCACTGAACTTTCCCCAATAAAGGAAATAGACATCACATTGGGGGACGTGCAAGGCTTTGATCCCAAAAAGATCTCATTTCCAAGAGCGTCAGAGCTACTAATGGGCCAAGTACAGATATCATTAAGGCAGCACTACAGGAACGCAATGGTATAGCTTGTGTAGGGTATTTTCATGTATATTCTGCAATCAAATGCTCTTTATTCAGACTCTTTTTTTTTTTTTTTTTTTTTTTTCTAGTTTAATGTCGAGAAAACAAACGAAGATATGAGCGACATTGAGTTTTTTTTGCGGGAGAACAAAAAAGTGAAAAAATACTCAGACTTTCCTACGTCCTCCTGGTCACCCAGGTATGTGTATCTGTCTGAACACGCCCTAGTTGACGTCCTCTGGGCGAACGAAGATACCAAGCAGCTGCTGGAGCGTATTCTGCCTCTCGACAATCCTTCCAAGACTGCAATGTTTGAGTGTACAGGGAGCAAAAGGGGTTTTGATTCAGGCTCTCTTTTGTGACATTGGAGGCGATCGCATGATTCTTGGATATCGAGACAAAGTATCCCTGCAGTCACAGGACAAAGATCTAACTCGGTTCAAACTCAAAGGAACGATTTCTACCAACGGTCTAGTTCTGAATCTACTTGCCTATGACACAACCCAGACGAAGAAACAGCAGCAGTCTGACGTAGATGAAGAAGACCCCAGCCAAGAACTGGAGCTTTCTCAGGGATTTCTCAGCACGACGTGTTCAAAGGCAGCCGGTGAAGACCTGACAGATGAAAACTTAGCAAACATAAACTGGAAGAGGAGCTCCAAACTGCTTGAAAACGTTGAGCTCACATTCAACAACCAGGGCGGTGCCCATCCGCAAACACCACAACTATCGTCGGATGCGATCCTGGTATTGTTAACGCCTTTACGTTTTCCTCCCTGTATCCTCACAACCCTAACTTGCGGCAAACGGTAAGGTGAGAAGCAGGTTCTTGTACCTCCCCGTCCTCCGCTTCAATCACCTATTGAACAAAAGGAAGCGTGAAAAAGGAATGATTGAGGTTGAGAGCGCCATCCCTGTGTTTGGAAGGGATACGTACAATGAGTACTTTCAATGGATGAACGAGGAGTCCCAGACACAGATAGGATCAAAGAATTTGGATGTGCTTCAAGAGTTCTACGAGTCCAGATGGCACCTGAAAAAAATGGGACCTACGAAAGGCTCAACGAGCTACGTTCGACTACGTGGTACAGCGAGTGTTGAAGATGCTCGGGGAAAAAGGAGTACTTGTCGTCGGCCTAGGGTCCTTTGAAAGTAGTAAAGGAGTTCCCAGCAAGCACACTGCTATAACGAGACATCTTGTCACACAGGTATGGCTTTTTTTAAAAAAGTAAGAAAAGCTGGAAAGCCATAGAACCTTTGCTAATAAACGACTGACCATTTGAAACGCTTAGGTCAAAGCACGAGGACACTTCGCTGTAGGAGTGCACGAATTTTACACCAGCGCCCGCTGTCCCCGACCCCTCTGTGATAGCTTTTTAGAGACGGTGTATCCTCGCTCTAAATATTGCCGGACATGTAAGGTATTCTTCGACCGTGACGCAGTAGGGGCGGAAAACATCGCAAAAATCGGTCTTGCTCAAATTGAGAGGCAAGAGAGGCCTGCAAAGTACAAGCCCACGGAAGAGTCGCCTGCTCCGGCTGCAAAGCGCGCACGACGCTAGACACAAGTATTTGGGTGCCGGCACACCCACAAAAAATTTGTAAGTTCTGTTTATTTTCGTCTCCTGTATCCTCTCTAATCTTTTGCCCCTGAATTTCTGGACTAACTTTAAAAACCGTACAGATCAACAGATACAGAATACATGTGTCGTCTACGTGTCGTGAGATTTTTTTTTTTTTTTTTTTTTTTCCTTTCTTCTCTACAAAACCATCACCATCATGAACTATACGACAGCTGATCTCGACAATTACTTGGAGTTCGCCATTCACCTTGCCAAGTTGGCAGGCCCTGTCATCCTTGAAGGATTCAATTCGCGTTTCACGCCAGAGCGCACCGAGCATCTTGTCAAGGTGGGCAACACAGCGGACCTGGTCACACTGTGGGACCAAAGGGTCGAGAAATTGGTCCGCGCTGAAATTACAGAAAAGATGAAGACTCACTCGTAAGCCGTCTCCTTTTGCTTAACAACTTAAAGGATAATACAGCCTAGAAAGGAATGTTTTCAAAATCAAAAGCTTTACAACTTGGTAATCTCAAATCGAACGCCTTTTTTTATATAATTAAAACTACAGATTTATTGGTGAGGAAACTGTTGCTGCAGGCGAGAATTGCAGCTTGACCGATGCTCCTACTTGGATCGTTGATCCTATTGATGGTACCACTAATTTTGTACATGGGTAAGGAACAAAAAAAAAAAAGCTCACTTGAACATATCATACATTTAGGCTATTTATGAGTTTTACGCTCGTTTTTAGAACTTACAGAACATTTTCTTCTTTTTTCGTGGTTGGCTGTGTCCTTTCAGATTCCCTTTTGTCGCAATCTCGATCGGCTTGGCCATCAACAAGGAGCCAGTTGTAGGAGTTATTTATAATCCTATTTTGAATCAAGTAAAGTAACGTTTTTTTTTTTTTTTTTTGTATTTTCGTAATCATAACATGTCCAATGTCTTACTTTTGCCCTTCTTACTTTTTTATAGTTGTTCACAGCTGCAAAGGGTCAAGGAGCGTATCTTTCCAAGATTGATGAGAACCCCCGTACACAAGGTCGACGCCTACCTCTGTCGTACCCTTACCCTCCGCCACCACTCCCTTCACTTTCCGTGGCTTTGATCGCAGGTGAATACGGATCAGAGCGCAAAACTGAAATCATTGATTCAAAGGTCAAATCTTTGCGTAATCTCTCTGCAAAAGATCCTTCGGATCTGGCGCCTGGTCGCGCAGTGGGACATGCTCACGGTATTCGCTGTCTAGGCAGTGCAGCTATGGACATGATGACTATTGCCCAAGGACAGATGGACGTGTACTGGGAGATTGGATGCTGGGAGTGGTAAGTCATAAAAAATAAAAATAAAAATAAAAATAAAAAAAAGAACGCTGACTCATTACTTAATTCAACTTATTAGGGACGTATGTGCTGGAATCATTATTGTTCGCGAGGCTGGTGGTATCGTGGTAGATGGGTGCGGTCGGGAGGTATCTGATGGCCAGCTTTTGACGGGTCGTCGATTCTTAGTTGTCCGCGGATGCTGTGGTGAAGATGGCGACACCTCTCCTGAGGCTTCATACAAAGCTCAACAGAAAATTATACAAGAAGTTTGGTCCATTGTTGAAGACCTTGAGTTACCTCGCAAGTAAAACTTAAATCTTTTACATGCAACATTATCAAAAAAGTATTTAGAGCGGTTCAAATCTTTTATTTCATTATTTCAAAGCATATAAAAGCTACAGAAAAAAAAAAGAAAAAAAAAGGTTGATGTCGATGATGATGGATCCAATCAGTTTAGTCAAAGTTATGACCATTACGAACGTCGCGGAAGAGACTAAAGCCTCGACGGGGACGCCGTTGAGATAAGAGGTACCAGAAATAGTAAAGAGAAAGCATCATCTTGGATCCATTATACCATCATGCCCATCATTCATTTGCCTTTTTTTTTTTTTTTTTTTTTTTCATCCTTTTGGGGAAAACATACATGCAACAACCAATAGTTTAAAAATCACCACAAAAAAAAAAAAAAAAAAAAAAACTCGGGATACAGCCCAATGTACTTTATTTCCTATTTACGAAAACTGATCGACAAAAAAAAAAAAAAAAAAAATGAAATTAGTTTGATTAATCAAAAAGTAGATCGCTCATTGCAAGATCATTCAAGAATCGTTTTTTCGTAAGAGTAAGTCAGGGTTAAAAAGCTCTGTCAAAAATGCTCCACATGGTCTTTCAGGTGAAGAAATTCGTTGTTTATATAACATCATTCATACTCGTAACGGATAAAAAAGAATACAAAGGGGATTAGGAGGGGAAAGAGGGGGAAAAAAACTTACCATAAGGGCTAGGATGTTGAGTGGAAAGGAATAAAAAAAAGAAAATAAACACCAAGCTTTCTTTTATCTTTCTAAAATGTGGCTTATTTATTGTGCCACCCACATAAGGGGCATTTAATATTACTCCATTACAGAATCTGAGGACTCTGCCAATCTTTCCCCCTTCAGCTGTTCCTGCCGTTGTTGCAATCGTTGGTGCTCCAGGATAAACATTCGATGTTTATATTCTTCAAGAGCTCTAGAGTCCTTAGGAGGTGATATGGTTGATACTCCGGTCACTTGGTGATTGAATGTTGCTTCCATCGGAAAAGGTGGAAGGATCGCGTGTGCTGGCAGCTGCTGTATATTCTCGTGCGGAAAGTGAGCTTTCTGACATGATTTATTGAGGGATTGGGCGTCTTCCGGCCGCTGCAACTGCTGTAGCTGCTGGCACTGCTCCTCCTGTGATACTGCAAAGCGGTTAATAGCCGTATGCCCCGGACCTCCCATGATGCATTCTTGCACGTCAGGAGTTGGTGTTGAAAACGAATCATGGCACTCCATCTGTTGTGTTTTCAGATTAAGCATCGATGTATTTATAGCACTCCGATCTGGTGAAGGCAGTGGCTGAGCTGGATTCAGCGATGGTAAAGACTGCAACAACGTTGGTAGCCCAAAAGAAGATACCCACGCTAGCGACGTATGCGATTGTTGAACGTAATGTTGCTGTTGATACAGCTCTTGTATCTGCTGTTCAGTAGAAGGTCCACACCTAGACTGGAAAGGATGACTGGGCAATGGCACGGGAGGGGATATTGGCGGAAGTAGATCGAGATGTGACTGCTGCTGTCGCTTTCGATTTTGTTGTGAATGTGCAATAGCTTGGTGCGCTTGCGACCGTATATCATCACCAATAGGAAATAATGTGGGGTAAGGCCCTTCAGAATGCCTGCGCAACGTCGATGGCGCCCCGTTTTCTTCAAACCTTGTCAAAACCTCTCGTGTGTTTTGTTGCCACATAAGCGAATCCAGACTATGAGCACGTATCAGCGAGGGTGCTTCATGCACTTGGCTGACCAAGACCATATCCATGGCAGAAGGAGCTGGAATTGAGGCAGCTGATGGAGATTGTTCTGGGCTTGGAAGGTGACCACACTCCGTAGCAGATGTGTTGATAGTGTGTCTTACAAGGGTTATGGATGGCATTGTTGCAGTACAGATACACGTTTGAGGTCGTGTTGGATTATTGTTACTCTGCGCTGTCGATACTAACGGTGATGGTGATTGAGATGAAGGGGAAGTAGCTGAGGCGTCTGATAGCCTGTAAGCTGTGGAAGGCATGGTAATGATTGCCTTTGAGTCATCTAAAGATAGCGTTGATGTTTGCGGTGGGGTGATGGCTGTAGCTTGCAATGGTGCAGATGATGAGGCGCCAGGGCCATTGTTAGATGTCGATGCGTCGAGCGGGTGTAATGACTGCGACAATGGGAGCTCTAAACCCTTCAGATGTACGGCGGCGTCTTCAGGACAATCCAATGGGCCTAAGGCTGCTGCCCGTTGCCATTGTTGTTGATACTGAGAACCCTGCTGCTGCTGCTGTTGCTGCTGTTGCTGCTGTTGTGGGTTGCCAACCATAGGATTCCATAGCGATGACGCGTAGCTAACCTGCGGGGTTGAGTCTTGTTGCAATAAGACGGTATCCGCAAGGTTCTTCGGGACACTCCCTGGTTCTGAATAACGTCTAATCATAGTTTGCTAATAAAAAAGACACGGCATTCATATGATGAAATTCAGTGAATGGATGCGAAAAAAAGTAAAAAAAAAAAAAAAAAAAAAAAAAAACTAGTAAGATGGGGGAAGACCTACGTTGTGTGAGAATATAGGCTGTGAAAGCCGAGGGCCTGGTCTCTGAGCATTAGCCCCTGGAATAGCCCTTGACCATGCAGCATGCTCTATTTGATGCTGAAGCTGCGCTAACATTCTTGGTGTTTGTATTTGTGGTAGTGGAAAAGAATCTGATAACAGAGGATGGTGGTGCAGTGGTTGTTGTTGCTGTTGCATCTGTTCTGAGGACCGTGCGCTACGCAAACTAGATGAGGCTCCTCGATCAGCCTTAGAGCTGTCTATCCTATTTCCAGTGGCCTCCCTAGGAGCAGCAGCGCCCATTTCTGATTGATAGATATGTAGATCTTGCCTTGAAAGGGATAATGAATACCTATCAGGGAATGCGAGCTCCAAGGACGTCGATGGCCCTTGTATTGTAGACGGAGTCACTAATATTTGTTGGTGATGATGAATTTCACTCATCATCTCAGCAGTGAGGCCGTCAGGCGGCATAGATTGACCAGGAATGAGTAGATCGGGGCTGACATGTTGAACTGGATTACGCGTGTCGGCGTCAAGGGAAGTATACATTTGTTGATTTTGCTGCAGCGGATGAGCACTATCATGCAGTTGGTTTAACTGGTGCTGTTCCTGGAACTGGTGTGGTTGATAAGAAGCTACCATGCTTCCTTGTGCTTGTAATACAGGTTGCTGTAGGCGTCCAAATGCAGGGCTTTGTGATTGAAAATAGATTTGGCCTTGAAATTGAGCCAACTTTTGACCTTCTGAGGCCATTAGTGCAACGTTAGTCTGAGAACTATTGTGCACGCAAGAGGAATGTGCTGTACTAATCTGCAGATCCTTACTGAAGCACTCAATGAAATCGGGCGGGCAAGAGTTACGGCGAGCTGCAGATTGTGATTGTTGCCCGTCCTCAACCCTATTTGCCTTCTCTTCTCCCACTGAAAAGGATGTAGCATGGTTTTGTACTAGACACATTTGCATATCACTGCTATCATTGTAATTGCCTGTGTTGCCGGTGCAGGGTCGTTCGGAGACAGGCACATCGAAAGACACTGGCAATGACTGTGCATGAATGTTATGTAAGTCTTGCGTTTTCGCCGCCCCGTGTCCCTGATTGCTGAATAAGGCTGCCTGCATGGTTTTGGCTTCAGCCAGGCTAAATTCTAGATTACTGTCCCACTGGTGCCGTGAATGTCTACCGGCATTGTTAAACATCTGATTTATATAGCGCTCCTTCTGCTGGCCTCGCTGGTGCTGAAAGTCATCGTTTCCACTTAAAGAGTATGTTTGGGACGTAGATTGTTCCAAATCAAACTGAACACGCGCCCCTGGGTGGGATCTGCCCTTGGCTGTCTTCAGAGATGAACGCCTGCGTCCCTTGGCGTCAATTGGCGGTACAACCTCGTCTGGGTTGGAAGCTGAGTTCATTGGCTCGGAAGCGGCCCCTCTACCGATACCTAGGATATCATATTCTTGCTGTTTGGTGCTTCCTGTTCGTTTCAAATACGGGTGGCTCCGAGAAGGGCCAGCTGAAGCCAAAGCAGCAGCCACCTCAAGTGCGCGTCTAGAGTTACTTTGATGCTCGCCTTGCAGTGACTGTTGGAGCATATGGCTGTTGTTTGTGCAACTTTCCACTGAATTTGCATTGCTTTCGGGCCTCAAGGGCTGTATTAGCTGCTTGGAACTAGGAACCGTCTCCATTTTGGGAGGTAGCATCGATGAATCCCTGGTATTTGGCGACAAAGCTGGTATATAATCTATTTGGGGAGCAGCCATAGTGTGTGTAATGTCCCTAGTAAGACCAAATTGGGTAGTGGTTTGTTTCGAAGATGCCTCAGCAACAGTTGTACTAATAATGGCTTTGCCAGTACTACTCCTTCTTCGCCTGCGAATAGCTCCGGTCGTCCCCTGAAGTCCCACATCGTGTGGAGGTAGGCTGTGAATGTCTGCTGAGGGCATGACTTCCAGCCTTTCGGCGCTTTGGTTCGGGTGAAGTTCGTTTGTGGCATGAATAGAAATCTGACGTGGTAATGGATATGTTCGAGCACTCGCATATGAACACGACTGTGTCTGTTTTCGCTCAACGAGCATCTCACCCGGGCTACTAACTTTGTGGCCCTTGTTCGGCGTTAATTCCTCTGATGAGATAGAATGGAGGCTCATGCACTGCATCTCGGGATCGGCATGAAGCTGTGAGGACGTATCAAGGCGCGAGAGCTGAGGGCCTTGTGTTGGAAAAATAGAACAACACGCACTCATTTCATTCAAGTCGGATGCCTCATTGTCTTTGAGCGAAGCTGGCATAGACATGCGACGGATCAAGCCCGACATTGGTGGTCGCCGAGAATTTGAGCTGAAGGGTTGATTAGTTGGTGGAGCATGTGGTACTATGCTGTGATGTGACCTATTATCTATAAATAGTGTCATGGCTGCATCAGATTGCCGCTCGAATATAAGCAAGGAAGCTTTGGCACATTATCGCCTCGTCTGTTTGGCAGTTACCTAGGTTCAGGGACAGAGCATCGTGTGAGTCCTCCACCTTGAGATGGATGGCAGCTGGCGTAATGCGACAGTCGTCCCTGCTATGTAACGGCAAGCTGTCTTGCATTACTGAAGCAGTTTCACGTTGTGGCTCGAGCACTGGTGGCAATGGAGGTTTCTTACCGAGCACTTGATCACATTGCGCGACTCGTTTCCATGTTGATAGTGGGGTCCAGAGCCTTTCATCTTCCGAGCATCCAGCTTGATCTGAACCCCTAGTCAAAGTCAATTCTTTGCTCTGCTGAATGAATATAAGCGAAGGATTTGCAACAGCTGATAAGCTTGTCCGCACATGGCCGCTTACGGGAGTGTCGAGATTTTTGAATGATTCATCCTTTCTATGGATTGCGGTAGAGCTACCTTCTGTTGTCTCTTGGGCTTGATTGGATGAACTGAGTGGTGATTTTGGTGATGGCAGTTCATCCATCTGAATACTATTGGAACGATCTTGAGCATTAGACACATTTTGTAAGATGATGCCCTTCTCAGTGCCATTCTTTTTCTTGAGGGTATTGCTATTAGCAATGGTGGCTGTAATGGTGCCGGCAATAACGTTGGCCTGCTTATTTTTTGCTCTCCTATTCTGGAACCAAACCTGGATCCCTCGTGGACTCATGGATAGTCTTTGAGCAAGATGTCGGCGGGTGCTAGCATCTGGTTTCGGATTTTCAATAAAAGCCTTTTCTAGAATCTTGAACTGGCTCTTAGAGGTCCGTCGCCGCCGCTTGACCTCATGTGGATTGTAGAAGGCAGTTCGAAGTTCACCATGTAGAGACTGATTTTCGATCTCCATAGACTTTGTCATGCTTTTGAGCTGTCAAGTACCAGTACCAAAACTTTATTGTAGTAGAATGATCCTTGAGCAATCCTGGTTACACTAGACAGGAAAGTTTCCAAAGGAAAGTGATCTGTGTGAATAGTTATCACAGACACTCTGACAGGCGTTCTGAGATACAGGTCGCTCAATAGGAGCAGATACGCAGCTCTGACAATGATATAAAAAAACCCGCCAGACCGAGAGAGGGAAAATACAGATGAGGTGATAATAATCAGCCCACTGAACGAACTAACGAGATATGAAAAATGATGAAAAAGATAAAAACAACAAAAGCAATGCTCTCCAATGCTATAGTGGATTTAGACGTGTCTGTTAGCAAGAGACAAAAGAGTGAATGAATGGTACTTGAACAACAAAAAAGGACGATGGTAAGGATGTGGAAGAAAGAGAATGGAGAGCGAGAGAGAGGGAGGAGGGTGAAGGAAAGGGAAAAAGAGGAAGAGCGCTACGGTGAAAGAGGACAGAGTACCCACTTGTGTTTTTGGATGCTATGGAACGTGCTTGCATGATCTGAATGTCTGTGTTAATAAAATTGAGTGATTGAGCATTGAGCGGCCATAAGAGGAGGTGCAACCAGTTGTTCAATCTATCAACCCATATATGCGTATTATTATCTTTCTGTTAGTCTGTTTATTTGTTTGTGTGTTGGTCTAAATGTCAAGAATATATTCTCTTTTCTTTCACACAGACACAAACACTCGTTCTCACAGCCATTGCAGGGAGTACAAAATATGCATGCTGCTTCCGAAAGTCAAGTCTGAATTTTGTGTGTGTGGGATACATTTAAGAAAGAGACAAATTGCAAACATGGCATTGGCCACTGGAAGAAAAAGAAAAAAAAAAAAAAAAGCGATGCCAGCCGCAGTACAATAGATGAATGTGGTTATGATGTGGTGCTTGGCCTGAACTGAGCCAGGGCATGTATTCAGCCCATAAAGGAGATTTGAAACAACAAACGGTAAATGGATATCATGACTTACAAGAGTTTCTGGAACTTGATCCCAAGAACAACCTTCAGGGCACTAAGTGTCACAGTGCTTGAGGCGAAGTCCGTGAGCAGATTGTGAAACAAGAAATCAAAGTGAATCGCAAATTACAATTACAATGGTCAGTTGAAAAAAAAAAAAAAAAAAAAAAAAAAAAGGCAAGAAAGGAAAGGAAAGGAAAGGAAAGGAAAATAATGAGGCCAAAAGATTGTAAGAAATAGAAAAGAAGGCCATCGAAGTTGCGTTTTGTGAGCAAAGAATGTGCCACAAGAACAATAGTAGGCATCAAACCATCATACACAATAAATGTGGAAAATATATACATATACCATCGAATGAATGGAAGAGAGTGGTACTGAAAAAAAAACTCCCCGGTTCCGTTGAATTCCTTCAAGGCAAATGAATGGTCAATGTGCTTTGTTATTTGGCACGAGCGAGGAGTTCCAGCGTTTCCAGCAATGTGGATGAAAGAGAGATGCGCGATAGGGAGCATAAACAGCGATCCAGGGGTAAGATGAGAAAGAGACATTAATCGGGAACACGCGTGATTCTGGGTAACTGCCTGAACAGTTTTCATTGATTTCAAGGTTGATTGTTGTGCAAAAAAAAAAAAAAAAAAAAAAGAGAGAGAGAACACACAGGACAAGGGGCTTTAGAGGAAGAAACTTATTTTTCCTGTATTCCTATATGCTTGTTTTCCTGTGTCCCTATGTCTGATTGGTCTGCAGCCCATTTCTTTTTTCAAAAAGAGGACAGGTGTCCTAACCCCTTCCTGTGGTTCTCGTTCCGGCTGTTACAGTAGCACACTTTTTTTTGTGGCCCATGCAAAAAACAAATGTCAACAGACACACATGGACGCCCTGACATCTTTGATACTCGTTTGAATTTGCATGGCTCTCTCCCATCAAACCAAATCACAGCCTCGTTCCTTAAAACAGTCTTTTTTGATAGCCATGTCGCTAATACTATTGATATTGCTTGTCATCGTCGCCGATGTTGAGAGATGGATTGACCGATAGATTTGTGGGAAATCCATGAACAAAGGATAGTTATTGTCGTCTGAAATTATGTTACTAATAAGAGTAATGAAACTCTAATGTGAACGGGCCAAGTCGAAAAAATGGGTGGAGTTATATTGGTTCACTGTTTTCCCTGAATACAAAGGCCTATTTTTTCTTTTTTTCCCATGACATTGCTGCAACATGCATAATGGCCCCTCCTGGTCGACATGTGAAAGGGTTTTCTTTTATTGGCAAACCATTGATGTGGAGTGGAAAATAGAGTATAGCAGTATTTAAAAAAAAAAAAAAAAAAAAAAAAAAAGAGGGCGGGGGACAGGAGATTGTAAAGATGTCTATGGCTTCGCACACGAACAAGAGCCGAGGAAATGAACAAAGAGTGCAGGGGAAACAAAAAAGAGAGATGACTGACCATTCATTTCGCTCTAATCCGTCTTCCTGAAAACTTGTTTTGTTCGTCTTCAGTACCCGCGCCTTCAAGTTGGTCACTGTTCTTGAATGAAGAATTAGATTTGGAAGGCCCAAATGTTCAACTGTTCTCCTCACCACAAAGTGACTTTTCCCCATACTCGTCTTCATTCGCCTCTAGACAAGCATTAAAGTCTATAAAACGCACGATATAAACTCGCTCTATGCTCATGAAAGCATGCTTAATATGGAAAGCTTACAGCTGGAACCGTAATCCCACTAGACACCAGGCAAAATGGGCATTGCGATCTTCAAATGACATCAAGCCATGCAGGATACTGAGTACCATGCAGCCATCCTACAAGTTCTCATGGCGCTTAGTTCGGCCATTTATCAACAGTTACTTCAGCAGTCACTTGTGGTATGCATTGCTACATCTGTAATCCCATAACACACTTTGAACAAACCGTCATGAAAAGTGATAGATATTCCGTCAACACCTTAAAGATGAAGACCCTGTTAACCTGCTGACTTATCATATCTGCGATATAAGTGTCTCTGGCACCAGATAATCGGACACTCCACAAAACATGCGCACAGTCTCATAACTGTTAGCTGCTTCGCAAATCCAAGCCCTGCAATCTTGATACTACTTTGGGCATCAAATGTAACGCTGCAGTAGTAATAAACAGATAGGATAAAATGTCTGAAAGCGATGAAAACGATCCAGTACGAAGTGAGCTATGATACGAATAGCATGATAGCTGTTGGCATTGAGCAAAGCAAGACTTCTTTGATCATCTTGGATGAACTTGATTTGTTTTATGTTCAGTGAAAGCGATCGTCTCTCTGGAGAAAAGTGGTGGAAATTAGCGGCGACTAATGATGGACTTAGGAAGATCGAGAATGCAAAGTGAAGTGTTGAGTATGATGAAAGTGCGTACTGATATGTCTGATTCTTTATGCAGATACAGACGAAGCCGGCCACAGAGCTTGTATCACACTGACCGTCATTGCCAACTCAGATACTTTTCAATCATAACGTGCTTTTACTTCATTAATATGAATAAGCTTCAAGGAGTAAAGGAACAATACGTGGTTTTAGGGCATGTTCTTAGTTAATCAGCCTGTAAAGAAGTAAAGTTATTTTGGTGCTTGACGCGACAATGCTCGAATGAAAGCCCAACTCCTGTGGCACACCATGTGTATATTCGAATGCCAGGAACTGGGTGTCTAAAAATTGAAAGTCGGTTCGGTCGGCAGAATTCTATTTATTAGCGTTTGTTAATCCAAATGCCATTGTTGTTCATTCATTCATTCATTCATTCATTCATTCATTCATTCATTCATTCATTCATTCATTCATTCATCCATTCATTCATCCTCGTTCCCCTCAAGCACTCTACTTCCTTAAAACACCTCAAAACAACATATATAAGTAATTAAGCGGCATCATGCTCTTTGCTACTGCAGACACAGGCTTTAAGCAGGATGTTCCAGAAGTCCGGAACACTTTTCTAGAGGACCCAGTTATGGTGTCTATCCTGGAGAGATACTTACCCAAAGACATATTGAACGAGATTACTCCGTGAGTGTTTATGGCATATGCTGTATCATTAACTCAATGATTTACAGTGCGTGCGTTTTTTTCCTAATATTACCTTTTTTTCCTAATATTACCTTTTTACCAAAAAAAAAAAAAAAAAAAAAAAAAAAAATCAATTTAAAGAGATCTTATTAACATTTGTGAATGGGCCAACACTGGTGAGTTTGCCCGCACTGTTTTACTTGTTTCTCCACAAAATTGTTGGACACGCGCTAGGATAAGGTTGTACTCCACAACTTTTCATATATTTAAATGTCTTTCTATATTGCAACATTTTCTTTGATTTGTATAGAGGGGGTAACACTCACTATCCGGATGGAGGGAGACCAACCAAGACTTCGTCAATATGACTCTTGGTGCAGGTACATCCATTGATTATATCATTCCTGCTATTCTTATTTTATTTACTCTTCTATCAGCTATTCTTTTTGGACTTTATTGATGTAGCTTGTTGATGCTCTGGTTCATTGCTTTAGACGTGTCGACGAGCTCTTGGTTACGGAGGCTTGGATCAAACAAAAAGAAATTGCGGCTCGTGAAGGAGTCGTTGCAATCGCGTATGAGCGCGTATATGGCCAATATTCTCGAATTTACCAGATGGCCAAACTGATGCTATGGACATCTGGCGCCGGTCTTTACAGCTGTCCCATCGCCATGACTGGTAAGGATGTTAATGCAAAAGAAAAAAAAATGAAGTATGTTATTCTATTGAGTGATTGACCTTGATCGCCTTTTTTGGTAGACGGTTGCGCACGTGTCATTGAGGTTAATGGGACTCAGGAGATGAAAGATCAAGTTTTTACACGTCTGATTAGGTAATATTTGTAAAAACCTAACATCATATATCTTTAGTGAATATTATCGACTTACCTTTTCTTTTTTCTCACAGCCGCGACCCTAAGATATTCATCACTAGCGGGCAGTGGATGACGGAACGTCCAGGAGGAAGCGATGTCGGGCGCACAGAAACTCAGGCAGTTTGGGACGAAAAACGTCAACGTTGGTCTATTTCCGGCTTTAAATGGTTTTCCAGTGCTACTGATGCGGATGTGACCATGCTCCTCGCTCGTACTCATGATCCTAAAGCTGCAGACGGGACTTCCTCTATGCGTAGCGGAAGTAAAGGCCTATCACTATACCTTGCTAATGTCCGGAATGAGGATGGTAAACTGAATGGTGTTCGTATTCATCGGTTGAAAGACAAAGTCGGGACTAAGGCCTTGCCTACTGCTGAGCTGGAGTTAGATGGTATGGTTGCTCAACAAGTCGGTGATATGTATCGTGGCGTCAAAAACATTTCTGCCATTTTGAATATCACCCGTATCTATTGCGGCATGGGTTGCGCTGCTGCCATGCAGAGATTCGTATTAATGGCCAAAGAATATGCGCGTCGACGAGAGGTATTTCATCGCTTTTTTAAAGAAAAGAAAAGCAAAGTGTACAAAATGTACATGCCATATCCTGAATTAGCAATCATCTTCAATACTGAAGAGTGTTTTGATCAACAATTCTATTCCTAGGTCTTTGGTGCTCTATTGAAGGATCAACCATTGCATTTGGCCACATTGGCTAGTATGGAGATGCAATATCGTGCCACTATCCAGTTTGTCTTTTATTGTGTCGCGATGCTGGGTCGCAATGAATCACTTGACAACAACCTTCCACAAGTCAAGGAACGTGATATTCCGCTCCTGCGTCTCTTAACTCCTATTTTGAAAGTCTGGGCTGCCAAGAATGCGTTTGCAATGTCTCAGGAGGCAATGGAGTGTTTTGGTGGCCAAGGCTATATGGAGGAAACGGGTCTCGGACGTGCCATGAGAGATATCTTGGTAAATACGATTTGGGAAGGAACTACCAACGTCCTTTCGCTGGATGTTCTTCGTGTAATGGCTGAAACGGGAGGTGATGCTTTAAAACTTTACACAGAGGTAACAGTCATTGTAAAAAAAAAAAAAAAAAAAAAAAAAAAAAAACTTACTAAATCGTAATAATGTAGTAAACCTTTCTTCTAAGGCTTATTAATTCCCATCCTCTGTTTTATATGCGTTGTTTTGTGAATCTCGCCTCCATAGACGGTCCGAAGCATTATCCTCCCCTTGAAGGAACAGTCTTTATGGGCAAAGTCGGCACAAAGTCTCGAGTCTAGCCTCCAGTTGATCTCTAATCACTTTACAACCTATGCAACACTGGAAACGCGCAATTTGCTTGAAGCCTCAGCACGCGGCTTGACGTTTGCAATGGCCGATGTCATCTCTGGCGCACTGTTATGTCAGCATGCTCTTTGGTCTGAGGACAGAGCAAGAGCAGATAGGCTCAACAAACTTGCCTCAAAGGAGGCAGATATTGACCGTATCACTGCTCAGAGGTGGTGCGAGGGCTTGGATCAAAAACTCAAGTATCAGATTGTAGTCTTATGTCATGAAACTAGATATGAGGATGATAAGATGATGTTATTTGGATTGAGTGACGCTAGGGCCTCTCAAAGATCCAATGTTCCTTCAGCTTTTACTCCCAGATTATAATTCTGTTTTTTTTTTTTTTTTTTTTTTTTGAATAAAAGTTGTTATTTGTATAACTATTTATTCATTGCAACAACCTAATCTCTTCTTCTTCCTGGTGGTGGAGGGGGTGGAAGTAATGGAGGAAGTTCTATTTTAAAATCCAAATGAAAAGAAAATATACAGTTCAGGATCATGACGCCCAACATAGCACTGGAACATTCATACATAAAACAATTTTGATTCATCACTCACCACCATCTTGATTAGTTGCTGCAGTTCTTGGTGGTCGATTACGACGCGCTGATGATCCAGATCCAGCCCCTGAGCCGCCAGCGATTGTTAAGCTCAACGTTTGTCCTTCTTTAAGCGAAAAATCCAATCTTGGTTGCTGTGCTCCAGACTTTTTCAATTCTTCTGCTTTCTCCTCAGCTCTTAGTTGTCTGTTAATCCAGGAAGAAGGAGAGAAAGGTTAATTTATAATAGAAAGTGTCCTCGCACGGCATTGATACCCTATTGAATACTAATAATTCCACAAGGAGTGAGTCGCCTTACTTGAAATGATCTTGGAGTGCCACGTTAAAATCAAAAGCCTCACTACGATCTAAGAATCCGAGGCCAATGAATGCGTGTCGTCCTTGGTCCTCAATCCTCAAGACAAAGTAGCGACTTGAATCTGTGACACTTTCTACACAGCCCTTATTTTCCTCATAGGGACACGTGGCAAACAATTCCCCGGTTTTCCCGTCCTCTAGCCGGATAAAACACTTTTTACCCTGAGTAATGATGCGAAGACGTCCTTTCCAGAGAGGATCTCCTTCGAGATTCCATTCTTGAGCTTTATAACCACGGCTAGAAGATAATGGAGGGATCTTGTAAACTAAATATGTTCATGAAGGAACAATAGGTTTTTTTAAAAATAAGCGAGGAAGAACAAGCCCAAATTTGGTTTCACGCTAAAATATCAATAAAAGAGACCATAACATTCTCGGATCACTAAAAGGACGGATTCGTATTCCTGATTGTCAAATACAGACATTTGTGTATTATTTAGAGAGAAGGGTTTATTGCCTTGAAGGATGAAGGAATTAACAGAAAAAGATCAGTGATGCAGAGATGATGAAGCATGGCGCGCCACGTTTCACAACTATCGAAAAGTATGTGAGAAGAGCTCGCAGTCACTGGGCGCAATGGCTTAAATTCATCGCCATCGCGATCATGATTCTCGGTCACCTAGACCATGGTTGACCCATTTTTGTCACGCGTCTAACGTAGTCCAAACATAGCTTTTCCTGTAAAAAAAAAAAAAAAAAAAAAAAAAAAGCAACATGGAATATATTGAATTCCACGTTGGAAAGGTAGACCTTGAGTACCAGTCACGGTGGTCAGGGTTTATGGAATATTGGATACAACGATTCTGCCGTTTGTGCAGTAATAACTGTTTACTGTCTATGGTCTCTAGGCATTTTGTAGAAAATGAACCCCATGATCTCGAGAATCCTTGTTATCGAAAAAAAAAAAAAAAAAAAAAAAAAAAAAAGTCTCTGCTCAAGGACCATCATGATTGTTGCAGTTTGAGTAACACATTCGCAAGATAAACATTTACAAGCATTCTCTGTTCACAGATTGGCACTAAAAAAAAAGACCATTTTATTGTCATCAACCATGTGATCCGTGCGCTGTTTTCTGGACAGACCGAACATCAATGCAGTCTTTACGCCATTTTTTCTTTTTTGCGGACTATTTCCAGCAATTCTTGGCAAGACAAAGTCTTTTGATGATGAAGATTCTTTTCAGCTCCCTTGGTTTCAGTCTTTCTAAGGATGCTTTGGATGCTTTCTCAACGAACGCATGTTAGGTCTCGTGGTCAACTTTACTGTGCGTAATGTTTGGAGGCTACGACAAGGGAAATCTTTTCCTTACTGGAGCTTCGTTGTTCCGTAGGTTTTTAGAAATGATTTGGGACGCTCAAATTTTGGCCACTGTGCGTCATGTCCATAGTTTGTTTGGATTACAACTCAGAAACTGAGTGCTTTAAGCACACATCGAGCACGAGGGATTTTTTTTAATCCCTCCCCCCATTCAATAAAACACACGACCCCATCGATACCTTAATAGCGATCATGATTAAAGAGGCGCAATACCCCATCTCCTTCGATTTTTTTTTTTTTTTTTTTTCACACTTTTTGTTCTGATCTACCATCTCAATTACGTCCTATTCCAGCACGCTTTCCCTACTGTACCTATGTCTGAAGTAACTACTCTTTTAGCATGGCTGATACCATTGCTTGTCATTGTCATAGCCTTTATTGCCTGGCGCATTTATGTTTATCAGACCCGCGGTCCCATTTTGCCTTCGTACCTCCAGCGTAATATCTTTGCTCGTACACGGAGTTTCCTTCCAAGGACACTTTCAATTGGATCAAATAAGGATGTTGCAACCACTGTCGCTCCTACAGCCCCTATCAGGAATGAGACCAATATAGACATGTCAGGTCAACAGCAACCAATGACATCGGTGTCATCCAGTCAGCCACTTAATTCTCAGTCGTTCGCTCCTTTAGCGCATGAGAAGGAAAATGTGCCTGTCACTCCAGGCACTTTGACTGATTCAACTCCTTCTGGCCAAGCAATACCCAATGAGTCCTCTAGAGCACCTCCTTCTCCAGCGATTGAAAGACTGCTAAGCATGAAGTAGATCGCAACTAATTCTTTGAACACACGTTCTCTATTTGTACTTAATGATATCTTTATATAGTGCATATGATTGCACGCGTCGCAAAACTTTTGTACAATTAAAACATTACACTTAGTTAAACAACCATCTATCTCTCATACTCTCTCTCAAACTCTAAAGTTGTTTGCTCCCGCCCAGAACCTCCTTGTAAGGTCCATGATCCGCTCTCGATTTGGAACGTTATCTAACGTTCCCTTTTTTTTAACTGCAGTTTGTATATCTCATAGACCTTTAAGTCACATGTCAGCAGGGGCTCCTGCTGGTACAAACAACGGAAAGGTTAAATGATTCAAAGATAACTTGATAGATTTTACGCCTTTCATTCAAAGGAACCTAATCAAGACATTATTCACTCACGCGACTTAAACACATTATAAGTTTAATGGCCTCCTCCACCAAACAGACTTCCTAAAACTAGAGATGACGCAGACGGCGGAGCTGTCTTTTTACGTAACGAGGCAACCTCGGCCGGCGAAAGCTGCAGAACTGTTGTAAGGACTGGGAGCAAAGGCTCGCGATCATTGGTTTCAAGGAATTTGAGGACAATGTTCTTAAGATAATCAACACTAAGATTCTGTCGTCTTTCTGCCCTATCGAGGTTACGAATTTCCTCCTTTAGAACCTATCAAGTATCAAAAAATCAAAACGCTTTAGCTCAACCGGATGCAAAAGAAAACAAGATATCGATATCTGACTCAAAACCTTTGAACAACTGTTGTACATATGGGAAAAGATTCAAGTAAACAGAATACATATACCTTCTCTTGATCAAGTAGTCGTTGATGATTTGCTTCGCTCTCATTCAGTAATTCAGTCAAGTGCTGAAGCTTGATCTGGTATTCTCTTTCCTTCGTAGTAGACATTGGAGTTGTTGCTCCAAGGCCTGCTGTGGTATCACTAAATGGAGATCTATCCACTAAGGGCTTTGCGGCCAAGAGATCCGATAGCGTTGCTACAAGAGGGTAATGCCAACACGTAGTCTTAGCATGGTCACCAAAAAAAAAAAAAAAAAAAAAAAATAGTATTTATACTATTTAAAACATCATGGCGTAATGATCTCAACGTACAGTATACTGGTGCCCTCTCTGCTGGAAGAGAAAGAGATGACGAAGCTCTAGATATGGGTGATTCCTGCTCATTAAGCGAGAATGAAGACCGTGGACCAAATGCTGTTGAAATCAAGAGCTGTTGTCCTTGACTTTTACCATCTTGCTCAACGTTGGGCGATGTAACTACGCTGGCATCATTGCTGTTGGTACCATTATTGCCTATTTCAGGATTGCTAACAAGGTCCCTCAGCGTCTGGATCTCCTGTTTTGCGGCCGTCAGCTCATCGCTCTGTCGATCAATGATCCTATGTAGCTCTGCGTTCTCTTCTTCTTTCTTGGTGAGACGCTCCTCAATATATTTTGTATTGCCACCTATTTCTTGCCTCAAGCTCTGTGTTTCTACTGCTCTGAGCTCTTGCAAAGAGGCGAGGCGCGATTCAGCGGCTTCGCGTTCCAGTTGCGCATCCTTAAGTGACCGCTCTAGATCCTTCAATTGACGTGCATGCTGGCGTTCTTGACGACGACTTATCTCAATGGACGACTCTAAGCTGGCTATCTGATCCAGAACTACTTGTAGTTCATTCTCCTGTGCTAATCTTCGTCCCTCTGACTCTTGAAGTTCTTTTGCAATCGATCTGAAAAGTCCAGGTAATTTTTTATGCGCATATCAGTTGTCTGTTCCACATATACTCCCTAATAGTCAATAGTCGTAAACTCTCTTACCTGTTGTCTTTTGTAAGATTGTCCAACTGCTCCTGCAATTCTTTCAATCTGCCTACATCATCTGTCTGGACGGATTCACGTTGTTGTTGAAGTAATAAATTTGCTCGCTGCTTGTACTGCTGATACTCCGTTTTGAGCTTCTCAAGCTGTGTATTCACTTGGCGATTTTTACTCTCCTGGTAGTTATTTTTATATTTATTTTTTAAAAAAAAGCATCAGAGATAGTAGAGAATCCTATGGTGATTAATTATCAACTCTCACCTTTTTTATTTTTTCTTCTTACCATTTGCTGCAATTTTATTGCAGCCACTTCTGATTGGCTCTTAAGTTCTGCCTCTAATTCCTGGATCGCCTCTGTTTTGACAAGCAATGTAATAAATCATTAGCTTTAGAATGCTATAATAGCAAGACATTGCATTCATTTGGCAGTTTGGCAAATAACATGCTCTACTTTGTCAACACGTACGGGTTTGCTCCACGGTTTGGGATTCTGAAGACTGCTGGTTCTCCAATTTAGTTTTCAGTTCTGCAATTTCTTCGTCTTTCGCTGCTATTGATTGTCGATATTCATTCAGATTCTTGTTGGCAGCCGCAAAGATCGCCTTCATCTTTTTCATCTTCTCGTCATGATCTGACTTTTGTTTGCTTAGTTCGGCAGTTCGTTGGCCCAGTTCGTTTTGTAACTGCTCACATTGCTTTGTTTTAGCTTCAAGCTGTTGCATCAGATCTTTGAGCGCTTCATCCAACGCATCTGTACCTGATGAATTAGCCTGTAAAACAACTACGTCACCTGCCTGCTCTCCTCCTGTCTGTTTGAGTGTGAAAGAAGCTGCATCTGACACCTTTTTCCTCGGTAGGTCCTTCTCTTCAGTTTGATCAATTGAAACTACACCAAGCGGGTCTTCTAATCTAGTAGTTATCGGTGATGAGTGTCCTTCCATCACATTAAAGGAATCCTTCTCTCCATCTAGTTTGGGTGATAGAAACTCCCCTGTAGCCTTTTCTTCAAGAGATGCCCTCATTGCTTTAATAACCTGCCTAGCCTCTTGCAGCTCTTCATTTAACGCCTCATTTTCTTCCTTGAGCTGTTCTGCTGCCTTTTCGATCTGTTTCAGATAAAAATAACATGATTAGTATGATAGAATGCCATCAGTTTTCGTTTATAGTCCAATGGATTGTTTACCCTTTGGTGAGAAGTACAGAACCGTGTTCCTTATTCCATAGACACTTGCCTCGGATTTTTCCTGATTGGTTTTCTGAAGCAACTTTTGAAATGTTTCAATGTCATTGTGTGCTTCATCCAATTGCGAAGCAAGTTGTGCGTTACTAGAGTGTGGACTGGGAATGTTTGAGATTAAATTCAAATTAGTATTGAGATTTTGATATTATCGCTTCAACCCATAAAACCTATGGTAGCCCATACTTTGGCGCGTTTGACCTCGTATTTGGGTTCTTTGGCTAAATAATAGTGAGTATAGATATTTAGTGTATATAAATGTGTTGTAGGTATGCAAAAGCAGTAGTTCTCTTTAAAGAAATTGCTACTATTATAAATTTTATTATTGAGCTTGCCTTCCGTGCTGGGTTGCCAGCTAAATTTTGTTGCTGTTGCTGAACCGCCAAGGGTGAACCAGGTGGGCGCCTGTTTGTTGCAGGTGACCCTGGTCGGGCTTCCAAGGCTTCACTGGCCAAGGCTGCAAATGAGGACTCGGAAGCCTTTTTAAGCAGCGTATTGAACATGGGTAAGAGATGGCAGAGACCGAGTCCCGAGAGACAAGCGAGGGTGGATGGGTTCTAACAGAAACGTTGCTGTAGACGGAGGATGCAATAAAGATGATGGAGAAAGACTGATGCTCATGCATTTCAATCCATCAAATTTGCGTGTCACATGTCTGTGCGCATGTATTTATTGAGGAATGTCGTCCCAATCAAATCTTTCGCACGGACGACATTGTTAATCGAAGTTGAATGCTTTGGAACTCATAGCGACGCTTTGAAGTATAAGTGGAGTGGTTAAACCATGATCAATTTGATATGCTAAATCTTTATTTAATTGAGGACCATATTTTGCACCATTTTGTCTGAGTGAGGGCTGAACAAGATCCCATATTACATTTAGCATTAAACAGACATTGTGGCTCAACGTAAAGACAACGCCTATCTCGCTTCCGATTCTTTATATTATTATTGTTTGTCTTGGAGCTATTGAAAACACAAAACAAAAAGCGAATCAATTCCAGTTCACACTTAGAGGGGTTGGCATTTATGATCTGTCCGGTAATGTCGACAAGTGTTATCCTTTTCCTCTCTCACTTCTTTTCTTCACTTAGTTTTCTCATCCATCTGACACACGTTGTTTTTGAATTTCCGTTCCCTTTTTATTTATTTTATTAACATTTTTGCCTCGGCTCTTCCGCGCTACACACCCACACACGCACTCTTTTAAATATTTCATACATACAGCTTAATAGATACCGATCTCAGACAACTTTTCTATTTCAAAGGATTTTTTTTTTTAAAAAAAAAAAAAAAAAGATGTACTCATCACGGTGCAGGATGAATATGAAGACGCGTCCTTTGTTAATCGAGTATTCATGTGAATCTATGGAACGGTTACGACAAGAGAAGTTGTATGAGCTACCTTCAAGGACACTGCAATGGTGCTTTGCCCCATTAGTATTTGTTATAACTATGGCATGTAAAACGCTCTTTCTCGCCACCATACTGTGTCCGAGCTTGAAAACATCTGTCATTCTTCGTGTTAATACATCATTTTTGAGCGCTTGCGACATGGCTGTTTTTTCGCCCATCATATCAGAGGCAGGAATTAAACGAATATTTGGGTGATATATAAAGTTGGGGAATCCACCTTTCTTTAACTATTCTTTTCGATACAATTCTTCAGAGAGGGGGAAAAAAAGCTTCTTGACCAGAGAGATCAAAAGTACACCGCGTGAACTGATTGAAAATGTGTATCATTGACATTGCTGATATAATGCTCTCCATTCCATTCACAAGAACACTCTTGACTTTTTTACTTTCCTTCAACGCACTTTTTTAATTTTTATTTTTATTTTTATTTTTTGCTTTTTGTCTTACATTCCTTTCCCGCAAGCTCTAACCTCTAAAAGAAAACTTTCCACTTATTAGATCCCAGCATTGGTTTTGTTAACCCAGATTCTGCAGACCCAGAAGCAAAATATCAAAGCAATGCATCCTCATGATATAATTCTGATTCCAACACTCTCAATCGGCGTTGACCTCATGAGTATTGGTGTCGTCCTAGTCTCCATCATGGGCCTCTGTGGTATTGCCAAAGGGTGCACTCGACTCATGAATCTTGTAAGTAAAGTCAAGTGCAATTGTCCAAGATAACAACACAGATATCTTTCTTTCGCTTAACTTTAATGCCCCTGCTTTATTTAGTACTTTGTGTTGGTGTTGTGCTTCATTGCCATTCAAGTTGGCCATGCTACTATCAGCTTTATGTCAGGGTCTCCTTGGGTCGAGGAAACATTAGAGAATTCATGGGATAAAGCTTACGATATGGATAAGGGTACTATTTGGGATCTTCAAAGAGAGGTAAAAGTGGAGACAAGAGCATTTTAAAAGATTTGACATGTGTCCACTTTACTGATTACATGGATTGAAAACCTTGTTAGTTTCACTGCCAAGGCTTCCGTACACAGGAGGATCGTGCAGTCAGGATGATGTTACAAGAATCAGATTCTCACTTGTCGCCATGTCTTGAGATTTTACAGAGACACTTTGGCCACCGGCTTCGAGGCCTTAGTCTCTATATCCTCTGCATACGTTTAATACAAGTAAAGGGCAGTTGATACATGATGCAAACTTTCAAAAAAAAAAAAAAAAAAAAAAAAAAGCGCTTGACTATAGTAATTATAATCTGATACTGATATAGAATTCTATTTTATTTCTTCTTATATCTAGTTCACAGGTGTTTTCTTGTTGTCTATTCTCTTCAAGTATCTGACTGTCTTGGAGCAAACTGAGGAGAATGAACAAAGCCAACAGACAGACGAGGAGTCGCGGTTCTTTAAGAACGAGAAACAATTTGAGGATGAGGGCTCGGGAGTTTCCTTGATGGCAGAGGTGAATACGGATGGGGGACTACCACAATACACAGCTGAGGATACCTATGATGGACAGTACGGATACCATGATTTGCCAGAATATGTCGAGGACGAGTACGAGCCTACTGTCTACATCTTATAGAACTTAAAACCAGTAGGAAAACGTGACTAAATTACGGATATTAAAAATTGCTATGTATTAAGCTCAAACACACGTTGCATTTAAACTCCATGAATCCACATCGCACATTCATGCCTTCCAAAACTATGACATCTACTTCAGGCAAAGCGAATCCGCCCCATTGCTTTTGTCGAAAACCATCAACAGTCATCTATACTGAACTTGAGGGCATTGTTTATGAATGTCACTATACCAACTTGAACCTGTGGCTGGAGCGCCATGTTTTGGTTTCGTCTCCAGCTGCGCAACAGGATACCACAAGCAACAGCTCAACTACATCTACTGTACAATCTTCTCCAGTATCGGCGCATTCGCCTGCATCACCAGCTAATACGGCTAGCAGGAATACTTATACGCGATCATTATCTGCAGGAGAACATGATAGGTCTCCTGTTTTTAAAGAGGTGAATGAAATCATTAAGGACCTTGCGGCTCATACGAATGAAGAATTGGCGTCCAGCTGGGAAATATTTTTACAAAAGCGTCCAACCAACAGGAGCACAAATGGAAATTATAATAATGACAATAACAATACCAATAATACCAATACCACCATCAAAAACCATAACACAAGCAGTACATTCGATCAGCTATTCATAGAGTGGAAACTTCAGAACATTACACTTTCACTACCACCCAAGCACAAGCATCAAAAATTAGTATGTGGTTTTCATATGCATGCCTCTATTTGGGAGGCATTCAAGGACCTTGCCTGGGACCCCACACGTGACAATAGGCAGCATTCGCTTTCTTCAGAAAAAAAGGCCTTGGCCTTGCTACAGAGAGACCGGGTATGTGCTCGAAAGCACCACGGGCTTGTATTTAAGCATCGAGATATGCACGATCAGCTTATAAGGATGGCAGAAGAGACAAAGTGTGATGCACATGCCCAAACGATAGGCCGATGGACTCATTGGAGAGAGAAAGTATGTTATCGTAGAAGCTCCCCATCAGGAGGAGCACCAGCATGCTTCTGTGGCAGGCCTATGAAATGTTCGCTATCGCATCCTGGAGGACATGATTCAGCGATTTCATATTTTTGTGCATATCGCCTCGAGGATGGTAAGAGAGGCTGCAGTCGAGTGTTGAATGCGGGGAAATGGCTTCGGTGGCAGCCGCTGGATCCCATTCATACGTTAGCTTCGCATCACAATGCTCAGCCTGGTGATGATATTAAAAAAGAGGTGACTGTCAGTATTGAAGCGGACAAAGAATCCAACTCTGAAGATGAATTAGATAGGCCACTGCACGATAACGACTCTCTAAATGTTGGGGATCCTATGAAACAGGAGTCAGAGAGCGAGCAGGAGTCCGATGATGGTGGAGAGGGATGGGATCAACCAGCTAATCACGAGTCTTTCGCACCGTGTACATTAAAACCCCTTGCATTGCCTGCTGGGTTAATATATGATGGGACCGGATGTATAGAAAGGATAAATGCTCCCCGGATGAAGGCCTCATTACCCATTCACACTTTTGATCAGTCGATGGCATTGGATGCTCTAGTGAAGCAACTGGAAGACCGAAGCGATTCGCTAGTAACAGGTGATACAATTACCTTGGATGAACTAAAGCAACTGGAATTGCGACTAAAAAGGTGGCAAGACTCATGTGGTCGCCTTCAAGATTACTCGAGGGGTCTGCACGAGGATGGCCTCGATAATCCTACGTTGACTTGTCGAGTTTGCAAAGAGGGGATTCTTCAACGAGCGGTTGCTCCTTGTTTCCATCTAGCAATGTGTGATCGATGTATCCGTAACCATACACATTGCGTTGTTTGCCACACGAAAATTGAGAGTACTCCGAGGATATATTGGGGGTGAAATCTGTTGAGTGTGAGCAAGGGCATTGTCATATTCTATAGACAATAACATTAAAGTCAATCTCCAGAGGTAGTCACCGATCACACGAACAAAAAATTTTGTTTCGAGACTGCAAAGAATATTTGTCTGATGAAATGGGCTCTCGTCCTTTTTCAATACGCTGTCAGTTATCCAATTGCTTGCTGCAATCGGAAATTGAGCTCATCTCGCATCTCATTGCCACATGTTGTCTATTAGTTTAAAAAAGATCCTTGTATCCAATGCGAGCACAGAGGATGATCTTGCTCGATACACATGAATCGGCCAATGAGAGGGATCAAATAGAGGGAAGAAGAGTAAACGAAAAAAGAGAGAGAGAATAAGAGAGAGAATAAGAGAGAGAAAGAAACGAGGCTCAGCCACAGATTAAAGACTAATGGTTTACCAATATGATGTAAGTTGGGCTGATAAACAAGATGAAGTCTGCTACGATCTGTTGAGCTCAATTATGAAGATCATGAGTATTGGTGGGGAGGGTGCATATCTGGATATGAATGATCAATGGTTTAATGTTGTGAGTAGACGTGCTAATCTTTTCCAGCAACGTGTGCATGGACGACATTTTTCAGTTGTGTGGAGTGTGAATGAGCCGAGTACAAGAAAAGAGGGGGGAAGTTTGCGACTGTGCGTCCACTTTCTTTTCCTTGACACACGCACCCTCTGCTACAACCTTTTTTTTGTCATTTGTTCTTCTCCCTCTTCCTGTCCTTATCCTTATCCATCCTCATCCTCATCCTCATTCTCATCCTTATCCTCATCCTCATCCTCATCCTCATCCTCATCCTCATCTTCATCCTCATCCTCATCCTTATCCTCATCCTTATCCTCATCTTCATCCTTATCTTCATCCTTATCTTCATCCTTATCCTCATCCTTATCCTCATCCTTTTCTCACCATCTTCCTCGTCCTAAATTAAAAGTACGATTGCTTACTTTTCTATTTTATTTTCTCACACATTCACTCACACGCACCCCTCCTTTTCATTCCATTGTTTACTCTTACAGCGATTGCTCGATCTGCTCCTATATTCCCTATATTCGTCATTTGGATTATTTTGTTTCTGCCTTATTCTTTTTTTTTTTATATTTTTTTATTAGATATTCATCTTGTTTATTAGAGCAATTTTTACATTTTATTAACACATTTCCTTCATATTTCAACAATATTGACTTTCCAACAGGATACATTTCAGCATAGTTTTCTCAAGGTGAGTCTCCAACACAGTACCATTATCTTTCATTGTAGACTCAGATCTATCTACGTAGACTTCTTGTCTCGGCGCAAATATCAATACGTCCAAGCTTTTCTTTTTTTGTGAGTGTGTGTGCGCGAGTGTGTGCGTCTATTTTCTTCCGTGCGCAAACAAGCAAAAGCATTGTCAAAACAACATAAACGTGTGCTCTCACCCCCTGTCACTTGCCGCTGCTCTTTAAAAATTGATATGAGACGTGTCTTTTGTCATCCCCACTTGAACCGCTCACAATAACGACAACAACAACAACAAAAAAAAAGTCCGTGCATGCGCCCTTGCGCGTCGTGTTCAAAAAAAAAAAAAAAAAAAAAAAAAAGAAAAGAAAAATGAAGGGAAAGAATCTGTAGTCGGCATGATGACTCTGTCAGTTGGCAACTAACACGTTTCAACTGTAAGACTTGAATTAGATTGGTTCCAAAAAGAGTGTCAACAATGTCTGGAATATACAACCATCGTCCTATGGTTCCTGGACGTAGCACCGGGGTGCCAGAGTGGCTTGATATGATCAAGCAGGAGTTTGAGAATCTCAACCATGAAGTCATAGTTGCCAAGGTACAAAGGGATGACTATGAGCAGAAGAGTAAGCTTTTTTTTTTTTTTTTTTTTTTTTTTTTTTTAATTGCTAGCTTTAATCGTTGTAATCAAATGATAGAAAAGCAGAGACATTTTAATCAACCTGCATTCTTGCTGTCGATCTTGCTAGTTAACAGTCAAATCCAGGAGATGGATGCCTTTCGACGAACGCTTTATGAGCTAGAAAGAAAACATGAAGCGATGAAAGCTCAATATCACATGTGAGAACACCGTCTACAAGAATAGAATAATGCATGCTGATTGTGGCATGTTAATGCCAACTGATTTCCCATTGTCTTGACAAATTTTTTTCTTGTTGCTAGGTGGGAAGAAGAAGTTGTTAGATTACGACGTGAGGTCGAGCAACGTGGTGGCACTGTTCAGCCCCCACATCCCCATCCGCATAATCAACCACCACCACCTACTATTGGGCAAGGCCAATCGAATCTTTTCGGGGGAATCATTAATGGTGGTCCTGGCGGTCCTGGCCTAGTTGCCCCTCCTCAGATGGCCGAGCCATCGCAACAACAGCAACATCCACAGCACCATCCCAGCCAACAACCTCCTTCATCTCAACAGCAACATATGCAACAAGTTCCTCAACAGCAGCAACATCATCAGCAACATATCCAGCAACATTCATATGGTGGACCTGGTGGGCCTGGAATGTCACAAGGAGGTCCTGCACCTCATTCTCCTTACATGAATGGGAATAGCGGATTGCCACCACAGTCTGGCCAAGCACCATCTAAACGATTTAAAACAGAGAGCGACGGACCACGCTTCAAAACAGAGAGCGATGTTCCTTCGCCTGGTGCCCCTGGTAGCATGTATGGCAACATGTCCCCTGGCCCTCATGCAAACCCAAATAGCCAAATCCCCCCTGGGATTGGGTCTTATAATACACCTGCCCCTCTTGGCTCAAAACAATCTTCTAAGCCTGGAAAGGTACGTTTATTAATTTTATGAAGGCAATACCGAGTTGTGATCATTGAAGCAGCATCGATACTGACAATGTTCTTGTACCTCCCTCATCCTTTTAGAGCGGGCCTTATACATCAACCAAAGAGGAGCCACAGTCGTCGCCAGCATCCAACAAGCGTAAGACAGGCGCTTCCTCTACTCCCACTACTGTAGCACGAACTGGGAGAGCTTCAGGATCATCGAATTGGAGCGATGATCCTGATAATGTACCGCCACAGTTGAAACGTGAAGGGCCTGATTGGTTTGCAATGTAAGCTTTTTGATCCGCTATAACCGTCTTTCACTTTGCAGAGTATGCATAGCACGCTTTTTTGTAATCATCTCAAATACCCAATTATTATTTGCGCCGCTGATGTTTTGTTTGTCAATTATAGTTCGAATCCTAAAGTGCCACAGCTGCTCAAAGTCGATCTTCATCATACGATGGAGCACTCAAGGTTCGTGTGTTATATCTCGCTTGCATACAATAATGAATGGAGAGCAACTGTAATTCATACATTTCACAGCCTTACCCGGATACCTATATAATTTTATTCTGTTATACTGTCGTTAGTGTCGTTTGCTGTGTTCGATTCAGTGCGGATGGGAAATACCTTGCTACTGGCTGTAATCGCAGTGCTCAAATCTATGACATTGTCACTGGTCAGACTGTGTGGTAAGTAAACTGATTTGTAGAAGCATTTCTGAATAGCGATTGGCCATACAAGACATGTGGACTGATGCTCGTTATATACGCTATATAACTCGATCCTGTTGGTCACAGCATCTTAGCAGACGATACCGTAGGTAACGATGATCTCTATATTCGATCAGTCTGCTTCAGTCCTGATGGCAAATACCTTGCCACTGGCGCAGAAGATAAACAGATAAGAGTAAGCCATTTGCTCCTTGGGTTTTTTTTAGGGCCATGAGCGATTGCGTATTTGGGCCAAAACTTTTTTAATACTAAATAGTATTTTTGCGCTTCAAAAATGTCTACAGATCTGGGAAATTGGCCGTAAGAAGATCCGCATGGTCTTAAAAGGGCATGAACAAGACATTTATTCTCTGGATTTCTCTAGAGATGGAAGGATTATCGTATCTGGTTCTGGTGATCAAACTGCTCGTGTTTGGGACATGGATACAGGGAAATGCCTACATATTTTGACAATGGGCGATGTTGATCTGAAGGATGCAGGAGTGACCTCGGTGGCCATTTCCCCAGATGGTCGCCTTGTCGCCGCTGGCTCTCTGGATAAGATGGTCCGAGTCTGGGATACACACACTGGACAGTTACTTGATAAATTAGAAGGTCACAAGGACTCTGTCTACAGCGTGGCGTTCGCGCCTGATGGCAAGACCCTTGTTTCAGGAAGTTTAGACCGTACACTACGTTCGTGGGACCTTAACCTCAGTGGACGAGGCGGCCCCAATGGATCGCGTGGAAGCATATGCAAGGCAACATTTAATGGACATAAGGTATCTCTTCGTTTTTTTCTCTAGTTTGATGTTCAATTGAAATGTTTTATTCTCTAATTATTATTATTTTGTTATCTTTATTATTGCGCATCAAAAGGATTTCGTGCTCTCAGTTGCTGTATCGCCTGACGGTAGATGGGTTGTTTCTGGATCCAAGGACCGGGGGGTTCAATTCTGGGATCCCAACACAACAGCTGTTCAGTTTATGCTACAGGGCCACAAGAACTCTGGTAAGATTTTTTTCAAAAAGTTTCACTCGATATTTAAGGTTAGGTAAGGTATTTATTATGTAATGCAATTGACCTAATTTTTGAAATACCTGTAGTAATCTCTGTTGCATTAAGTCCAGCAGGAACTTACTTTGCAACAGGATCAGGAGATACCCGTGCTCGCATATGGAGCTATGAATCTACACAGGATTAGTCTAACGAGCATGATAGTTCCCATGTCGATGACGAACCATGCTCATAATAATTAATAAATTACACCTAGTTTTTTATGACATCAATGACATCGATGAACGAGTGTGGCTTAGCCATTTATTGACTTTACTCTATCTAATTCCCAAGCACTTTTCTTTGTACATTTGCTAACATTGATTTCGAACTGGAATACTCGAAAAGAAAATTAGCTTTATACATTAACCTTCACGCAATACACACTCATTTATCACGCGAGCAAGTTCATCGCGAGGCTAGCAATTATTGGCACGGCAACCCCCCACCCCCGGAAGCTGCAGAGGGATTCCTGCGAGGTAAGTTATAGCTTACCATCCCAACTCGTCTTTCCTCTAGACAAATGCCAGCATGATTAAGAAGAAAAGATGCGCCACGATTTTCCTGTTAATGATCAGAATTGATGTCGTGCAACAGAGCCCCAATGATTTTTATTTTATTTCTGCCATTGTCTTGTGTTTTGTGTTTTTATTTTATTTTTTGATATAAAGTGACGATAGAACCGACACCTGCTGCAGACCGAGCTATTCATGAATCCATATATTAAACCATCATGCTTTCTTGTTGATCCACTTTTTCGCTAATGATGACCTTCTGTTGGTAGGCCTGCGACTCTTTTCAGTATCAATCTAACTAGGCACAGTCCAGTCGCCACCCCTTATAATATCTCTAATTGCCTACAGTGCACGATATACAACGCCAATTCATAGTTAAATATGGCAGACCATGATATGAACGATAGCGATCGCATTTTAGCGAGCATCAACAATGGTAATGGAGCAACAGGCGTATTGGCGACAGTAGTCAACCTTCCAGGGAATGGAGGAGGAAGATCTGTCAAGACACAACATTCAGGCATGACGTCAGATGATATTCTAAGTACGCTCACCCAAACAACACAAAACCAGGCTCTTTCACGTCCCCCACCGCCATCATCTCAACAACAACAACAACCACAACAGCCACAACCACAGCCATTGCATCACCACCATGTCCATCACCCCATATCTGTACATGACCAAGGGTCATCTCAACATTTGACAGCCACAGCTGCCAACGGGGTTAGCAATGGGAATGCTGTCGCTGCATCTTCTCGAGGTATAGAGACTAATTCTCTGAATGGAAATACGAGCGTTCAGGTCCCTACAGGGACTTTTGGACTTAGCCTGGGTCATTTATCAGGTATTTCAGGACCCGCTAGTCAATTACTACAGCATCAACCCCAAACTCAACAGCAAACACAGCAACAGCAACAGCATCAATTCTTGATCCTTCAACAACAGCAGCATGAGGAACATCAGCGGCAATTGAAAGAATTGCACGATCAAGAGCAAGGACATATACAACATCATCAGCAGCAACAGCAAACTGTGATCCAGTCGAACATAGAGGATGCTCCGCTTCAAGATATTATTGTTCCAAATAGAGAGCAGGAGTTTGATTCATTGGAAGCTGCGCAGCAGGCTGCAGAACGTTATGCGCGGAGCGCCAATACCGTTGTTATTGTGAAACGCACAACCAAAGACAAGAATGGTGTCGTCGTACAGGCAAGTTCTAGTTACTGCTCAATTAACGGAACAAGATTCCCTTTTTTCTTATAAACTTCTAACACGAGTCACTTTTATGAATCACAGAAAGATTTAGCGTGTGAGAGGCAAGGATCCTATCATGGATCATCAAAAACTCCAGCTGATAATAGCATACGAACGAAGCGATGTGGCTGTCCATGGATGATCTCAGTAGGATTCTCCAAAAAGCGTGGAAATCGAGATGGCAAGCGCGGCCGCTTCACAAAAGTACATTTGGAGCATAATCATCCTCTCCAGCCTTTACCTGACGATGAACCCACAGGACCATCGAAACTATCCATTAAAGAGTCCAAAATTGTATCATCAGCAGATCAAAAAAGCAGCTTGTCTTCATCCAGTTCGCGTTCGCAGTCATCACGATCACGCACTGGAGCTAACTCTATAGGTGGACGGTCCAAGTCAACAGCAGGGGCTAATCGATCCAACGCACCAAACAACAAGGGCTCTTCTTCAAAGGCAGCGGTCGATAGAAACGAAACAGAAGACACTACAACGGTTGCTACTTATGGAATGTCAGGCTTCATTCCCCAAGGTCCACTAATCGCATCTAATCGAGTTCCAGACATACCAGAAGTATCATTATCAGGACTCGAGCCCTCCCGCAACGCATTAGTGCCCCTCTCAGATGACGTGATCTCTGCACTTGGACCTGGTAGCCACGAAGTTCATCAATCTCTGCAAAGCATGGGTAGAAGTGAAATCACTTGGGATGATCTGAAAACGCAGGTGGAGCATATGCCATGGGGGCTTCGACAGGATATTATGAAGGCGTTCATGGAAGTAATACAAATTACCCAACAGACATTTCAAATTCCGTCCATTGTAAGTGGACGAAACGCTGATGCTGAAGCAAGCGCCGCAGCTACTGCAGCAGCCATAGCAGATGTAGTTGGGAATTTACCAGCCAATTACAATCCTAACCCACCAACTCAGCAGCCACAATCACAATCACAACCACAGCCACAGCCGCAACCACAACCACAACCACAGCCGCATCCATCTCAGCAGACATTTCCTCGTCATCACAACTTAGCTGCCGCTGGTGCTGGCTCATCAGCCATGGACGCAGTTGCTCATGGATTGGCGCCAGCGCCTTCGTCGGCCCCTGAAATAATGCACCTGCATAGAACGGAGGCAGGGAACATACACGGGGGCCGGACAGGCGACAATATGCATAAAAGCCACAGTCGGCAGGGCTCAAATGTGAACCCAGTGCAGCTGACTGACTCCTCAGCAAATATGATACCCAGCCAGCCTTTAGTAAACCAAGTATCAACTGCTATTCCGACGGTTGTCTCGCCGCATTCAACATCAAGCGCCCATGTTATAGCAGCATCTAGTAATTCAACTGCGCCGTCTACACCAACATCATCACATCCTTTGTCTGCCACTGCCTCTCCACTACTTACATCCCAACCAACGCTTCGAAACGCTGGCATCGCACACTTGCCTATGTCTGGAGACGTAACCATTCATCACCACCAAAATAGTTTTCTACAGCAGAATAGACAACCAAACCATGCTGCATCTAATCATCATCGGTCACTAAGTGCGTCAGCTGCCGGTATCGCGGGCTCAGGAGGAAGCCTAGGGGGAGGCAATATTAATAGTGGGAGTGGCCATGGAGTACATACTTTGGATTCTAATGGAACGCAGATCGTGGTTGGTCATACTCACCCAAATGGTAATAGTGGTAGCAATAACTTGGAGCAAACATTAGCAAATGCAGCACGTGCTCGGGCGCAAGCCCAGGCCCAGATTCAAGCGCAGGTGGATGCCAGCACAGAGGCAGCAGTGACAGCAGCCCTAAATATGAATACGCTGGCCGGAACAAATACTGTGACAGGAACACCTATCCCTGGAGCAAACAGCTCACCTGTGTTTTCAGGACCTGTTTCACATGCAACATCATCACCGATACATTTGAGTCTTTTGAATGAAGAAGTAAGGATACACGGCCTTGAAATGAACTCTTCATTTTCGCAACAACTTCAGCAATTACATGAGCAGCAGCAGCAACAAAGGTTGCAGTTGTTGCAACAGCCACAATCACAGCCACAGCAGCAGCAAGTCCCGATTCAGCTTCAAGGATCAGGCCGAGGACCTCAAGATCTGCTCCGACCTCGAGGTACAGAGGAAGAAAGTGATGTGAGTGATCTGCCAGGCGAGCCTCCACGGAAACGCATAAAATCCTGAGCTTTTTCAAATAGGTTTCTAGTTTATGCCCTCTCTTCATTTTTGCCTTAGAATAAACCTGTACGATAGATTGATGGGCTGGGCAGTGCTCGGATGGAATGCGCGTGAGAGCGACATCTGACAAAGCAAACTTACAATTAATTATATGCATATATTTTCATTCCTCTCCTCTCTTCTCTCTTCTTTCTTTTTAAGACCCCATTATATTCGTCTTTTCCTCTTTTCCTCTTTTCCCCAGCCTACCTGCGAGGTGTTCCCAAAATCTCCTGTTCGTTCTCATTATTCATTCCCCATCAATATATGAATGTCATCCATGAGCACACTGGTCGCCCCTCTGACCAAGGAGAACCACAGCATCTTCCTGTGCCAACGGGTCAGAACACACGACGGAGAAAGAGCGACCAGAACGTAACATGGCACAACTTGTTGCAGATTAATAGCAAGAAATACTCGGCAAAGATGTGCGCGACTTGACAACAATGCATTCCTTGATTTAATCTAGGTGAATCCAATTGAAGCAACTGTCACCAAACTGCTAATGGCAACAAAGCAGTTGCTTGACGGACTGACACTGTGGGCAAATCGCAAAGCGTCAGAGGACCAGGTTTCCGACATATTTGTTCAGCTTGCGACACAATTTAACCTTGCCAGTCAATCTTTCCACGAAGTAGGCATTGATACAAGGTGGGTATTTTTAGCAGAGTCGAAAATCAGTCATCCCCTTATATTTACAGACTACCCACTTATGCTTAATACCATTTTTTTTTTTCTACATTCGATAGCGAGCTAGCACATATTCCTGACAATTTGCGGAACTATCTGGAAACTGCTCTTGGAGAAGAACCGTCCCCTACATCATTAGACAAGTACTTACCAAAAATTAAGGAGGTCATCATCAATCTGCTCCAAGGCCTTCGCCTTAAACAAAACCTCTATCGAGAACAATATGAAGCTAGGGCAATTCGACTACAAACTCCGCCGCCACAACAGCCGCCACCTCCACCTCCGCCTGGAGCCACAACAACAGCTGCTGCATCGACATCAAACGCTCACAGGACAAGAATCAGCGTCACTCAACCCAAGCAGCAGCCTCAGATTGGGATGGGAAGACCTATAGAACCGCCTTCAACATTGCAGCTAGAAGGAAAAGGCTCAGACTATCGTTATTTTTCAGCTTCCGATCAGAATCAACCCGTCTCCACTATTGCAGCTGCAGCTCCTTCACCTACTTTAACGCTCACTGTACCGCCTAGTTCTCAACAACGCATGAATGAACATTCACATGCGGAAACCTTGGCCTCGCTTCGCAAAAGCGATGCCATTACTCGACGTGCCTCTTCTAGACGCCAATCGCAGCGGTTTTCAAGATTGGTAGAAGAAAATACACCAGCGCCTCCTATGCCACGTCGACAGCATCCCGTATCGGACTCGAATATGATGGCCACATATCCCACTTACGCAAACTCTATGAACGTTCCTATGGCACCCTCTCCACTTGCAGACCCTCGCCTAGCTATACTACAGAGCCAAATGTCAATCTTACCAACGCCTACAATTGATCAGTTCCCAGCAATCCCTGGATTCTTGAACCCAAATGTGGAGGCGAATATGAGTAACATGGGCCTTATGTCTCTGGCTCCTGAACCATTAGGGCCATCATCTTCAGGGGAAACCAATCATCATCCTCACCCTGCAATGCCGTTCACACCAAGTGCGCCTGATGCTCCTAAATTATCTGACGTGCCTCATACCCCAACAGAGCCCTTATCAACCATGGTTAGTCCTTCTGAAGAAATTACCATTCCAGAGCCTGTATTGTCAAAAGATTTGAAGCCAGCTCGTAAGTTACTACAAATAATCGGTTTACATCCATACCTATAGGCATGAAGATGATAATGTACAGATTAATGATTTTTGATCATTATATTATATTCTCTAGCCATAGAACCAGAAGAGACTGGCCTCACGCTCTTCCTTCAGGTTGGGAAGAGTGTCAAGAAGGCCAAACTCGAAGAAGAACTCACACATTCAGGACTGAGAATGCTTTTCATGGAAAAGTTTCAATACAATCCCGGACAGGATGATTTCCCCGCCATTTACGTTAAAGACCCTCAAACCAACATTCATTACGAGCTAGAGTCCTTAGCTGACGTAAAACAAAACGCATTCCTGTCATTAAACGTTGATGGTAAGTGATAAAAAAAAATGAAAAGATAAAATTAAAGCGTATTATACTTTGGAAAACAAACTGTAGGCTGTACTAACATGAAAACTCTTTGAATTAGATCTGGAGAATATTCAGCGAAAAATGGACCAGGGCTTTGCAGCTCTTGCAAAGGAGCTACATGACATCAAAAAAACACAAGAGGCCATGGAGCAGGCACGCCAAAAGGCAGCAGCAGCGGCCGCATCTGCTGCTGCTGCTGCCGCGATCAACAATACACTTGATCGAAACCTGCCCCCAAGTGGATCTGATAATAATTCTCAGATGTTCCGCTCTTTAGTTAATAAAGCCATTACCAAGAATAAGGGCGACATGTCAACACCCAGCTCCGAGCAGTTAAATAAGATCAAGGCTGTGGATCTCAGGCCATACTACGATGAAATACAAACATTGCGAAGGGATCTTGGAGTTGTTCGACAACTCTATACAGAACTCCAGAACGAAACAAAATCCACACTTGGAAGCCTAGCAAGTTATACAAGCCAACTGCGTAAGCACGCGCAGGAGTCTCCAGTATCCTCGAGACAGTTTATTGAGTCTGGAAAAATCAAATTAGACAAAAAATCGGAAGATCTGACCAATAAGATCGAAGACCTTCAGGATGTTGTGGAAGACATGAAAATCAACATCGTACAGAGACGTGGACGGCCGAGTGACAGCTCGATGGTGTTCGTAGATAAGCAGTGTGAGGAGATTGAAAAAGACATCGTGAAGCTCTCAGACTATATACATACGTTAAGGCCTTCTTGGAAGAAAACATGGGAAGCCGAGCTGCAAACGATTGTAAAAGAGCAAATGTTTTTGAAGGAGCAAGAGGCATTGCTGGAGGATATCAAAGAAGATAGGATATCTTTACTCCAAACGCTAGATAATCTGAAGAAGGTTATGGCGCTTCAGGCTAGAAATAGCATTAGCGGTAATGGAAATGGGGGCATTGTGTTCCAACCTGCGCCTTTAGATGAAAACTTTGAAGGGCTAAAGACAGTTATGGAAGAAGTTAAATTAATTGAACCCGACTCGGAAAAGCGTCTGAAGGCAATGGCGCAGATGGAGAAGCTGAGACATATTGAGCTATCCAATAAGATTGATGAGTTTGAGCAGGAATTGACAACATTTGTTGGGGCCAGCAAGTTGAGAAAGACAGGTGGAGCAATGGAAATTGAGCGGCAGAGACAACAAAGGGACCATGAGAATTTGAAAGCAATGTTCAGCAAGGATAAAGCAGAAGGGGTTGATAATGCAGTGCCCGGGATCATTAAAGGTAGCACTGCTGTCGAGGCTATTGAGGAGAAAGTGGAAGATGACAGTTAAACGATGCGTCTGCATTCTTTAATTAAAAATGTAAACGTCCTTGAAGTTTGTAGGATTTGGTATTTATTAAGAAATAGAAATAGGCGGTAATGGGATAATAGAAAAAGCTGTCACCACTAAACCCTTTGTTATATACCTTCATTATTGTTATCATCTCTACTCCGTTCACCCCCTACCATGTCGATTCTAAGGACTACTTTCGGTTTGGTGGGTGGATGTATCTAGGCATCTAGAGCTAGCGTGCATGGGTTTGTGGTCGTTTGCTGCACATTCAAACAAACTAGTAGCTCCACTGGTCATTTGTTGCACTCCACCGATCTGTCCGTTCTGCTACTGCTAGTCTGTAATAATGTACCGAATAAAGTCTCAATGGTTTGTATATCAGCTTTAGCCACAATAGACGCCAACACCCCCATATCGGAAAAAAAAAAAAAAAAAAAAAAAAATCTATATCAAATGTAGAAAAACCTAAACATGGCGCCAAAACGAGATACAAGTAATCTCCGACATTTTCTGGTCAAGTTGCCTTGAAATGGTCAACATCATGCAGCTATCATGAATAGAGAATATATTAGGGTCATAGAGTAATGTGTAGCAATCACAAGGACAAGAACAACTGATGGCGTACAAGTTATGGGTATTCTCAAAGACTTTCTCGATCCCCTGTATCTCATCTGCCTTCTCTCCGACTCATTTCTATCTTATAACCTTGGCGTCATAAACCGATATCTCCTGCATAAGATACTAGAAATCAAGTCTTTCCTTTGGAGAGACAATGAAAGGCAATACAAGTCTGGAAGATATACGGTTAATAACACAATCAAAATACGCCTGAAATGTAAAGCTTCTTGATATGAATAGTCTACTAGACATTGTATAGTTTTACAAATCGCAAAATTATTGGGGATTTCAAACTTGGCTATTGACACATCAGAAATGCGACTCCAGAAATGACGGATTTCGAGTATCCCTTGGCGGATTTCACAACCCAAAAGAAATAAATTGAGGGACCTACCCCTTCTTCAAGCTGGATGCGAAGATCCAGGGAGAGTGTTTAAAAAAATAATAATAATAAAATATCTTATTTCGAGCAAATAGACGGCGTATTTGAAAATACTTCTGACAGCCCTCGAGCTGGTGTATTTGATGTGGCAAATAAACTTTTCCAAATTTTATATGGTCACGAGCCACAAATTTTGTAGTGTTTTAAGGATTTTTGGTAACGCAGTTTGAGCTAAAGTTATGCTGATGTCTAATCCAGAGAGCGGACGCGTATTAGAGTCCACGCAATTCCTTTGACACGCTCTGCTTTATTTTTTTGCATGCAAACGCGGCAAAACCAAACTTTTAATTCATCTCTTTACGCACCTGTCCCTTTTCTTTATTCCTACTCTTTATACACAACCACATAATAGACTAGTACATAGAAAGAGCAAAATTCACATTCAACCATGAGTTCCATTGGCACAGGGGTAATGGAGACATGTAAACAGAGTGCACAAAATTGCAAAAAAAAAAAAAAAAGGAAAACCCCCTGCATCATATCTAATGCAGTTTCAGTGAACATCTCTCTCTTTTTTTTTTTTTTTTTTTTTTTTTTTATTTTTTTTCTATCTATCTATCCTACAGTACGATGTATCTGTTTCAACATATTCGCCGGATGGCCGAGTCTTTCAAGTCGAATATGCTGGCAAAGCTGTCGAGAACAGCGGGTAGGCTTTTTTTTCTTTTTCTCTACTTCTTCAACAACCGCTCACGGTATCAACTCACGAACCTGTCTCACTAAATATATCTTTTTTAACACCATAAGAACTGCAATCGGTATCCGTGTCAAAGATGGTGTTGTTTTGGCAGTGGAGAAACTGATTCAATCCAAACTCCTTGTTCCTGGCGCCAATCGTCGTATCCAGAACGTGGATCGTCACATCGGAATTGTAAGTTTCTTTTTATTATTAATGTTATTACCGTTAAGCGAGTATATAAAATGGTCTTATCGAGCGAAAAAAGAAGGTTTTTTTTACACATAGCGAATTATTGATTAAGATTGAAAATATTCCTTTTTCTTTGTCGCAATTAATGAATAGGCCACTGCTGGTCTCTTGGCAGATGGACGTCATATTGTCAAGCGTGCTCGTGAGGAAGCACAAGCATGGAGAGACATCTACAAACGTCCCATTAACGGGCCCGTAAGCGCTAATGGAGTTTTTTTTTCCTGGAATAAGATGTTACATTTTCAAAATAAATTAGTAGTTCTGATTATATATATATATATATATATAGGACATTGCAATGCGTGTAGGCGATTACGTTGCCGCATATACCTTGTACTCAAGCGTGCGCCCCTTTGGAAGCAGCACAATCATTGCAACAATGGATAATACTGGACCAAAGCTTTACATGGTGGAACCTTCAGGTCTTTACTGGGTACGTTCCTTTTATTATAATTATTCAGATTGCATTATTGTATTCATCTGTTGGCCTCATCTTCACTTTCTAACTCCTTCTTTTTTTCGCTGTTGTTGTTTATGCTTATGAAATTGAATTGTAGGGTTATCACGGAACAGCTATTGGAAAGGGTCGCCAGGTTGCCAAGACCGAAATTGAGAAGCTGAATCTTGAAGAAATGACTTGTCGTGAGGCTGTGAAGCATGCTGCACGTATCATTTATAATGTGCATGGTGACGCAAAAGACAAGGTGTTTGAGCTTGAGCTGAGCTGGGTTTGCGAAGAATCTAAAGGTCTGCACCAATTTGTGCCTAAAGAGATTGCGGATGAGGCTGAGCAGTTGGCAAAGGTACTTTATGATTTTATCCGCTTTTCTTTTATGGCAAACATCCTAGATGTCTACTTTACTCATTTTACGCTTTTTTCTTGACTTCCTCGTGATATAGGCCGCCCTAGACGATGACGACGACATGGATGAAGATTAAACAGACCGTGCTTTGTGGGGAAACACCGAAAAGAAAAAGAAAAAGAAAAAAAAACCCCTGAAAGTGCATGGATAGCATGAGAAAGAACAGTTTCGTTGTATCCAGATGGCTAATAAATTTTAAAAGTATCATTTTCATAACACATATACGTTTTTAAAAGATATTTTGTACGCCCCTCAATTCGATATAAATGATTGTGGCGTCAAAAATGGATAGAAAATTAATTACTGTGAGTTAATTGAGACTTCCTTTTTCTCTCAATAATTCAGCAAAATGGCAAGTAATTACTTCAGATGTAAATCCGCCTTGTCTATCGCCTGCATCCATCCAGTCAACCAAACAATCATCCATCCAACCATTTGTTCACGATATTAGTATTGGACTATTAATGAAATCGGCATCTCATACTATTCACTTTTATATTCTTTTTTCAGCATTGATCGTTTTTAAAGATTTGGAATGTGGCTGGCTGGGTGATCAGATTCATTATTAAAAAAAGGGCATTGACTATAAGCTCAACAGGAAGGATCTTTAAAGCACTCTTTGTCGCCACGACTCGTATTTATATTACAGACGCATTTATTAACCAGGAATAATACATCACTTGATAAAATAGTCCAAGAAGGCCAAATCTGCCCCAAAGGTTCAGGAGAACATCTCGCTCGGTCCCCAGGTCCGTGGTGACGAGGAAGTTTTTGGTGTTGCTCATATCTTCGCCTCGTTCAACGATACCTTTGTCCATATCACAGATTTGACTGGTCGTGAAACTATTTCCCGTGTGACTGGAGGGATGAAGGTCAAGGCTGACCGTGATGAGGCCTCACCTTATGCTGCCATGTTAGCTGCTCAGGATGTTGCTGCCAAGTGCAAGGAAGTCGGAGTCACTGCTCTCCACATCAAGCTCCGTGCCACCGGTGGTAACCGCTCCAAGACACCTGGTCCTGGTGCCCAAGCTGCTCTTCGTGCTCTCGCTCGTGCTGGCATGAAGATTGGTCGTATCGGTAAGCAATATAAATAAAATCTACATGTCGGACGTCCATTTGTTTGTTTTTGAGTCCTCTTTTTAGTACTCAAAAATAACTTATGCACCTCCTTCCTCTATAAATTCTCAACCAATTTATAGAGGATGTCACCCCTACTCCCACCGATTCCACTCGCAAGAAGGGTGGTCGTCGTGGTCGTCGTTTGTAAAAAAAAAAAAAAAAAAAAAAAAAAAGGTCAAAAGGAAAAGATCTCTTTTTCTCTTTTTTTTTTACATTCTGGTCGGGAGAAAAAAAATGTTTTGGCAACGAGAGTCTTGTGGCCTTTCCTCCTTCGCTCCTAGCTTTTGCCCGAATTTATATAATTTTTTTTGTCAGGAGTTGATTCAAGAGAATTGGATTTTGTTCAAGGAACTTGCAAGCTGTAGGAGTCTTCTTATATTCAAGGTCTTTAAATTAAATCGTCAGCCAAAACACATGAGACAGATACCCCTCTTTACACTATACAAAACTTCCATGTTTAAAAATGTACTATGATTTTATTTTATTTTTCTCTTTGTGCTGTTGATACTGCGTTCATTTTCAGAAAAGAGGGAGAAAAGAAAAAGTGAAACAGCAAGATAGTCTATTCAGTGATGGTTAGAGACAAAAAGTTCATGGATTCTATTTCATCATTGTGCTTGTCCAGACTTGAAGTCGTCAACGCTCTCTTTAATTTGATAATCGTGTCTGCTTCTGATGAAGCGATCGTGTCATCATCCATCAAGAATTGAACCTGATCTTCTGCATCATGTGGGAAGGGGCAAAATGGATCGGGCGTACTGCTCCCTCCTTTATAATATGGCCTTTGCATTTGAAGCTTGTCTCCAGTCCCTGGACTGAGATTAACTGAAGATAGTGCCGCCGCATCTTCAAAAGCTCCATGAGGTATATCTATGATAATAAGTGGAAAGAAATGATGATAATTAGACTCGACACGGTTCATGATACGGAAGGGAGGGGAAAAAATGTATGAAGTAAAGGAGTATACCAGAAGATGAGGTGCCAAAGTTGAGATAAAAATCTTCCTTCTTTTGCAACCCCAAGTCAGAGGACGGAAGTTTACTGGAGAGGATAGCATCAACAGTATCTTCCTGTCTGCTCTCTCGTCGCTGCCTCTCGTTTGTTGTCAGTAAATCATTTAAAGATGAGGGCAAAAACCCCTGGTCCATGTTCATATCGTCTTCAGAATCAGAGTAATCAGTCTCGGCTGCCTGTTGCTGCTGTTGCTGTTGCTGCTGTTGCTGTTGCTGCTGTTGCTGTAATACTCCTGCATAACTGCCGCGTCGCCGCATGGCTTCTCCGCCAGCAACGCTTTCTCCGTTACTACTGATGTAAAGGTCATGTAACTCTGGGATCGAATGTAATCTTAAAGGCGACGGTGACGAGGATACACTTGACATATCCGTTGACTCACACGAAACTGACAAGAATAGAGCCTTGTTACCAGGTTGATAAAATGGAGATGTTGGTAATGCTGCAGATGTTGCAACTGCGTTCCCAGTATCATTTAATAAAGGTGTTAACCGGAATATGTTCGGTAATGATCGCTGGCGGATAGGCAAAGGTGCTGCTAGATGCTGTCGAACGCGACTTTCGAAAGGATTTAGGGGGTTTGCGCCTGAGGTGCGGTCGCTACTGTGATCTTGACAAGAAAACTCGTCTTCGGAGAATGGAGAGCCGCTGTTCCCAAGCATATCCTGAGGTGTATTCATGTAAAATGTGCCTCTTAGATTTTCCGATGTTGTAGGTTTCGAAAACCCTATCCCCCCTCCTCCTCCCTGCTGGCTAGAAGATCGTCCCAAAGTAAATTCAACATTATTGCTATTTAGTTGTAAGACGTGCTGTTGTTGATATTGCAGTGGATGAAAATGGTGCTGTTGGTGAGGCAGCGTCCTGCGAGGCGGAGAAAGAAGTTCAGGTGGTGATGACCATACATTATTGTTGAGAATAGCACCACTAGATGCTCTCCTCTCAAGTCGTGATCGGTTTCCCAAGTTATAAGTTACATTGGCAGTACTATTGCTGTTTGTTCCACCCGGAAAGAGTGCAGATGACTTACGATCCAGCGCCAAGAATGAATGTGACAGAGAGCATTTGGCCCCAAACTTGCAGTTGCCTTTCAGGAAGTATTTACAGACATAATTCTCAGACATCGGATCCCTACTATGAGAAAACAAGCAATTCTTGCCTGCAGTGCATGCTCCACTTTTGAAGAATTTACATGGGATGTGCTGTAGATTTGATGCTATAATAGATGGACGAAAAGCATCAACAACATGGTCCGTGCTCATATTCGTGGTAAACAAAAGCCAAAGTGGCAAGGCCACAGGTGCATACCTTTAGAAGATTGTGATAATGCGGTTGTTTGCCTGGAAAAGGGTAGGACTGGGGCACGGGCATCCATAGGCCATTGTAGGGGTCGTTTGATAGTGTTGTTCATCCCATAGTTGTTGTGGGGGCTGAGCGAGCGGACCATCGCTCCTGAAGGGGTGATTGGAGGAGAGGCAATTCGGAACAAATCCATCCGTGAAGTGGGAGGGCCTCTGTTGAAGTCGTTCCAGCGATTATTGTCAAACCCTCCTGTTAAATCCTCCTGGTTTAAGTTATGGAAATACTGTCCATGCGCACCGATAGGCAAGTCTAACAAAGACGACGGTATGGATGGGCTCATTATTCCTTGTCCATCCTCAAGACCCTGAAATTGTGCATGCTGGTTCTGATTCTGTTGATGCTGTTGCTGCTGCTGTTGTATAAAATTTATCTGATTATGCATATTATGAGGCTCAAGTTGGATTTGCTGTTGCTGATGCGGAGGGTAGACAGAGCCGAATGGCTGGCTCATTGCAGTTTGGCTGACAGTCGATTGACCAGGATAATTACTAGTAAAAGGTCAAGTTATTCAAGAACTTTTTTTAGCAACGCCATCGTCGTGTAAAAATCCCACAAATGAATAAATTATTGTGCTCTTCTCGAACATATTACAAACTCCTCTCCATCTTTTCTTACTCTTTCTTTCCTCTTTTTTTTTTTTTTTTTTTTTTTTTTGCCTTCTAGAACAATTGTTAGAGCTTTTTGTCCTCCTCAGGGGTGATAAATACCAAAAGGCAACACGATACATGGATGGAATAACAGGAGTCATGGAAAAAGGGGTGATTGGTGAAGAAATAGTATGACACTTTTTGTGAACGACAAAATAAGAAGCAAGGGCGCCAACAGTCAACTCAACATTGACATAAAATACCCATGGAACCCGGCCCAGGGTTCTGTTGAAAGACTCTGGGCTGAGCTTCCACACCATAACCGCTTACTTTGAGTCCTAATGTGGATAACTCGTTGCAAAGATACAGAGTGCAGAATGATGGACTGCTCTTTCTAAACGTCGCACCACACTCACTGTGACCGTACTCATTTTGAATAAACCTCCGCCCCCTTTCGCCCAGTTGCAGGTCCTGCGACGCATACATGAGCTAATGGCTTTTTTTTTACCCACATGCTCTTGTCATTTTGTCTACCAGGTTACTTTATCTATCTAAATGACTCTTCTTTACCTCGGCAATGGCGGAAAATCACCAACAGCCCACGGGGACTCTGACTTCTCTTGAGGTATAACAGAACATTGCTGCTGTAATTGCAAATGCGCTTGAAGCTGTTGCTCCTGCAAATGCATTTGAAATGAGTTTTGGGAGGACTTATTCAAAGACTGAAACTGTATATCCAAAGTTTGTTGCTGTTGCTGTCGCTGGTGTTGATGTTGTTGCTGGCACTGGATTTGTTGAAATTGATGTTGCTGTTCAGATGTGTGGTTGATGTGGTTGGTATGAAGGTCTGTTTGAGACTGGCGAAGCACTGCTGAGGCGCCATTGGCTGGCTGTTGGAGTGCCAGCATGGCTCTTTTTTTTTTTTTTTTTTTTTTTTGATTGGAAGGATAAGAAACAGTAAGAATAGGAAGAGTTGTCGATATTATAAGGATATATGCAGATAAAATAAAGTCTATACTGTTTATTGTAATGATGAAAGTTACTTGCTGGTTATTGAGTATTAGTTATTCTGATGATGGACCTAGGGCAATGGTGGAGTAAAGCTTAATCAATGAGAACAACAAAAGATGAGACTAACCAACAGGGAAATAGAAAGTCAAAGTCAAAGAAGAAAAAGTAGAATAAACGAAAGAAATAGAAAAGGAAAGAGAGAGGATGAGAGGTAGAAAGAGGAGAAGAAAGGGAGAAAAGGGAAAAGGAGCAAAGAAAGAAAGAAAGAAAGAAAGAAAGAAAGAAAGGGAATTGGCTCAAGGTCAAAGTAAGCGCGATATTAAACTCTTTTTAAAGACGGAGGTGGTTTTTTGTCCCTTGGAAAAGCAATGCTGATATTGACATTGGGCAGGTCGCCAGTTTTTGATAGAAGCAGAAATTTGGAAGCGAGAAAGTAGAAAGCGAATGGGAGAGGACTGAACATTACATTTCAGGCATTTTTGGAAAAGAGGGGGGAAGAGAAGATTGAAAGAGTTTCCATGCAACTGCTCATTCTTACTATCTATTCTTCCATATATAAACGTTTCTTCTCGCCTTGATACAGGATCCATGTTTCTATTTGAGTCCTAAACTCCTATCCTTCTTCATTTGTTATCCTGGCCTGCAAGGACGCTCTGAAATATGGTTTTTATATTAGCTGTAGCCACAAGCCTGATCGAAGAAGTGTTTGTGAGACAACATTTGTGGATAATATCTGGATGAATGATGCATTAATGTCAATGCTTATGCTGAATGTATTTTTGTGGCCAAGGGAGAGGGGAAGGAAAGGGGGTCAAAGAAGAGGATACGCGACGTGGGACGCTGTTGTATGAGCATGAATTTATTTGGCCTCGTTATTCCCCAAAATAAATCAAAACTAAAATGATCACTTAGACCTCTCGCGAGGCATATTCGAGACGAGTCCTGACGATAGCTGTCAACTATCACAGAGGATAAAGAGCCAATAAGAACTAAATAGAACCAAACGGGGGTGGTGTTCCCAATGGATTCATTGTTGGCCAGATCAAAACAAGGGTGTTGTTCGGAAAGAAGTGGCAATTGAAGTTTATCTAAATCCCCCTTTTTGAAAATACGGCCAATGGCCATCGTTAAATATTATCAACGAACCATCCATCAAGAACGCCTTTGGATAGGATATAATTATTAGGATTGATTTTGGTCCTGAGCTATAAGACTTGGCTTCTTTGTCCCTGCTAATCCATGTTCTTCAGAACTATCACCGCCATACATTTGTGTTGCTCCTCGAGTTACAAGCAATGGTGCAGTCTCCGGACTATGAAAGGAACTAACACCTCGTTTTTTAGCTCTGATGAAAAAGACAAGACACAAAACTAGAAGCATGGATTGGAAAAACGAAGCAATCGCATAAGGAAGCCAAGTTGACCAATTTGCACCAGGACTTAATGCCAGAGAGACAGTCAACAGGATGGAGCCAGGTGTCTGCATCAACAACATGGGAATACTGAGAGCGCCAACTGACTATTTTTTTTTTTTTTTTTTTTTTTTGAACCACAGCGTATAATAAATATAGTTAGCTGAAAAAGTCATGGTTTGCATGCCGTCTAAGATGTATAGTTTTCCAGGGGTTATAGAGCGCATACCTTCCGGAGATATGTCTCGATGATCTGGGGTAAATACTGGATCATGGTCAGCAAAGCGCTCATGACACCCAAGAACCCTACCCACAATAACGTCCAAGCACTGTGATGTTCCTGGTCGTGATCTACAGCTGCCAGGATGATGATAGTAAAGAATGTGGATACAGCAATGTTTCCGAAAATAATCTTTGAGAAGAGTATCGAAACTGTCCAAGCAAGAGAACGTGAAGGTAGACAAAACAGACGCATCTTATGGACAAAGGCGTTGACTTTCTTATAGGGTGGGAAATAGATCATGTATAGGATAAATCTATCTGGTCATTAAGGAATATCTGAATGTCAAAGACAAAATAGTTATCAAAGTCATATTAATAATGATAATAATAGTAATAAAAAAGAATGATCCTCTTACATGAGTGTGAACAATACAAACTGAACAAAGAGCTGTGCCACTCCTAGTGTATTCTCTAAGCAAAGACTTGTGCTCTAATATACAGGATGACGAAGGAGAGGTGGTTCTATTCAGCAGTTGCTAGGCGGCCATGTGCCCTCTACTATTGATTCATTTTTGACAGCAGATGTTTTTACAACAACTTTGCAGCACCGAATCCTACGCCATTGCAGAATGAGGATATTGAAGAAAGACCAACATGTTGATAGACAGCCGAGGAGCAGGAACCATGAACTGAAGCCATCGCTGCTGCCCTTGCGGATAATCCTGTGATGCTAAGATGTATTAATATATAAAGTACTGTTAATAAAGGTGGATGCAAGACACCGAAATTGCTCGTTTTTTATTATTATTATTATTATTGTCAGCGCTTGAGTTGTCGTGGGTTGGTGAAATTACCTGGGGCAGATAGGAGATTACTACTCCAATTAGGACAATGATTGAGAGGGATAATTGATGATTGTTCCGTCGGGCTTTACAGTGCTCTATTTGTGGCTGTATTTGGAGATTTGGTGAAGATGGTGGAGTTATTGCAAGTTCATATAGAGTGGTATTTATTGAATGGATCCACATTTCTGCTATTACAGCCTGTAAAAAGTAGATGGTGGTAGATATCAAGGAGAATGAAGAAAAGAAAAGAATGAAATCAAAAGATGGGCAGCTTTCCCTTGACAACACTTTCACCCCTATTTAACCTTGGTGAAACGGTCAGATGTGTCTTTAATGCCTATGCACATCTGACTTCCGAGCAGCCCCTGACCAATATTCAGTGGAAGCTGAAACTCAATAAGACGTTCAGACTCATTGATCGGCCTGTCACACAGGGAAATTAGCAGTCAGCATCACAACAAAAAAAAAGTGCAATGGAGACTTGAAGCATTTTGACATTCTTTTGACATTGACATTTGTCTCTTTGTCTCCTATTCTGCCTCTTCCAACTCTACAGGAACCATACAGGCCATCTTTTCTACTACAGCCTCCTTTTTTATTCTATTTTATATAATTCTTTTATCGATAATAATGTCTGAAGATACTGGAAGCTCAAGCACCAATAATCCACGCCCAGGTACTCCTGTTGGTCGGGGCGCAGGAGCTTCAGGGACAACATCAGCGCTAGGAAGTATCGGGTCCATCCATACACCTACAGCTACACCAGCAGGGCGTTTATCATCTCTTCGTGGAGGGCGCGGGGGCGCTATCGGATCTTCTGCTTCCACCCGTGGCGGGACCATGAAAGTAATGAATCGGTGGAAGGATACATTATAGTTTGTGTCTCCCTCTTCGAAATGAACTGGATAGATCAGCTGGGATTCTTACTTTTTTTTTACCTTTTGCTTTTGCTAGATGAAATTTGCACCAACTATTCCTACAAAACGTAACAAAAAAGATGTGTATGTCTCGTTAAGGATCTTTGTCTATGTTAATCCTTAATTTCAATAGGATAGCATTATATGATATTTACATTCAAACTGTGAACTTGGCCACGATATTGATTTCGATCTCTCTTTTTTTTTTTGTACTTGAATAGTGCACCTTCGTTACTTGAAGAAGCTAGAGCCGGGTCAGAAGCAGGAGGATCGGTAAAGAAAGAAAAATGCTACGGCGGAACGATACCCTTACCTGAGAATATTACGGCATGGCGACATTGCTCACTTTTTTTTTTTTTTTTTTTTTTTTTTTTTTTTTTAAAAAAAAAATAGTCTCGTGGACGTGGAGAACGTGGAGAGAGGGGTAGTGGAAGAGGACGTGGACGTGGACGTGGTCGCTTCGAAGATGTTGCTGCAACGGCATCTGGACCTTTTTCACTTGGTCCAGCAGCATTCGGTAAGCAAATATTGAGAGTCACGTCATTACCCTTCGTCATCTTCCTCAAAAGCACCGAGTTTTTTTTTTGTGTTTTCTTATGAACTTCATGGTGACCTACAACTGATCCCAAACTTTTATTTTATTTTACTTTATTTTTTTTAAAATAAAAATAAAAATAAAAATAATCTTCAAAATTGCATTAGCCCGTTCAAGGGTTGTTGCCTCAGGAGGAGGCACCAGTGGTGCGCATTCGAGCTACACAGGTGTTCAGGCGGTCAAAGTAGAGCAAGGCGAAGGATTGTCTGGTGAAGATCGGGAATATTACGGTGCTGCAGCTGTAGATATGAAGTTTGGATCGACAGCAACAGATGCCTCAGCGCCAACAGGATTGGAAAGCCCTAAAGATGAAACTAAATCGGGTGTTACAACAGGAACCAAAGAAGATAAGATGAAGGAACAGGAGTTGGAGCAAAAGACCAAGACAGAACTTGGCCATACCAAGACTTTTGAGGGCAATAACCAAGGTGTATATGGTAAAGTCAAATTAGCAACTTTGGACTTTGTGTCCTTTTTATGGTTACTACGTTGTAATTAGATATTTATGTATCTGCTAATGATTTACACACTGGATTTAATCGATGTCACTTGATACAGATGGTGACGATGAAGACATCAAGCCTAAAATTGAAGGTCCAGCCCGAGATCTTTTGCCTTCAGTAAGTGCTTTGTATTTATTCTGTTGGCCTAGTTCGATTTACATTTACGACCACACAATCTACTGACTAATATTTGAATTACTTCAATGCGTCCTTTTTTTTTTTCCCTCTCGTTCAGTTTGAAACGGATAGGCTGTTTTTCTTCCAATTTCCTAGTGTAATGCCTGCATTCAAACCTCGGGTTGTGACCGATATTCCCATGTCTTCTGTCATCTCTTCTTCAGTTTCATCTCCTGAAAGATCATCATATAGTACACCGGACAACGTTGAGAAGACTGAAGACTCTGAAGATGGTCTTTTAGCTGTAAAGGCCGAGCCTATGGATGTGGATCGATCCACTTTGATTGCAGACAATACAGATCTATCTCAAATCAAGACCGAGCAGTCTGAGAGTAAAATTGGGATCCCAATTCCTGGAGGAGCCTTAATGTCGTCGTCATCATCCTCAGCGCCGGTAGGCCAGCGTGCTAAACCGAAAGTGTCAACAACAACTGGTGGTGGCAATACTCTTAACGGATCAAACCCTGTCGAAAAGGAAGAAGTAACAGAAAGCCATCTACAGCAAGAGGGAAAGATTGGACGTTTATTAATCTATAAGTCTGGCAAGGTCAAGATGCAGATCGGAGACATTGTGATGGATGTATCTTCAGGTGCAGACTGCTCATTTTTGCAGGATGTGGTTGTGGTCGATTCGGCTAACAAGCAGGCATTCGTGATGGGAACAGTTGATAAACGTTTAATCTGTGTCCCTAACCTAACACACCTTTTGAGCGGTTTGGAAGCATCGGATGTATAGACATTACAGTCCTAATCTCTCTTTCTCTTTCTATTTTGCCAAACAGAAAAAAAAAAAAAAAAAAAAAAACAGTTGGCTGCTGAGATAAGAATTTCCACATCGATCTTTTGTTTCCATTTTTTTTTTTTTTTTTTAATATAGACATATATTTTTCAGATTATTATTATTATTATTATTATTATCTCAAAACCAAAGCTAACGCACTTGACGTATTGACAAAGAGAGGAAGGAAAAAAAAAAAAAAAAAAAAAAAAAAAAAACCATAAGGCTAAAAGGTACTTTCTTTTTCTTAAGAAAGAAGCTTCAAAACAAGCCTTTGTCATTTGCAAATCTCAATCCAAAATTGAACAGAACAGAAACCAGGATGATGAGACAGAGAACTGTAGGGCCGAATCGATCGTCGTATGGGCCTGGCTCCCTCATTCGAATCCGGTTTGCTCTCCAATGAAAAGTGGCCAATGCGTAGATCATCACGATAATGGAGACCAAGATGAAGACGCCTGCAGAGATACGTCCAATCTTATCACCGAAATTCAATAGACCGATCGCAAGTGTCCCCAAGATGACTGTAAAGTTGAGCCATGAAAGAAACGTGCGTTCGTTTGCAAAGAAGACCTTGGGCTCAACTCGAACAGGTAATGCAATCCGTTTCCCAGGTGGAGCCTGTAACAAGGGCAGAGTGGATGAAGGAGAAGGCATAGTTGCACTGTGAATGTGATGAGTCGATGACGAAGGTCCTCCTACTCCTACTCCTGGTGCTGTTGATCTGCCTGACATGATGGTATCCGGTATCTATAAGGGAGGAAGAGAAGGAAAAAAAAAAGTCATTGAGGTTGTGCGCTGGGAAAAAGAAAAAAAAAAAATTAATGTGGCTGGTTGTGACGAAGTGATTTCATTTTAGCGGTGAATTTTCAGTAAGAGTAAAAAGGAGGCTGAAACAAAATGCAGACATGGTGCCAGTGTCTGAAAGATGTAGGATATCCTTATAGTCCCCATATACGCATAATCAGGAATCCTATTAGATCAACTTCATTGTCACGTTGTGCATATTTGGTATCTGGAAAGCCTGTCAATAAGAACCTCTTTTATTTTTCGCTCGTGATTTGACAAGCAATCAACCAATGAAATCATAAACAAATCCATAATCTTTGAAGAAAGGTCTGTGTTTGAGAGATATTATATTTATGGAAATTATGCTGAACTTTTTTTTTTTTTGATATTATATATACATTCATGAGCAGGGAAGAGACAATTTGGAAAAGGGTATGGTATCACAATAGTTCGATTCATCTATCTATAGTAGGCAAAGAGCTATAGTCGAAATGGAAATTACGGGGTTTACGGATAAAAATACAGGAATAGAAGTAATTATTAAGGTACTGGGATATGTTGAATATAAAAAAGAAAAGAAAAAAAGAATAGGTCTCTGCACGAATGGACTTAGAGAGCGTGAACGACGGGCAAACCATTCTAAAAAAAAAAAAAAAAAAAAAAAAAAAAATAGCAAGCACAGTGTTAGATAGAGCCTGGTTCGTGCATACAACGAATGTAGAGTCGTTTTAACAAACTCTATACTCATCACACTACTATACTTACAAAAGGATGTCTCCAGCCACACTGAAATTGACTCTTATGATAGCCTTCGCCGCTAGTGGAGGAATTATATCCGAGATGGCCTTGCAAGAGAGCCTTGCTGATGACTATAGTACCTGCACAGCTGGAGCAATAGTCATGCTTGCCCAGCATACAGTTCTGAAGTGTAACGTCTGGAGGAGAAGCAATTCCGCCACGCTCATGTTCTAGAACATCGTTTTCGAGAATGAACGTCGCTGCCAAAGCGACTGATCGCTTAAAAATCAAGCCACTACCTCCAGTCGCAATAAAAGCGCCACAGTGATCGGGCACCTGTCTGTTGGCTTCATACAGGATGTTGAGCATTTCTTGCCAGCCATTCTTACAGAACGGAAAGTCATCCTCCATAATGCCCAGATAGACTGTATCCTCTGATGTTCCAATTTTGCGGATTGCGCTGATGAGATGCTTGCGTTGGCTCTTTTCAGATCCCTCTTCTCTGACCCATTTGACATGTTTGCGTGCCTTTGGGATAGTATCGAAATAGCCCTTGGCTTGATCGTATGCTTCAAAGTCTGTGAAGTGAGTGTAGACAACAATTTGGATTCGAGAATACAAAGGATCCACATACTCTTCTGGGAAATTGTCTAGATATGATGTCAATGTTTCCTTGATGTAGGCAACACCATTTCTGCGAGGTGCAGTCATCAAGACAAGGGTGAGCAAATAGGGTATCTGGGGTTCGATAGCTGTGTTCAGTTGTTGGCTTGTGACATCAGGCTTGTAGGTATGAAGTTGATTACATCCGATAAGGACCACAAAAAGCAAAATGATCATAGGAACAATGTAGGTGATGGCTTTCCAGAAGGTGAACAAGACAGATTTTCTTCTGACAGATGATCCTCCTGAAGGGGTGACATCATTGTATGATGCAGTTGCTGGTTGTACAACCAAAAATTCGCTATCAGCTTCCTTGGTCAGGGTCATAAACAATTGCTCCTCTTCGCAAACATTCACGATCGGGTCGGAGTCTTCCCATTGCTCCTTTTCAAACGCTGAGGTCTTTACTTTGCCTCCCCATCGACCCATCCTACGTTGGTAAGAAATCACAAGAGCGACAACAAATCCGACAATAAGACCACTGCCAGCCCACCATACAATAGTCTTTGGAATCACATTGAGGAGGCAAAGGACAACTTGGATATATATTCGACGGATGTTCCGGATAGATGTCCTATTGACGTCGACAGTCGAATTGTGAGGAAAGAGTGCTTGCACGACCAACAATGCAAACAGGAACGGTGCCAATCCTAAAATGTAAATATACGGAAGAAATAATTAGTGCAACGTCCATATGAAGATTGACAAAAGAAGCTCGAAGAACACGATATCATATGGATGTCAGGTCAAATCCAACTTCAATGGCCTCACATGCGACAAAGTGCAGAGATACTGATGTCACTTGTCATCTCATGTTGACATTTGGATATGACATGCTTCTTTTTTTGTTTCTTTGTGGCGGTGTGAATGCACAAGAATAAGCGAAAAAATTGTCCGTGCAGTTGTGCTGCTATTAGCTTAAAATAAAAATAAACGCTTGCCTTTCCCAGAGGTTGGGCAACACAGCCATGAGCATAGATGCCCCCTCTCTCGCACTGCCACCAACTAACTTGACAGTTGAATCTTTGTCCGCATTTGCACCTCATTGCCAGAATTGTGAGGCAGCATGTCAAATCTGGCCAACAAGTTGGGATGATTGAGCATGAGGTTGTTCAAAAGGGACAAATTGAAACAAAAAATCACTGCAACACCAATAATCATAATAAACCGCAAAGCTGATCTGATCTAGATCCTTTCCCCTGTTCGGTACACATTTGAATGAAGAATAGCTAATGAATGAAAGAATTATGACTTACCAAGATTACATTCATACATCGAATCACTGAAAAACAGTTGAGGAAATTGCCAGCCCAGTGCTCTGGAGAACAAAAAGCCCAAAAGTTGTCGCAGTGCCAGTACAAGGATCGTAATCACCAGAAAGAGATTGCGGAAGATTCTAGTGCCATTACCGTTAAAGACTGTTGTCAGACGCTCCTCGAACAGTGCAAACGAGATGATGTTCGACATTCCTAATAGTAAAGACGTGCCGATGGTCTGTTGAGCTGAGCTCAAGAGTGTTGATGATAGCGGAACGATAAAAGGCGACGCCACCAGTGCAGGATACTGAGCTGCATGGAGAACATGCGAAGGGTCTGAGCAGTGATCTGGAAAATGTCCAGCTAATGCGATCAAGCTTTGTACAACTGTCAACATCAAAACAATCCTGGTAACGGGTTGGGTGAGCAACGATGCAAGTGATGCATTGCTCGAGACAGCAGTTACTGAGCTAGGGAACTCTGGAGCAATAGGAGAAGTGTTTTGGGATGCTAATGTAATCACAGCGCTACTGCTGTTATTGGTGAAATGGCTAGTGGAGGGAGGTGGTGAACCTGGAATATTTGCAAATGTCTTGAGTTGAAATGGTTTGGGTGATTGTGGTGGTGTAAGGACAGCTGAAGTGGAGGAGAGCATAGAGGCTGGAGAAGATGGCCTTGACGGTGCAGAGGAAATGGAAGAGGTATAAGAGTATGTTGTATGAGAGTGGGTATGTGGAGTCAGATGCTGTGAGGATGTGGAGGGGTGTACTGGTGTAGGACACCTCTGCTGTGATATTGAGGACATTGCTGTAAAAAACTGCTTTGCCGATCGATAAAAAATTGTGAATGAAAGAACTGCTATTAGAAAAAGAAAGAGAAATAAGGGCTAAGTAAAGATACATATTTAATAACAATGCCAAACAAGATACAGAAGAGATAGAGGGGATATCTTTACCTGCTATAGTGTTAAAAAAGCAAAAGGCAAGAGAAACAAAGACAAGACAATAAAAAAAGGATGGGAGATAGAGATAAAAAAAAACACAAAGACAAAGACAAAGACAGAGACAGAGACAGAGACAGAGACAGATAAAAAAGAATGAATGAATGAATGAAGAAGAGGATGGAAGGGAAGGGGAGGGGAGGGGAGGGAAGGGAAAGGAAAGGAAAGGAAAGGAAGGGAAGGGAAGAGAAGAAGGGAAGTGAAGATGCAGATCGTAGAAGAAAGAGGAAGAAGAGCTAAGAGGTAAGGACCTCTTTTTATTAAAGACAACAGGGACCAATTTTTACATGATTTAGTTGACATAGAATATTAGAAATATAAGAATAGATTTTACTGTTTGTATGATGTAAAAAACCCATCGGTACGATCATACTCCCCCCATTAACAATTGACCATTGACCAATGACCTTGACACCGCCCCTCTACCCATCGCCATTGACATCGCCACTGACATCGCCAAACCAGCCCATTTCCCTACTTACTCAGTAGAAAAGAAATCATCCAGAAGACCTGATTCCAAATCCACGTCTTGGAGCTTTTTTATTGACTCAATGGAATGAAATACCGGTTAAATAGTACGTTTAATGTAATCTGGTTGGTCTAAAATAAATAAAAAATAAAATAATCGTAGAAAGGTATGGACAAATCATCATATGCTTTCATATTCATTCTCTGGGCTACTTTTCTAGGCTATTTTGTCATTGATGGACTTCCAACTGGACCCGGTATTTTGTCTAACCTTTTTTTTATATGTCATAAGTTAATATTCCCTCATCCCTTTCTGCTTCAAGCTTCGTTGCAACGGACAAGGCGAGGAAGGCCATAAGAAATGACATTAAAAGAGGTACTGTGTCCCATCTCATCGGCAATAAAAAAAATAAAAAAATAAAAAATAAAAAGTTATAGTTTACTCACAGATGTCCTCTTTATTGCAGCTCATGAAATATCTCCAGTCCTTAATGTATCCTTCAATCTTGGTCGCTTCGACCAACACGACATTGTTGGAGCTTGGCACGATTGGATCAACCTTAGCTTAATTGCTTAAAAATTTGTGAGCCCCGCAGCCGCCAGCTCCTGTCGCTCTAACTTTTTCTTTCTAATCCTCCTTAATCTTATGAAATACGCATCCTTCTACTGTACATGCTTATCCTTCTCTGAAAAGGCTCCTTATCCCTTTTTACTCTCACATTCTCCATACTTTTCCCCATGGTCATGTTCTATTGAGGATTATTGATCCAAATGTAGATCCATAAAATGAAAAAATGAAAAAAAGGATGTCAAACATTCCTTCTCCTCTTCTCCCTTAATATACGTATTCCATGTATAAAAATATATATGCATGTGCTGGTGTAATTGTAACCTTACAGGTGATGCGTTACGATTGGATGCTCTCACAGATAAACCCTGGAGCAGCGACCCCGACATTTTAAACTTTTGCCAGTAAAAAAATGTAACCTCGAATGCCATGACAGTGGGTTCACTATAAATGTATATATTTATACATGTGTGTGTATAAAAAATATACACACGACGCTTACTTTTTGAATGGTAACACAGATGTATCACATATTATGTAAATTAGTAAAGTATTCAGACCTTTGAAAGACTCAAGCCTGCACAGCCATCCAGCTGAAGCATCCCAGAATTTTTTTGTAGCTCTATCTACGTGATCTTTGCTCACAAAAATAGGTAAATACATACATAAAATAATTACATGAAGCCCTAATGATACTACGAATTCAGCTCATTTGGTCGCGAAACTAAAATATATATTTTTAAAGTATTAAACGATAATAGAATCCATTCGTTGTTTTTACATTCATACACATCATGAATGTCGCGATAGATACTACCCAAGTTGAACTTCTTAAAAAAAATAAACTAGCCAACCTAAAGCCTAAAGCTTAAAGTCTTGATATGCTAACGTATCATATCTCAAACTCTTTATTACACTCATATCGCCACTGTTTTCTATTGCCATCAGCCATCATCTCTTCCGTCCTGAGGTCAAAGTATGTGCATCCAACACGCTACAAGGTGAACTTGTGTTAAAAGCCAACCTTATGAATCTATTTCTCCTCGGGGCTGGTAGGTCAGTCCAGCCAGAAAGATTACCAAGAAGTATAGGACAAATTGAATCAAGAAGGAAGGCTTTCATACGGAGTAGAACTCTTCCAACTATGCCAAACAGATCTTATTTTCATGAATCATCAGGATGTTTTCAGTTACATTCATGGAGGGATCAGTCTTTGAGCTACAGAGCATGCTTCTTACTATAACCTGGATTTTTGAATTTATAAGCTACACAGAATCGATTAAAGTAAGAAGAGTTGAAGGAAAAGGAGTTTAAGGAGTAAACTGCCCAATCAAGTGGGGTGTCCGATCCATCCGTGGAGCGAGAGATCAAGGATACGGCTCGTTACTCTCTTAAGGATTCGGTCTTGAAACACAACGCAGATGGAAAAGCATATGTCTTGGTAGGAATCAAATGTCTCAAGTGAAAAGGTCCCAAGGTCTATTGAGCCTTGAAGAAGAGTGTTTCTTGTTAGCCGTGGGTATGAGGGAGCCACAATATTTTAACATGCAAGAAATCCTCCACAATACGTATGAATGTGTTGAGCATGTGGTTAAAAGAACAGGGCGCCACTATGTTGCAGTATCAGCCACATTACTTTCGTTGCAAAAACAAAAAACAAGCAAACAAACCGAGAATCATGAGAGATATGGCGATCAGCAGGAGCTTACAAAGCCCTGCAAGGCTATTGAGTCGTGCGATATCCAGTCAAAATGTTTTATATTACATGGTGTACTTTTTCAATAAAACAAAGACAAATTCTTGAAGTCCCGACTATGTCCTACGTGCGTGATAATAGAAAGAGTTTTGGACAAAAGAAAAAAAGTGGAGCAAGAGCTTTGGTTTTAGTGATGTTTTTTTCCTCCTCCCTATTGGACTTTCATTTAATGGCTCCAGCAACGCGCTCCCACGTTCGGCAACTCCTTTGTTCATTATTGAAACTGATGTGCGCAGGTACCAAAAGATCAGACTGTTGCTGGTTACACGAACAAACCTTATTTTCTTTCATTTTATTAATCTATTTATAGTGGTATTAATTTTACACCATGTCTCCCATCTTTCATCTAACCCCTCACCATTAACATCATTTGTTTTGTTTTTTTTTTTTTTAAACCACAATTCATTCGACTCATTACATTAATTCACTTTTGCTTCATCCACCCAAGTATATTAAGCTCATGCGATCCTTTATTGCTCTCCCTTTAAGTGTTCTACTTGTGTCCACATTAGTGGTCCGTTCGGAGGCACAACAGCTTTGCAATGGCTATGCAGAACTGTGTGGCAAGACCTATGACAAGGTCGCATACGCCACTACTCACAATGCCTATGCATATACACCACCAGGGTCATTAGCTACTAACCAGGATAACGACATTCCCACTCAGTTGAAGGATGGCATCCGCGCCTTCATGTTAGACGGCTATCCTACGACCCCCAACAGTCCAAACGACATTCAGCTGTGCCACACTTCCTGTAATGACCTTCAGCTTTATCTACTTTAAAGATTTCTTTTTTTTTCTCTTTCCTTCTCTACCTTCACTTTGAATCCATTACTGACAGTTTTTTCTTTTTTTTTTTTTTTAAAAAAAAAAAAAAAAAAAAAAAACAGGCGATATGCTAAATGCTGGTCCACTTTCTAAGGTTTTGGGACAGATCAAAACTTTTATGGACGAGAACCCTAATGAGGTATGTCCCCACCCCCTTTCGGGATAGACTATAATGCAAACTTGATCGAGTTTGTTGACAAGTACATAATTGGTTAACGCGTCTTTGTCCTTCTAGGTCATTACAATTCTTTGGGAGAACGCTGGCAACTTGAAGCCTGCTCAATTTCGGGTATGATTTTTTCAAATGCGTTCAATGGAGGGTTTAATTTTTTCCTTTATTCTAGACATTCATGTGCTCTGTTGCTCTTTATTATTTTTATCCACTCTATCCTATAGGCCGCCTACACTGCCGCAGGAATGGACAAGTATTCTCATGCTCAGACTGCTGGTACCACTGCATGGCCTACGCTTGCCCAGATGATTTCGAGTGGAAAGCGTTTGGTTACTTTTCTTGATAAAGGCGCTGATGCCTCTGTTCCATGGTATAGTGCACCAGAGATACATCCATATAAAATTCTAGTTGTTTTTCCCACTTCATCATATAATAACTGTAATATATAATAGCGAAAGGGTGTAGAATCTAATTATCTTTTTCCTCTCGATCATGTTTTTACGTATTTATTTTAGGTTAATGGCAGAGTACAATTTTATTTTCGAGACTCCATGGCACGTTACTAAAGATAGCCCTTATCCTTGTACCATTGATCGCCCTAAGGATCAGCGCAAACAGGTACGATGGTGATCTTGACATAGATTATGTTCTAGAGCCAAAAGTTTCTTGATTCAAGTATCAAGTATAACAAACCCATCTCTAATTTTTATTTTTTTATTTTTTATGCTTTGCTTCTCATTCGATCTGTTTGATGATGAAAAAGATGTACGTCCTGAACCACTTTATTTATGGACAATTCGAATTGGGTGGCGAATCCATTAGCATACCTCAACCGGGTGCTGCAAATCAAACGAACAGTGCTGATCTGACGAGCCACATCAATGACTGTCAGAAGACATTTAAGCAGATCCCTAGCTTTATTGCTGTGGATTTCTATCAAAAGGGATCAGTTATGCAGGCATTAGCCCAAATCAATGGAGTCAAGTGGAACCGCCAAGAGCCCACCCAGAAGGGAGTAACGGGTGGGTCTGGAGCTGGATCAGGGTCGGGAAGTGGCTCAGAATCAGGGTCCAAGAATGAAGCTCTAGGACGAAGGTATACCAACATTGGAGCCATGACTGTAGTTGCTTTGGCGGGGGGTATTGCTATGATGGCTTTTTAATTTAATAATACTTCACACGCATACGTAGACTATTCACCTTTTTTATTTTGTAGTTGTAGTTATTGTTGCTCTCTTCTAATTGGGCAAGTCTTTTTATTTATTTATTTATCTTAACTCTGGGTCGTAACGGTAGTTGGTAATAATAATATTCAATAAATATCCCGTTTAATTTATCCTACAACACATTTAAGATGTTGAAATGAGACCTGACAATGGCCTTTTATTGTGTGTGTGCACAGTTGAGTTTTTTTTTTTTTTTTTTTTTTTTTTTTTTGACCCATGTTTATGCTGAAAAAGTTGCAACAAGAATGGTCATTATCTTTCCAGTTTGCGTATATGGTTAACCACTATTTTGAACATGTCGATGGTAATATTAACTGTCTCATTGATGACATCCTTTAATCTCTATCTTTCAGTGTTAGAATATACAAAACACTCTCATACATCGTTTCTCTTCATAACCCGCGGCATCAACGGTAGCTACTAGCCATAGCTATATTTCAAGGCCTGGTTTCAAAAGATCGGACATCGTTTCATCGTGTTTTCATATACGTAAAGCTGAAAAAAAAAAAAAAAAAAAAAAAAAAAAGACATGGTTTTTTAATAGACCTATTGGTATTTGGGCATATGATGACCTGTTTATCCCTGGTAGCATCCGGATATTATTATCTATTCAGAAAGTATGGAGGCTTGAAGATCTTTAACAGGATTTGTTCATTTTCAACTAGATACTAGATAGTGCCAAATCTTTGCCTAGACGCGTTTTCGTTGAACATCTTCAGTGAATCATTATTGTTCTAACGAGATTTGGAATAGTTCATCGTTCTAGATTATTATTTGACTACCCAGGAAACAAAGAAAATTACAAATGAGGTACATGTACTTAAGAGATTTTATACTTTGGAGACGCAGGAAGAGGACCTGAAGCGTGCAGAAGACGCAGCGGTCTATTGGAGTGGTCTAGTTCAGGTCAATATGAGGATGAGTGTATTTAATATTGTCAATGTTTCTATTTTCCTAACATGGTATGGTCTATGACATAGTTGAAACCGATGGTGTTGAGACGGAAGTTGGAGCTTCAGGAGGACAATCGATGTCAAAAGAGCTTAAATGTATTGTGTATGACAAAAGAAGCTTGGATGCATGTACCAAATAAGACATTTCGCCAGCCTTGTATATTGCGTTACATGTTTCCGTGAACATGACAGCTGGCCCAAACTGCGACATGGTCTAAAGGGGTTGGATTTAGATCAGGAATCCCTTTTCGACTCTTTCAAGCGCAGGCATTGGTCAACGTTACAAATGAACATCTAAAAGAAAAACGCTTGATCCCGTTAACAACAGCTCCATCCCCAACTCTGGGTGTTCCAGAACGCAATGCTGCCTTGAATGCACTAAAAAACGCGAACAAAGCCGAGTGCAATAAGCTTATTCATCATATCAGACAGCCATCAAAAAGTTGCTAGGATAAGGATATTACACTTTATAATAGTGTCTCCATACTGGAGCTACATTTGTGTATTCATATAGTTTCTCTTGTGGCCCTTGCTCTTGATCTTCACTTTATTCTTACATTCTACCTAAACATTTGCAAATACAATGCCTTTTAACTTTGTCCTCATGCTTCATACTTCCTGAGAAAACAGAATAGATTCTCCGCAGCGAGCGACGTCATGAGCCATTGAATACAAGATGGAGGCTATGTAGTGGATGTGCTTTATTGGAGTAAACTTGTGCGTATTCATCTTTAGAGGCCTGGTGCGTATCTGTGTAGCCTAAAAGGGTGTAATGGGCACTGGTATGTCATGCAGCAGCAACGAATATTTTAGAATACAACGGTTGAAGTTAAGAATATATGTATGCGTTTTGCTTAAGGACCGCCTATAAAAATCAGATTCGACCGCATTTAGTATAAATCTTGTTCATTTTATCTGGGATCCATGCATAGCCATATTCATAGTCTAGTGTTAGTGTCTTCTATCAAAAAATAAAATAAAATATAAAGAACAATTGAGTGAAGATATTGGAAGATACGCGAAGGACAATTTAAAGTGTGAGCTATAAACGGATCGGAGCTAGGAGACAGCTTAAATGACATGTAAGCTTGATTGGGAAAACATCCACTTGGGCAATTATGTGAACGAGGTAGAAAAAAAGTGAAGAGAGTTTGTACTCAACTTTCTCCGCTTTCACTTTTTTTTTTTATGCAAAAAAGAGATTCGCTGTCTGGATGCAAGTCCATACGTTTTTACGATTTGCTCCGATTGGTCTTGCAGCCTAGAACTGTAGGGTACATGTACGTTGTATATATATTCGTGTTGTAAATACATATTAGGGCAATGGATGAATACACATCTATGGGCCATTAACAAATAAATATTTTTTGTATACATCCATGTTCCCGATTTATTGCTTGTTTGTTTATTTGTTTCTCTTTTTCACCCTCTTTTGCTTTCCCTTTTCGATCTTCTTTCGCACGCTTGTTTACATATACCCTTTTGCCCTTTTATATCGATTTTCATTCTGCTCTCCATCTACACATACATACACACATACATACACACAAACACATATACACATTCTTTCCTCTCCTTCTCTTTGTCTTTCTCCTTCTCTCTTTGTCCTTCTTTTGTCTTTATCTCTGGTCTCTTCTGTGCTTTCAGTCCATTTCCTTATTCATACAAGCTAATATAAAGATCTCTAAAGTCATCACAAAGATGATGAACAGAGATGATATCATCACATATGGAGGAGACAAGGAGTCTTGCATTGAGGAAGGAAAAGAAAAGAATGATGCGTCGTCACTTCAGGACTCTGCCGACTTCAGCGGCCCTATTGCAGGCGAGGTTGGACAAGGTCTTCAGCGTAACTTGCAAGCGCGGCACTTGACCATGATCTCACTTGGTAAGTTTCCTTCTTTTTCATGAAATCACGATTGAAACCGTCGTTTCAAGAAGCATAGCGTTAACCAACAAAAGAGAAAACATACAAGACAAATTACAAAAACCTGCCGTTGCTGTTACACCACCAACATTCGACCCTTTTCTCTTTACTCCGTTTTTAAAACTGCCCATATTTGCAGACAATTGCCCTGTCACTTTCCAAACAAACTTGAAAATCAGAATGTCGGCCTCAATTAATCAATACATGTCAAAAATCAAAACGGCCAAAAAAAAAAAAAAAAAAAAAAAAAATAGCACCGTTATGCGAAAAGTTTTTTCCCCACCTGGTCAACATATTAAATAAGATGTACTAGGCTTACGCTACAATAACTATAAGCGGGCAGCTAGGATCTATTCCTCCTTTTCCTCCTTCCCTCCCCCTCTTCTTTGGGATCGTCCACGACTCAACCTAATAAAGTATGATTTCATCTCACATTTCAATCTTTATTTGGTTATTATTGCCATTGTTGTTACTACTTTTTTAGGAGGAACTATCGGCACAGGACTCTTCCTTGCATCAGGCTCATCAATCGCCACAGCTGGTCCTGGCTTCTCACAGGTTGCCTACACACTCATTGGTACTATGGTCTATTGCTTCATGTCCTCACTTGGTGAGATGGCGACATATCTTCCCATCACTGGATCAATCAATGCGTATGGTACTCGCTTCTTTGACCCTGCCCTTGGATTCATGCTTGGTAAGTCGCTTTCAATGTTATGTTTATATTCTTATTCCTTCGGATTTTTAGTAGAATAAGAAATGTCCTTCCACATTTAGCTCATTCTCTATTTCGGAGAATAGATTATGAACTTCTTGTGAACCTTTACGTATTTTGATCAACCTTTCTGTGTCATACATCACCATTTCTAACCTTTTTTTTTTTTTTTTTTTTTTTTATTTTTTCCTTTCCTTCTACAGGTTGGGTTTACTGGTTTTCTTGGTCTGTCACTTTAGCTACAGAGTTAGTGGCGTCATCTCTCATCATCTCATATTGGATTCCGCCTGAAACATGCCCAGGCTGGGTATGGGCTCTTGTCTTTATTGTCATACTCACCACCCTCAATCTCAGCTCCGTAAAAGCCTATGGTGAGACTGAATATTGGCTCAGTCTGATCAAAGTCCTTGCAGTGGTCGTCTTCATCATTGTCGGCTTCCTCTATATTGGTGGAGCAGTGGGCACGCCGATCGAAGGTGCACCCAAGCCAGGACCTCAGGTCTTTAACATGGACCCTTTCCATAATGGATTCATGGCTCTGTTCTCCATCTTCTTGAACGCCGGCTTCTCTTTCCAAGGAGCAGAACTTGTGGGTATCGCTGCGGGTGAAACCAAGAACCCCCGCAAGAATGTACCCCGTGCGATTCGACAGGTCTTTTGGCGTATTATTATGTTCTATATCCTCACCATCTTAATCATTGGCATGACAATCCCTTATGATGACGAGTCTCTTGCTAACGAAAAAGGCGATATCAAATCCTCGCCCTTCACCCGCGTCTTTGTTCAAGCTGGAATCTCTGTCGGTGGTGATATTATGAACGCCATCATCTTGGTCGCTGTTCTCTCGGCCGGTAACTCGGGCTTGTATGCCTCTTCCCGTGCACTCCACACTTTATCCAAGGAAGGAAATGCACCCAAGTTCTTGGGCTATGTCAATCGTTGGGGCGTGCCCGTCTACTGTGTCCTTGCCACTGCCCTGGTTGGATGCTTAGCCTTCATTGTCTCGCTTCGTCAGATCGGTCAAGGTGAAGCCTACAATTGGCTCCTGGCTCTTGCCTCCACCACGGGATTCATTGCTTGGCTCGGTATTGCATTCTGCCACATTCGTTTCCGAATGGCTTACAAGGCCCAAGGCCGTTCTCTCCAGGATCTTCCCTTTGTCTCTCGTCTATACCCATTTGGTCCCATCTATACCATCGTGATCTGCTTAATTATCTTGTTTGGTCAAGGATACACTGCATTCACCCCTTTTAATGTAAAAGCCTTCTTGTCCGCATACGTGACCCTACCCTTTGTTGTCATTCTCTATTTCGGAAACAAGTTCTGGGCAAAGACAAAGATCCTTAAATTGGTTGATGTAGATCTCGACACCGGTCGCAGCTTCTTGGAAACTGCCCCTCCAATCATGGACAGTGAGTCTGAATGTAATCAGAAAAAACCCAACAAATTCCGTCGAGTGCTCGCTTCGATCTTTTAAATAAAATAATAGTAAACAATAAAAAGTATAAATGTCATCATTATTTCTTTTCCTATCCACTCATTTTCATGAATTCATAGTGCGATAGAGCAAAGAGGAAAAAAAATTAAAAAAAAAAAAAAAAAAAAAGTCAAACGTTTATGCACGGAGAAATGCTATAATTGTTGCAGTGACTAATAAAATCCAAGAATCGAGGCTTTTTGTTTTTTTTTATTACTATGAGGCCTCCATCCTCCTCCTTCTCAAATGTTGCTTTTTGATATAATTCAATACAAAAGGTAGGATTGGCTAATTCTTTCTGCGAGTTCGTGCCTTTGATGAAGAATGTGAATGCAAAATTGCTGTTGATGATGCGTGTGTCCTTGGAGAACTTGATGGTAATGATAAATCACTTTTTGTTGTGGTGTTGAAAGATATTGCTGGACTTGTGGATTTTGGCATATTGATAGGTGTGGAGAGTGACGAGTGTGGTGATGGTATAGAGTCCTCAATAACATTGAACGCCAAATCCAGGTCCGGAATAACAATCGACTGGGTCCGTGAAGTAGACATTGATGATGAAGTCTTATTCTTTTTGTTTTTGTTTTTGCGTTGCTTTAAAATGGGAGATGCGAATGAAGATGAGGCCGCTGAAGAATCGGATGAGCCTGTGTTTGGTGACGGTGGCATGGTTGAGTTTGGTGACGATACAAAAGACCTCCAAGCTCGGTCTTCGTCATAGGACTGAACGCTGTCCATATCTGACATGTCCTCATCATACCCAGAACGCCCCATCCGTGATAATGCCGATATGGCTTTAGGTTGTTCTCTGAACAGGCTAGCATATTTTTTTTCTGTAATAGTTGTCAGATCGACTTGATTTGGGTCCAGTAGCAACCCTAAAAGATCCTGCTGACTTTCTTCCATTTCCTTAGCTGCCGTCCTGCTGCCGTCTTCATAAGACTTGAGATTACGCAACAAAAGTTTCCGGAGACCAAGTTCTACAGCTTGCAATGATAGACTCGAAGTTACCGTCCCTGAAACCTTTTCTATCCTGTCTTCTGGCAGTTCCACTCTTTCATATAAGCACATATAAGGGTTTGATCTCAGAACATGATCCAGCGTTACAGATTCGACCATTTCATCCGACACTCTGAACCAATCTTCCACTCCACTGCCGCCATGAAATGACCCAGCCCTTGATGCCTTCATAGATTCCAACCCAAGGCCTACAGTACCAATCTTGGACAACATGTTTTCAGGTTTCCGACGGTATGCAATAAAATGACCGTATGAGTGCCCGCCATAGTGGACAACAATCGACTGCAGCTTGTATATGACCCTTGTATGTTTATGTGAAGACTGTTGTTGCTGTGGTTGTGATTGCTGATGATTATGTCCTTGCTTTGTCTGCTTCGATTGTTGTTTGGTCTTTGCCACGGGTCTATCCCAATCATAACCCATCCTCTCCAAATCTTGGTCCGAGATGGACAAGGGCAACGTTGGATGCGTCAAGAGAACGCCTGTTGTGCAGAATGCAGATATATCTAGATACTCGGGAAAACGAACTTGACAACTGTTCTTTGATACAGTCCCATAGTCGGAGTACTGAGAGCGAATAAAATGAAGACATAATACTGGTGGCGGCTTGGCAATCATGACCTGTTTGGTGCAATGGCGAGAAACCACTTTTAAAAGCTTAATGTCCGGGAGAGGTCTCTCCACGTCTGACTTGAGAGCATCCTCTAAGACTGTTTTTTGATGTTTCAACTTGGATATTGTTGTCGCCATGGTCTTATCTGATTGAAAGGTTCTCGGTGTCACTTTTGACATCACTATATCATCGTCAGAGTCATCCATGATCGATCCTTCGTCACTTTCTGAATACAAGTCATTGCTATCGTCCTCTGATGAGATGTCGGTATAGCTACTTCGATCCAACTGTCGAGATACATTCTTGAACGGGCTGGGCAATTGACTGTCCAGTCGCTTGATCTCATTTATGGTCCTTGTAAGTGTAGCAAGTAAGGAGCACTTGCGACAAATCACATCGTGAAGAGATTCAAGATTAATATATTGCCTGAGGCAGTCCTCGATACTACAAGAGTGAGACGAAGGTAACGATAAGGAAAGGTTGTCAAATGTGAAGTGTCGAACTGCCTCTGTATAGCCGCATTGTACACACGATAGTCGACTAGCTAACATCCCAATCATTGGGTTTGAATCCTGCTTCCTGAGCTGATGCTCATTTTGATCACGTCCAAGCCGAATAAGCTTCTTCAAAAAGTCCAGATTCAATAAAGGGCGAGTAGCCTGAAGCCTCTGAATGGTCATCTCCTCAGAGCTCAAGGCACTCGAGATGATTTGGAACAGTTCCTGTGCATCCTGCTGTTCCCGATTCATGATATGATACCGAGATGACTTTGAATCCTTGGCACGTGATTCCTCTAGAGCTGACACAATGGCTCTTGGTCGGAAAGATTGGTGGGAGCCAAGTGGTTTTTGCAATGCTAAAGCCGAGATATTAAGATCAAGCAACATTAAAAAACATAAAGGATAAAAGAGCATCGTCAACATATATGGGCTACATTGAAAAAAGAGACGTCTCAACTCATATATTCTTAACCAAAGTCTTGTAATTTTTTTTTTTTTTTTTTTTTACCTTCTACGGTATCTAGCAATGCCTCGGTTACTTGGACTTCATCATCCTCCAAGTGTAATCCATCTGAGCGGCTCAAGATAGATTCCAAATACTGTGGTAGAATTGTTAGGGCAGAAAGGGCCTAAATGAATACGGAGATTATAAAATGATTCCGAAATATTAATAAATCTTTTTTGAGAGAGGCAGCTTGACTCCTTTGATATTTTTTTGACACCAGACGTAATTGATCTTTTTCTTTTTACCTGCAACACGGAATTTAAAAAACAAGAATTTCCGGTATTGACAAGACCATAGACATAAGGAAACGAGGGGGTTGTGGAGATCTTTGTATCTTCAAGAGCAGCAAATAAACCTATATTTATCAGAGTGTATTGCCCTTGTTATTACTGTCCTTGTTATGGAGCAAAGTGGTCAAAAGAAGAGTAGCACTGCGCCCCGAATGAACCAGAGTGTTTGTTACTTTGTAGTAAACAAACAAAAAGCAAAACAAAAAATCATCAGTTGGGAATTCAAAATTTTACGAATAACATTATTTTTACCTTGTGTAGATGTATTTGTGTTGCCCTGACGAAGCTGTTGCAACTGAGCTCGGCTAGTGATCTTTGACCTATCGGATGAGTGAGATCTGGTGGCATTAAAGTGTTCCGGAAGTAAGGGAAACAATAACGACGATGATGTGAAGGCTCGATCAGCTCCTGAAACTGATTGACCCCTGGTGTCGTTATCGTCGCTTTCCCAACCCAAGAGAATTCTAGTCAATGGGTCCAGGATACGAGCTTTGAAGAAGACAAATCCTTCCTGCGTCTGTATTGGTATAGGTAGTGTCTCCATGAGCATCATTAAATCGAATACTAGTATAGACGCCATTGACTTGGAGATCCATTGTTTATGTTTTTGAGGTAACAAGACGATGAATGACACAATTAGGACAACGACAGCCAGTGGTGGCGGATGAAGTAGTTTCTGCAACATCTCCTGAACCGTCATGGTTGAAAGAGTGTGAGGCGATGATAAAGCGGGATGAGAGAAGATGAGAGTGATGAAGTTTGCGAAAAGGAAAAACAGGGCAACAAAAAAATGAAGAATTTTTTTTTTTATTTTTTTGTTGCCTGTATTTTCACTTTTTCACTCCAAATAACGGTTGATTATTCTCCGACTATAACAATATTTCAAGCTGAAAGAAAACAAGAAAGGAAAGTAAGAAAAGAATGGTGAAAGACGAATGGTGATGGTGGATGATTAGAGTAAAAGGCAAAAAAAGAACATGATTAGAAGAGAGAGAGACACACACACACACAGGCGCAGTCAATTTTTTTATTTTTATTTTTTTGCGTGCAGTCCTCACATTGGCCACTTATCATTTGGAGTGTTCATTCTATACCACATGGTGAATTATTTATAAACAAATATGTGAATGATGATGTGTTACTGACGACTAACGAGCTAACGTGGACATGCCACATAACATGCACATACAATAATACACAAAATGTTTATTCAGATGGCTCTTCTTCCTTTCTCAACAAACTATTAGAGTTCATTTAGTCGAATGAATATCAGCACAAGTAGTCGTCGAAAGACATGGAGCCCGTCCCCAGGCTCTCGTCCATTGACCGGCTTATCTCGTGCAAAGGAAAGGATACATTACCCTTCCCTTTTGTTTGCTCTGTGCCCACCCATTGGAGACCACTCTCTCATTACAAAGAACAGCTACTCACCTAGTTTAACACCAAGTGTTCCAAGGACAAGGACAACTGCAGAAGAAAAATATAAAATTGGTAAGCAACGGATCGTTTTATATTCTAAAAAAGACAGTCACTAACCTGGCATCCCAAAGTGGGGGCCATAAAATATATAAGAAATTAGGGAAAGAGTTAAAAACACAGTCCAATTCACATTCTACTTCTCTTTTTTTTTTATTACTGACACGTTCATCCTCAAGGCAGCTCTATATTGACTCTTCAACCCGATTAGATTCCCACCATGAACTCATCCATCGTCTCTAAACTCTATGGTAATCATCCATCCTGGATACTTATAAATCTACGACAGCATTGCAAAAAAAAAAAAAAAAAAAAAAAACGTGTCTCTATAGTACTTCATTCAAGGAACAAGTCAAAACATTATCCAAGCTTCGTACAGGGCAAAAACCCACGGCACCAATCATCTTTTTCTTACCATGGAGGTGAATTGTTCACGAAAGAGGTTCTCATTTTTTATTTTTTATTTTTCCTTGCTTCTGCTTTGCGCGTAGGCCCTCTTTTGTATAACACCAAAGTAGCGGCTCAGATCGCGAAGCAAGTCTATATCCGTGAAGGAATGGCTCCTCCTTCAGGAGCTCAGATCGAGGCTGCTAAAGATGCTACTCTCAAGTTTATCTGGAATGCTCGTAATCTCAACACCTGGAAGAATATCTCAAAGGATCAATACGTGAGAGCTGGTTTGGTCGCTGCTGAAGCATACACCTTTTTTATGTTGGGCGAGATCATTGGACGTAGGAACCTCATTGGCTATAACGTCAAGAGCGCCGACACCCATCATCATTAATCAGCGTTCTTTACCTCAGACTAAGACTATTGTTACAATAAAAAAAAAAAGAATGGCTGGTTTTTTTTTTTATAATTTCTATTAAAACTCTAATCAGCTACCCAGGCTCCAACGCGTTTTACGTATTTGCCCATCAGCTCGCCAAGGTCGCGAACCACAAAGGCACAAATCACTTGACTTAGAACGTCGCATAGACGACGTAACCGGTTTACAATCTGGAGATGAACATGATAATGTGAATGGGCGTTGTAATGACGTAACATGGACTCCAGAATATAACTTGACTGGAAAAGGTGGACAACATTCTCCGTATAAGCTGATGTGTCCTCCCTATTAAAAATAAGACAGAACAAAACGATAATTATATACCGCAAAGCGAATTAGTCTTGATATAATATTACTGAAGAAAACAAGAAGAAGAAGAAGAAGAAGAAGAAGAAGAAGAAGAAAAAAAAAAAAAAAAAAAAAAAAAAAAAAACTTACACTTTATCGTTTCCAATTTTTTGAAAGGTCTTTGATAAACTCTTCCATTGACTTTTCAGTCCACCAGAACCAGCGTCTGCAGTGCTTCCGCCCACGGACACACCTCCTTTCTTGCTAGTCTTTTCAGAATTTGGCATAGGCGGCTCATCTCCATTCCCCCAATTATAGCTGTCCGTGCCATAAAGACTCGCTGCCCCATACAGACTCGCTGTTCCACCCGTTACAGGGCCTTGCATATCTTCCTGATAACCCTGGTTTGTTGTAATAGTGAGGTTGAGTCCATTTTTGCCTGGTCGATTGATGAATGACAGCTTCTTACTCAGTTTGGACTGGACACTATGCGCCGTTGCCTCCAAGCTTTCAAGTTCTTTAAGGATCGCCATCCGCTCAGCATCCACCTCGGGCCCGCCCTCCACCAATAGGTTCAATGTCCCATTTTGTGACTGTTTGGCCATCTCGTCAAAGCGATCATACAGAGTTCGACAAGCTTCTATTTTAATGCCTGCTGCAGGTAGGCGAACCAAGGACTGATACCAGATAGCACGTGGAACATACATGCGCTTGGTAAGGAACCCGCCTGTTGTCATGGTCTGCTCCAGTTTGCGCATAAGCCAAAAACAACGTAGATGTGGATCTGTGGGTGGAGGCTCTACAAAAGGAGGTGGAAGAGGCTGCAAAAGACTGGTTAAAATACAAGCTCACTTTACTCTACAAAAATAAGATAATCAAATCCTCACACTTTAGCTTACAAAGCTCATTCCCGCGAATGGATCATCAGAAATCACATCATACAGAGTCATGCCTCCTGAGGAACCATGGTTATGAGTACTGCCATTCAGACTAGGGCTCCACGTCTTATCGAGCGTTGGTGAGGCTGAGGTAGAATTGGAGAGCGTTGTACTCAGCTTGGAGCTACTATGTTGATGTTGGAGGACTGCTGGTCGCGTAACTGAAGATTGTCCTGGTAAGGATGAAAGTGAGGAAGATGAGCTGCCAGCTCCTACTCCGTTTGTGACGCCAGAGCCCCCAGAGGATCGCGCTAATGGGCTACCTTCCTTCAACGAACGAGAAGAATCAGAGATCCGTTTGTTGGTGGCGCTTTCGAGAGCATGTAGTGAGCTGATGGATGAAGCTGCTTGTTGAACATTATACAGAGGCGATCTCGATTGCGATGCTGTTGATTGATGAGCTGAGAGATTTGAAGACTGGGAAAATGATCTCTGATGCTGTGATATTTGTTGTCGTTGTTGAGATGACAATGTATCTCCTCCTGCTTTATGTACCTCCTGTACTGTGTTGAGACTTTGTGCTGATTTAGATCTAATCTGCTCTACTTGGTTCAAAGTATAAGATCCTAATTTGGAACCATCAATTAAGAAAAATTAAAATAAAAATAAAAATAAAAATAAAAAAAAAGTTAATTGCAAAAAAATAATAATAATAATAATAATAATAATAATAATAATAATAATAATAATAATAATAATAATAACAAACTGTATAACTAAATTTTGATTAAATAACCTACCCTTCGAACTAACTCGTTCACGAGGGTACGGGTCTTCTGAAGAATGATCTAATACTTCTGCTGTTGAAAAGCTACTTGAAGATAGGTTAGGGAGCCATTCATCTGAGACAAGATCATCGTCATAGAATCTGCTGAGAATTGCCCCATGTGTCTTTTCATCATCTGGCGAGTTCTCTGATGGTGAAAGGAGCGAGCGTTGACTTGACTGTAACTGTTGTCCTGATAGAGTTGAAGCTGGAACCAAAGGGGAAATCCTTCGAGAAGTGTTGGCAGGGGATCCTGGAGGTGAAATTATGTTCGGAGGTCCAGGTGGAAGGGATGTTTTGGGCGGCGGTGAAGAAGGCAAAGATGTAAGGAAGGTTTGGTTTCCAGGCATATTGGGTGTTGGAGGATTTGAATGGGTAGGAGTCGACATTGTAGATCCCTGCCCCTGTGAAAACACTGGTACAGGTGGAGGGGTAGAGGGTGGTGGGCCAAGAGCTGTCGGTGTAGGTGGTAAAGGTACCGTCGGGGCTGAATACATTGGAACACCGAGATGATCTCGACTCCTGATCTTTGAAGGGCCTAACAGACGCTGTTGAGCCTGGATCTGAAGCTGTTCTGCTGCGTAAACAAGATCTCCTGTCATGCGAGGGGTTGATCCTCCTGTGTGTGATCGTGTATGGTGTCGGGTATGTCCAGAAGATGTACCATGCTCACTGGCAGATGTTGAATCTGAACGCTGGCGTGGTGTGCGAGGTTCCAAGGGGGGATGAATACCCGAATTCGCCATCGAAGATGGGTGAAGAGGAACAGGTACATGTTTCCTGATGCGACGCGGAGGAGGTACCTTTGCAGCGGAGCTAGATCTTGTAGTGTTATCTGAATCCTCTATGTGGTGCTGAGAGGAGCTGCTACTGGACGAAGAACCTAAAGAAGATGATGAAATGCCAGCAGAGCGTAATGGAGTTGTTTGGCGTGGTGCGGGCGGGAGAGGTTGCTGAGGAGGTTGCGGTATCGGTGGGGTGTTGTGCTGAGGATATGGCGTGGTAGGAGCCGCCGCTGGGGCTGGCGGGGTTGATAGGAGATGAATTCTGAATAAATACGAATCGTGCTGTATATGAATATATTGAGAAATACAATAAAAATGGGAAATTAGTTTTTACTGTTCTCAAACAACAATCCTATTTACTTTAGGGCTTGGCATGGGCGCCAATGATAGACACAATAACGGAAAGCCAACCTACAATCGTCCTTAAGCGTTCCTGTTCTTCTGGTGAAGAGCTAGCATCCATGACCTTGCTTAATAAGGCTACAGCACGGTTATATGCCTCAAGCGCTGCAGGGATATCATTGGCATTGTCGAGTTGGACGGCAGACTGGGCTTCCACCAAGGCTCTGGTTAGAAGCGCTTTTGAACTGCTAGATGCAGACCGAGGTCGGGTTTGATCAGGTGCCATCATTGAACTCGATCCTGTATTGTAATGCCCGTGTGTGTGGTCGCTGGAAGATATATAGTACGGTTGAGTGTGCTTTCCAGCAAGCACTGACACTGACCGAGCAGTTGGAGCTGATGATGGTAGAGAGGAATCCAAGTGATGTAAACCCACGGATGTCATAAAAAAAAGAAAGAAAGAAATGCTTCAGATGGCCAAAAAATGAAGCAGATGCCGAAATGAGTGCAAACTGTGGACCGTAAGCAAAGAATTGCAACTCAACAAGCAAAATGGGGTCGTTTCGTGTATGGAATGTGAGTCTTAAGGCAAAGGCGAAAGGAATTGGAAGGGAAGAGGGTCAGGCCATAAGTACTGTGTGTATCGTTCCTGGAGGAAGTGGGAGAGTTGGCGAAGGGTGATGAAGGTAAAAAAGATGAGGGATGTAAGATGGCGGGAGAGTAAGAGTGAGAGTGAGGGTGAGAGTGAGGGTGAGAGTAAGAGTGAGGGTGAATGAGTGAGAGGTGTGAGAGTGAGAGTAAAAGTGAGAGGGGAGAGGTGAGCAAGTAAAGTTAAGTGAGCAAAACAACAACCAACTAACGGACAAACAAACAAAAAAAAACACGAACAGATGATGAGGGGAAAAAATAAAGGCGGCACCCCAAATAAAAATGATGACATTAAAATGAGTCAAAAGCACAGCACACATCCATTACGCAGAAGAGAAACCATCTACAACCTGTCAATGCCATGTTTATACTATATTTTTTTTGTAATTGCAGTAAATGTGACGATGAGGGTGTGGCTAAATCAACAATTGCGGCACGGCTCGTATTCGCCAAATCTCAAACTGCTGTGAACTTTCTTGAACCACGTTCTCAATTATTTTGTATTCAAAATAAATTGTCTGGCTCTCTCCCCCTTAAGGAATACAAAGCCCTAATTAAATATGCCAAAATGGTGTTGAAGGAGGAAAAAAAAAAAAAAAAAAAAAGGAGAGGATCAACTGCTTCCAAATCGGCGATTGGTGTCTTGCCTGATAGTGCACCAATGCCGTCACCTTGCTTATTTGATCTGCCTGGATCTTCTGGCAACGCTTCTTCCACATAATCCTGAGCTTTGCCTCGGTCCTCATCATCTGAACGAAGATGTGGTGGAGAATATCACATAGATTTCTACCGAGGAAGTTGTCTTGACACTGACAGTGTAGTTTTTTTTTTATCTTAGTAGACGATCTGTCATATATCCGACGTAAACTGGCTGGTCTAACTAATTGAGAAGCAGGAGTAACGTACTCCTAAATATGAATTATAATCAGGGTCTCAACAAGGATAGGAACGACCATGCAGGATGTATAGGCGTTTGGTTGATAAAAATAAAAATAAATGAGCCACCGAGGAGGCTTCTAGGTCATTCTGAATCCTGTAGAAGATAGATTCTATAGAAACTGTCGCATGCTCATAAGTTAAACTGTCTGATACCCGCTAGCTTGGCGGATGATATGTTCGTTCATTTATGGATTCTTGTCGTCTTTAAATGGATGACAGTTTAGGAAGAAGAGATAGAAAGAAAGAAGAAAACTTTTGTAAGGAATCTTGAAAAGCACAACTAATGAAAAAAAAAAAAAAAAAAAAAAAAAAAAAGTGGTGAGCAATCTTCCATATAGAGCGTTATATCTTTAACGTGATATTGCTTAGCTCAAAGGATTTGCTGTGGAAATGATTCCAAGCTCTTGTAGCTGAAATTATTTAAAGTGAACCTCTAATGATTGTGCCATTAGGCTTCAATTTGTCGATATGGAATGAAGCAAGGGCTAACTATTAACGAGTCTAAAGGCCCTCACTGCATGGTAATAAACAAATGCGCCCTCTTATTTGATTATAGCCTTGTGCCTGGAGCACCTCTTTGACCATAAATGACCTTGAGGTAATATTGGAGAGGGGGCACGAGCAAGTGCCAGCCACCTACATTTCCTATATTTTAATAGATTAACTGACCTGTTGGACATGATCACGTTATCAGAAACAGTAGTTTTCATAATTCCATTTGTCCTGATTGGTTCATTATATGAGTGTAGATGCTGTTGGGCATGCGAAATAATGGCAATCAGTGTATGTATGCACCACACTACAGGAGACAGCTTCTCAATAATCACGAGAATGGACGCCCCTTTTGTCCCTACCCCCCCTCTCTCTCTCCTCTTTCTATTTCTACCCATCTGTGATGGTTTTGGACACAATGACAAGGATATACATAACAATTTTGGTTTTCTATAACAGAAAATTTATTGTCGTCAACAAGTAACGTGAGCTCTTGAACATTATGGGTTTTGCTCATTCATTTCCCTGAAACGATTGATGGTTACACAAGAATATACGCGTATCACGTACGTTTATAAAATATCTTTGTGTCAGGTCGTAAAAAATAAAGATTAAAACAAGCTTAATGTCTAATATCATTTATTTGCTACTTCTTTAATGAGTACCTAGGCCTTAGGAAAAAGAGAAGGTCGAAGACGTTACTTGTTGATATAATACACCCTAGGCGCTTTTATTTTTAAAAATAAAAAACAAATATAAGGTATGATCAAATACAAGAAGGGGGGGGGAGCTTTTTTTTTTTTAAAAAAAAAAAAAAAAAAAAAAAGCCTAGACGAATAGGTCAACCTCCTCTGCGTGAATTGTATTTGATGTTATAAATGGATGCTACTGTACGCCGACGATAGAAGGCACCTCATTGCTAATAAAAGCAATATTAGGGGGAGACCATGTAAAAAAAGAACTCCCGTTAAAATGGAGAGAGAACCACTAAATGCATGTCTTCTACTGTTTTGCCATCTATTCGTCATTATGGTAGTCGCCTGCCATTGGGTATATATCATTAGAAGCAATTTTAAATATATACAAATAAGTGAATATCTTCTAAGGTAAGCTTCCTGCTACTAAAAAAAACAGAAAACAAAAACAAAAACAAAAAGGTCTTTGATGGTTTTGAGGATATTCAATACTAGATATCATAGGAGCTTTTTCCTCCGCCCTTTTTGCCGCTTTGTAAGATAGGCGTTGCTTGTCATCAACAAAGAGCCTGTATCCCTTACGGCGCTATTTTTTTCATCCGGTTGAAGCTGAAACTAGTCGGCTACAAGGAACACATGATTTATTACTATTATTATCGAGATATGACTAACGGACAACCTAAAGATCAAGTACAACTCAGACGCTTACGAAAAAAAAGGAAGGGTTGGGCTTAATGGATTTAAATGTTGAGAGAGCTTCGAGAATTGATTATCAATGGAATAATTAGATTAGTGTAGTATAAATACAACGGCGTAGTTCAAGTCAATTGGTGAAGTATTAGTAGAATGGTGAGGCATAATTACAGTGCAATAGAGCAGTGTAATTGCAATAAATTTATAAAGAATAAGAAAAAAGGATTGGTTTGTCCATTCTTTTGTCTGTAGTAAGCAATGAAATATTTCGACTGAATCGATGATAGTTCGGCTCACCTGAAAAAAAAGAGAATAGGAGAAAGTAGAATCGTCTCCTCCCTTCTTTTTTTCTTCTTTTCCTTCTTTCATTCATGCTCATTATGTATGGGTAAAGTATTTTTAATAACGGGTTATTCAACCTTTTGATAGTTTCATGCTCTTTCAAGCGGCTCTCTAAAAAATATAAAAGTAAAAAAATAAAAAAAGGGTAATGATTTCCCAAATTCTTGGTTGTGAATGTAACACAAGAGAAGAAAGAACATCCTTTTTTTTTTGAGATGCATGTCGGACAAAAAAAAATTTTGCTCATAATGCAAGATGAATGCTTACCCTCTTTCCAGCGTGCTGACCCTACTACATGTACAGGTATAGGAGGGAAGGAATATGACAATACAATATGGTAATGAATATTGACAATTGAATATTTGAATACGATGGTTTAAAAAAAAGAAATTTACGTTTATTGACTATCTATCATCCTGCAGCGACATTTCCTCTGTGCGACAACACTTAATGCAAAATGATTTTGAGTACATGTATAAGTTTGAAAAAAAAAAAAAAAAAAAAAAAAAAAGAAAAGACGAATGCATTACCCCTTTCAATTCCAAATTCCCATTTCCCATTTCCTTTAAAATTGCATTCAATCGATCCCATGACTTCATTTGCATTCCCCCCCTCTCCCTTTACCCCCTGTCACCCCTCCTCTTTTCTTCTCCCCAATGCTGTTTTTCATTTCGGCTCTGAATCTGCAGCGTATGAAAGCTCAATCCTTTTTTAACATCAAATGAAAAGGCTGTAGTGGAACAGCAAGCATTAGACCGTAAACGGTATCGAGGCCTTCCAGAACAAGGCAGAGAAACAAGGGCGGAAGAAGGAAAAAAAAAAAGAAAAAAGAAAATGCTCAGTACATATGCAAGCGCGGAGCAAAAAAAAAAAAAAAAAAGGTGGTATATGGGTGTTTTGATATGTTTAAACATGTGCGTGTATATGTATATATATATATATAAATGTAGATATTGGTGTGTTGTTTATGTGGAGGGAAGAAGAAAAATTGCTTATTTAATCTTCCAAGCTGGGAATATCAGTTTTATCGGTGTGTAACATGACCATCATGCGGACTCGAGTGGCTCTCAATTCTTGTACAACCAAAGAGATATGGGTCTATGCTTAATACTTTTCTTTTTTTTTTTTTGAGATGGACGATCACAGGTCCATTTACATTCTACAGCCTCTCTGACTAGTTGCAACGGTCCTAAAGTTCTCTTTTATTATTATTATTATTATTATTGGTATTACTATTATCCCTATTATTTTTATTCATATTTTTATTCTTCTTAGTCATACTTGCTCAATCCACTTTGGAATCTGCTTATGTTAGTAAAGTTAAAAAAAAAAAGACTTTTGCGATTTTTTTTTTTATTTTTTTAATGACATCGATCCCCAGATTTAGTCTTTGAAAATCAACCTTGGGCTAGACTCGGGTTCGAAGTTTTTTTTTTTTTTTTTTGTTTTCTAAAAAAAATAAAATAGAATAGAATAAATAAAATACTTGCTTCTCTTAGTATATGTCTCCCAAGCAAGAGTGGAGCCTTGTTTTTATGCAGCAATGAATGATAAATAAGATGGGAAGAAGAGTGGGAGAAAGGAAGAGCTGAGGAGTACAGTATGATCAGCTGCGGATTCCCTATCCTCTCCCAATGATGAACCAATTATATAATTTGTCGCGTATCAATTTGTTTAGTTCGCATGACGAGTGCGGAAAAAACAAACAAGTCACTGCCACCAATAATTTTTACATTTCCCAGTTGCACCGCACCAGATAAGCATCTTTGGAGGATGGCGTCTAGGGTATCAGCCACTGTGACCCAATCCATCCCTCTTTTTCCCCTTGGTCAGTTCCCATCTCATTTTATTTAGATCAATTTAGTACGGGGCCTTTTTCTTTTCTTTATATATAAAAATACGCGTCAGTATAATAGTAACACTTTCTACACTTGACTTTTAAGCTGTTCTTAAGAAGGAAACCTTCTATTCTCCCTTGAAGTGTTTTTTCTTTTCTGTAGTATAATCTTTATGCTAACTATCGAATGAAAACTCTTTTTTTTTTTTTTTTTTTCTTGTTTAATTGCCCAATTGCTTTATTTATTTCTCAATAGCAGAATGTATGTGCATGATATATTAACATAGACCTTTTTTTTTTTTTTTTTTTTTTTGACGGTATTTGTTGAAGGAAGCCGCTTAATAAATAGAGTATAAAAATACAAAGCATAACAATGCAAGTCTGGGGCTGGGAAGGATGAATACAGGATGGATTTTAGTGTATGAAATTGCAATACTACCCTTGGGGTTAAACTTTGGTCTTTTTGTT